AATTGGATAAAGCTGGTCAAGCTCATCGCCGAAAACTTCAGACCGAAGGACACCCTCACGAGCGCGCATCCAATTCTTATTTCCTCGCAGTGTGTTAATTTCACCGTTGTGAGCGGCCCATCGCAGAGGTTGGGCGCGGTCCCACGAGGGGAAAGTGTTGGTGGAAAATCGAGAGTGAACCAAGGCGAAGTGGCCCTCGTAGTCCACGTTGACCAGATCGTGGTAATATTGATAAACCTGTACTGGGGATAATTGACCCTTATAGACGATGTTGCGATTGCTCAGCGAGCAGAGATAAAACCAGTTACCCTGCCCAATAACATGAGTGGCACGCTTTCGCAGAACATAGAGCTGTAACTCGAAGGTGCGCTCGTCGAACTTATCGGTATCAGTAATTTCGGGCTTGCTGCCCTCGCCGTATGCAGACTTGAGTACAACAAATGGTTGCATGATAATTGGCTCTCGAGAAAGCGCAGCTGGGCCGAGAATGGTCGAGTCGCTAGGAACATCACGCCAGCCTAGCACACGCAGACCGAGCGAGGTCGCCAATTCCTCGAAACTGACAATCGATTGCTTGAGAGCCTCCTCATCGGGTTTGAAGAATAAGTTGCCAACAGCATATTGGCCGAGCGGGGGAAGGTCCACGCCCACCTCACGAGCGAAGTTCTTGATGAAGAACTTGTGCGGGATACTGGTCATTACACCAGCACCATCACCGTCTCGCGCGTCCGAGCCAACGGCTCCACGGTGGGTCATGTTGCACAGCAGGTTGCGCGCTAGAAAAGAAGGTCAATGTCAGCAGGTCCGGTCGGGTTTCCATTATCCCAGGCAAGTGAGGTTGCGGCTGCGGCTGCGGCAACTTACCATCGCTGACAATTTTGTGGCTCGGCTTGCCCTTGATGTGACTAAATTTGGCAAAGAAGATCAGTTCCAATTGCTTTATTGATTGATCCGGAGCGCACTTACGCAGCGAAACCGACACCACAGGCATCTTTTTCATATTCGGGGTCGTAGAGACCCTGCTTTTCGGGCAAAGCATTGGCCCAGCCAAAGCCTTTCTTGGCCTGGTACTCCGAATACTCCTGTGGAGGCTGCTCTTCACTTAGATCTGGTCCATAAAGTTCCTCCAAGTTAAGACCCATTCTTCCGTCGGGGACCGACAGAGAGTGAGATCGAGGGGGACTGAAGTGGGGAGTCACTCAAAGTGGTGCTGCGGGAACAGGTTGCGATAGCAGCGGATGTCGTCACTGGCGCAGCGCGGGTGAGGGAATGCAATATGAGAGACCCTGCGTCTGCGAAAGTGAAAGGTGAAGATTGAAGGAGAGGGGAAGAAGGAAGAGACCCAAAAAAATAAAGGAGGGGTGAAACTAAAAAAAAAGCCTGAGAGAAAGGACCAGGGCTGGGCTGCGATTACGGCACTGCAGGTCCGGTGGGATTGGAAGCAGTTCCGAAGCAAGCAAGACGTGTAAAATACGACTGTGGGGATTCACGCCGTGGCAAATGGACGAGAGGATCAATATTGAACACTTTAGGCCATTGGTATTACCTGGTTTCTGAGAGCTAGTGCGTCCTGGTGGTCGGGGAAAGTAGGCAGGGCGAATTGTCTGAGAGAGTTGCTTGCTCAAGACAGCAGAACAATCATTACGACTAATTACTACAAAGGACCAATGCTTGCCCACTATTCTTTTTTCCCCCTCCTTTTCTTTACGGATTGGAATCCCTTACGGACACGACAAGATCCTCGACGGAAGCGGGCAGTTCAAGAAGGGTGGCGCGGAGCGGAGAGCGGAGGCATTCCAGATATTCCTAAGGTTGGAGCTCTACCAGCGATGGGTCGAGTAATGATAATCATAAGATTACCAGTAAATCCGTCGAGATAAGGGAGTCTCGGGCCAATCAGAGCTGCTGCTTTGCAACCGCTGAGCCAAAACGATTAGGTTTCCACTACGTCAAGATTGGGTGGGTACCGTACGGTACGGGGGGATACATACAGTCTACTCTGTACTATAACTAGAGTACAGGACACAGGATATAACTATATGGAGTATATGTAGACATTGAGCTGCACTCTGTACTCTGCACTCTGCACTACTGCCTCTCTTCGACTTTCCATCCACCTCTCCCAAGAATGCCTACGAAAACGATTCCGGTGGCCTGGGCGCCGAGTGGGGCGGTGCAAGGATACAGTGCTTAATCAACTCCTCTGCCCACAGGCGCCACGGGGATCAATGTCGAGCTCCATTCTCCCGAGCCTCCAAACCAATACCCGACTGAAAAAGAAAAAGAAAGAAAAAAAGTACCCAACTTGGGCGTGGATGGCCAACCAGATCATCCAATACAATACCACGGGGATCTGGCTAGCCAAAGCAGCGAAATCGGGGTTGCCCAGCCGCGCCCCGGTATGTCTTGCTCGGGGCTGCTTTCGGATTGGCCCCTTTCCTTGTCCAATACATTCCCCGACTTCCTCCTCGCGGTGCAAATCATGGCAACCTTGGAGACCACCGTGGAAGAAGATCCTCTACCCCCCCTTCCCCGGACAGCCCCTCCTCCCCCAGGGACCGTCCATTTTACAACGGGACTGGCTTGTTCGTTTTCCCCGTCCAATGACGTCCACTTTCCAATTCGGAGTTAAGTCTTCACCCGGAGGCCATCCCTCCGGAGATCCTCGTGTTACTTCGCTGACACGTGAAGCGGGAGTCTCTGATAAGCTCAACTTGATAATAGGAATACATAACCCCAATGCCAACGGTGTACGGAGTACTCGTACAGTGTACCTACGTAAGGTCCTTGCTCTCTCCACTGTTCCGCTCCAGCACGAGGATCGTTTCTCCTGTTTTCGCCTAGCACCCGACTTGCCACTCGCATCTACCACTCGTACTAGCACATGCCTTGTAAGGGATTCAAGTGTCCACTAGGGAAATTCGTACAGTATTGTACTATAGCAAAGTAGCATACTACATATTACTAATAATAGTCGCGTTGATAAATACTACTACAAAGTGCCCAGGACATCATTAGTTACTACCTACCAGGTACATATACGAACCAGCTCGGAGTTATACACATGTCCAATGAATGTACAATGCTCTCCACCGGCAGTGGATCTACGCTGCAATGCACCTTAACATCACATGACTCCCATCCAATGGGACATCCGACAAACATAAGACGTTCGTGGGGTATCGGCCGAGGTTGCTTTTTCTCTTCCTCCTGATCGACTCGTTGACTTGTCGCCCGAGTTCTCCCGATCCCTTCTTGCCCGCATTTGGTTCACCGGTGCATTGGCTGTTTGACGGAGTGGAATATTGAATATCGGAAGATCCCGGGTATCCCTGTAGCGTAGCGAGCCCCGCGACACAGCACGCATACGGAGTACATATTACATATACAGCTTTGTACAGCTGTACGCGGTACTGAACTATATGCACGTATGTACAGTACTACACCGTGCATCTTAACATATGTATCATTCGCTTCAATACAGCCAAGTGCTGTACAGTATGTACGGTGTACCTACTGTACTCTGTCCTCCGTCCTCGTATGTATGTACTACGGGACCCCCGCCGAGACTCCTCTCGCGATTGAGACCGGAATTCCGCGCCGTGTCTTGGCATGTTTTCCTCCAGCGGCGCATGGAGTTCCCGCTACATTCGTGCGACATGAAGGGCTCGGCTTAGTATTGGCGAGACTACATGCAGGTCTTGGGTGAATGAAATGATCGACACGGTGGGTTCTTTCATGTCCAATTCAGCCTCGAATTTTGCCTATTGAATAATAGAAACTTCACCGCTTGGTCTGGGCGTGGCCATTCTGTTTGTACTACATATTCTATTAGAATTGGAGCGCTAGGGTACATTGTTGTTTTGCTTGTACTATTGATATTTTCAATCTTAGTCTTGGCACTGGATTCTTTGTCAAATGTTCAAGAGCCCTCGAGATCAATTCGTAACTGAAACCCACCTACGTCAGTGGAATCGGGCTAGGACTCTGGTCTATGTTTTTCTTTTCTTGTCTACAAGCGTACATGTTTTTCCCCCTGGAATGATACACCGAAATCCACTCAAAGTTAGCTTGTGCCCCAAATATTATTATGGTAGAAATCCTGGGGTCTCTGTTGTCGTTTCTGTTGAGTGGTAACTGAGTTCACTGGTTTCTGTCCCATTATCACCGACCAATGAAACATTTGGAGAATTACTCACTATCTGATTTGTGGAACTTTCCTTGAATGTTGTGCAAAGAGGGATTGAATAATGGCAGCACAAGTATGGAAACCTACTTTAGATAACATCATTGCTGTTCTCTCGTGTCATAAACTGCACCTCATGATAGGCATAGATCCACAAAAGCTAAGCCGGGAGATCTTCTTCGTTGATAACAGAAAGGAGATCTCAAGTCTGAAAAATCATCACAATCAAGTACCTTCGGGAACGTACCACATCTATAGATCCTCAATGCCAAGTACCTTTGATGGTAGCTTTGAAGCAAATGTAGAAAATACCGTGTTGAAATAAATCCGGAACAAAGAATAACACTTCAATTGAAGATTCAAGCGTTGACCAAAATATTCACCTCTACCCTTACACTATAACAACATTCTGATATGTTCAAGGTTAAGCACGATCTCCAGCGCCCCGCAGCGCGCCAATGTTATTTGGCGGTGGAGCCCCCGCGACATTTTTATCCGCCCTAGCTACCATCCAGCTCGACGGCAACAACCAATCGAAGTACATACACCCCACTACGCTACACTCGACTCGACTGGCAATTGACTACATCACTGTCAAAAAGTGATTCAAACAACGCCTCCACATACAATCTACCAGAAATGAGCCTTTAAGCCCTCGCCTGGCCTAGCCTTAACACGCAGATCGCGGTTGCTACAGCTGAACCTCTCATCTCTACGTCAATTGCACCGCAACGCCTGAAATCACAGACATAAACAAACCTCGCAACTCAACCCAGACCCAACCCTTTACCAAGCCAACAACCTCAGCGCAAAAATGCTTTCTTTACCATTCATCACACCCCGCGATGTGAGATTCCACCCTCTCCCCCAAACCCCAACCTCAGACAGACGCTCTAACACAATCCAGTCCCACGAGCTCTGGTTCGGCTCCTCCAACCCTTACCAACCCTCATCACCCCATCAATCCAGCACCGACCCATCAAATCAAACCCGCCGCAATGCCTCAACAGCCTCCAGCCACCGCTCCTTCCTCCCCTCCCGCTCCCCAGCAAACAGCCTCTCAGCCCTCCAAGTCGAAGAGCGCGCCCTACGCCTCCGCAAGCAAAACATCGCCTCCTTCGGCTACTCCTGGATCCGGCCCGCGGGCTGCGTGAAGACAATGCTCGGCATGAAAGAAGAAGAAGCCGAGCGCGAAGAAGCGCTCGCCGCGGCGCAAACAGAAATGGGCGCCATCGACGGCGAGGGTATTATGGAAGATGAGTTGGGACTAACGCAAGACGAGGAAGGACAAGGAGAAGGGATGGAGCGGGATTTAGACGATGAGATTCCCAACGCTGATGATGCGGAGGAGGTGGAGGGGGGGCCTTATTGAGGAAGGGGAGGATCTTTCTGGTGAGGATATTGGCGATGAGGAGGGATATATGGAGCGAGATTTGGATGATGATATTCCAGAAGGATATCCCGAGGATGATGACTATGATGATTCGGGGCTCTATGAGGAGGAGATTGATGAGGATTTTGATAATCAGCCTGATCTAGATGCTGATGTTCCTTCTGCGGATGAAGGGTTTCAAAGTATTATGACTGGGAGTGATGGGCCTAGTCGGGATTTAGATGATGATATTCCCGACGCAGCGGAGAATGGGTCTGAACAAGAGGGCGAGTGGCAGCATACTGATACGGAAGATGAGGAAGACGATGAAGACGAGAACGGGAACGGGGACGAAAATGCAGAGCAGGCCAACTCACTACGGCCTCGAATGAACGGCAATTTTCGCACCAGTACGCCGAATAGTCGGGGTGGATTGCCCCCTCCGCCGCCGCGTCGGGAGCGTGAAACGGACGCTCAGCGCCGGTTTATCAATCGATGGAGTGGGGGTGGTGATGCCTTGGATTCGAGCAGCATGCTGTTTGAGGAAGATGATCTCCGCGCTTCGGTTACTAGCCAGAGCAGTCGTCGCAGTGGCTTTGGGCGGAGATTTCCTCGTCATGTTGGTGGGCCTCGTGATAGTCTTAACTGAGTGAGAGTGCAGCTTTCATGGGTTTCTCTGAGTTCCGAATCCGCATCTTTGCACATTGGAGTTTGGTCTAGCGGGACTACTGTGAGCGTTTAGAAATTTTGAATTGTATGATAGTACTTATGGTGGCAAGCGCTTACTGCATTTCGTATGCTATTCTTTCTGTGAACTCTAGACTTTATCATCGTGGAGTTAAATGATCGACACTTCTTGGGGTTTGTATTTATTAAGGGTCAAACCTTGGAAGCGTTACAGTGGCCTAGTTGCCATGTGGGATATGCATTATACAGACATGCTTGGCCAAGAAGGCGATTTGCATCCAAATGAAAGACCCAACTTAATATAGACAAACGCAGAAATCAACAGTAAAATATGTAGTATTGATAAGAATCAAGGGATGTAAAGAAACACCTGGTGGTACTGAAAGAGAAGAAAAGAAAACTCCAAACACCAGAGCCAAAAGTACATGTGCGCAAGTAAGAACTGTGTATGTATGCACCACCGGGGAGCAGAAGAGCCAGCACAAAGTCAGCCAAGCCCATTTCAAACAAGGTAGAAGAATTAAGTATGGCGAAGAAAGAAATCGAGATCATATGAAACAAGACCTGCAACCCCTTTCCCTTTCCTCAGAAGATCCACACATAGAAGAACAAGAGAAAGACGGCGCAGATGAAGCCAAGCCAAACCCTCCACCCAACGCCAGTCTTTTCAGCCATGCGGAGCATGCGTTTCATATTTCCACGGAGTCGAACTCGGGTCCCCTCGAATGAGTTCTCTAGGTCTGTCATGTGTGCGGTATCTCGGATTTCGTCGCCGATGGCAATCGTGAGCTGTGAAATCCTGTTAGCTATGGTATCAAAGATAAAGCCCCCCTCCCTTCTCTCTCTCTTGGAGTTCAGTCGGGGAGAAGCGAAGATCAGATATGTTGCTTACATCCTTCAGCATTTTAACCTTCGAGCTTATGCCTTCCACCTCAGCGTCATTTTGCGATTCTAACGACGAGAGCACAGCATCCGAGTAATGGCCCCTATCCCCGCATAACGTTAGACTTGCCTCAAAGCTCGCGCAGGGAATGTCCCACTCACTTCTTGTCAGGTGTTGCGCTCCGGTATAATGTAGGTCCTGAAGCGTCTCCGTTGCCATAGGCACTTCCTGCGGGGCTGGAGTAGCCTCCGTATCCATATCCTCCGGACGGCGCGGGTGACCTGCTGGCCGGACGGGACTCGCCGCCGTATGAGTCGAAGAGGCCGTTCGAGGGACGTTGGCGAGGGAATCTGGGGCGCTGTATTAGCTTGATGCTGAGATTAAAGCCCCAGGACGATAGAGTCTCGCAGACAAAAGACAGGGTGGCAGGGTGGCAGGGTGACTATACTGCACATACCGTGAAGCCATAGCGGTCGTTGATGGGAGTTCGGCGCTGAACCGAGCTTCGTATTATAAATCCCAGTCGTCGGTTCGTGGGTTGTTGTTTCAATCAGTAGTGGGTCGGAAGCATTGCGCGGTTCGTGAGACCGGTGATTTTATTTGGTCATTTGGGTTGTTGGGTTTCTTCGATGCTTGCGGACAAAAACAAGTGGCCAAAGCTTGTTGGTCTCGCCTCAAGCGTGTCTGCACGTGATGACGCAAGTATTGTTTGCAATGGGATTCGGAGGCGAAACAAAACAATTAATTGTTTGTTGATTTGGAGATAGGCTCTGGCGCGATACTTGATCTTGTCGCAAAAATTGAATTTCTTAATCTGGTTCGTGGAGATCGTCTCTCCGGGCCACTTGGTATGGGATTATAAATGACACTATGAGGCCCCAGCCCAGCCCGGTCCAACCCAACCAACTACGCGCATTTGTTCTTACACATTACAGACCAGCGGTCACACTTTAGTCGTGACGAGGGTCCACTAAAATATATGGTGGCTTTATAGATGAGAGTAAGGGTAGAAGCGAACTTCGTTTCATTGAATTCATAGTCATGACCATCGATGAAGAAAAGCCATGACGTTTCGTGGATGAGATGCTAGCCTGCAAGGTGCACAAGATTGCCTCCCTCGGAATCCGTAGCGCCAATCCTCCAAACCAAGACTCGTGTCATTTGAGATTTGTCGTCAGGACCAGGCGCTTAGTCGCGCATCTGATCGTCGTCGTCGTTGGCGCCGCCCTGGTAGTCCTCGTCGTCCTCGGAGTCCTCCATCTCATCCTTGTTCTTCTCAGCCTCGGCGGCGTAGTCGATGACCTTGCCGCGCGTGCGGCGGCCACCCGAGATGATGTTCTCTGAGGAGATGGGCTCGAGGTTGTTGTCGTCTTCGTCCTCATCTGTGTTTGTGCTTGCGTTAGTACATGTCATGGACTGTAGATGAATTGGATTGAATTCCAGAGGCTGGTGGTTCCAGGTTCTTGAAGAAGGGGATTGAACTAGGCAGGGGCAGTGAAAGTGGCAAATGCGCTTGAAGGAGGGCCGAGGTGGAGGGGGTGGAGGGGTTGTCGCGTACCGGCCTATATGGATGACAAGTTAGCAAGATACTCTGCATTTGCAAGGACTTCCTGTTAGGAAGAATTGGATCAGAACTCACCATCTCGGGCTCCTGGTCACTCTCCTCGTCGCTGGAGTCCTCAGCGATCTGGTCCTGGACGTCCTTGCCCTTGCCCTTCTGCTCGAAGGTGGCGTTGGAGGGGTCGTTGGTAGTAGCGTGGTCACCCATTGTGTAGATATGTGATGATGATATGGAGATATGTGGAGTGTTGGGGAGTTGCAAGGGAGGTAGATGACAGGGAGAAGATTTAAAGAGACGGTCTGCAAAGTAAGGTGTAGCTTGATCAAAACAACCCGCAACAGTAAGGGAGGCCCCTCGCGGTGTGATTCGTCTGTGACCGATTCAAGTGGGGTCCCCGTGACGGTGCCAGCCCTGAGTTCCAACATATCCCCCCTTTTGCGCTTTGGACTTCGGACAGTCGTCTATTTATAATTTGGGGGGCAGGAAATCTCGGAAGCATTTAAGAGATGTTACAGGTCGTAGATATTTAAGAGCTAAAACAGAGGATAAAAGATGAGTTCAGTGCGGCTATTGTACATAGGTTGCACTTCTTTTCCCCACAGGGTGTTTATGAGGTCACCGATTATTTCCTTGTAATAATTGTTTACTAATAAACATAGCGGGCGTTGTCTATGTAGTTTTTCTGTAGTCCACTTCTCTTAGAAGCCCCGAAGAATCTGATCACGGTGCTGTTTGAGTAGCAAAGTTGGTTTTCTGTTGGGAAAGAATCGGTCAATGACCTATTAGCCAGAAAGATACTAGGATATTGCTTTTACAATAAGTATCTCTGTGTGCTGAAACAGAATATAGCTAAAGCATACCGAGTAAATATTAAAGGCACCAGATAGGATACTAATATCACTTGCAGTACTCCGTAGTATACACTCTCCATCTTTCCAGGCCTGAGCACGATGATTGAACTTTGAAGTATTGATGTAGTATTCAAGTTGCAAAGAACTCGAGACGACTTCAAGTTGGACCAAAGCAACGTGTACTAGCAGTATTGGCCACTCGGATGTAGCAATGCTACCAAATTATTCCCAGAATTTTAGTAATTCATTGTTATAAAAACCTGAAAGTCTTCGGGGATGTATTTGAACCCGATTCCTGTCAGAGTTTCCAAAGTAGAGAGTGTCATTGACTCTTTCAAACTATTGTACAGATTCACGCCAGTAACAGAATATACCTACATTTCATGATATGACCAGTAAAAAGGAGGCCAGCGCCTCGCTCAGACCTCCAAGAAGACGAATGCTCTCAAGCCTTTGCCTTTTGTGCTGCTTCTTCTTCTGCCTTGATCTCCCGTTCCAGCGCAGCAAAGTCTCCCTGGAAAGCGTTTTGAGCCGGCTCGAGACGAACATCCCAGATATCCTCACTGCTAGGACCAGTCTTATATTTGATAGCCTTCTTGCGATTGTGGTCCCGGATAGTTTTCCTCCGTATCTCATCTCCCCATCCTCTGGTCTTCATACAGAGCCAAAAATTATCCCAGTGCTCACTGCACGATCGCATTTCTCCGTATCGATAAACGTTGACGAATTGGCCTCCGAAGGACTGGCAGAAAAAGGCATAGTCGAAGGCTTGACGACAGGACATGGAATCTTGGTAGAGGGAATCGGGTGCAATGGCTGATGAGGGTTGATCGGGGCTATTGGGGTCCGATTTCTGTTGTTGTAGTTTCTGCTGGAATGTATCCTCCTCCGCGCGCAGATCAGCCAGGATCTGGCTGAATTCCAGCTCGGCTTGTTGATCGGGGGTCAACTGCTTTGGAGGCGGAGCTTGTGGCGGGACCTCGGGTGGGTTCGTTGGTTGTGTTTCATTATTGGTGTCCTTTTGAGGACTTGATCGAGACCACCAGCCCATCTTTGCGGAGAATATTGTGATAATTTGATTCAATTCGCGACCCAGAAAGCGTCGACGCGGTTTTCCGGCGATAATGACTACGGTCACGTGTTACCTTGTGGACCCCGGAGCCCGATAACGCACGATAAGCTGAGCCACGACGTCATTTAACTTGGAAATGCATGGCTGGTTTTGACTTGCATTGATCTCTTTCCTCTCCCAAGCTGTCCCCGACAACCTCAATATGCACAAATGCTAAGATGAGGCCAGTGGTGTTTACAAGAATTCCTCCAGCTGTGCGAGCTCCGCTCTTTCGGCCCAGAGCTGGCTTTCAGCCATCTGGCCGGGGGTGGGGACTAACTCCACGCTTGTCTAACAGCATACGATCTTCCTCCTCGATTCAGTCAGGGCACATCAAACTTGCTGAAGACGAAGGCATAATTTATGTAAACAGTGAGTGGTTCAGCTATTAGCAGCTTTGTTGATACGGTCTTCCTAATCCTATCCAGACATCTTCCCGCATAGAGTCCAATGGCTATTGCGGGGACCCTTCAGCCATATCCAACCACTCGAAGGAATTCTGAAACGGATTAACCACCCCGATCTGGCTGCAGCAGATCCTACACAGATAGTGAAACGTGCAATTCCGCAGTCCCTAGATTTGGAAATCAAGGAAGTCATCACACGATACAAAGAAGGGGGCGCTTTCGTCAAGTATGCGCGCAAGCCTGGCATCAAAGATGAGGAAATACAAGAAGCAATCAAAGAACACCTTGCCAAGTCTCCCATCCGTCCCTGGTTTAATCCATTTCAGAGGGTAGATGCGGACTTGGTTCAAGGACGACCATGGATTGAAGATCTATATCGAGTTCCCAGCGCATCCTTGAGAGTCGAATTTCTCCCGAGCGCAAGCGAAGCACCAGCAACGGAGCTAACACAGGAAGCACTATACAGCCTGTTCCGTCCGTATGGAAAGTTGTTGGATATTCACCCGCAGCCCTCAGACTCGAAACTTGAGCCCCGGTATGCTACACTACGCTTCAGTCGACCGAGGTTCGCGGTAATGGCAAGGAATTGCTTGCATGGCTATAGCGCCTCGGAGGAAGAGGGTGGGGGAAAGTCCAGTACAAAGTTCAAGATCAACTACGAGCGCAGGATCAAGCTATCTATGATCAAGGACTGGATCTACAACCACCCCCGAATTGTGATTCCTGCTCTAGCAGCTTTGATTGCGGCCATCACGGTCATCGTCTTCGACCCTGTTCGAACTTTTTTCATTAAAATGAAAATTAAAGCCTCGGCTCACGCTGAGGAAAATGCTGTTCTGCTGTGGATTCGCCGACAGGCCAGCAAAGCCAATATCACCTACTTCGGAAAGCGCAAGACGGACCCGCGGGGCCTCACGGCCATTTGGGAAGACCGACAGAAAGATATCACTCAACTAGAAGCCTGGCTGACTGATACAGCGGAAACTTTCATTGTTGTCCATGGACCACGAGGTTCGGGGAAACGAGAGCTGGTTCTGGATCAGGCTTTGAAGAATCATAAATACAAGGTTGTCATCGACTGCAAACAAATCCAAGACGCTCGAGGGGATACTGCCAAGATTTCTCGTGCCGCGTCTCAAGTTGGCTATCGGCCTATCTTTTCCTGGATGAACAGCATTAGTAGCTTCATCGACCTGGCTGCACAAGGAATGATCGGTACCAAGGCTGGCTTCTCGGAGACATTGGATGCCCAGTTGAGCAAGATCTGGCAGAACACAGCGGTGGCTATGAAGCAAGTCGCTCTTGAGGGTCGACGAAAGGATGACAAGGACGCTACTATAGGTGAGGATGAGTATCTTCAAACTCATCCAGAGAAACGGCCTGTTGTCGTCATTGACAACTTCCTCTATGATGCAGAGGACAGTGTTGTTCTTGACAAGCTTACCGAGTGGGCGGCTGGATTAACCACTGCGAATATTGCTCATGTCATCTTCTTGACTACGGATTCTTCGTTTGCGAAGCCCCTGAGCAAGGCACTTCCTAACCAGGTCTACCGTACAGTTAGCTTGGGTGACTGCTCACCTGAAGTGGGCCGTCGCTTTGTGTTGAGTCACCTGAATACTGAGGGCTCAGATGACAAAAACGAGGAAAAGGCAGAACGAGTGAACAACCTTGCCGGCTTGGATGACTGCATTAGAGTTCTGGGTGGTCGTGTGACTGATCTCGAATTCATGGCCCATCGTATCGAGGTTGGAGAATCTCCCCAAGGTTTGTCTCTAATACGAGTTATTTTTACGATTCATCGCTAACATTTTATAGCTGCTGTGGATCGCATCATTGAACAGTCAGCCTCTGAAATCTTGAAGATCTTCATTCTTGGTACAGACACGTCTACAGTCGCCCCCCAATGGAGCCGTGAACAAGCATGGCACATTATCAAATCTCTAGCGCAGTCCAATGACGGCTCCCTGCTCTATAATAAGGTTATCGTCTCAGACCTGTTCAAAGACAATGGTGAAGCGACTCTTCGAGCTTTGGAACAGGCAGAACTCATTTCTGTCGGATCTGTCAAGGGATTCCCACGATGGATCAAGCCTGGAAAGCCTGTTTATCATGCCGCATTCCAACGTCTTAGCGAGAACAAGACATTGGAAGGCCGCCTTGACCTACTGATTCTTGGTCAACTCATCAGCAGCGAGAACAAGGGCATTAGCAAATACGAGGAAGAGCTGCAATTGCTTGGGTCGCTGCCGAAACATCCCTGGGAGCTCAACTCGCGCATACAGTGGCTTTTGGAAAAGATCCAGGGCTCACAGGCGAAGGTACTCAAGTACGAGCGGGATAGTGCTATCTTGCAGAAGATGCTGCAGAGCGAGAAGTAGTCGGTGTTTGATGAGGCTGGGTGGATGTATATATGTTGTGTGTCTGTGATTATTTTGTAAAACATGATAAGCTCATAGTCAAATCTCCTTTCAATAAACGATCGGTTTTCAAGTCACAATTCTATTTAGACATTTTTATTCGATTTATGCTTTATTGAAGTATTGGTCGAGTTTTATGTAGTTCAAGTTCTTGGTAGGGCTGATCTATACTTAGAATGTCTCAGTTATGAGGCTGTCCGTCTTGATGAATAAGCAGTCGGATTCCACCTGGCCAAATTCCCCTGCTGCGCCTTCTCGGACACAAACCTATCCATGGAGATCCGACTGATTCAAAATTTCCTATTTTAATTAGATTCTCGGTCGATTGCATTCTTACGAACCGTGTGCGGGTGCTGTTAAAATTGGCGTCGTGCCATAACCCGGCACTGTTTGTTCATTTCCTCTCTCAGTGCGCCCCCATCGCAACCATGGAGGAAGACTGGAGGTACGAATGGCCATCCAACACTGGCAGTCTTATCCAGACCGTGAAGTACAGCTTGCCCGAGGTGACATGGACCAACTTTTTCGCGATCTTGGCGTTCTCTTGCATCGCGACTCGCATCATCAGTGGGTTTCGGGGCCGACAGCGTGTCCAAGATCCCGCGGAACCTCGAGTTTCGCGATTAGCGCCATATTGGTTCCCCTGGTTTGGTCATAGCCCTTTCTTCGCATGGAACCATGCCAGTCTATTCGAGTCATTAAGGTTGGTCACCAGTCTCAGCCACGAGGCTGCCTCATTTCGGTTTTCTAATAAGCTATTAGGGACTCGATGAATGAGTCTGTATTTGGCGTCTATCTGCGTGGCGAGACTCATAATACCGTCGTTTCACCATCAATGATCCAATCTATCTTGTCTTCGCCTAATGCAGCGAGTACCCTCGCGCTTGATCAGGCTTTGAAAAACGTCTTTGGAAATCGCAGTCTAATTCAGGCCTTGCAACAGACTTCCAACCGGGAGATCAGTGACGATGTTCCTAGTATGATTAAGAAAGAATCATTTGTGAACGATGCCTCAACCGCTATCACCGGGTTAATTAAACACAACATTCCAAACCTGGTCACCTTCAGCAAAAGCCTTGTCGACCAAACCCCATGGGAGCGTGACAGTCTAGTGTCGGTAGCCGAAGAGAACCAATCTTTGTGCGAGGCGAGCCTATTCGCCCTTGTACGAAACTTTGTGGGCCACAACATGTCCACATTTTTAATGGGCGAGGCCTTTTTGGAAAACTTCCCGATGGTTATCGAAGATTTGTGGAAACTTGATACTAGCTTCGTCACGTTGTTCGTTGGAACTTCCCGCGCTTTTCCTTCTCCGCGTGTCTCTGGGGGATATTCTACACGCGACAGACTCATTCACATCACCTCTGTTTTCCACCGCGCGTTTTGTGCATTCGATGATGGAATCGATCCCGGGCTTGAGCTTCGTGACCTCGACGATGTTTCCGAGCTCGTAAAGCAGAGGATGCGAACATTCCGCAAACTCAACCTGACCGCGAATGCGAGCGCCGCCGGCCACTTGTCTTTGTACTGGGACATCATTGAGCACATAAGCAAGATCACCTACTGGACTGTCCTTCACATATTCGCAGACAGTGCACTCCTGGACGAGATTCGAAAGGAGTTTGCCCCTTACGTGAAATCATCCCGGCCGAGCCGCGAAGAGACAGGATTCCCATTCGACGAACCACCGCGTCTCAGCCTTGATCTCGAAAATGTCCTCGAGTCATGTCCATTGTTCAAGGCATGCTACTATGAAACTATCCGCCTCCACTCTGCTGGCGTCTCTTTCAGAAAGCTAGAATCGGATTTGACCTTGACTGAGTCGGCGAATGATGCGACTGAGCCTCGCAGCTACAAAATGCGCAAGGGCGAGAAGGTTATCATGCCCCATGTGGCTTACCAGACCGATCCACGACGCTTTTCGAATCCAGATCAGTATGATCCGCTTCGATTCATTGTGACAGATCCCGCATCCGGGGGAAAGAAGGTCGACGCAAATATCCTTGGCCCCATTGCGGAGGGGCTGTATGGCTCCAAGGACAACAAATTCTACGAGGGGTCCATTCTGGCTTTTACTGCGGGTATCGTATCAATGTGGGATATCACATCGATGGATGGTAAGGATCTCAAAATTCCAAATAACTGGCCGACTTGGGGTTCTTCTCAGCCGGCGAGAGAAATCAGGGTAAACTTGAAACCGACAGTTTAAGTCAATTTCTCGGATCCAGATAGATCTATCTCGAAACAAAAATGCATGTCTCTATAGAAAGCGATTCATTTTGTCCCTTTTTTTTATCACACTGTTCATTCGTAAGCCATAAAACTGTCCGCTCTTCATAGAGCTATGGAGCTTAACTAGTAAGTATATTCTACCTTCCACTGAGTGGTCTTCGGCGATCTGTTGTGTCGCCGAGCCCGAGAGGGCCGAAGAAACATCACTTGACGAATCAAATATGTCAAATTCAATCAAAAAAAAAGAGATCAACCGTTTACTCCGCATTTTGACAAGTCCACACCAAATCAAAAGTGGAAATGGGGGAAATGGGGCAAATGGCCACAGACGGGAGCAACCCGCACGGAATAATATCCGTCGGAGTTGTCCCGAATGACACCATCCACTCAGCGAATGCGCATATATAAGCCCCACTGGCACCAGCTCCTTTACAGTTACGAAGGCGCGGATTGGGTATCGGAACTTGAATATCTACATAGAGAACCGCCCCCTTTGGAAGTTCTCTCCTCATCATGGAAAATGAAGCAGAGCCCAATGGCGATTACGATCTCACTAAGCCAATAACCTCAACCTCGGGTCTGCGCCAGGGCCTAACTTCCTACGGCGATGCGCATTTCTCATTATTTCTTCGCAAAGTGTTCATCAAAGCACTCGGATATTCTGAAGATGCGCTCTCGCGTCCGATAATTGGCATCATTAATACCTTTTCGGGATTCAATCCTTGCCACGCTAATGTGCCGCAGCTTATTGAGGCGGCTAAGCGTGGCGTGCAGCTTAATGGCGGATTGGCGATAGAGTTTCCGACCATAAGTGTTCATGAATCCTTTTCGTCTCCGACGAGTATGTTTTTACGGAATCTTATGAGTATGGATACGGAAGAAATGATCAAAGCGCAGCCATTAGACGCTTGTATTATGATTGGAGGTCAGTCACTAGTAGTTACATGCAACATTCATGTGTCTGTCTGCACATACGTACAGAGTGATATTAATCAACTTCTTCAGGCTGCGATAAAACGGTCCCTGCACAGCTTATGGGCGGAATATCTGCCAACAAGCCTATTCTTCCTCTGATTACCGGCCCTATGATGCCGGGTAGTCACCGTGGCAAGCGAATTGGCGCATGCACCGACTGCCGCAATAACTGGGCCGCATTCCGAGCCGGCGAGATTGATGTCGAGGAAATCTCAGAAGTTAACGAAGAACTTGCTCCAACGGTAAGTGTTGTCTTGAGATTCGGAATTCGGATTGGGGTATGCTTCACGACTAACGCAAATACATTTATCAGATTGGCACATGCGGCGTTATGGGCACTGCTAGTACTATGGCCTGTGTGACTGCAGCTCTGGGAATGATGCCCCTTCGCGGTGCCTCCGCGCCAGCAGTGTCATCTGCAAGACTACGCATCGCTGAAGAGACTGGTGCGAATGCGGTAGCAGTGGCGAAATCATCCACAAAGCCACAGGAAATTCTGACAAAAGAGTCATTTTTGAATGCCATCACGGTACTCCAGGCTATCGGAGGGTCTACGAATGCCGTGGTTCATATACTCGCCATTGCGAACAGACACCCCCAGCTCCAAGGCGTGATTACCTTGGATACATTCGAGGAAATAGGAAAGAAGACACCGCTGTTGATTGACTTGAAGCCAAGCGGTGATAATTATATGAACGACTTCCATAATGCGGGGGGTATGATGGCACTACTGCAGGTCCTGCGACCATTACTCCATCTATCTGCCATGACAATCACTGGAAAAACACTCGGCGAAGTCCTGGACTCAGTACCAACCAAGAAGTTTGCATTTGAACAGGATATTATCAGGCCGTTGTCAAATCCTCTCTTTCCCTCGTCATCTCTGGCCGTTCTACACGGCAATCTGGCACCCAACGGAGCAGTTCTCAAAGCATCCGCCTCTAAAGACCGAAACCTACTCATACACACCGGGTCCGCCGTTGTATTTGAGAATTCAGCAGACTTGGCCCTGCGCATCGATGATCCCGCTCTTGAGGTCACGAAGGACAGCGTCCTGGTACTCAAAGGTATTGGGCCAATTGGGAACCCCGGCATGCCCGAAGCTGGACTCATTCCGATTCCAAAGAAGCTCGCATCTACAGGTGTGAAGGATATGCTGCGGTTATCGGATGGCCGGATGTCAGGAACTGCAGGAGGAACCATCATCCTCCACATCTCCCCCCGAAGCCGCGGTGCCAGATTCCCCGTTCGGGATCGTCGAAACAGGGGACTTGATTACTTGCGATATCGAGAGTCGTCGACTCCACCTGCATATTTCCGATGAGCTGCTGAAATTTCGTATTCTGCAGCGTAAACAGATCCTTGAAGCTGAAACTGGGCCGGTACGAGCGAGAAAGCAGAAGCGAGGCTATCGTGGGTTGTATGAGCGGTCGGTGAACCAGGCGCACGAGGGAACCGATTTCGATTTTCTTACAGCGAATGGTCCTGTAGAGTAGAATTTTCTAGAAAGAAATAATTGAATTCATTTGAAAGTTCTGAATTCTTGTTGTATACTTCCTTGCCCTGAACCCTACTTTCCCAATCGGGTTAAATCCCTTGGGGGCGCGTCGCGCTGCGCGTCTCCCGTCGATCACCTCCGGACACCGCCAGAGGGGGTCTTTGATTGAGTTGCGATTGAATCCCCGCCATTGTTGATCCTGCGATATCCTACCCCGAGAAGTCACTCGCAGGCTTCGATACAATGAGCTCGGAAGCTGTTCGCCCTCGAGGGCGCCCTGCCCGTAAGTTGGCGCTGTAATTGCAGCCGACGCGAGATGTCTTCCTACTAATCATCCTATCTCTGTCTAGAGACCCCAGGGACGACAGTCCTAACATACACTCCCGATGGGCGACGAATCATAACCGGTGGCTCGAACTCGGCTATTCGCATTTACACAGTTGATGAAGATGGAGAACCGCAGACCGTTGACGATGGCATGGACGGGCATGTCGGTGTTGCCGCGACGGTATGACAGAACGAACACAACCCAATCCGAGTGGTATAACAAATTTCTAACCATGAGAAAAGAACAAATACTTTGTTATGGGTAGCGAGGACGGCAATGTCTGGCAGTATGATGCAGCTACAGGCAAGTCGGGGCCTATCCTGACACGATGCGCGCTGCCAATCCGTGATCTGGCTCTGTCTAGAGATGGAGAGTGGGTGGCAGTGGCAAGCGAGTGAGTTGAATCCATTAGGCATGATGCGAAGACAATAAGCTGACATTACTGGCTAGTGATCTCACCGTCAAGATCGTCAAGGTCGAAGACATGTCGCAAATCAAGTACCTCCGCGAACAACAGAAATCCGCAAAGCACGTCACTTTCGATCCCAATGGCCTCTTTATCGCCGTATCCGGCACAAACGGTCTTCTCTATATCTATTCCCTGGCCGAGGAGGAGCCTGCGCTGGTCCACAAACTTGATGGGGTGATTCGCCAACTCGAACCGGAGTCCGAGGCAACATCGAGAGCTGTGTGGCACCCCGACGGCACAGCCTTTGCCGTTGCAGAGGCGACCAGAGATGTTGCTATCTACTCGATCTCTTCGTGGAAGAAGGAAAAGACTTTCGCCAACGGACACACCGGTGAAATTACCGCGATTAGCTGGTCGCCCAATGGAGCTCTTTTGGTCTCGGCTGGAGCTGACAAACAAATCGTGCTGTGGGAGACCAAGACTCAGAAGATCGTGCAGCGATATGACTTTGGAAATGTCATCAACATCGCCTGGCATCCTACCAAGAATTCTCTGTCGTTCACAACCTCCGACGGTGAACTCTTCATTCACGACAATTTCGTCCCAAAGAGCCATGAAGCTCAACTCCAGAAAACCCTGCAAGCGGCTCCTATATTCCCCGGGCCGTTGACTGAAATCTCCAACAATCTACCTCACACATTGGCAGATAGGTCTAGGGAAACAGTCAAGAAGCCGACCCGAGCTGGAACGCCCGATTCATTGGATGATATTCTTGGCGGCGATGAGGACATGGGAGATTTTGTCGATGATGATGATGGAGCCGGCTATGCTGAGGATTTAAACTTGCATGGAAAGCGGTCAAATGGCCATCTCGATGACCTTGATGGTCCTGACAGCAAGCGTTTGCAATCGGGGGCTGTTCAGCCCAAATGCCACCCGCCGCTTCAGCCTGGTAGTACACCATGGGCTGGCAACAGGCGATATCTCTGTATGACATTCCAATCTGGTCATTTTGAGCTCTGCTAACAACCCTCTAGGCTTGAACTTGACTGGTGCTGTCTGGACCGTTGACCAGGAAACGCATCACACGGTTACTGTGGAGTTTTATGACCGGGAGCTTCATCGGGACTTCCACTTTACCGACCCTTACCAATACGACAAAGCATGCCTGAGTAAGTCAAGATCATAATGGTCAAAGAATAATTCTAACGAGCATAGATGATAACGGTACGCTTTTCTCTAATAATCCGTCTGACGGTAGTCCTGCATCCATTTTCTACCGGCCGCATGAGACTTGGACAACTCGAGCAGACTGGCGTACTCAATTGCCCGAGGGAGAGATGGTCCGCGGTATGTGGTTTTCAACTTTCTTGTTCAGTATGGTTCTGACGAATATCCAGCTCTTGCACTCAGCGAGTCCTACATTGTTGCTGTTACGACCAAGGGCTACGTACGAGTGTACACCCTCTTTGGCACGCCCTTCAGGGTGTATCGACAGAAGAGCCAGGCCGTGACATGCGCCGCTTGGCGGGACTACATCATGACCATTGGAAATGGATCCGTATCAGCCGATGGTCGGTATGCAACATTGCACTACACCGTTGAGAACGTCAAGCGCGATGAGATCTGTCAAAATGAAGACGTGGTTGCTCTGCCTCCTGGAGCCCAACTACAAAGTGTATTCTTCACCGACACTGGTGTATGTCCCCAACTACCCTACCCATACTGGTCATTTTAAATTGCGAACAACATAACTAACAAGCATAAGGATCCCTGTGTCTATGATTCAACCGGTGTACTGGTCGTCCTTCAACACTGGCGCACACCCGGACAAGCCCGATGGGTTCCCCTTCTAGATACCAAACAGTTGTCCCGTCTCGCAGGCGGGCGAAAGGAAGAAACCTACTGGCCTGTCGCCGTTGCCCAAGGAAAATTCCACTGTATCATTCTCAAGGGTGGCGACAAAAACCCATACTTCCCCCGCCCCCTGCTCAGCGAGTTTGATTTCCAACTGCCCATTTCCAGCAACCCGCCCAAGGATCCCGAAGAAGGAGCCGACGACCAAGGCAGTCGTTTTGAGGAAGGCTTCGTTCGGGGAAGCTTGCTTCTGTCACTATTCCGCGACCTTCTGGCATCAACCAATGCAACCTCTGGCCAACGTGCGGAGTTGGCGCGCAAGGAATTGGAGCTTGATAAGACTCTGCTGCAGATGCTGGCCGTTGAATGCAGAGAAGGAGAAGAACGTGGTATGAAGGCGCTGGAACTTGTAAATCTCATGACCGATCGCAATGGCAAGATGGTTGAGGCAGCGGCCAAGGTTGCTGAGCGCTTTGGACGCGGCGTGTTGGAGGACAAGATTCGCGACTTGGCTGAGCGACGAATGAATGGCATGGAAGATGATGATGATGAATTGGCGTGAGGAATAGAATACCACGGAGCATGAATTATATGTCAATTTAACTGTCGAACTGTTATCACGGAATTCCTTGGAATATACTCTGTACTGTAATAACTACTATCCCAGTAGTATCCAATGGCCACCCTTGATTATCTTCATTGAATACCCGCGCGCTGCGATTGGCCTGCGATTGGCCCGCAAAACCGGGAAATGATCGGACTAGTACGAGTAGACCTCTCCGCATCCCAACTTTCCAATTCTTAACTCTCTCTCCAACTCCCCACCTCATGGCATGACCCTCGCCGCCCCGAATCTGCGTTCCGGCGGAATGCCTAATCTGGCCTCACCTTCACGCCGTCTTTCTCTCCGGCTGCAGGCGCAGTCGCAGGCGCAGCGTCCATCCAGATGCAGCGCCGGCCGCTCATTCACATTCACGCCGCGCCAACCTCTCGCCCATCCACGTCATGGTATTCTCCATGAACCTTGGCTATCTCCAGCTCCAGCTCCAGCTCCAGCTCCAGCTCCAGTCTCGGCGACACCTTTCCCGGTAGCATACTTTACCCCAACGCGAGTGCGCAGCGGGATCGACGGACTAGATGGACCGCAAAATAACAACCACAAACCGCCAGACAAGCGGGTATTGAAGCTCGGCAAAAGTGAGTACAAAGAAATGAACCCAAGAGGTAGGTCCTGGGAGAAAAAAAAAAAAAACTAATTGATCCCTCTAGCTCTCCGAACACTCTCACCTCTTCTTCCTACCATCTTGTACAATACTCTCCCACCCGAGATCCTCGCTCCCAGCGTCAACCTCCACCTATTCCCCTCAACACACCCACACCTCCCCACTGTCAAGGGCCGCACATTATACCGCGCAGCACTCTGGACAGTACCAGTCGCATGGAGCAGCGTACCACTTGTCGGCAATGTGAAGCTACAAATCCTCAGCGAGCGAATCGTCCGTGCGGGGACCCTTCTTGATCCGGAGCACGGCGATAAGCATGACTGTGGCGATGAACGATTAGTGGTGCGATGGAAAACAGAGCCTCGAACGGATAGTAGGCCATTCCACGAATCATCACCTACTACACTCAGCACGACCAATACTAGTACCAATACTGTCTCCTCTCCTACCTCTGCTTCCGGCGCATCGCAAAGTCAAAGTCACCTCTCATCATCAGAAAACGGAACAAACAGAGGTCTAAGCAAACTTCTCGGCGGCGACGAACCAATCTTCAAATTATCCAAAGAGCAACAGTTCAGCGGACTATTCGTCTTCTCCTTCGACGACGAAGGCCGTATCTTGACGCATACGATTGACCATGCCGACGATGCAACAGATGGTGAGGACCGGACTGCCAAGTTCGTGACTTTGACCGACTGGCTCATTGGTAAGGCGCGCGGATCGCTTGAGCCAGCGCCCAGGCCGGGATTATGTATCGAGTCTTGTCATGGTTATGGACTAAGCCCCGGTCGTTCACGGCATAATCGTGGCCGGTCATGAAATATTGAATTGAACTGAAACTCTCCCATCCGATCCGATCCGATCCGGTTCAGGCAGGTCTCAGAGCCTGCGCTGTACTCTTGCATTACACATCTCCTCTCTGGAAAAGTATTCAAAAAGGCCAAATGCCTTTGGAATACTGGAAACCTATTTTGACGAGCATTCTCCAATCTTTGTCGCGATATGTACATACTAGCATATAATTCGTTCCAGGACTTCAATCTCGAAGCCAGCTTCTAACAAAACCCTTAAACTATGAAAATAAACTATAAAAAAAACACTCGATAAATCCACAAAACCCCATCCATATCCGTAAGATCAAACCCCAGACTCACCACGCAGAAATGCTTTCAATATGTTTCACCACCTGGGCCTATCATATCATATCATATGATATCATACCATATCAATCCACCTTACTACGAACAACAGGCGCCTTCAACAACAAAAACACAGCCCCAGCAATAACCAACATCGCCACCCCACCAACACTATAAGCAACCTCCCTACCAGCCCACCAAAAAAGCGAACAAAACAAAACCGGCCCCGTAGCCCGTCCAGCCTGCCCCCACCCCCTCAACCTCCCCATAACAGCACCGCGATCTTTATCCCGAGCTTCAAAACTCCCCAAACTCTTCAACCCTGTAACGACCGTCGCGGACGTAACAGCCAATAACCCACCCGCAGCGTACAGCCCCGACACCGTCTCAACGCGCGCCAGTAAGAAAAATGAGAGCGCGCACGCTATGACGCCGATTCGAATCGTTGTTAGGGGCGGGAGACGGCGGACGATTGTACCTTGGAGTAGGGAGGCTATTAGACCCATTAGTGAGAGGAGGCGTCCGTTTAATGCGGCGGGACTGGAGCTGGTGGTGGTTGTGTCGGCGTATAGTGTCGCGGTGAAGAATGGGAGGGAGAATTCCAGGCCTGCGAATGGGAGGAGGAATAGGAAGTGAAGAGCGTTCAGGATGGCTGGGTTATTCGTCTGAATATGAGTTGGTTCTTTCCTTTGCTGCTTCTTGACCTCTCCCTTCTTTGCTCCAGAAGAAGACCGAGCCTTCTTCTCATCCCCACCCTCCTCCTCCTCCTCCTTCTCAAGCAAAGTAAACCTCGGATGCGTCTCCGGCAAAAAAGCCCAAATAAACACCGTCTCAACAAGCACAAACCCCAAAGAAACCCCGGCCGCCACAAAAAACGGATTATCCTTGACAACATCCACACTTCCCAAAGCCGCACCAAGCACCGGCCCAACCGTAAACGCAACACTAAAACAAGCCCCAATAAGCGCCATACACCCACTCCTCCCTGCATCATTCGTAACATCCCCCACAATCGCGTCGGCAAGTTGAACATTCGCCTCAGACAGACCCCCCACGACGCGCGACGCCAAGAATGTGCGAAAATCCCTCGCGCTAACCCATAGCGCGACGCTGGCGATATTGCCCGCCATTGAAATAAGGAGTGCGCGACGGCGGCCGTGGCGGTCTGATAGATGGCCGATTATTGGGGCGGCAATTGCTTGCAGCAATGAGAAGAGGGAACCTAGGGCTCCGCCGAGGAGGACGATGTCATAGCGGGAATCGATTGGGAGGGCGAAGGCGTTTTTGTAGGCGTTTAGGTAGTGCAGGATTTTGGTTAGGAGGGAGGTTTTGTTGTTTGTTGAGTCTTGGATTCGGTAGAATGTTAGGAGGGAGGGGAAGAGGGGGAGGATGAATGTGAATGATATCTGTGGTGTGGATTATGAAGATTAGTTGTTTGTTTGGTTCAAGGTGATCATGCGATGCGATGCGATGCGATGCGGGTTCATTTTCATACCAGGTCCAAGAGCAAGGAGATCATTAAGACCTTTAGGACTTGTTTGCGTTGGGCGCCAGCGATTGCCATTGTGGTATGTGCGAGCGCTGAGCTGGCGCCGGGAATTGAGAACAGGGAGTCTGGGAAAGGGTGTTGTGTTAGGTGGGTGGTGGATGGGGAGATTACAGGAATAAGATTATCCTAGGTAAGATCAGATTATTCTAAGTGTTAATAAATAGCAAGGTGGCCGAAGTAAATAGTGGAGCCCGTCGTCATCCCTGCGGATTGCATTCATTGCCTATCGGAGTTTAGCTGATCACCTCATTCGCCAGAACATAGAATACATTGGGGAGAAAATATGCAACGCTCGAGATTGAGACGAAATAGAGAAATGGGCGCCACTTTGGGGTGAAAATAATCACCCCGGAAAAGAAAATTCGTGGCTTTCGTGGATCCGTGACACCAGACCAAAAAAGGAGGGGATTAACAGCACAGCATGTCCAGTCGCAGAGCAGAGTAGAGACAGAAGCTCAGCATCTCATCTCATCTACATTCTTATTGCTCGCCAGTAGGTGTAGCAGAAGGCGAACCGTTCGCTCCACCGCGTCCACGACCTCCACGACCACCACCACCACGTCCGCGGCCGCGGATGTCTCCACGGCTACGACCTCCTCGGCTGCCTTCACCCCGACCGCGTCCGCCCTGGCGGTTGTTATTGTTGCGGTTGCGTCCACCGGCTTGGCCCTTAGCCTCGGCCTCCGTGTTCTCGGTGGTTGCAGGGGTCGCCTGGAGACCAGTATCGGTCTCGGCTGGATCACGAGGGACATTCACCCATCCGTCCGTGGTGGCTGACGAGGTCATCGAATTGCCATTGTAGGATGATTCCGCCACCGCGTTACCCGCTTCGGAGACCAAGGTCTGAGATGGGGGTGCGACTAGGTCGGATGTCGGGAGGTTCTCCTGCACAGCGGCCTCGGCGCGAACAGAGGTATCCTGGAGCTCGGTCAGACCAGCATTGGCGAGGGTAGGGTCCGATGCGGGGGTGGACTCTGTCGCGAGTTCAGCGGGCTCAGCGGGAGAAAATTTGCTAGACGCCTGTTTCACATCGCCGACTTGGGGAAAACAGTTAGTACAAGGGCTCGGGCTCACAACTCAAGATAGGCGCAGTGGCACAACAGTCAATAAACACATACAGCTCAAATCCAGCAAATCGCCCTCAATACCCTGAATCTTCTCATCTGCCCCATCAATCAACTTAATCATAGACGAAACCGCATCCTGGTTTCCACCGTAAACCTGGTATAGAACGCCCTCAAAGGCGCGGCTCTCCAGAGCCTCCGCATCACCGTCCCGTCGGCTGTTAGCCGCGGCGCAAAGGAACTTGCTAACAGTGAGCAATTGCTGGCGCAGGACTTTGGCATTTGTCTCTGTGGCATCGGCGATAGCATTTGCGCGCACCGCCTCCAGCTCCTCCTGGTGTGTCTTCTCCAGGGCAGCCTTCTGGCTCACCAGTCGCTCCTCGTACTGGTCAGCGATCTGCTGATAATGTCTGATTTGTTCTTCGAGTTGCGCGATGCTGGCTTGGAGGGCGGGTTTCTTCAGGGCTTGCGCTTTTTGATCGTTGTTAATCTTCTTCGCCTCGACGAGCTCGTCGAGCGATTTGCCCTTGTTCTCGGCGAGGATGGCGTCGACCTTGGCGGTAGCGTTCTAAACAGTAGCCGGAAAGGGAAAAGGTTAGTGATATGGGATGTAACAAAGCAAGCTTTGGTTTGATGTGGGACGAATCGATCGATATGAGTATGGGTATCACATACCAGCTTCTTCATGGCATTGCGAAGGCTCCTAGAAGCGCGCATTCAGTCAGCCTCATAGCGCAGCATAGCATTCAAAGTAGGTCGCGCTAACTTTTGCAGTTCTTTCAGGTAAGCGGGTTCAGAGCCTGGCAGGTCCGAAGCCGAAACGGAAATGGGGCTCTCGATCTCGGGGTCAGGCTTGGAGGTACTGGAAGCTCGGGAGGACTGCTTCTTGAGCTTGTCGGTGGCGGAGGCGGGAGCCATAATGGAATGTGGGTAACACAGCTTTGTGAAAGTTAAAAGGAGGAAAGAATCGTTCTGTACAAAGAGTGCACAGATGAGAGTCGAATCGAATCAGCTAGAGAGGAGGATGGGAGGAAGTGATGTGTGAAGCAGGATCGATGCGGGTGGAAGTCGCCCGAAACCCTTTCCTGAATTGGTGGTGGGCCACTTGCATGTCTATCACGCGACGAACCCTACAGCAGATGGGAAAGGACTTGTGACAGCTGGACAGCTAACATGATCACTGAAAAAATATAGAATTGTATTGGGAAAGATTTAAAATTCGCATTCCCTGGGTATCATACTTTGCGCCATTACGCCAAATCAAAGCCCATCAAAGAGTCACTCCCCCGCGTTAAGAGATCCTGGTCTAGAAGGTACTCCAGTAGGTACTCCCCATCTGCATTATTTCTTCACCTCCAGCTCACAAAAATAGGGTGAAAGCATATCTCCAGTTATATCCTCCAGCATTATTATCCCTGGAATTTGCGTAGTGTTTTCTAAAGTGAAAGATCCTGGCATTAGCTTCACCCTCTGGTATGGGGCACGCCGGGTCCAGGTCCAGGTCCAGAACGTACCTCAGTGACCTTCCGAACCGCATTCGCAGAGATATTCTTTTCGCCAGACTTTCGCGATCGGATCGAAGCTTCGCGCATTAACCTGATAAAGTCGGGAATTAGCATCTTCGTAGCAACGGGGGTGGGTTGTAGTTGTAGTCGCGTATCGTGAAGTCGAGGCACTGCAATCGGACTGAAACGATTCGGAGGAAGAAAGGTAAGGCCATACTCTTGCATAAATAGCATATAGTCGAGAAAAATCTATTCAGTGTCTCGGGATTAGCAGTGAGCGACCAGCGACCGGCGACCGCAGACCACGCGTCGGGGGCAGAGCGAGAGAGAGAGAGAGAGAGAGAGAGAGAGAGAGAGAGAGAGAGAGAGAGTCGCGAACGAACGAACGTACCAGGATATCGGCATTCTTGCTCACGGTCCGGTTGGAGTGTGCTTTTACGATGCGCTTGACGGTGCCCCGAGGGTACAGCTTCTGAGTTGCTGCCATTGTGCTGGGCGAATTGCTGGTAGGCGATGTAACGGGGAGAATTGTTTACTTTGAACTTTGGAGATGTGGGGGAAGTCGATCTTGATTAGTAATAGTACTAGTAATGCTCTTACTCCATCCACCACATTATGTATGAGTACGAGTATATCCAAATAGACCCAACCAACTCCCGAAAGACCTAATGTACATCCATATGTGCATGCAGCATATTAAGAATTATCGAAGTCTTCGACGAATCAATCGCCACCCTGCAATGGCTGCCGCCGATCCCAACGCCATGCGCCAGGCAATGAATACATAGATGGCAACTCGCAGCCGCTGATAATATCCACGCAGCATAATCCCAACAGCATACGAGGTTCCATCCGAAGCACGATCAGATGGGCCATAGTATCGACCCACTCCAAGACCGCCAATTCCAACCTCATTATCATCATGCTTCGATGTATTCGACCCCGGGGTAACCGACAAAGCAGCAGTCTCAGCGTCCAACGCCGTGTCACTCGTAGACCGAGCACCCGACTTAACCATGCGCGCATTCCGTTTCCGCAGATTGTAAGTCAAAATACTAACAATGAACCGCAAATCCGGCGCCGTAAATGTCGGATATTTCCATTGTTGAACAGTAGTATGCGGAGGCAACATATCCAAGAAATCCGCTAAGATCCCAAGCGTAAGACCCCAGAGTAAAAGGGGACGGTTGAGATCCCCCCGAATCAGCCTGGTTACTCAAACACCATGATTTGAAGCGCTGAATTAGCGACGATGACGATCCCTTGTCACTCTGCTCGTCTGGCACGAATCCCGGGATCGAAGTACACTGCACCGTTTCGGCGGGAAGTAATCGAACGGCTGAGAACTGCATCCAGCCTAGCATAGACCGGACAGCCAATCTGGTCAGGAATCCACCCTGTCTCGCGAATCGCTGGGACATGTCCACATGTTCTACCGTGCGAAGGGACGAGGAGAGTAGTGCGCGCAACGGGATCCAATGTGTCGAAGCTACCTCCGTCGGTTGTAGTCGCAGCATCGGGGAATCACACCGCGTCGTGATAAAGACGAAAGGACAAAGAACCATCAGCCTAGATAACCCAAAATGAAGCAATTAGCGATCGAACATTTAGAGAGTAAGAGTGAGAAAGTCCGCCCCTAACATACGGCACGGATCCCCAACTGGTAGTAACCACCCGCTCAGGCAAATTCCCCACACAAATACAATCATCCGTAGTCAAATCCAAGCCAATTTCCTCAGACGCTTCCCGAATAGCAGCAGCCTTATCATCCTCATCCTCAGGGTCACGCTTTCCGCCCGGCAATGCGACATGTCCAGTCCAGCGATCCCCGGGACGTGAAGCGCGCTTGATGAAAAGTACCTCCGGATCCCCATATTTCACCCATGGCTGGGCGAAGAAGTCATCCAGTCGGTCTTCGACGGATAATTCTGGATCACCGATGTCGATATCTGTTGGGCTGGGCCAGTGGTCGTATGTCGGGCGGACGCGGAGGATTAAGGCGACGGAGGCGCGTTTCTTGCATAGGGGTGGGTTGGGGACGTGTGGATAGGGACGTCGGTGGAGGTCGGTTAGGACATTGTGGAGGTGAGGCGATAGGCCTGGTGAGTGAGGGTGAGGGTGCGGGTCTTGTGAGGAGTCCATTGTAAGAAGTTGAGTCTATATGTACTCCGTAGGGAGAGGAATCTTGGATGGGGTCGGTCTGGTTTGGCCGGTGACATCCTCGGCCCCTGCGTTGCCCCACCGGGATTGCTCCGCTCCACTGGGTTTGTTATAGGCTGGGGATTATAAGGGCCTCTGTACGGATATGTACGCCTCAAGCCAAGGGTTAAATTAATCCTGGGCATTTTTGCTCGCACAGTCTGCATTGAAGCAGCCCCGGAAAGCTTCTTTTGCCGCTTCGCCTTACTGGGGATTAGTATATGTACGATAAGCATACCATTTTGACTAGGGAGTATACTGGAATAACTAAGTCGAGGTGAAGACGGGATAAGGTCTTTATTTCCTGCCTCTATAAGTATCTCTACAGTATCATTTTATTTTCAATTTAAAGTATGTATTTGAGTTGCCCATCTATTCTCGGCAAATATCGCCTCCGCGGAGGACAAGCCGATTCCCGTGTGGAGCGAGGTAAGTTCTTGGTGGAGCCCTCATTCTGAGAGACAGTTTGCCGTTTTTAATTGATATTATAGTAGTACGTAGTACATACTATCTCATCATCCTAACACTAACTATCAAGTTGAAGGGTACAAGAAGAAGAGACAATGAACCAATGACATACTGCTATACTAAAATATATACGCAGCCATACAGTAACGGTAAAAGCTAATTGCATACCCAAAGGCTAAGGCTAAACATGGCTAAATAATATACTAACTTGATCAAGTCTACAGGAAGTGTCTAAAGGTGTCCAAGTGGGTCGCTGATTGGCTGGTTGCGGGTAACGCAGCCTCAGCCAGCGATGGACGCACGTGCTGCTGCTAGCTTCGAAGCTATCACCAAAAGGTGCGAACAACCTCAGTTCGTTGTTTTAAGACTAATTCTACCGTGCATCTCCCGGTGGTTTCTCAGTGGATGCAAATTTGATAAGACTTGCGCCCCTTGCCTTGTCTTCCCTACCTTTCTGACCTTCTCCTCTTCCCCCCCTCCCCACCCTTCTCGGGACTCACTCAAGTGACACAAGGTTGCCAATCCGTCCGCTTCACTCTGTACACACCATCTTCCCCTCACCCCCCGGTTCGACACACTATGCGGTTCGGAAAGACCCTGAGGAAGGCCGTGTACCCCCCCGTGGAAGGGCAACTATATCGACTATGCGAAGCTAAAGTCCCTACTACGAGAGCGTGATGTCAATGACGAGGGCGATGATGGCAGCGACTCCGACGCCAGTCTTTGGACCGAACACGACGAGCAGGCTTTCGTCCAAGAACTTATCAACGTGCAACTAGACAAGGTCAATGCCTTCCAATCGCAGACCTCGCAGCAGCTCCGAGAGCGCACCTCCGCTTGTGAGGCCAAGCTGCGACCGCTCGCCCCGATCGCCGATCATGATTCCTCCAACGATGCTCCCGAGAAACGAAAAATCGCCTCAGAGGCCCTGCAGGAGCTCGACAGCATCACAAAGGAGGTCAGTGAATTGGAAAAATACAGTCGCATCAACTTTACCGGCTTCCTCAAGGCCGCCAAGAAACATGACCGCAAGCGCGGCGCTCGATACCGCGTCAAGCCCCTGCTGCAGGTGCGCCTATCTGAATTGCCCTTCAACTCGGAGGACTACTCTCCATTGGTCCACCGCCTGTCGGTGATGTACTCCTTTGTGCGTGAAACCCTCAGCCAGGATGTCCTCCAGCCAAAGGAGCCGGAACGCGGCTTTGGCCGAGATGTCTATTCGTCCTACAAGTTCTGGGTGCACGCCGACAACGTCCTCGAGATCAAAACCCACATCCTGCGCCGCCTCCCAGTCCTCATCTATAACCCCGGTACCTCCAAGGACGTGCGCACCTTGCCGGATGACCCCACGATCACCTCTCTTTACTTCGATAACCCCCAGTTCGATCTGTACAACCAAAAGGTCGCCCGTGCCTCGGAGGCTGGATCTCTACGCCTGCGCTGGACTGGTCAGCTGCAAGATAAACCACCCATCTTCCTCGAGAAGAAGATCGTCGCCGAAGATGATAGCAGCCGGGAGATCAAGGTGCAGCTCAAGGAAAAGCACATCAAGGAGTTCTTGGACAGCGAGTATCACTTGGACAAAAAGGTACATCGGATGGAAGATATGAACAATGGCGAGTCGGCCGAGGCCGAGTCTCTCAAGCAGAATGTGGAGGAATTGCAGTCCTTTATCAAGGAGCACGACCTTCAACCTATGCTCCGTGCCAACTACACCCGCACAGCATTCCAGATTCCAGGCGATAACCGGATTCGCATCTCCCTCGACACCAATCTCGCTTTGATCCGGGAAGATTCCCTGGACCAAGAGCGTCCTTGCCGAGACCCCGCCGAATGGCACCGAACCGATCTGGACGATGCCGCCGCGTCTTACCCGTTCAATGCCGTGAGAACCGGCGAAATTGTCCGATTCCCCCACGCTCTTTTGGAAATCAAGTTGCGTGGTAAAGCCCATGACTCCGAATGGATCAATGATCTCATGTCCTCCCACCTTGTCAAAGAAGCACCTCGCTTTTCCAAGTTCGTCCACGGTGTCGCCCAGCTGTTCGAGGACAACGTCAACAGCTTCCCATTCTGGCTCGGCGAACTGGAGAATGATATTCATCGGGACCCGGAAACCGCTTTCCTCGAGGAACAAGAACGGCTGGCCAAGCGAGCAGAGGAAGATATGGCGGTCGGTAGTTTCCGCGTTGGTGCCGGTAGCCCAAGCACACATGCGCTCTCAGGATCCCCCTCCTACCGATGGACCGAGCCATCTCGCCGTCGACCTTCTGGGATGAGTGATGGCGTACCTCCAACCAAGCCGCGCCTCTCCGTCATTGAACCCGGACCTCGCGAGCAACCAGAACAACCCGCCGCCGAACCGGCCGAGGACTCTCCGATATCCGCTCAGAACTTTTCTACACTCCTACAGTCCTTGACCCAGAAGTTCCAGAGCTGGACAGGACAACAGCAGAGTGAGGTCTTGCCCCCGGGCGTCCGTCACCCGGGCGTCTGGATCAAGGACGCAGGGCCTGTCCGCGTGGAAAGTAAAGTGTGGCTCGCCAACCAGCGAACATTCATCAAGTGGCTTCACGTCAGTATTCTGCTCTCGACGCTTTCTTTGGGTCTGTACAACGCTGCCGGAAAGCACAACCGGATTGCGCAGGCCTTGGCTATTGTCTACACATTCTTTGCCATTTTTGCCGCCGCTTGGGGCTGGTATATGTATGAGAAGCGCGCTCGACTCATCCGCCAGCGCAGCGGAAAGGACTTGGATAACATGTTTGGACCTCTCGTTGTGTGTGTTGGTCTGGCGATTGCGTTGGTCTTGAACTTTGCCTTCAAGGTATGTACAGCTTCCCTTCCTTTCCCTCCCTCTCCCTTCCCTTCCTTTTTTTTTCTTGTGTCGGATTTTCTAACTCTCATAACAGTATCAATCGTTGATGAACCAAGCCCACCAAGCCCAGCCCCCTGTCTCAGCCCCCGTCACCACCTCTTCTGCTTTTGGCGATGGTTCGGCAGCCTCATGGAAGCCGAGCTACAACGCGCAGCAGGTCTTGTAAACCCTCTCTCACTTCATGCCAGAAAAAGAAAACTGTAACATGGGCAGGGGCAGGTTCCCTTCCGAAAGTCTTTGGAGACACTGTACTTCACTCAGCTCTGTATTGTAAATTGACTCTCGACTTGGATTGGACTCTCGGGCATTGATATTGACATCTGTCGGGGCTGTTGGATTGGATTTGTGAATTTGTTTTGGACTTTGACTTTGCATATATGGAGCCAATAGGCGTACTTATGAATTGAATAGCTCAGGCTTGCATGAATGATATTTCGGGGTAAATCAATATAAAGTGAGACTGGCGCCATCAACATAAAGCATAATTTTAAATTTGGTTGCCTGCTAACTATGGCATCGGTTGCCTATACTCATACAATAAAAACGGAACAAACGGCAGTGGATACGCTGACAAATTAAGATTAGGAAGCTTCGGAAATTAGAATCAAGCAGAAAGTACCAAAAGACTCGGACCACCGAGGTATACTAGTAGGCCAAAAGCACCAATTTTACCCAAAACCCAAACCTAAGCCCCTCTCTCCCCCTCTCCTTCTCACCCGTCTTTCATTTCATCTCTCTACAAACTCGCCCCCTCCGAACAACCACCCGTCCAAAATGACAAACTTCAAGATCCAAATCATCTCCGACTCCGTCTGCCCGGTATGTAATGCATTGCCCCACTCCGCTGCATATGGATAATATAACCATCCCATTACCATAATCATAACCACAACCATGCCCGTGGGATCTTGTACACCTTAACTATCTATCCATCTACCCACCCCACGGGACTAGCCTAGCTCTATCTACCATACCCAACCACCCCCAAAACTTGATCCAAACTAACAACCCACCACAGTGGTGCTACGTCGGCTTCAAACGCCTCTCCCGAGCAATTACATCCCATAAAACCCAACACCCAACTGACACATTCACCATTGCCTGGAAAGCATTCTACCTAAACCCCTCATCACCAACCTATCCCGGTAAAAACAAGCAAGAAATGTATAAGGCGAAATTCGGCGCCGAGCGCGTCACTGCTATGTTCGCTCGTCTTGCGTCTGTTGGTGAGAGTGAGGGGATTCATTTCTCTTTTGGTGGGAATACGGGGTCGACGAGGGATTCGCATCGGTTGATTTGGTTTGCGGGGGAACTTGAAAAGAAACAACAACAAGAAGCTACCTCCTCTGGCGAAGCTGGCGCTATTGGCGGCATACAAACCCGCGTCGTGGAAAAGTTATTCCGCGCCTATTTCGAAGAAGAGAAGAATATCACCGACAAGGCTGTACTAAGTGAGGCGGGCATTAGTGCTGGTTTGGATGGCGGTGCTGTTCGGGCACTTCTTGAGGATAAAGATGAGGCTGATGAGGGTGGTGAGGAGGTTGATGCTGAGGCGGCGGCTGCGTCGAGACAGTTGGTTTCTGGGGTTCCGTTTTTTGAAATTCAGGGGAAGTATGCTATTGAGGGGGCTGATGAGCCGGAGACGTTTTTGGAGATTTTTCAGAGGGTTAAGGATGATGAGTAGTAAACATCAAGGGACCATCTGGGTTTCAAAGGAAGGAAGGAAAGGGTAGGAATGGGGTGGGATGGGATTGGTCTGGCGTTGGGAATTTATGGATTTGATTGTCTATTTAACTTCTTTTCTATCTTTCTTTTTATTTGCGGTAGTACTCTATACGTGAACCACCAAGTATCATATATTCCGAATGCTCATTTGAGTACTAATCCTTGCCAATATCGGCACCTTGAAGCATTTCATGTATGCGAATTGCATCTTCGGCACTCACATCAGCACCTTGGATCAAGAAGCACTTGGACTATCTCACCGTGGCCCCCTTCCAATGCTGATTGAAGTGCATTTCCGTAACCCACACCTTCGGCATTCACGTCAGCACCATGATCTAGTAATGTTCTAACTACCTCCTTGTGGCCCCCCTCTGATGCGGCCCGAAGTGCATTGCCATAAATTCCACCCTGTGCATTCGCATCGGCACCATGATCTAGTAATATTTGGACCACTTGGCAATGACCAGCAAGTGATGCTTCATGAAGTGCATGGCCACATCTCCCCTGAGCATTCACATCAGCATCATAGTCTAGTAGCATTCTAACTATATCCTTGTGGCCCCGGCTTGATGCTGTGTTAAGTGCATTGCCACGGCGAGTCCCACTCTGCATATTCACATTGGCACCATGATCTAGCTGTATTGGAGCACCTCTTTGTGGCCATTATATAATGCTTCTTGAAGGGCGTTGATAGCAACCTCTTAGGCGTGTCCGCATATATGATATGGCGAATGCCGGGAACTGTAAATACGGTAATTTTGGTGGTATACCAGAAATACATCAAGATAGAATAGGGAGACTTCCATGAACTTGTTCGGTTTAGCATAGTCTAGATGGGGCGCTGGGAAAGAAAGCGTGAGTGTCTAAGGGGTAATCTGTTTTCGAATTCTACTGTACTCAGCAACTAGATATCGAAAGGATGCCTGGACCGGTGCTAGAAGGCTAAGGCGCCAAAGGCATCAGTTTACAAATAATCATCTTTATCAATTCATATAAATGGTGCATTGTAATCTTAAAAGAACTAGCAAACCATCAGCAAAAGAGAGGAGAAGAGAGATGAGATAGCAATATTTCCACCGTTAACTGGATGTCTATGTGTGCAGTGCAGTGCTCATGCCAGGGGGCAAGGGGTGGGAAACAGTATTGGAGCAGTGTTGGGCTGGGCTTGGACTTGAAGTTACGGAGATCCAGAATGTCTTGACACTTGGTGATGGTCAAAACCGCTGAACGCCAACCACATGCAAAGACCACGAGCGTCGGAAAAAAGAAGCACGATAAAATAGAACGCCCATAATGCACGGCGAATCATAAGCCAGGAGGAAAGAAACGTAATCGCAAAAAAGTGAAGAAAAAAAGGGAAGCAAAGAGCAGGTGGGCGGAAAATGGAGTAAAATACAAAAATCGGACCGGGCAAAAGAGATACAAAGCCCAAAGAACCAACACAATGTGGGAGAAGCAAAAGGAAGAGGGGCGTAGGGGGGGCGTAGTAGGTATTGACCAGTACCTCGACATCAGATCAGATCAGGTCAGGGTCATCTGATGAAGTTGAAGTGAAGTTGAGTGTAGATTGGTCAAGACGGTTCGTTTCATAGCAAGTCATAAAATCGGGCAAGGCTGCTGAGGCTGCTTAAGCCTTTTGCGTCGAGCCGACCTGGTGCAGTTCATACTCCGGCACAAAGTCGAACCAGTCGGTTTCCGGGTTATACTGATACGCCTTGAAGTCGACGCCGTATGGCTTGGGCTCCAGCATATACAGCATACCCATGGGCACATCAAGATCAGCAACCTCGTCACGCTTCAGACCGCGGAAATATGACAGGAGAACGCGCGCAGTGGAGCGGTGGCTGACAAGGAGGACGTGATCAGTCGTGCGCTCGACTTCGACAATGACGGTGCGAAGACGGTTGATGATATCCAGATATCCCTCTCCACCGGGACCTGGGTAACGGTAAAAGAGCTTGTCCTTCTTACGATGCGCATACTCCTCGGGATACTGCTCCTGAATCTCCTTGTAGGTCATTCCCTCCATCTTTCCAGAGTGAAGTTCGTCTAGCATGCGCATCTGCTTCACATCGTACTCCTCTTCATTGAAGTTCTCGGCGGTCTGGACGGACCGCTGCATCATCGAGGACCAGACGCAGAAATTGCGCGGACGGTCACGGGGAATCCAGGACGGGTTAGGAGGCGTGCTGTCACCAGGTCGGGGTGGGAAGTGCGCCACCAAGTGCTTTTGACGCTGGTAGATCTCCCACTGCTGTCGCTGGTGGTCGATGAAGCGAGTCATAGCACTGGCGAAGCGCTTGCCGTTCTCGCTAAGCCCGGAGTCTCCGCCGATGCGGCCGGCCGCGTCGTCCACGCTCTCGCCATGTCTTGTGATCCAGATCTGGCGGGGAGACAGATTGAAGTTGAGCAAGTAGTAAACGACCTGCGAGGAGAGGAAGCCATGGGTTTGGTGGGAGACGACCTTGCGGCCAACATCAATCATTTGGATGTAGGCCATATTGTGCTTCTCCTCGTATTCACCCAGCGGGACGTACGATCTCTCGTAGAGGGCAACTCGCTTCTTGAAATCCTCCAGGGCTTTGGTGGGGTCTTGACCCTTGTAGTCCGGTCCGGAGAGCTTCAGGCGCATATTTGCCTCAAGCAAATCCTTGTCCACACAGCTGCTCTCCAGAAACAAGATGCCAAGCTCGGGACCAGCACGCTTGCGAATGTGGTCGACGATAGCCTTTCGGCGTTCCATGGTGCTGTTGGTTGCGTCGAGGATACCGACAGCTCCACCATCTTCCAGGATGTATTCAAGCAGCTCATCAAGGGTATCCAGAGCCACCTGCTCGCGAAGCTTGACAGCACGTTGGTTCTGAGGGTCGAAGAAGTTGGCAGTCTGGTCCATGGGCTCTGGGGAAGCTTCATTGATTGCCTCTTCATCCTGGATCGACTCGGCCGGGCCAGCGTCGATGGAAGGGATCACGGTGCCACCATTTTGTGAGATAGACTGGGGCTCTTCGCCGTTGACAAGGATCTTAGCTGGGACAACTGGCGGCGGCAGTGGCGCTTCATTCTCACTCTCGGGTGGCGATGATTCATTCTGGTTCATAGTTCCAACACTGACGCTCAGCCGACGCACTGAGTCGAGAAGGTCCTTGTGGAGATTGGGGCTGGCTTTCTTCTCATAATCGCCGGGTTTCGCTGGCGAAGGTGACCTGCCTGCGGCCACACGACGACGTTCACCAACGTTGAAGATCTGGGTATCATGTTGCAGCCAGTTCAGGTATCGAGCAAGCTTTTTGGTGATGTAACTCTTGCCACGGGCCGGGAGGCCGACCATAACGATGACCAGCTTCGCGCCAACATCACGTTGAGCAATGCGGCCATCGGGAGAAACCTTCGATTTGGTCAAGCCGGGGATATCAAGTGTAGTTGCTCGGACTCGGCTGCTGGGAGTACTGAGATTGCTTAAACCCGTACTATAAGAGGAAGTGAGTCAGCGAGGTCTGGGCCAACAAAAAAAGAAAAGAACAAAGCTTGTTTTCGAAAAGGGAAAGGTAGCAAGAACAAGAGCATAAAACGAGTCGATCACCCGACTGGACACCACGGCTCATACCTCCGGCAAGCCCCATCTGGCTTTGTTCGGAGCAAGCAGCGTGGCTCCGCAGGGAGACAGCCTCAGCCTCGGGACTCGAGACAAGAGGCGCACAGCGCCGATCAAGTGTAACACATCTCATAGGCCCGAGAAATGGATATTCAGGCACCAGGTACCCTTCGGGAACAAATGGACGACTAGGAAACGAGAAAGACTTACATCTGTGGAGACGGGGGTGCGGTAGAAATCGGAGTGTCAGTCAGGGCGGTTCCGACTCCGCCCTTGGGCGCCTGCGATGTTTTATCGGAATGCAGGTCATTACCTAGCGCTCTACCGACCACAGTCTTCGGAGGAGGCATTAATGATCCTTCTTTGCCCGACCCGGTGACGCTAGTGGTCGAACTGAGGCCGTTGGGCGGCTGGTTCATATTCCTCTGATCGCCCAGCTCTGCAGGATCTGGCGACGAGGCAGAAGACATAATGGCCGACCGCGCGATGGTGGAGTGTTGCGCCATCCCCTGCGGGGGGAAGCTGAGAACTGTTTCTGTGGATATTGATGTCTCGATAACCCTCGAGATAAGGCTTGGGCTTTATAGCGATGAACAACCTCAAGAATCTGATGAAAGGGCCTCGAGTTGGGGGGGGAACAAAGTGGGGAGAGAAAAAAGGGGGCGGCCGGATGACTCAACTCCGGCAACGTCACTTCACTTCACTTCAACACAACACAACTATAACACAACTCTGAAAGCTGACAGTAGACACCAGACAGCAAATAGCAGATGGCCAAATCACCACAGGTTGGTAGCGGGCAATGGAACTGGTTCGTTTGTCTGTGCTGTGGTGTGCTGTGGTGTGCTGTGGCGTGTTTCACTGAATCGGAAGGTAGAGGAACGCCCAGAAACACGAACAAACAACAAAGAATCTCAAGGTCTTCTTCAATTTGGTGACGCCTTTTTGGCTGTGGTGGTGAAAGGGAAGGTTGAATGCAACAAAATATAATATTCCAGAAGCGAGAGAGCCACCCCCACTATACAAACGCTCAATGAAGTCACTATTCAAAGACCGTGGCGATCGTCGAGTCCACCCTTCAAAATGTGGCTTGCTTTGGTGGATCACTGGGGCACGGGGGCCATCTTCAAAAACAATGATGTCAATGCAACAGGAAATATTGGTGAGTATGTACTTTGTATTTGTAGACAAGGAAAATGGAGTCGGAGAAGATTCTATATACCCCCCCTTTGATCTAGAAATAAAAAAAGGAGATGACTAGCAAGGAAGGCCTGGCGAGACTATCGATGCAATCTTCAGCCTAGAATGCTTGGCTTGAGACCCTCCGGCCCGAATCGACATGGCGGAACAGGTCGCCGAGCCTCCATCCCTGTGTCCATCAATATGGAGTACATATTTTTGTGATGCTGAGGAACGTCTGCTTATCCACCGAGATCCACTGCATAAGTACACTCATCCCCGGCTTGGCTTGGCTGTGTTTATCCCATGTGTACTAGTACTCCGTAGATGTGTGGATGGATACGAGTATATCCCATCACCCCCTGTCACAGGGGGTGTGGCCATGCTGGCCCCGGGGCTGAGACCATCAGCTCTCGTATCTACCGATTCCAATCAGACTGATCAGACTGTGTTTATTGAAAAAGACCAGTCCATTCCCGGGACGCCTTGTCCAACATGCAATTCACCGCTCGGGCCATAGACCTCCTCTTTCCGTGGGACATACTCGGCTTCCTTGGCGGCTTCACGGCTTGTCAGCACTGCAGCTCGGGCTCCGATAAACTGTAAGCTACCGCGGAGTCACAGTCACGACGATCTTCCGCCGCTGCCAACAGGTGGTTGATATCCAATGGTGTGGCACGGAATAGCTTGGCATTTGGCGATCACGCAGGGGGGGTGAGTGGATGGGTGGTGGAAAGAGGAAGGGAAAAGGTCACACATTATCCAGCCAGATATCCCGCGGTAATCCAATAATAGCAGGATCCCCCATACAGTGTAGATAAGATACTGTTGACCCCCAGATCCAGATCCAAGGGCGGCGCGATGCGATGCGATCCCCACACCCACCCCCTTTCAGTGGTGCATATTCAAAGTTAAGATGATCAGGCACACGTATGCTGCAATACTCAGCGCGGTCAGGATCACGACCGCATTCCCACTAGTCCGGAATTTTTTGCGGTGGATGCCATCTTCCCCTAATTCAAAGTAAAACTGGCGATTGCGCTGAGATCGACGATACATCCCGATCATCAGGACTCCCGACCCGTAGACAGCGAATAGCGCGCCAATGCTATAGAACTCGGCGGTGAAGATCTTGAGCACTGCCAGCGAAAAGGAAAATAGGGACAAGGCGGTGCGGACATAAGCCCCTTCAAAGGTCCGTTGCGCTGCTCGTACTTCGACCAGTTCATTGGTAGTCAGCACGGCCGATCGGGCTCGGTGCATGCGAAGATGATATCGATCGGCGGCTCGTCGCTACGGCTGTCAGTTAGATACTGTGGGGGGAAGGTAGGTCTAGTTCCCACCTCGAACATGGTGGTGGTGCTCGTCCAAGGTCAGATGTTGGAGATGGAGGGGCAGGGTGAAGGTGAGGTTGAGGTTGAGGATAACGGAAAATTGACATGGTCATGGGAGTGAGGGGGGATGATGTTCCACTCACGTGGACTTGTCCCTCGCTTCGTAAAGTGGTTGCTTTTTTCCTCGTCTAATTTGTTAGTTGAGGTTTTTGGCTTGGGCTAAGAGTCTAGGCAGAATGGCTATGCCTATTCCAGACGATCTCTGATTCGTGGCAGATTGATTGATTGCTTACCCACTTATATATAGGTGCTACTAGCGTATATATTTTTGGTGGACATAACATTCGCTGTATACCAGTACTTTGGATATTTGTTTTTAGGCTTTCCACCAGAAAATATGGGAATATTCAATCATAAACAAGCTATATATTGCATTGAAAAACATCAGGTTTTATACTGATGATGTGAATAAGGGAGAGTATGGCGTAAGTGCAGAAAAAGACAAGGTGAAGATGAAATAGTGTTGCCCATGGTGAGTAGATGTATGCAAAAAGTGCGTCTTTGGTCTTTAACAATGGGATGGCATAGTGGTTAAGCTCACCGAATTCCTTTGGGTGCCCAGGTTCGAATCCTGGCTCCGACGTTGGTCGGAGTGGCGCAGTGGTTACCGCGTTCGGCTGCTACTTCCCGTCTCCCATTGTTTTTTGTCTGTTTTTTTTGTGCATTATTTATAATTCTTTACACTCCAATTTATCTTATTCTATCCTTGTATCTATGGTTAGTGTTGTGTGATCTTGGACCAAAACTAGGCATTCATATCAAGTTCGGCCCCCACGTCCGCCTACGCTAAGAACCGCCTTGACCTCCACACGACCACCACGATGGGTTTATAAATTTACATTGTCCCGCAGATGAGAATTTGAGTACATATCGCAACCAGAATGTCTATAATTAGCCTCCCGCTGGAACTACTCCATTTGATCGGAAGTAACCTCGATCAAAAGGACATACGCAACCTGATATCCACCTCACATCGAATGCACAGCGTGTTTCAACGAAAACTCTACACGAACGTGACCATCGGACTAAGAAACGCGAATGCAGCCCAGAGTTTTCTCTACGCAGTGGCTCGGAACCCGGGATTGGCTGGCTATGTCCAGTCTCTAGCACTTGCGTGCTGGGAAACCTACCTAGACTGGGAAACCAACCGGGAACCCCAAAAAACCACCGAAAGACCCAATTTTGACGGCGATCTTATTCGGAAATTAGTCGATGAAGCAACCGACTACACCGAAGAAGAGAAATCGAAATGGCTACAGGATCTCGAGGAGTTTTACGACGATGCCTGGCTGGCATTGCTCATTCCCCGATTGACCGGTCTACGGAAAATCGGCTTTGAATGGCCGTTCGGTTCCTCCCATGTCAGCAAAATGCTCAACAAAGCTGCCATAAATGGAGGTGTTTGTTTTCCTCACCTCGAAGAAGTTAACATGTGTTGGTATGATACGGAAAATGCCGTCCGCTCATATCAGATGCATCCGTTCTTCAAATTTCCGTCTGTGCGCAAAGTTAGTGGGTGGAAAGTCGCGGAGAATGCTAAGGAGGAGGAGGAGGAGGAGGTCGAGGAGGATGATTTCGAGCTCAAACCTACTGAGATTCTCAAGGGTTGTAGCCTCCCGCCTAAATGCTCAAATGTAACGGATATTGATCTCTCACTATGCAATGCTGCGGGGGGGATGCAACAATGGATCCAGGCCTGCAAAGCGCTAAAGTCCTTCCGGATCACCCACGGTGGAGTATTGATCTCATACGATGATTCACAGCCCCGCAAACTCTACAATTCCCTGTCACTGCACAAATCTACACTGGAGGCTGTCTGGTTTGAGCATGACGAACAAGGGGGAGACGGCGATAATGACGATGAGTGGATGGGGTCATTTGTCGATTTTGCTGCCTTGAAGTTTCTCCGTCTCTATTTACCCAACCTCGTGGGAATCAACGAACAAGGCTTACCCGCACGGAAGATAAGTGATGTTATTCCCTCGTCGCTGGAAACATTGTTCTTGGACATTTGGTGGGATTGGTTTATTGACGTGCTGGATGACTTGGCGGAGATAGCCACCTCAAGGAAATTCTCTAAGATTGCCACGTTTCATATCGAGACCTGCAACAGCAAACCAAGTAGTCCAGAGGAGGATGCGAAAGTTGATTGGCTACAACAGAGGTGTCGAGAGGTTGGAGTTGCGTGTCATGTGCATGATGTAAGGACGTGGGAGGATATGGAAGGTATTCAGCTTCGGAACAGCCTTTGGCCCCAGTGCGAGGCAGAAGACCTCGAATTTTATTGATAGAGACTTCTTATATGCTTTAAGGGACACACCGATGGGTAGCATCGCAGAATATAGTGGCTTTAACCATGGCTATATCCAAAAGGGGTGAACATTTCCCCGGCAATCAGAACGTGACGCATTAACAATGATGCTCTATCTAATACCGATTCAACTATTGTTGACCCGTGGTACTTCTTCTGTGCTACGAAAGAAAAGGCAGCACCGTAGTGAGATACCCATGTAACGAATATAAGCTCTTGTAGTTCTAACCCCAGGTTGTTTAATGATGGGGTGGGGCGGGGGCGACGACCCTACTACGGCCAAAAACCCCGAGTGCAGGCGTCTTAGGCTCCGACGTAAGTACCCATATTGGCTGTGGTCGGGATGTGTCTTATTTCGGAATCAGATTATTTTCGGCGACTTATAAATCCAACAGGGACATGGGTAGACTTTGGCCGGTATCAATCGCTCACTTTCCCACCATCTATTGCGTCCCTTCTAATAAAAATGGCCCAACAAATAATCACCTACGATATCAAGCCCACAAAGCTGGTTCGAAACTCTCCAAAGCCACTTCTGCTTTACAAGGGCTGTTTTCTCCGCGACCGAAAAGTCGACTGGTAGGGGTTAGAGGTACAGGATTGAGCAACCGATAACATTTAGTGCTAAGTCGCACCTTGAAGTCGAAGATACTGCTCTGAACTTAGCAATCCAATTATTCTTCATGAAGCAGGCGCTTTCGATCGTCTGGACCGGTGTGACGATTAGAAAAGCAGTATAGTTCGCCTACGCAATCGGTCTCTGCTTCACGACATATTTGTTATTCCCCTTCGTGCCGCTTACACTTGGATTCGAATTTGGCTTCCATGTTGTACAAAGAAAAAATGTTTCTGAAATCCTAAGTTGACACACTCTATGCTGAAAACAACTGCAGCTAGCAGGGCTGGACCCATCAAAAGCTTGCATGGGGTGTGAACAGGTTCGGCATCTGCATCCGCCATGTGGCTCCGCGGTAGTTGCTTCTCTAGCGGCGAGTCGTGCAAATGTCGTCGTTGCCTGCACGTCGCCCACCAATTATTGCCGCCCGCCCCCTACCTTCGGGCAATCATGTGGGGGACAGCGCTCGTGCTGTGTGACGGATCGCACCGCGTTGCATCGTATTTACCACGTCCCGTCCCCGCGGTTGCTCGACGTGAGATTGACCTGGCCGGTAGAGCACGGACCGCTGTCAGCCGCAAGCTCCTGCACTGCGGCGACCTCGGCGCCCAACCATCTAGTATTTAAAGAGACCATGTAACTACTCCAGGTCGGTCTCTTTGATACAAATAAGACCACATTGCCCCAAGAAGTACGCGCAATAATCCATCTCGAACACGTGATGAGTGTTTGAAGAGGTAACCAGGTTAACTGGGTGGTTAATTTGGTTCAAGTTGGGAATTATGTTAGCTTTGCGATATGATATCTATAAATGCAGCCAAGGAGCCGTCTTAGCTCCACTTCGTTGGCCTTTGGGGCTGAGACTGGATCCCTGAAAGTTGGGCGTTGAAAGTTGAAACACGAACCCAGCAGGGGGATATTATAGTTGGTGAGGGCAATTATTTTCTTAAAGTTATTATGTGGCATAGGGCTGAATCTATATATCTATACGAGCGACCACCATTAGGTGCTGGTCGTGCCCTCAATTCCCTTTCTCCCATCAGCCGCAACAGGCAGGAGATTCGGACCCCAAGCCGGTCTCTGCGCTAACAACGCATCTAGCAATGTGCCGCAGGTTCGTCTCTTTTCCTAGAATCCTTCACTGGACCTGCCAATCAAAGACGCACAAAATTCGCTGGGCTCGGCCAGGCTTGCAGTAGTTCCAACGCCAGTTCGAGGCGCAACTCCCAGCCAAGCTCTCAGCCTCAGTCAGCTCTACCTAGCAACGATCATCCTACTATCAAGAACTCCCCACAGCCTTGGGCCTGCTGAGTTTTCTTCGAAACGCAAGGGCCCTGGCTCGGTGGAACGCTCCTGACCCCGCAGTTTTCAGGTTTATTCCATTCTCCCATTCTATGGTTCGTTTTTTCTCGCAGGCAATAGTCTTTATCAAGACAGAATACAACTGTAATCATAATGTCGAACTCGAGCTCGAATCACTTCACCTGCCCGTCAGGCGGCACCTGGTACGTGTGCCCGGACGCGCCTCACTTCGTCGGCTGCTGCTCCTCGGACCCATGCACAAACGTCGACGCAAACAGCACCTCGCCATGCCCCAACGTCTATGCCGCCTCATTTGACACCTCCCTCTACGACAAAATCTCGCCCAACTCGTGCATCGACTCCGCGAACGGGAACGCGGACTGGTATACCTGCACCTCAACGAACCCACCCTTCCTCGGCTGCTGCGCGAGCTCTGCTTGCGAGACGGGGTGTCCAGTCGATGATTTACTTGCCGCTGCGTGGAGTTCGTCCAGTCGGGGTCAATTCGCCCTGTTCCTGAGACGAGGGCACAGGCGATGACGATGATGAGGGTAGTAGCGGAGGGGATGGGTTATCCGGCGGCGCGATCGCGGGAATCGTGGTTGGGGCTGTTGCGGCGCTGGTGATTATCGGAGTGCTCGTCTGGTTCTTCATGCGGAGAAGGAACAAGAAGGCTGCTGCGATGAGTGGACACGGGCACACGCCGACTGTTGTCGAGGGCGAGCATCAGAGGATGTATCCATCCCCGGCGTCGCCGTACCATAGTATGTACCAGTCTCCTTCCGGATTAGATCTATCTAAGTCTATTGGCTGATGTTTATTGCGTTTGCTTAGACTCGCAATTCTCCAGCCCTGCCGGCACGGCAGGAAAGGACTCGAAATACACGTCAACTTCCTCAGCAGGCATCAGCCTGCCCTCGCTCTCTCCCGGACTACCCTCAGAAAGCGGACGGCCAATTTCAGAATTCTACTCGAATAGTACCGGGAACGAGGATATGTCGCAGCAGAAATGGGCGCCGGGCCAGAGCTACGGGCTCGGTGTGCATGGAGCACAAAAACCAGAGCCGATACAGGAGTTGGACAGCAATGTGGCCGAGGTGCATGAGCTGGACGGACTCGGAGGAAATTGGCCGCGATGAGGCCTCGACCGTGGGGGGTTGGATGGATTGTGCATCGATAGAAATTGATTGTGAGTTAGCAATTTGTATATCCGTGTTATACCTAATTCAAAAGTCACATTCGCATGGCTTGAACGAACCCGGAAACTACACCTTGTTCACAACAACAGTCGCAGGGTCACTCTCTCTACTAGTAAGCCCCCATAGAGGATGATAACCAAATGGGGGTCTTGCCGTATGCCTGGATAAGGCTCAGGTTCTTGATTCGGCCGCTCACAGCAAACACATATACTCTAGCCATTCGTGGATATTGACACTCGATGGCTCCTTTTTACCACCCTGGAAGCAGTTTGCATTTCCAGCTGTCTACAGCATCAGGGTCCCCAACCCCTTTGTATGTCGTCAAGTACGGATACCTGCAATGTGCACGCTCCCATGCAACACCTCCGGATTGTCGTTGACAAACTTCGCGCCGGTCAGTCTGTCAGGAGCAACACCATATATACAGTATGCACACCTTGATGGCTGGTTCTCAATGGGGATGAGCACCTCTATTTCCCCTGCTCAGAGGCAGCGAATTGCTTTTGGTTTCTGCTTTCTTCCATCTCCAATTAGTTCTGCAGTATGTACAGTATGGATGGATTGATGGATAATTTCCATTTACGCTGACCCCTCGCGAGTTGGTTTACCCAACTAGACCAAAAACGAATCCGTTCTCAGCCTAGTGGATGAGGTTTATAATCAACCTCGCGAACAATATGCAGCCTACCACTTTTGTGTAAATACATGATTTTCGATCCACTTTTCTTATTGCTTGTACCAAATTTCCACGGTGAACTTTGAGCCTCACCGGCGAAGGCCTGTGATTGTCGCCACTTTAACCTGTGGAAAGGCTGGGGTAACTCCACTACCCCGGGTTGATGCGTCTCCCCACGGAGACATGATGGTGGTATTTTGCGCCAGCGCTGGAAATCGAACCCAGTCCTACAGATCAAAGAGTCACTGCACCACCGCTACTGGCAGTATGTACTGTAACAAACATCACACCATCCAATATCCTATCTCCGAAATATACTCGAGAACTTCTAAATTGATTATTTTGATTGTTTCTATTGTAAATGTGGGATTGAGCGCTATATGCTATTCCGTAGTTTGTTTTTCCTTTATAATCCTCTAGTATTTCTGTTTACTGATGTAATCTAAATTTACGACGTGAAAAGTACCTGTAGGGTGCTTTATTGTATTAATCAGTGATGACAGTTATCCCGTCTAAGTCTTGATCGGTTATAAAGCTTGGTTTAGGGTAGATAGATTTCATATATTGAAGTCAATCGGACGTTCACGCCTGCTAATTGCTTTCTTTCTTTAATAAATATCAGAGAATTCAGCGTTTGGGTTACGCTCTCTCCACTCGGGCCTAGCCTTAACCTTGCTGAACTGTAAATGGACATGGGCCTAAACTCAGGGAGCCTTGAAAGGCCTCGAGGTATAATCATTACCATACAGAAAGCTTTGTGTCGGCCACTATGTATATGAAATATATTAGGAGAAAGGTATATAGCTACTGGTAGGTGACATGAATTATCACTGGCACTGCTCCTCTTCAAGTGGCGGCAAGGCGGTTAATGAAGCTTTGATCCGTACCTAATGTGAGTCATCAAATGCGGAGAGAGAAAGAAAGATATCGGCCGATTGGCACTCGAACCCCAGTCTTATACGATGAAAACGCCCGTTTCAGGCGGTCCTGGGATTACCTAAGTTAGTCAGCGGTTTGATAGCCAATACATAATGTCGGAACGTTGTCGTTACAGTACGGACTAGTACGGACATGGCCAATTGAGTACTTGAGTGTGTTCATTTTAAATACTATGGAAAGTACAAAATATATGCGATGTGGGCCTAGTAAGATCGTTTAGAGATGTAAACATGGTTGAAAACAAAGGCATATGGGGGTGCTGAATATTCATCTGGTCCTCGCCATCCCGGAGTTGATTTACATCAATCACAATGACCCAGTTGCATTATTTGAATGCCGCACAGGTGCTTGGTCTCCTCAAGAATGATACAAATTCGGTCGAAGAGTATGCCCGTTCTCTCGGATCGCATCAGAGCGAGACAACATTGTCAAGGCGTGGGCCTACATTCGTAAGGTTCTCCGTTGATGCAGAGATATAGTTAAGTCATGAAAGATTGGCTTTCAAGGCTTGGAGGACTTCTGAATTGACAAATTCGGCCCCGGGGCCCTGTGTAACGAACTGGTGTTGTTACCATTCGTGGATGCCTTATGCCTACGGCACCACTCTAGGCATCCACGCCATACACCTGTGTATCTAGCCTTCTATCCTAGCTTCCTTCTTATTCTCCTCAAGCTATTACTTTCGTCGAACCGCTACTGCTTCCTTTGCTTCGTATGCTACGCCTTACGTTGATCTCTGTGAGTATCTGAGCATCCTCGCACCCTGGCGGTGGTTATATATACTACTAGTAGGCATCCTTCCTGCAACCATGGTCCTTTTAGCACTGTGAGTTTATTCTGAGGTCGCTCAGGTATCTAACAACCTCTGAGAAGGAATTCATTGTATACTATTTCTCGATAAATAAGAAAGAAAAATAGCTATTTCGACAGAGATCAAATAGTTAGTCGAAGAAGTGTATATTGATAACCGGACTTGGCATTATTGTAGTGAGGTAAGAGAGTTCCGGCTTATATAGCATTAATCGGTGTCAGTATTCATCAAATAAGGTGCTATAGTCAAGCTGGTTAAGATGCCTCGTTGTGGTCGATTACTGTCCTATAGTGGACAGTAGCAATTTCCAATTCCGAGGTGGCCCCGGTTCGAATCCGGGTGGCGCCATATTCATTCTTCTTCTTTTTGTATTTTTGATGTCCTTCCTGCAGGGAGGATACTGGTGGCACCGCGATGCGATGCGAGTCATTTTCTTTGTTGCTTGCCCGGTAAAAGAGGAATAGGAAGAACTATAAATTCACTGATATATTCGTTCCGAGCACATATACTGTAACTAGGCCCACCCTTCCACTAAATCATATATGACCGCCGTAAGATGTCAGAGGGGCGGGACTCTCGGATACCCCACCGTCATCATAAGACCTCATTACTTTTCACCTCTTTGAAATATACTCACGTCGAGAACCATCACACGCAGCAAAATGGAAGCCGTTAAATCACCAAAGATTCTGCAGAAGTGGTTTCCCCACACGACTAGTCCCTTCATCGCGAACGCCCCGATGCTCGGATTCTCGGATTGCGAGATGGCGAACGCCGTCAATAAAGCTGGTGGCCTAGGTACGTTAGATGTCCGAGTCCAAGTCTCCGTTAAGTTGAACATGAGAAGACCACCCGGAATCTACAATACGAAATAAAACCCAGATTGTTGTTAGTTAACCCAATCTACAGGCTTCATCGGCGGCGGCTTCGATTTCAAGCCCGAATCAACGCAGCTAGCAGAGCTAGACAAAACCCTATCAAAAGCCCGTTCAATTGCAGGAATCACATCTCCGACAGAAGCCTTGCCTATGGGCGTTGGCTTTATTACATTCAGTCCCGCTGGATTCGAAAATGCCGTCACTATCTTGCAAAAGCACCGAGTAGCCGCAATCTGGCTCGCATTTCCCAAGGCAGATATTGACCACGGATCTCTCGTGCAAATGATTCGAGACTCTCAAAAGCAGAGTGGCTGGGAGGCTAAGATATTTGTACAGGTTGGTACTGTACAAGCAGCTAAAGAGGCCATTGATGAGGGCGTGGACGTTCTCGTTGCGCAGGGTACTGATGCGGGTGGACATCAATGGGCGCAGGGGGCTGGTCTTATGTCACTTCTGCCGGAGGTGCGTGATGCAGTACGTGCGAAGTCTGCTTCTGAGAAGATTGCTATTTTGGGGGCCGGGGGGATTGTTGATGGGAGAGGGTGTGTTGCTGCTTTGGGGCTTGGTAGGTAGCACATCTTTGTGCCTGCTTGATGGTTCAAGTTTCTGGGCAAAGACTGACCACATATTGAATAGGCGCCGATGGAATTGTTATGGGAACAAGAGTAAGAAGATACTGTACTGCCAGAAAAGAGAGACAAGCTGACGTACGGAATCTAGTTCGTCGCAACTGCAGAGTGTCCTGCAGCAGAGCAGATAAAGCAGGCAATCGTCTCGGCCACCGACGGTGCTATTTCGACGGTCAAATCGGTTCAGCATGACATATTTCAATCCACCGATGTTTGGCCCGCACAATATGATGGAAGAGCTGTGATTGGAGTTAGCTATACTGATTCCCAATCGGGTGTTACCAACGAACAGGTCATCCAGCGGTATAATGATGCTAGAAAGATGGGACAGGACCATCGGCGAACAGTATGGGCGTATGTGACTTGATTATCATTACTAGCGGTGAAAATATAACTAACAAACTTCATTAGTGGTGCGAGTGTTGGAGTTATTGATGCTGTCGTTTCTGTGGACGAGCTGATTAAAGGTATACAGCAAGAAGTAAAAGAGGTCGCGGCAACAGTTTTGGCAAAAATCTAGCTCTAGGATTGTTTAAAAGCTTTCAAGATAGTCTGAATTAAATGCTGAATTAATCGCGCAAGATTTCGCCTAAGTTGTGGGCTTGAAAATACCCTTTTCCCAAGGTGTAGACGTCGAAGTACATCTCTGGAGAAGGAAATAGTATTCTTCATAGGAATTGAACATTAGGAGTAAAGATAAACCGACTGTCCGGTCTCAGCCGGATATCCATTTACACAGCGAGCTTAATTATCTTTTGATTTTGGGGAATGTTCTGTTTCTGTTGCTTCCCACTGCGACAGTCCCAATTGGGCAAGGTCTCCCCCCCCCCTTTTGACTTGACTTCGACCCCCCCCCCCTCGTCTCGTTACCCTCAAAACCCCCCAAAGAGCTCCCTCCTCTCTCTCTCCTTCGCTGCGTAACATCTCGACTATCCCGAAGCACGGGATCTTCACAATTTACGCTCCAGCCTGGTCTTTAGCTCCAACCCTGGGGCTCCGAAGTTTCCTCTTAAGCTGTCGCCCGCGGTTCACTACGCGACCCTGGATAATTCGCACTGGGTTGCAACCGCAACAGAACTTCCAAACCGGACAGACGCGATCCCACGACTCTCTTTCTTTTCTCCCCACAATACCCCTCTACTCGGGAATTCGCGACGACTGGACCGACTCCATGAACGGGACTACTCCTTCGCCTAGCCCGGCGCCCGGGCCGAAAGCTTCGCCGCGTTCACGACCTTCTGCCTCGCCCGCTGCGGGCACGAAGCGCAAAAGAACTGGCGGTACAAAATATTATGCTGTCAAGAAGGGATTCACACCGGGGGTTTATGAAGGGTGGCAAGATTGTCTAGCTCAAATTACGGGATTCAAGGGCGCAATCTGTAAGTGCTGTCCGGGCCCGCATGTTCAATGCACTGTTTGCCCCAGAACCCTCTCAGAGCTCTCTCCCCGAATCTACATTCTGAAAATAAAAAACTAACAAACCCATGCGCAACAATACAGTCCAATCATTTCTCACCTATGAAGACGCCAACGCGTTTCTAACAGGCGGCAAGATCAGTGGAGCTTCCGCGCAAAGCTCCGAGCCCAGATTCTACGGCATTCAACGTGGTCGCGCGCCCGGGGTATATACAGACTGGGCCACAGCGCAAGACCAAATCCGCGGCGTTACAAGACCGCGATATCGGAAATTCTCGACGCGCGAAGAAGCAGAAGCTTTCGTGAAAGCAGGAGGAGCACAACGGGTTCCACCCGCGGTCGGGTTTGGAGAAGTCAAACAGCCAGCCGGAAGTCATGGAATCGAAACTGAAAACCCCAAAGATCCAGACGGGATAGAATACCCAGCTGGAGATGGACCGTTGCCACGCGGGGCGGAAGATGGATTTGATCCGAATGTTATGCTGGACCCGGCGACAGGCAAGGTCGTTTACAAGGACGCTTCTAAGAAGGTGGCTACTAAGACACAAGTGAGCGGGATACCGGGGATGCTGCGTATTTATACCGATGGAAGTTCATTGCGAAATGGGACCGCGTTGGCATCGGCTGGAGTTGGGGTTTTCTTTGGACCAGGAGATTCAAGGTTTGTTTTGCCCCCCCCTCGTCCCCCATTATCTACATTATCCACCTCTCTCTCAAGGATGTTAGTTCTCTGACTCACATTCATCACGCTAGCAGAAATGTTTCGGAGCCATTGAAAGGCAATCGCCAGACCAACCAGCGCGCGGAGTTAACAGCGATTCTTCGGGCTCTGGATATCGCTCCTCGGCATCGCGATGTAACGATCGTGACGGACAGTCGATATGCAATTGACTGTGTAACCGTGTGGTATAAGAACTGGCAACGCAATAACTGGATGACGAAAGACGGCAAACCAGTTGAAAATAAGGATCTAGTGGAATCGGTCCTCGTGAATATTGAAGAACGAGTGCAACTGAAAGTGAAGACGTTATTCGAATGGGTCAAGGGCCATGCGAAAGATCCTGGAAATGAGGCTGCTGATCGGTTAGCAGTGAATGGAGCTCACAGAGGTGTCGCAGAGAAGGCCGAGGCACTGGAAGCCAGTCGCGACTTACCTGATGAGCTGTTGGAGGAGGATTTCTGATATCCAAATAATAGTTATGAGTAATGCAAGAGAATAAAAATACCATCCATTCAAAAGTAGGCATTAAATAGACCTGGAATTAATGATTGCACCGAGGACATAAAGTTTATAGATCTTGGCGGATGATCGGGATGCAAATGACCGCCGATGCCCGCCCGACGCAAGATTTCCCTTTCCCCTCCACAACAACCTGAGAACTGCATCTCCGTGCTAAGGCTTTCTTCTCCAGCAACCGTGGCTTGGCTTACTTGGCGACCGATACTCTACCCTATGATCTCTATATACTCGCCTCTGACTTTCCAAACTATGATTGAATAACATTCGCTTGCTGTTCCTGCCATAGCTTTTTTTGTGGCACATCGACCAAGAGACGTGATCGTGATCTCATCTCACTCTCATTTAACTCGCATCTGTCGAGTAACTTATTATAAACAAGCCGAACCTCCCCAGCTTCATAGGTCGGCGCATCTGCGCATGAGCACGCAAGTTCGACATTGTGCCTCACACTGCAAGGGACCAATATGCCGAGCCTCGCATTGATCAATTTCAACATAGTCTGCGCGACACTGGGAGGCTTTGTCTCTCTTTTCGGACTGGTATCTTATCTTTGCAAGGAGCAATTTTATCTCTCTGAAGCATGTAAGTCAGCCGAAAGCACTCACTTTACCCAATTAGCCCAGCCCAGCCCACAGTATTAATTCAAACTCAGTGATCTCATTGCTTGCCGGCGTAGCATTCTCGCCTCATGCAGCCAATTTCATAAGACCCGAAGACTACGCGCTGCACTCGCAGGAAAATCTCGATGCAATCACCTTGCATTTCACACGCCTGGTGCTCGGCGTGCAGCTGGTCCTAGCCGGAGTGCAGTTGCCAAAGCGATACCTGCAGATCGAATGGCGGAGCTTATCGCTACTTCTGGGTCCCGGAATGGTTGCCATGTGGTTATTCAGTAGTCTCATTATATGGGCTATGATTCCGAACTTCCAGTTCCTCCATGCTCTGATCGTGGCTGCTTGTGTAACGCCAACCGACCCCGTCCTGTCTAACTCCATTGTCAAGGGTAAATTTGCCGACAAGCATGTCCCCCGACCGTTGCAGCGAATCATCGTCGCCGAGTCTGGTGCTAATGATGGTCTCGGTTACCCGTTCCTCTTCTTTGGCATTTACTTGCTAAAGTATCTGGGTATGAATGGGGCGGGGTACACCGGTGGCGGAGGGAAGGCTATGGCGCTGTGGTTTTATGAAACCTGGGTCTACACCATTCTGCTCAGTGTTGTTTATGGCGCTGTTACTGGCTGGCTGGCTAGGAAGCTGCTTCATTGGGCGGAAGAAAAGCACTACGTGGACCGGGAGAGCTTTCTGGTTTTCGCAATTGCGCTCGCGGTAAGTTTCTAAATAAAGAGGAGCTGGCTTGTCATGTTGCCTTTGCTAACTAAATATCCTCTGTCTAGCTATTTGTTGTAGGAACTTGCGGTCTCATCGGGACTGATGACCTTCTCGCATGTTTTATTGCCGGAAATGTCTTCACTCAAGAGTATGCTATCCCTTAGAATTAAGCCCCGGGGGACGAGTTCTGACCTAAATTCTAGTGACTGGTTCCGCCTTGAGACCATGGACGACTCTCTCCAGCCTACTATAGACATGCTGCTCAACCTAGCTGTCTTTATGTGGTTCGGCGCCGTTTGCCCTTGGCCGTCCTTCTTAAACAACGACATCATCCCCATCTACCGGCTTGTCTTTCTGGGAATTCTCATTCTCATCGTTCGCCGATTGCCGATTGTACTTGCCATGCACAAGTACATCCATCAGATCGAGCACTTCTCACAGGCGTGTTTTGTCGGCTTCTTCGGCCCAATTGGCGTTGGCGCAGTCTTCTACCTTTCAATCAGTAGAGAGTTTTTGCTCGACATCAAAGTCGATGGCAAAACCCGAGAAGACGCCCAAAGGGTCGCCGACGCCGTGAACGTCGTAGTGTGGTTCTTGGTTATCTGCAGCATTGTGAGTTTCCCGAGAAGTAATGTCCCCTCCTCAATTAGTTACTTATCAGTACTACCAGGTCGTGCATGGACTTTCTGTACCAGTTGGAAAAGCCGGCTACCACCTACCACGAACGATCTCAAGTGTTATCAGCACAAGCATCGACGAGCCCGAGCCCGTTCCTATCTCCAACTCACGTAACACGCATAGCACCGCAATTCCGCTGTCAGATGATAGTTTTCGATCTCGCAAGCGTGGTATTCGTTCAGCTACACCGAATCCGCCAATCTTCCGCATCGGCCGCTCTGTGATTAAACCCTCCACAAACGAGCAACAGCCTGGTGCCGGACAGACCGATGAACCGGAGCGACCGGTCAACCTTGTTGTTCATGAATCTCCAACGATTTCAAATGATGGCGTAGAGGCTTCTGAAGCTCGCGTTGTTTGATATTTGGCGGGAATAGAGCGTGGGATTCTATTGACCGTCACTCCCTATATTATCGGGCTTTCGAGCTGATATCTTTTTAGAACTTCATTTTCGGCTCTCTGGGTTTTTTTCAGTTTGCTGATAGATTTTGATCTTCTGTTTTGCAATGTTATTGAGTACTGCTTCTTGTGCTGAAAAGAGAGGGGATTGCACAGTTATTCTTATACATTTTGTTTTGTTTTGGTGAATGAATGATATGGTCATTGTTTCGATTCTTACCACATTTCTAGATGACGATAGAATAAGCATTTTTTGTATACTGAGATCTGATAACTACTAGTGAAACCCCTCTGTGGCGCATGGGACATAGAGTACCCAATTAAAATACGATAGATAGATGAAAGCTACTGTAAAATACAGTAAACTACAGCGGAGTGTCCTGGCAGTTTAGAAGATTCAGTTCCAAGTTTACCAACTCATACCGTGAAGCCCTTCAACCCGCATAGACAGACAACCCGACTCCCCGACCACCAACATCATCTTTCAACTATTAGCCGCAGTATACAAGCCGTGGCCCGTGGAATTCAAAAAGATGGCCACCACAAAACCAGCCAAGAAAATCTTTCCAATAGAAACATTCATCTCAGACCTCCCGACAAGCCACATTCTAAAGCAAGCCCCTCCATCAGCTTCAGCTTCGGAAAATGCAGCCAGACCAGCCCGCGGACGTCTAGTCATTATCGGGGATATACACGGAATGAGAAAATCCCTCTCATCACTCCTAGACAAAGTCAATTTCTCCCAGCAAAACGACGACCACCTGATTTTCGTCGGCGACCTCGTTAATAAAGGGCCCGATAGCGCTGGCGTAGTTGATCTTGCCATGAAGCTAGGCGCGAGTGCAGTGAGGGGGAATCATGAAAATGCAGTTTTGCATGCGGCTGAGCAGATTAATGCCAGAAGGGATGATTTGGTGCAGGCTGGGGTTTTGACTAGTGTTCGCGGCGACAGGGACTCGGATCCCGGGCAGGCCACACCAGAGAGACCCCAGGGTCCGAGTTCTGGACCTGATTTCGAACTAGTTGGCGACATGGAGAATTTCCAAAAACACATGGCTGCCAATGCTCGTCCCGATGACGTGCAGCACGGTGCTGCAACATACACCACGGCATTGAAACTTTCGAAAGACCATCTGGAATGGCTAGCCTCTTTACCATTAATCTTACGAGTCGAACTACCCCGTGATATACCATCGCCTTTTGGCGAGAATTTAATCGTGGTACACGCGGGCCTCGTTCCGAATATTCCACTGGAGAGACAAGAACCGCATTCTATCATGCATATGCGGAGTCTCAATCGTGCATCGAGTGAAGGAGCAGAATTTCTCCCAACGGAGGACTTTGGCGAAGAAGGTTGGATAAAGGAATGGGATTTGTGGCAGGAGAGTCAGGAGTCTAGAACGACGGTTGTTTTTGGTCATGATGCGAAGCGTCGGTTGCAGGTGGGTAAGTATACGATTGGACTTGATTCGGCCTGTTTGTATGGGCACCAATTAAGTGCGCTTGTTATTTCGGTTTGTGAGGGACAAATTCAGCATCAGGTTGTTCAAGTTGATTGTATTGATGAACCTGTGGTTCCGACAGTACCTGTGCCTCAGCCTGTGACTAAGAAGGAAAGTATTCAGACAGAGACTCAATAATAGAGAAATTTCATATGGCATGCAGCCCCCCTTTTGTGCTTTGGACTTCGAACAACGGAGTATCTAAGTAAACCAAATTACCATCCTCAGAGCGGATCCGAATTCCTTGATCGCGGCATGCGAGACCCCCACTCCCTGGACTTCATCTCCCTCCATTCTTGCGCCATTCGGCTTTGTGGCTCCTCGTGAGATTGCCCTTCAATTATATCCACACCTCTCCATTGAGGCGGGACCCGGTCGTCAAGATTGCCGACCTGGAGACCAGTCCAATACAGAACGATTGTATCCCATTCTTCTCCTCTCAGAGTGTATCTAGAGAGGTTCTCTGGATCATCGAAGATCAGAAGTGCTGAGTTCGGGAGGCAATATGTGATTGCGGTCTCGAGAGAAGGGGAAGCGTAGAAACCAGGTCCGAACTCGTTGTTCATGTGTGAGTTCGTAATAATAGGGTAAAATAAGGTCGTAAGGCTTATAAAGCCCTTGTGTGATCGTTTGGTATAGCTTTCGACCATTTTCAGGTCCCCTAAAAGACTCTCAATTCCTTCTGCAAACGTTGCTCTCTTGCGGTTCCACTTGAGGGTTGCTCCCAAGATGTTTGATGGGAATGGAGGGCGGACAAAATCGGAGCAAGGTTTCTTAGTGGAAACTGTGGGAGTGCGTCATCGAGGCTCTCAAACGTAAAACAGACTCCTGGAGGCTCCTCCGGATCAAGAAGACGTGCTACCAATTGTAACCCTCATGGGGGATCTAACTGTCTGGAAGACTAATGTGGAAGAAGATGATCTTATTCTCCCTCTCCTTCTGTAAGAGATATCTCTGTAGGTACGTGTACCGTGCTAGATTCCCATGAAACCAGGTTCATATACCTCTTTGGGATTTTGTTTTGGTCAAATAACGCCTCGATTAACCAAAACCAGGTTCCGCCATGTGGAATCTTGTAGACTTCGTCCTCCAACTTATGGCCCGGGTCGAAGATGAGTTCATTTAGAACCTCCACTTTCTTCAGCCAGAAGATGCTTGATAGAGAGCCCACAATAAAGCGGCCTTGCTCCACTCCGGGGTCGAGATACTCTGCAATTTCATCGGGGATATCTCCAGGGTATCCAAGGTCGGAGGTCCATACTGGTGCATACTCAGCTTCCTGCAAAGTAGTAGCTGGGCTGCGTTCTTCCTCCTCGTTACCTGCTTCCATCTCTGCGATCCTTCTTTTAGGGATCGGTTTCAGTTGAACTAGAACTGATTTAAGCGGCGTTCCTGTGCCTGGAGTTATCGGGCTCAAAATGGCAGAAGTTGATGATATAGAGCTGGTTTTCAAAGAAGGTGTCGATGCTAACGAATGTGTTGACGAGGAAGATTGAGAATGGGATTGAGATGTGGACCGTAAATCGTATCTGTGTACTTGAAAAGTGGTTGGCAACGGAGGTGGTAGGTGCGAGGGATGCGGTTTCCCGGATCAGGCATAGTAGCTCATATCGAGAAAAAGTCCTTGCCAGGATGATGCCACAGCGGTGCAAACTTGGGGGGCAGAGCAATTGGGGAACCAAATCTCCCTATTCTTAGCAGAGAAGCGCGGGAGGGAAGAATTGGGGATTCAGTATTGAAGTAGTAGTAGTAGTAGTAGTAGTAGTAGTAGTAGTAGTAGTATATAGCCCGCCGGCCGAATTGATGATTTCAAGGTTCCATAGTGAAGAGAGAGAGCACTGGGTACAAGCTTCAAGTTCAGACCAGTCAAGTAAATTGTACGCCCAGTTATACAGGGCAAGAAAAACACAACGCCATGCATTCGTACATACACCATAAGGGCAGATAAAAAACATAAGGCAAGTAGAGATGCGGGAAGAAATGCCATCGACATTCTTCGAGGCCTTCCATAAAAAGAAGCAAATGGAATGGAAAGAGCGAGAAAGAAAGAAAAAAAAAGGAAAAGAGAAAGCAAAAATAAAACTATGAAAGCCTGAGCAATAAGAAGAAATTATCGCCCGAAGAACCCGCCCCAAATGCTTAATACCCAGGGTACGCAAGCATAAAACTATTACTTAGACAAAGACTGGCGCCAGGGGCAATGAATGTCCATCGGCCAAAATAGAAAAGAAGCAAAGCCATTTCATAAAACAAAAAAGAGAAAAACGCATTGTGTTGCCAGAATTTTCAACACCAGCCCAGTCCAGTCCGTCCCAGTCCGTTATTTCTCTCCTCCATTCATTTTCTTCGGGCTTCGTGCGCAGGGGATGTCGTTACACGTCATGCTGAAAGACAAAGATGCTGGCGTCCATCATATGATCGTAGAACGTGGAAAACTGCAGGCAGTAAAAATGTAAAACGAAATAAAAAGTCGAAATAGCAATCATATCTGTTTAGATACTGTGCAGTTCGCGGGTACGACGGGACAGAGGAGCGATCATGCGTAGAATCGGGTCCTGCGGGTTACGCTCTGCGACTGCCATGTATAGGTTGTTCAAGCGCTGCCCGAGAATATTCATGATGTTGGGAGTAATTTCACGCAGGTCGTTGTCCTAGAATTCAGTCAGAAGGTAGCATAACGGGTTGGAAGTTTATATAACAACATACCATGGGGTTCACATTGGTGAGCACCACATTAAGCCATCCCAGACGGGGACCAACGTTGGTTGAAAGAGAGGATGTAACTGCCACACCAATCGAGAGCATGACAATGGCAGAGAGGCTGGTTAGGAATTGAGGGTTGACGCGAATGAAGAAGTTATCGAAAAGATCGGCCTGTTGGCTGGATTGAATCCACTATAGAAAAAAAGAAGAGTTAGCAGGGGGTTACATGGACGGCTTCAGGGAATGTGCAAACAAACCTTGATCGATGCCTCTTCCACTTTGTTCGCACCGAACATCCGGGTGATCTCTGCCAGCTCGGCTTGTTCCGGGGTGGGAACAGCAGGAGCAGGAGTAGGGGCCTTGGCCTGGGCCTGAACAGGAGGCTGAGTAGGAACCGGAGGTGCCGCAACATGGGCGACAGGGGGGAGCCGGGCCAGTTGGCTGAGGGGTGCTTCGGTTCACCGGTCGCTGGGGGGTATGCGCGCGATTCTCAGGGCGGGGTTGCGGGGCCTGTCTGGCACTGGGGTGCTCATTCTGGCGAACCTGGGCCTGGCCCTGGTTGGCAACAAGGGTATTGACGGTGCTCGAAAGGCTTCGGAGCATGGCCGACATCTCATCCATCTTCACCTGATCGTTCCGGCGCTGCGCTTCCAAGTGCTTGATCTGGGATTGGAAGTGGCGTTCCATGTCGCTCTCCAGCTTCTTGGTACCGCGTGCCATATCCTCGATCACAGGGAGAAGAGAGCTCTGCAGAGCCTTGTTAATCTCAGATCCAATGAGAGGACCCAGTTGCTGCCCGACGGAGTCCGAGACGGCCTTCATGACATGAGGATGTTGCAAAGCACTGGTGACGACCTTGGGAAGGGTGTGGCGGAGCTCATGGCTCAGAGAGCTACCGAGTTGCTGAGAGACGACGGTGTTCAGTTGCTTCCCAACGGCGGCAGAAGTGGCATCGGTGACAGCAGGAAGGACATCGTTCTTGATGCTCTCAGAAACAATGCGGGCCAGGTTTTTCTCAACATTGTCCGACAGAGTGCTGGAAACGAGGCGAAGGACTTGATCCTGTTTCGCGGAGGAAGCAGCATCCCAGCTGCGGCGCTCCTCATCGAAGCGACTCATCACTCCCTCCATTTCACGACCCAAGCTCTGGTTGAACTGTTGGGAAACGGTGCTCTGAAGATTCTCGAGATGCTTATCCAGAGAGAAAGGAGCCATCGATGAAGTAGAAGTGATTCCTATTGAAGAGAGGTAAGAATAAGTTGGGGAAGGTGGGGAGAGGAAGTGAATGTGGAGTGAACTTACCAGAAGAGTGAGAGTTGTCAGTGGGAAGGTGCTCAACACCGACAGTCGCAGTTGGCTCCTTCGCTTTGACGGTTGCCTCAGAAATGGCGGAAGAGGCAGAAACACTCTTCTTCTTCTTTTTCTTGTCTACCTTCTCGGCCTTCTCGGCTCCGTTAGGTGCAGGCGCAGACACAGGGACAGGCACATTCTCAGCCTGCTCCTTCTTCTGAGTCTTGGTGGGCGACGCATTACGGGACGCAATCACACCAGCAGCGGAGTCAACGAGGTCAGTCTTCTTGGTGGGCTCCTTGGAGGTTCTAGAAGGAATAGAAGCAGCGTCACCGTTGACCGAAGGATCATCAGTGACGTAGCTTGGGAACGACTGGAGTTCGGTAATTTCAATAGTACCTTCCTCGAGACCGTCTACTGGACGAATCACCTTATTGTCAGAGGTCCATCCCAGGTCCTCCTTCTTGATGTTCAGGCAGGTTACTCCTCGCGAGTGCATAACATACAGCTCGAACAGACCAGTCTCCTCATGTCCTCGCTTATCGGTGGCACTCTTCGTGACCGGAAGGAGCTCCAAGCTTCTCAACTGGCCCTTGGAACCGAGAGAGATCTCCCGAATTCCACTCAGGCATGCAGTTGAGTCGGGCTTGGGCAAAGTGCTGTCCTTCTCGGCGATAGCCTTGATGTATGTCGCCTGTGACATCGGCGACAGGTTGTATCTCGGCGCAGACAAGTGAACAAAGTAGATCGAGTTGCGAGTAGGGTGTCCAACAACAATAATTCCCGAAGAGGGATGGTAGGCGACGCTACAGATGGCATCCGACTCGTTCTCATGAGGGAACTTCAATTCCTCCACAGCCTTGCCAAGCCCAATATCCCAGAGCTGCAAGGTGTGGTTCTGCTTGAGTCCAACCAGGACATAGCGCAGCGCCATGGAGCGCGAGTAGGCGCGAAGCTTGTCAAGGAAAAGCACCGAGGTAGGCCAGGATTTCTCGGCGGGAGAGCCTGTCACAAATGTGTTCAAAGGCACCCGAATCTCATTCGGAGCAGGACCCTCGACAACGCTAGCGCTTGCCAGGAAATCACGGATATCCCAGAAGCGAAGACGGCCTGTCTTGTCCAGGGAGGCGATCACAGTGTCATCTTCACTGAAGGCAAAGTCCTTACCGGCCTTACCGGTAGAAATCTTCAGGGCACGCTCTTTGAAGAACTTCTCGGTGTTGACGGTGCGCTGAGATCCAGTCACGCTGTAGCTGGCGTTCATTGCAGCCTGGGGAGAAACGACGTAGATGTTCTTGCCGCGTCCGATGGCGAACAAGTCCGGGTGACGAGTGCTCCGCTTGGCCCGCGTTTTCAGCTGGCCGCCGGAGGTATTCTCGTCAGAGGCCGGGAATGGAGGGAAGATCAGGCTCTCGCTCTCCAAGGCATCCAACTCAAACAGGTCCTTGGCATGGCGCGAGATCAACGCCCAATAGACGGTACCGCTGACACCGATGCCAAGAATAGCCTGTACATCGGAAGATCCGGTCGTCGGGGGAGACGTACACAAGGTAACGTTAAACACACGGTCCCGGGTAGAACGGAAGACCTGACGGTCACTTCCATCATCCTGGCGAATAATCCTAATACCGCCAGTCTTCGCGAGAGCATATACAATGTACTCGGAAGTAGCAGCCGTCAGGGAGCGATCCAGCTGATCAAAGTCCTTCTTGAGACGAGCGATATCCATAATACCGTCGTCGCGGAAGACCGCAAACTTTCCAGATTGCGGCTTGACATTGATGGAGATGAAGGGCTTCAGGGGGAAGTTGTGGACAGAAACAATGCGCTCTTCCTCCTTCTCGGCACTATCCTCGGCGCTCTCCCAGCTATCAGCAAGAGCGTCGATGTTTCCATTGCCATTGAGAAGAACCGTTGCTGTGGCAGCAGCAGCAGTAGCAACAGCAGCAGCCTCCTTGATCGAGTCATCCGAATCGGCAGCCTCTTTCGCTTCAGGTGCGGTTTCCCGCAGGTTACTGGCGATCGAGGAAAGAACTTCCTGAGTTGTCTCCTCCTCTGTAGGGGAAGAGACAGTTTCTGGCTCGGATGAAGGTTGGGCCTCGCTTGCGCTAAGAGAACGACCAATTTCGTCCACGAGGCGACCAACAACATCATTGACTGCTTGACGCTGCTCAGGTTCCAGAACAGGCTCCTGGTTCCGCTTCTTCTTGGGCTGCTGCGCCGGCTCAGAAGCTTCCCCAGCACCCAAGTTTGCGGTGACGTGAACAGTGGTCTTCTCCACGACCTCGGCAGCTGGGGTCTCACCACCCGATGGGGGCTGTGGAGACTTGTTGCGAGGGGAGATAGCAGCAAGCTGGTCAAATGGGTTGCTATAAGTGAAGATGGAATTGTTAGAGGCTGAGGCTGCGACCGTCTCCGGCTGCGCAGCTTGCTCAGGACTAGACTCCTCAAATTCCACAGTTGAATCGGCAGTTTCCTGAATCAGGGGCTCGGTAGTGACAGCCTGAGCCTGGGGCGAAACCGACTGAGTCTCCTCAGTCGCTGGGGCCTTAGGGCCGGCACCGAGCATGTCCATCAACATGTTGACATAGTGTCCACGCGGTTCCTCTGGAGCCTCGGACTCGTCATCCAGCTGGGTGACGAGGGGAGCGGCGATAGGAGCGGCCGGGGCAGCAGCCGCATCAGGCCTGCCAAACATCGAGGCGACGAAATCCGACGCGGAAATATTTCGTCCGTGGGGAGAAGTCACCTCCTGGGCCGGCGGGTAGCGAGCTTGTTCTGGAGCAGGAGCAGGGGCAGCAGGCTGAGGAACAGCGCCAGACCCTTGGCTAAATCTCAACAGGTTGAGCAGGTTGGCCGCACGGTCAGGGTTGTTTGGCTGCGGCTGCTGCTGCTGCTGCTGCTGGTGCTGGTGCTGCGGCGGCGGTGGCTGCTGAGCCCACTCGGGGTAAGGAGAGGGCACGTTGGGGCTAATGATATCGGAGCCATGGTGAGGCGGCGTGTTCAAGGGAGAAGGACTATGCATCGCCGACGCAACCTGAGGGTGGTGATAACCGTGCACCTGGGGATGGGGATGGGGATAGCTCGGACCATCATAGGGCGGCGGCGGGTGCGGTGGATGCTGCGGATGAGGCGGGAACATGCCTGGTGGGTATGGCTGCTGGGACCGTTGCTGATGGATATGCTCCTGGCCAGGAGCATTAGGTGGCGATGGCCTCGGCCGAATGCTGGCCAGGAGGGCTTGCAGATCGTTGGGGGTGGACATTTCTGCCTCTCGCCTCGAGTGACAGGCGACCTCCGCACACGAATACCACAAGCTTTGCGAGCTCTAAAAAGCTCTCTTTCGAGAGGTAAGAGAAATCAAAAATGGATATTTATAACGCAGTCAAAGTGAGTGGTTGAATTGGATGATTTGTGAATCAAAAGATAGACGTGAATGAAGAGAGTCAAAGGATGTGGATGAGGAAGAAAGGAAGGTGGTTCAATTTGGAGTGCAGCGAAGAAATGCCGTTAAAGGGTTCACCGCCCAACTAAATCGGGTATTGGCCCTTGTTACGGAATATCATCTCATCATTCATCAACTTGATCCGGTTTCTTTTTTAACATTTCATATGGATCTCACTCAGTAGCCGGAATCTCGGCCTGGGTACTATAACCAAGGATATACTGGTTGATTTTATAAATCACCTTCATCAGGCCCTCCTCCCTCATCACCACCCCATCACCACCCCCATCAGCCACCATGTTCTGTCTACGGAGGTAAGAGCAACTCCCCCCCCAAACTTATCCTCACCACAGAATATCAAAAATCAAGAAAGATGAGACTAAAGACCTTCTTTTCATGCACATACAGCTGGCTCCCTCTCCTCTTCATCCCAACAAACGCCTCCCCACTCTTCATAATCTCCTTCGTCGCCCTAACCTACATCATCCACCGACCATGCATCTACTGCTCCGCCCTCCTCCTCATCCTCTTCGCATCTTCCTGTCACTGGTCCGACCGCTGCATCTTCGATCTACGCAGTAACTGGTTCGCACCACGCTACAGCTCCTCCTCTCCAACAAATTCAACCTATCAATCCGGCAACGCCACCATCGCCGCCCCCATCCCCGGCGACAGCCTCGCGGGCTTCGTCTTCGACACATTCAACTCCACAGCCAAAGCGCTCGCCAGTGCAGCGGTAGAAAGTGCCCAGAATCGACTCGGGGTGGATTCAAAACCTGCTGAATGGACGGGTGTTGGGCTGGAGTGGTTGCGTGATGTGCTGGGTCGACGTGAATGGACACTCCCTTGTGTGGATGTGAAGGTTCGGCTCTAGATGAATGGGTGGAGGAATAGGAAAAGTTTTGTTCTTGAAGCAATGCATGGTTTTGTGAATCTTTTTTTTTCATCGGGGGGGAGTTTCTGTGATGGAATTTGAGTGCATGCTTGATTCATTCAGTCTTGCTGTCTGGATTTAGATGGCAATTGTGCATTTTCACTGCTTATAAGATGTTTGCTTTCACTCCAGAACGACCTATTTGTCGTTTTTGTCTAGGGTTGATTCAAATTTGTATTGTACATATCATATGGCTTTTTAATGATTAGATGGTTATGTAAGGGAATGGTTTCCTAGTACTATAACTTGTGCCTTGAGAGAGTAAGAAAAGAGGTAGTCTTTAACCAGGTCTCCTAGTAGCTTCTATTACTGGACAGTTTCACTTTTCTACCGTAGGGTAGCTAACCAGGAGGCGGCATGTGCTAATTTGAATATGCAATGAAAACCAGGATAAAATAGTATTTCCAAGGCTAAGTGAGAATAATATATGCCTGTGACTTTTGAGATATACTAGCTAGCAATAGAACATAAACACTATCATGATGCACATCAACATATCAAAACCAAGAAATTCGGCAATCAGACCAAAGCAACCAAGTACTAGTATCTCCATTCCAAGTGCGTATACTACTAATACTAGTAGTAGCATTAAACCTAAATATCAACAGCCCCAGACGCAAGATCCGCCTCCTCCTTCGTCTCCGTCTCCCTCTCCGTCTCCGTCTTCTTCATAAAAGATTCAAAATAAGCCAACACCGCCTCGGGCACATGCTCAACCACAGTCTCATTACCACCAGGCTTCGACACACAAACACCCAAAGAAATCAAGAAATTGTCAACAAGGGGCACGCAAGCCGCACAAGAACAAATCTAGCAAATATGATATCATATTAGTATAGTATTTCAACTTAGCAAAAGTATAACATGATTCAAGCTCATTTCATGCCAGTGGTTAACGCGATTGGCGCCATACCTGAGCTAATCCATTAACCAAACACCTCTGCAACGCCGCCGGATCACCACTAGAAATAGCAGAGACGACGCAAGATGCTGTCCCCGAGAGTCCGAGACATGCAGCTAGGTTACAGGCCGGTGGCATTTGGTTGATTGCGAGGCGGTTCTGTTCTCGTACTAGGTAGGATCGTGGGGACTGTGTTAGTGTGGATGTTTTGCTCTGGGGGTGTGATGACGATGATAGGATGACGAGTAGGATCAGAGAATGATCATGATAAGGCTTAGAAGTCTGAAATTCTTGTAGTGATCTCAGGGGAAGAAAGAAAAGAAGCAGACATACAAGCTACCGTGGCATTGTTTTCATCGAGAGTATCCGATTTATCGGCGTAGGCGGACTGACCAGCTAAAGCTGCGAGGGCGAGGATAGAGATGTGGAAACGCATGATCACGGTGGAAAAGTTCAACTTGGGAGGAGAAAAGAAGGACACAATATTCCTAGATTGATACTTTAGATTCAATCGGTGCAGACTTTAGTCAAATGCCAAAAGATTTTGCCCAGAGTCTGCCACTGGGGTATATATTGGAAATTACTAGTAGTACGAAAAACCGAACCTGCATCCATCGAGATTTAACTCCAGACAGACACTGGCAGCAGAATATACTTTTTATGACTCGGGCCAACGACGTCGGGGTTCAAGTTGCTTGCACCCGCAAGCCATTCCCGAATTCGATATACCACTTGCATTTACTCAACTCAAGCGGCAAGGGAACACACTGCAGGAAAACTTGAACAATTACTACTAGTACAAAGAATGGACGTCACACCCCAGGATATCGTCACCGGGATGATTTGGACGAATTAAGATATCGCGAGGTAACACCGAGTCGCATCGAGATTCCCGTCCAGCCCCCTTTTCCATTTCCATTCAATCCATGCACGTTGGCCATTTTGAGTGAACGGTCTTAAGAAGACTGGGGAAGATAAAATGGCGTTGTTCCGCGAAAAGCATATTTATTGACTGTCCGACCTACCCTCCTGGCTAGTAGTAAGAACTTGAACGATGTCAATGTGCGCTATATGTGATGAACAAATGCAGTAGTGATGAATGAACTTTAGATTATCAACCAGGATTATAACATAGATACATGACGGAGAGGATATCTGGCAAATAACAGAAAAAAAGAGGCAGAGCAGAAAAATATGTCAGGCAAGGTGACCTCCCGTTTACAGATCACAAATCCCACCCGCGGAGAAACGGGGCGGCGGATACCAAGACGAAACCGCCGCGAAGGGGGAGAAGGGGGGGCACATAGAAAGAGATAAGGAAAAGGACAGATAAAATCGTGAAACATGACCCAGAGGAATGTGGTATCACAGCGTCCAAAAGCTCTGTTCGTCGTTGACAGAATTTCGTCACCAGCAGAAAAGAACTGACTGAACGGCTCCCTCCACCTCCAAGCCTGGAGAGAAAAAAAAGCAGAAACAGGAACAGAACAGATGTGTGTACGTACGTATGTATCAAACAAGATAAGTGAGAAGTGAAAATATGCGCGCAATAAATCAAATCAGCGCGATAAACGGAAAACGGAAACGACTATTAGTTGTATCCACCACCAGTAGGCAGGGGCCAGTCGTCCTCGGTAATACTGCTCCAAAAAGACCAGACACCGATAACGGACAAGAGGGTGAAGAGCGTTTCAAATAGGGCACCGTTGATTTTGCCGGATGACGCCTCGCAGAGGTGGACACTGATCACATATTGGAAAATCTGGCCAATGGCGAACAGGAGAGCTGCGCCGGAAAGATATACTGTAGGAAAAAAGGCGTCAGTAAAGGAATACGTTCTTTTAATTCCTGTAAACTTCGGAAAGTTGGGATTGACATACGCATTGGTCGGAATTCGCCCAGCACACGGAGTACCAATACAGCCTCAAAAGCGAAGAACAGAACCAGGCAAACGAGCGGGAATAGCTGGTAGAGAACGTAGAGACCGATGTTACGGTTGTCGTTGCCGGCACCGGTACTAGACGCGAAATGGCCGGTCCAGTCGAACGCAGTATCCAAAGCAATGTAGCCGGTACCGATGAACAGGGCCAAGGACGAAGCGCAGATGAGACCGATAGAGGCGGGGGTGCCGTCATCAAGTAGCTGGAACCCCACGAGCGCATTCATAAGAAGAATCCAGCATGTGGCAGTGATCGACGCAAGGTGGACGGCGGAAAAGCCCTACATCCAAATCAGCAAAATGCCCTGATCGATGCAAGGATATATGATATAAATCATCTCTCAGTGCTCACCTTTCGAACGGAGTCATGGATCGGGATACCACCGACGGTGAAGATTTCGCAAATCTGAATAACGATGAAGCCCAGTAGGAATAATTGCATCTCACTAGACGATGTCAGTATACCAATCCTCGCGCGCAAATCGAATTGACTCCAATTCGGAGAATGAGGGGGCAAATGCATACCGACGCCCGACAGCAGCATGCTTCTTATCCGACCTCCATAGCATAGCGAGAGAAACGAGGATGGCGAGGAAAGCCAGTAAAATGGAGCCTATATCCCGCATTAGCCACACATGGAAGCTTAAAATTGATAAAGGACCCTCGTGCATTCCAGAGCGCGCCACATACCAAGATTAGCGAGATGGCGACCGCCACTCAACTCGATTCCATAGAGAGGGCATCCATCAAAAGTTCCATTGGGACCAGCGTTCGGCGGCTGATTGTCCAAGAAGAGCTGAAAGAAGAAAAAAGACAACAATTAGTACCTGCGCGTATATGGATCGCGAAGAGGAAACGAGAGTAAATTGACGAACATTGCAGACGGGTAATAGCGAGTCGCGACAGAAGTCCTGTAATAGCGGGATTGGGGTCAGCGGTCAGAGTCTGCCTAATTGGGTCTTGGGCGGAGAAGGCGCGGGAATTCGGAGAATCCAGGGGCGCGATTGGCAGCGAGACTCACGTGGAAATTCCCGAATTGTGTTGAACCCATAGTTGAATGTCAAGCCTTTAACCCTGGGGAGGGATGAGGAGAGAGGGGAGGGTGGCCGTGGAAAACTCGTCGAGCTTGGAAGTTGTATTGCGGACGGGGCTCAGTCGTCCCCTGACCCGCGTGTGTTGAGGGGAGCGGGCAGGATGATGAGGGTGGAGTGGTGGAGGAGAAGAGGTCGAGCTCCAGCGAGAGACGAGCCACTGTAGGGCGAGGACTTGGAGTCAAAGGGCGTGAGGTTAACGAAGGTGTAAGAGTGAGTAGTGAAGAGGAAGTCGAAGTGGAGTTGGAGTGTTAGTGCGGTCGGGACCAGGCAGAGTGCCCCGGTGTCTCTCGATCAAGGAATGGTCGACGCTAGTGCTTAGCTTGGATACGATAGTTTGTTGGATTCTCAATTTTGGGAGGGTGGATTTCCAATTGGGAGGGAAATTATTGGGGTTCAGGCCAGGGACGAGTACGAGTATACCCAGGTAATACTATTATTCTGTTATTCCAGGGCTACTCCATACTGTGCAGTGGCAGTGCCAGAATGACTCCAACCTTGGTCCCATCTAAGAATAGCACGTCCTTTCCATGGTTCATGGTATCCAGGACTACCACTCCATACCTTCTCACTATATACTATGTACTACTCGTATGCACTATTTCCTCATGCACGGAGTCCATCTAAACATTGGAACCCTTCTAGGCCCTGTGATCGCTGCCCTTGCGTGGCGCAAATCGATCTGGTCGACTGGTCGACCCGGCGACCCGCCGATGTGCCGCCACTCGATCGACGGGATCGTCTCTACACGTTCCAAGCTCGGTTTCTTCACGCTTTAGCCCTGGAGTACTACCATCTCTGCCATATATGGAGTTTGAAAACTTATTTCAATTTGATCTGACTTTAACCATGGAAGTTACTAGTATCACTTTCCATCTTTATTCTCCTCCAACCCTGGAAGACCTCATTCGTTCCCACTAGGCTGCAAGTTGAGAATATATCCACGCTCCATTGGAGTAGATCAACCGCATGCTAGATCGATCTAGCACACATCCTCAACAACCAATTCCTTACCATCATGCTCTCCCAGATCTAACTTAAGCGTACGTCCAAACAGCTCCAGCAGCATCTCAAAGCACGACTTGGTAATAGCAGGGTCGTACCGACCCTTGCTGAGCTCATCGCGAATGAAAGCATCTACATCATCATCATAATCTCATAGTCAGCAACCACATGCCCGGGAACTGGGAAATACCACAGCACTAATGTGCCCTCAAACTCACGCTGTGCCCAGGCAACTTCATAGAAACTGAACAAAACACCCTTCTCATGCAGATTCTTGCGAATCAAATCCCGGCCCTCGGGCGGAACGTGTGTATCATTTTTGCCAAAGATCTGCGAAGCGTTAGCGTTAGCATTAGACTCGATTCTCCCCGTCTGGGACCAAAGCAAAAGGACGCGGGCCCCGGGGTGCTGGCCTACCATCAAAAGTTCACCCTTGATATCGCCCGTCCTCGCCAAACTGTCATCATTCTTACCCCGGGCCAGGGTCTTGCTGTGGATATCCGTAGCAAAGTAACACACAGCCGCCTTGACCCGACTATCGAGTGCACAGCGGTACGCAAGATGGCCGCCGAGACACATACCCGTTGCACCGACGCGGCCGTTGCATGTAGAGAGGGAGAGTAGATAATCGACTGTCAGGCTTGCGTCTTCATCGTAGGCTTCTAGCTTCTGCGGTGATGGAGTGGAGTCAGCATAGTAGAGCACAGCACAGCATAGCATAGCACAGCCACTGATCACAGTATAGGGTCCTGAGTCCCCTTCTCCGATATAATCATGAGCATGGCATAAGTCCATTAATTCACACGACTGTCGGTGAATCCACTCCACTAGAGTATGGAGTATGTGAAACTACCCCCGTGGCTGGGGTGGCTACTTACTTTACCAATCTTCCACGCATTCCCTTTATCGGTGTCTTCAGCGTTATACTGCAGTGGCTCGGGACCGGTAAATTCATGATAACTCGATGGTGCGGCGACGATGTACCCCTGGCCGGCGATTTGGCGAGCAAAACGTGCCACAGGGCCCGTGACTATGAAGATTCAAGATTGGTTGTCAGCAGAAGATAAGATAACATGATTTTCGATAGTTTTGCTAGCATAAAGTAGCGCATTCAATCTAATGATAACTTGAACTTGAATGAAACTTGAAGCTCAGCCTCTTCATGTCCCTTACCTTGATAAATCTCGCTGAAGATAGCTACACCGGGGAATCGTGCTTTGGGATATCCTGGGACAGTGGGGTGGAAAACATATATGCCTGTGTAAATCGTATTAGCATATAGTTATAGTTATACTTGAGAGCTGTAATTTCTTTTCTTTTCTTTTCTCAAAAAAAGAAAACCCGGAAAAAACCGAAAAAAAAGCTAGGGGCGATATTTTTCGAACGGTCGAAGCTTAAAAGCTAGCTCAAGGAAATGAGGGGCGGATGTTCAACTTCAAATTGTACATACGCATGCTACCCTGGCCATCGGCCTTGGTGGGAACGTCGACGGTGGTTTCTTGGACGAGCATGATGTTTGAGTGAGCTTCTCTTTGCCGGTCTTGGTCAATTGAAATGGATGTTGGAGCTTTCGCGAGCTCCAGTTGGAAGAAAAGATAAACTTGAGCTTGAAGGAAGCGCGGGGGCCCCAGTCATGTGCCGGCTGACAAAGTGCGCCGCGGGCGCCCGGTGAACGTTGATGTCAACAACTTCAAGTTTTGAAATCAAGTTTCCATCTAATCTAGTGCCTACCAATAAAATGCATTGTAAATTTGAAATATTTTTCATTGGTATATTTTGATTGAACTAAATTAAGTAAAGAAAGCATAAAGAAACTTGAAGAACCCGAGGAATCCATTGAATAATATACATGGAACTGAATGTTGAATGGGCCCACTGCGAGGCGTTCGATTTTCAAGACAAGACACCGCGATCAGCGGAGCCATGGCAAGCATTATAAAGATCATATCTCGAGTGGTGTCAAAAAGGGTCCCAAAAGTGCGTCGTAGCTATTTGAGTGAGCTTTTTGAAAGCACAACCGCCCGGAGCCGCTGTACAGCAAAAATAGAAAAAAGGAGGGATGGGCGAAAAGGGGAGGCCCGATTATAATCCTTAAAGGACTTTAAAAGACGTACTATAGGAGGTAGGGTTAGCGGTTGCTTCATCAGGGACGAAGGGAGATTGAATTGAAACTCACAGGAATGAACAGATAGGGAACCTGTCGCTCGTACTCGGCCCAGGTCTCGCCATACTTGATGCGGCAGCGCTGGATATCGCGCAGCGCACGGTGTGAGATCATGCAGGCGAAGAATAGAGGGTAAAACCAGGGGAAGGGGCTAGAGAAACCGGTGATCAGGCCCCAGTTCAGGGCGAAGAAGAGATCGCAGGTGTAGTGGATCTTGCGGGCCTTGCCGTACCAGCCATCGACCAGGATCTTGGAGCCGTCGGCGGTGGTGAGGGTCTTGGGGTTCTCAACAGTCTGCCATGGCAGCTGGGGGAAAGTGTTGCGCTTGACCATAGTGCCGCGCTCCTGCTGACGGAAACGGTTCTTCTGGCTGTTGGTTGTGTCCCACACCCAGTAGACAAAGAGGTATGCGACGAAAAGGAAGGCCAGGAAGAATCGGTTCCAGTGGTACTCGGAGGGGTCGTGGTTGGCCAGGTAGATGGTGCAATGGCAGTAGCTCAAGGGGACACCGGCCAAGTTCCAGAAGATGAGCATAAAGCCCCACTTCTCATAGTACATATCCCAAGTGGACACAATGCACTCCTCACCCTTGGAGCAGGCATTGGCGTAGAGGAAGTGGGCCATGACCAGGAACATGACCTCGCCAGAAACATAGCCGTAAACCTCCCATTGACGGGCGGCGGCACCCATGGAGAGGAAAAGCAGAATATACCAGGGCAGACGGACCTCGAAGAACATCTTGAAGTCCAGAATACCGAACATACGGGGGTTCAGCTCAGCACCCATGAAGAAATCATAGATCGGAGCGCCGGTCATACGGTGCTCGGCGCCACGAGCCAGAGCCGAGAAATAGGCGACGAACGAGACGATGAAGCCAGACAGAATGGCAACGCTCAGCAAGGGGCCGAACTCATCGATGATGGTGTAGAGCTTGAAGAGGCCAGTCGTGTGTAGAACGATAACCAAGATAATGCTGGTATAGAAGGACCAGACGGCTGAGCAGTAGTAGGGCAACTGCTTGTTACCCGAGTGCGGCAGAGGACGTCCCATCATCGACACACCGGGGAGCAGGATGTAGCAAGCACCCTCGAAGATGAAGAAAACCCAGTAGATAGTCCACGCCTTGAGAGACGGGAATGCGCCGGTGTAGACGAGGTTGGCCATGTGAGCGAAGAACTCGGAGAAGCTCTGGCCCTCCGCGCGGGTAGGGAACTTGCCATCATAATAGGTTGCGCCGATCCACATGTAGTACATGAGCATAGGGAAACAGATCATCATGGCCAGCACACCAGGCGAGCCACCAAATTCCTTGTGTCCGCTGTAGTCGACCTTAGGGTCCAATCCTTCTTCCCACCCGTCAACAATGCGCGATTCGGTCTTGACCTGGGATTTCTTAGGGGTCGAGGCCTTGCCATTGGTGGCCAACTTTACAGGAGCGATCTTCTCCTCTTCCTCCTCCGAATCCTCGGTCTTGACCCTAGCGGAGGCGCGACGGCGAGTGGTGGACTTGGAGCGGGATCGGGGAGCAGGAGATCCATTCTCAAGGCCCTCATCGAAGCCTGCTGAGCTCTTGCGCGTGGAGCGACGACCAGGGGTCTCGATGTAACCGGGACGATCCATTTTCCTGAAAAGAGAGAGGAAGAGGATTAGCGATTGCGATTGAGATTAAAAAGAAGTAAAATCCTAGAAGACGAGTGCAATTGCGGCGCGGGTGGGCATGACAGGGGGGCATCATATAGCCAGTCGCGACAGGGTGGATCGAATCGCAAAGGAGACTCGGAGAACCCGAGAACCGAGAAGCAGAAAAAGTTGAAATACGTACTTAGGGGTCTTCCCCGTTTGAGAGCGAGTCAAAGTCATGATTGTCTACTCGGAAGTCCGAGATCCGACACTTTCAGGGCAAGGAGGAGTTGGAAGGTTGGGATGAAAACAAGGACAAGTAGGAAAAACGAAACTGGAATGTTTACTTGGAGCAAAGCGGCGTGGGGACGGCAAAATTACCTCGAATTACCTGCAGATTACGATTACGTCCGGCTCGCGCCTCACCCGGCGGGCGTGGGCCTGTTTTGTTCCCCCACAATTACGCTTGTTGTCCTTCCGGTTACTACCATAGTTGCTACTACTAGTAGTTAATTATTGCTACTACTACTCTTACGTAGTTTATTTAATAGCTGCTCCAGTCGCACCCTGGGAAGCCCCGAAGCCCCGGGTCTCCCATGCATGGTCGCGGGCGTTATTTTATTTTAATTTTTCTCCTGCAGCGGCGATCCCTGCGCCAAGACGGTCGTTCCCTTTTCATCATAAAGTACTCACAATGATTATCTGGAATAATTTAAGTTTCCCCTCAGGTCACTGTAGGAAATTCATTACTGGTAGCTTCTATGGACAAGTGAATTTCTATGTTTATTTTGCTTTCAGATAGTAAACACCAGATGAAAATGTTGGGACTGGAATGTGGGCCCACTGCGGAGATGTCAAGGCAAATCGATACTATAATGCAATGAAGCAATGCCACAGGAAAAGCAATGAGAACATCTTGCAAGAGAAAGAATCAAATTGCACAATTCGCTCCGGGAGAAAAAAAAATAAAATAAGAACAAAGCCCGGGATCCGGTGGACATGGAGTATTTCAAGCCTATGCGCCGCGGTGGCTGTTGGTTGACATTAATGTAATCTTGCCCTTCTTCTTTTTCTTACTAGATTTGGATGAAGAGGGTCCCGACTCCTGATTCTCGGGAGCCGTTTGGGCGATGACTGCTGACTCTTGCTGTGCAAAGAGCTCATCTTCCCACCCTGCTAGCCATCCATCATGCCGGGGCTGGACCTCCAAAGTTGGAGATGTTGATGCAATAGCCGTTGTGCCCCAAACGGTGCGAACCCCAGGCGGACTGCCGGAAGGTGAGGCTAATGCTCCGAATTGGGATGACGCGCGTGGTGGGGACGCTGAAGAGGCACCAGCGTCAAATACCGCAGAATCGGCATTGCTGGACAATGGTTGGAAATCATGAACATTGAAAGGCGCATCGCTGGAATTTCCAATACTTGGGCGCTTGCGACGTGCAGCGGCCCATCGTTCGTCATCTTCCTTCTTCTCTGCGCGAATGCGGTCTTTCTCCTCGCGGGCTTCTTTGTCCCGATTGCGCTTTCGTCTTCTGTCGGTTTCTGTCCGGAATTGCGCGAGGACTTCAGGAACCACCACATCCCTCCAGTCGCACTCAAGGAAGCTCACCTCACAGCCGTAGGGAAGATGCCCAAGATATTTAACACGCTTTCGCAGGTCATCATCGACCATATGACCAGTTGAGATGTGCTCTACCCGGGGTAGTATGGTCGCGGGGAATTGAGCATATTCGCCGAACGCAGCTTTGAGAATCCTGATATCCAGTGGTGACAGATAAAACTGAGGCAAGGCTTGATAGAAGTAATATGGTTGGTCCGATGGGGGTGTATTTTGTGCCTCTTTGCCTCGGCCCTTCGACCGAGTCTGCGATTTGGGCTCGGATTCGAGTTGAATGTTCTCCATGATCTCCGGGAGACGATCCGTTTCATCTGATGTGATTGGTGTTGGGGTGGGTTCCGCGGCCGGATGTGTCACGTCCGTGCTGGAACTTGGCGCCGATTCCTCGGAAGAGCCACTAACCGGCGGAGCCGCATCTTCACTGGTGTCAGATACCACAACGGGATCTTTGGCAGGTCTGGAATTCGCTTTTTGCCGAGTGATGGTGGGCGGATTGCCAATCCCCTGAAGCTTTTCCTTCGCCTCGGAGATCGCGCGGACGGCCTTCCGGGACCACGTATTCTCATCCCCAAACAGCAGCTCGTCCTCAACCTCCTGTCTCCGGAGATCTTCGATTTCTGTGTCGTATTGAGCAGCCATGTAGTCCTCGCCACCTTTCATGATTCGAGAGTAGTCGGCCACTTCAGCCACATGGTACCAAGGGATATCCTCTCCCTTACCAATAGTTTCACCACCATCACGAGGAAGGGCAAGAGTGCTGCCAGCTTCACGCTTGACTAGTCTCAAAACAACATCCCCGCCTTCCACAGGGAGATCGCCTTCTTGGCCCCGGAACCATCGGACAGGGCGACTCTCCGAGGCGTAAATCGAGTCCCAGCAAATTGGACATTTCTTCCACCGAGGCTTCTTGTCAGGGACATGCTCTTCACCATCGGACGAATGCATATAACGAATAAGGCATGGAAGACAGAAAATATGGCCGCACCGAGCCATTCGCGGTGCGACCGGTATAGACAAACAAATGGGACAGCTGGCCGCCTGAGTCTGAGCGGAAACCAGGACCTGAAGAACAGATGCCCAATCTAGATGTACATCTGCATTGGCTGCTTGGGCATGATAATTGAGATCCGGGGAGACAATGAAGCGGTAATTGGCATGGACATATCGCGCTTTGTCCACTGCATGGTAGCCGGACCCTGTGCCCGATGATGCATAGTGCCGAATGTTGCGAGGGGGTGGTTGATACTGTGGTCGAGGAGGAAGAGAGAAATTCATCAAATGAGTAATGGACGTCTGTCCTTTGCGGCTGTTGGTAGATTTCATGACGGCCTGGACAAGGGAAAATGGGTCAGCAGGGAGCCTTTGAACCCCATCCAATTTGGAATACCCACTGATTCACTGTAATCATCATCATCCAAAAGTCCTGGTTTCTTTTGTCGTTTGTGCTGATTCTTTCGGCCTTGATTGTTGCGCGGCGTCCCCGAGTTCCTCGACGATAGCCCGGCGCCAAAGCTTCCAAAGCCTCCTGCCCGTCGCTGGGAGCTGCTATCGTTTGAGGGAGTAGAGTGATAGGCGGCAGGCCCGGCGGGGGGGATTTGAGATATTTGCCGCTTTGGAAGGAGTCGGAGTTTGTCCACCACTTGACGACATCTCCAAACCAATTCTCGTGGGTCAGATAGCTTGACGTCGATTTTACACAACCGAAAGAGCGTAAATCCTAAATGACCGTTCGGGGAGCTTCAAAGTGAGGCTCTTCGTAAGTTCCAATCAAATGCAACGCTTGATAAGGTAGGCGATCAACCAACAAAGAAGAACAGAAATGTGTCCATCCAGAGTACCCAGAGTACCCTAGCTCAGTCTGAGAATGCAGAAGAAAAGTATGAATAGGCCAAGCCTCGAGAGGCCATCTAAAGAATAAAGATGGCGACCAGGATTGGCACGCTGAGTACATCGCGATGGCGGGCGTCGAGGAGGGGCGGGCCATGACATCGCCGGGCACACGTGCCGGTGACTCAGCATTGCTGACTAACTTTGATTTGGGAAGGTCTGCACTTCATCAGCTTCGCTTCCAGCAGGCGTTGAATGAGGGACCACGTCTCTTTCGACCACTTTCCCTTTTCACCGCATCTGACATACTCGTCTCCCTCCCCTTGAAATATTTTATTTTACTGTGATTTCATTATTGAGGTAAAAATCAAATCCTGACCTCTGTCTCTCATCCCGCGCATTGTCTCTTAACCATTCAAATCTCCAGCTCTAGCGATTCACACTCCCCGACTCCGATATACCCAACCCCCCTTCGAAACATCCACTCGATTTCGGTAAAGGCCAACATGGCTGCATAAATGAAAATTAGCCTTCAGGTTTTTGGATCATCTTGATTTTCATAGCGCATGGTTGCCGTTGAGGCAGCGCGTGGCTGAACAAAGGCGACAAACTATCTCCAGCCTCGTCAAGATGAACCACCACCTGCCCCCGATGCCCCATGGGCAGCCGCCTATGCCGCAGTCGCGGCGGCAGCAGGACTTCTCCTACAACCCTGGTCATCCCAACATGCGATCCCCACCTTACATGGGGTATCCCCCACACATGAACGGCATGAATGGTATGAACGGCCACATGCCTCCAGCATATTCGCCTCAACAATTTCCTCCTTGGTATCCGCCTTATGGTCATATGCAACTTCCTCCTCGTCCATACCAAGCCCAACCTCATTACGGCCCTATGATCGTGTCTTCCTACCCGCCCTCACAACCGATCATGGCACCCAACCATATTCCTCCTCATTCACTACCAATGCAGCCGAGGACATCAACGCCTTTACAACCCAACATGTCACCGTCAGTACATGCGGTTCCTCTTCAACCTGAAATGCAAGATCATACCGTTGTTCCCGTGCAACCGCCTCAGCACTACCCCATCGCGACTCCACCCCCGCGATGGGAGCCGAAGACTATCCCGGAGGCTGAAGTTGCCGTTCCCGAACCGAAACTTCCTTTTGCTGCGCCGGTAAGCTGGATTCAAAACCGAACCAATATACGTCTAGTAAGATCTAACATTGTTTATAGCTGCCCTGGCTCTCAGTTCCCGAAGTGTCTTTCCCGCCAAGACTGCGAACCAGACGCCGATCGGTTCGTCCTTTGTTGTCTGCCGTCGAGTTCCCCAAGAAAGATGGCAAACATATCATCGGAGAGAGAAACGATTACGAAGACGCGAAGACTGTCGAAGTGAAGCCTGCTGATACTGCTATTAATGCGATCTCCGAACCTCAAACACCCACCACTTCTATTCCCCAGTCGGAAGCAAACTCGACACAGCCAACCACTCCATCTTCAGCAGCGAAATCCCAGACTACACAGAAAAGTACAAAGCCTGCGCCTGTTGTTCCTGTTGTGCCAAATGTTCCAGGAACTCCTCGTCGCCAAACTACCAAAGACACTTCTAGCGTTGGATCTGAAACGCCCAAGTCGGCCACTCCTGATGCCGAGCAGACACCTTCTGTAGCCACTGCGGAAGCCTCAGTCAAACCGGCTTCGCCTGTGCGCGCAGCACCTAAGTCCTGGGCCGACCTTGTTCGCTCCAAAGCAGCAGCAGCAGCAGCCGCCGCCGCCGCCGCCAGCCCTGCCGCGGCCGTTCCAGTCGCCACCGAGTCAGGAGCGTTGGCCGCACCGAAAAGCGAGTCTCTTGGAGATGTACTGAGCAGTCTGGGAGAAGATGTCACCCAATATAGCGACAAGATCGCTTTCCTCGAGCCCCGAGGACTTGTCAACACTGGAAACATGTGCTATATGAACTCCGTCCTGCAAATCTTGGTTTCATGCGTCCCATTCCATCAATTCCTTGAGCATGTTGGTCGCCGGGCTGTGCACAGCTTCAAGAGCGACGTGCCTCTCATCGATGCCTTGATCATGTTTATGAGAGAGTTCCGTGTTATCGATGCTGCAACTTCAGAGGACCAATTGAGAATGCGACTGAAGCCCACCGAGCTTGAACAGTATGGCGAATCCTTTGTTCCTGAGTTTGTTTATGATATGATTCGACAGCTCCCTCGCTTCAGGGACATGCGACGTGGTCACCAACAAGATGCACAGGAGTTCCTAGGTTTCCTTCTCGAGGAAATGCACGAAGAGTGTGACCGTGCCGCGAAATCGAAAACCGCTGCTTCCCAAGACTCCACTGAGGGATCTTCCGGAGACGGGTGGCTCGAAGTCGGTGCTAAGCAAAAATCAGCCGTGACTCAGTCCTCTGGTCACATCGCTGCTGAATCTCCGGTCACTAGAATCTTTGGAGGCAAGTTGCGTTCAGAGTTCAAGGTTCCTGGTAATAAGACATCTGTTACTATGGAACAGTACCAGCCCCTGCAGCTCGACATTGGTGCCCCTGAAGTCCACAATATTATTGATGCCCTTCGAGGACTCACCAAGCCTGAAAACATTCAAGGCGATTTCAACTCCTCCCGCGGTCCCAACGTCACAGCCACTAAGCAGATGTTTATTGAAACTTTGCCCCCTGTCTTGATTCTCCACCTGAAGCGTTTCCAGTACGACAGTGTGACCGGTGCTACTCAGAAGATCTGGAAGAAGGTCGGATACCCCCTCGACTTGGAGCTTCCACGAGAAGTCTTCCCAGCCCACCGCCGCAACGCCATGAATGCGCAAGGTGGTCTCCCGAAGTATCGCCTCATGGGAGTCATCTACCACCACGGCAAGAATGCCAGCGGTGGTCACTACACTGTCGATGTTAGGCGCCAGGATGGCCGTGAGTGGATTCGCATGGATGATACTGCCCTTCGCCGTGTTCGCAGCGAAGATGTGGCGGAAGCTGGTGGCGAGGAAGATCCCAAGGTGCTTGCAGCTGCTCTTGAAAAACACAACAAGCAGGACAAGAATACTCATGCAAACATCTTCGACCACATTGACCAAGATGAAATCGAGGCCGCCGACAATGACAAGGGCTGGAGCCAAGTGAACGGAACTGGCTCCAATGGACACGCGAGTAAAAAGTCCGTCAATGGAGTTGCACCTCCTTCTGCCCCGTCATCTGGGGTGCGCACTCCCCTTGGAAGATACGGCTCTCGCGACAACAAGGTCGCCTACCTCCTCTTTTACCAGCGCCTGGCATAATTATGTCATTAAAAGTGGTCAGGATTGATGATTCCCTACTCAACTCAATACCCCCTCGACATTCTCAGCCCCTGTGGCTATATGAAATACGCATTTCTATTTTCAACATTTGTTTATTTGCGACAGCATCATACCCCACATTAGTGGCGCTTTCGATTTCACGCATGTTCTTCATTTACAAAGTTGCAGGGCACAAACCTTGTGCGCCGTCAACCGGCTGTAAATATCACGCCCGGACGACCTGCGGTCACACAAACGGGAGGGAGCCTTAAAGCTTGCCTCGAACACAATGAACACTGGCTGAAGCACGACGGCAAGAGTATCTATACAAAATCAGGGCAGGGCGGGCCCTAGTTTTCAAATATTTACCATCTTGCTTCGTGACTTCAGCACCAGCACCAGCTCCCCTCAGGACAATTCCCATTCGCAAAAAACGCGAGCAATACCGCACTCAACACCCCCAGCGGCAATTACGCAGCCTTACAACATCACCTGCATATCAACAACTCGAAAACACACCTACCTCCCTTTGAACACAACCACACCACTGAATACTAGCTTATTTGGGCTATCTATTACAAATATCGAACATAACAGTCGAAACCCTCCTACCAATACTACCGACCCTCATACCCTCCAAAAATTCCCAATCAAAACACAACGAACATACTCTCCACAATCTTCTTCCACCACCTCACTTCGCCGCAGAAACAAGCAACCCCGAACAGAATCCTCTACTCTCCTGCTCGCTCAGCTCGAGATCCCAAGTCCTCCTATTCCATACATTTATCTTTGCTACCATGGCGTGAGGGGATCAGGATCAACGACCAAGTCATGAATTTCATTGTCTTTATTTCTTCGCAGTCTTTCCTCCCCCCCCCCCTCCTCTTTCCCATAGATGGATACCGGAAAGAGGGGGGGGTAAGAGGCGGGGGGCGGGCGGGCGGGCGGTTTGTTTTGCTAGTGGGTGTTCTGTGATTACATTATCAGAGGTCGGTGATGGGATGGGATGGGATGGGACATCCCTTAAACGAATTCACTTGCTTATTGTTGTATTTTTGAATGAGACGAAAGAAAAGGCGAAAGAACACAGGATAAAGAAGGGAGAGAGAGAGGAGAAAGAACAGAGTCAATCGAATCGAAACCAGAAAGGAGAAGAAGAAGAAGAAGAAGAAGAAGAAGAAGAAGAAGAAGAAGAAGAAGAAGAAGAAGAAAGAAATTGGGGACGAGGGGAGAAGTTGCTCAGAGAAGAGGAAGATGATCATGATCATGATACTAGTACTATATGAACAACGTTCTAGGAAAGGACCGTGGCAAGAATAGGGCTAACAGGATGAGGAAGAGGAGGACCAGGACCAAAAAAGCATGTTTTTATAGCCCCAAAAAAATTTCAAAGGAAATTTTATTTCAAATCCTTTTTCATTACTGCGTAGTCGTAGTCGTAGACATAATTGCTGTGTTGTGCTAATCTTAATGCTAATGTTACATCTCATTCATGGTAATGCATATGGGGAATCGAACGAGTTAAACAGGACAGGACATGACATGACATGACATGATGGTGCACTCGGCACTAGCCTGAATGAATCAGGCATGGAAGGCGACATGCTCAGGAGGAAAATTCTCGTCAGCTTCGTCCTCGACAAACTCGAAGCCCAGGGCGCGCCAGTTCAATTCCTTCCTCCAGTGGAGGCCATAGTACTCCCGGTCCTCGCATGGGTGACAGGCATTGGCATTGGCGTCGACGTCTCCGTTCGCCAGGACAGCCTTTTGGGTCTCCATGGGTCCGGATGCAAGACCACCGCTCTTCAGACGGCCGGCGCGGGGGTAAATTACTGCCCGAAATCGGGACAGGAGGAGTCCCATGCAACAACAGATGCACGGCTCGTGGGAGAGATACACGTCTAGAGACGTGCACAGGTAGCCGCCCTCAGCCCGACTTCGGATGCGTGAAGTCGGCAAGCGGTCTCCCGACTCCTCAATTGGTTCCTGATGAGCCGGGGGAAGGCTCGCGGGGTCTGAGGGGGGAGGAGCGGGGAGAGGGGGAGTAGTGGTAGATGGTGGTAGTTCAACCTCTGCCAGGCCATCAAGGGAGACGGCGGCTGCCTCGGGGTTCGGCTGTGCGAACTTCCTCTTTCGAGGGGATACTTGGCAACTCGTCGCAGGTGAAGGGCGGTACGAGGTGGAGTCGTCGTCGATGACATGACTCCCAGCTTCGTAGAGGAAGTATTTCTCGAAGGCGCTGAGTTGGTTTGGCTTTGAGAGCTGGGGGTCCGTGTGGACGATTGGTTGACAGGTCATCGCCGCTAAGTCAACTTCATTCTCCGGGTCCTCCCTCCTCGACCGCGCAACCAGTTCAACAGCACGCATTAGCGCATGCAAGTCTGGGCCACCTTCGTGGTCCGAGTTGTACGTTTCGCATGCCGGGTTGGGTGCAATACCAGGATGCCTGTCGGCTTGGGAAGGTCCACCAGCTTCAGCTCTTGCAAAGCGACAGTCACCAGCGACGGCAACAACGGCCTGTGGCCAACGCTCTCGGCTATTGTAACCTTCTTCCCAGGCTTTCTCGTCAATCTGCGCTTCGATTCTGGGGTCAACGATCACCGCGCCTACACCGCGTCCGCGGCCCGACTGCTTTGCCTCCAGTGCGACCTCTCGTGCCAGAGACACGTAATATCCAGCACGAGGTTCAATGGACTTCTGGTCACGGTTGAGAGTTTGGGGATTCGGTGCGACGGTCGATCGAGAGGCTGCGGGATTGTAGGTGACGGGCCACAGAGACCTGGTCCACAGGTCGGCCACTTCGGCACTGGCAGGTGGATAGATGGGGATCTTGGTGCGGAAAATCGTAAGCTCTGGCGATTGTTCTGGGGTACTGGGGTTTGAGGTCTCCGGTGGTTCCTGTGAAGAACGAGAACGGGCACGAGGCACTGGTATGAACGGCTCGAGCAGGGCGCGCACAGCTTCCATATCAGGAAGAGAAATCCCAAGGAGGATAAAGATGCTTGGTGACATGGAAGACTTCTGAGGATAGGTTTCATCCACGAATTGCTTCACTGACTCTGGCAAATTGTCGCGCTTGCAGAAGCGGCGCAGATGATTGAGTGGGAGGGAAGAGTCGCGAGGGAATGAGGCATCGAGAGCTCTATAGCGAGGCCATTAGTGTTCTGTCGACAGTATAAGCATATGAAGTTGACATACTTGATCACTTTGGATGCGGATTTGATGTCGACTTCAGCGACATAAGCATCATCTGTAGATTGGAGTCAGTCTTGACGCGCCTGGGGACAATGGCGGGGTGGGGTTCGATTCGATCACATACCATAACCTTCAGGTGGGTTGACTTCTTGGATAGATTTGATAGGAACTACATGTCCATTCAAAGGCTGAATTGCCTCAACGACATCCCGCATGGAAACGGCGCGAGAGTCGTACGTGGATGCATCCATTGTTGTGAATAACTGGCGAGTGAGGGAAGGTTAAAGGAAGAGGAAGAGGGATGGAGAAAGGGAAGAAGTGAGGAAGGTGTGAAAAGACGACCACATGACTGGGGGGGGCGATGAGGAGGGGGCGATGAGGAAGGTGCGATGCCGCACAGGCAGGTGCGACTGGGGAGCGGCAGGTCGAGAAGCTGAGAGTACCTGAGAGCACCCTAGGCTTGCAGTGAATGTGAGGGTTCCTTTAAAGTTGCTAGTAGCCTACAGATAAGAATTAAGATTGAGGAGATTTGCGGCATCCCATGCCCTAAACCCCGCACCCTATGCCCTAATCTCCAACCTGGGAAAAGTACCTAAACAGTGAAGATCGCCATGTCTGAATGGCATTTGAAGTAGTACTAGTAGATTATTGTGTCTTGTAAATTGTTGATTGCGTTCTCAAAAATTGTAGAAGTGAGATAATAAAAAATCCAGCAAAGGCGGGAAGGAGGCAAGAATAAAAAGAACATTGACCATATTTTCATTGATAGACATCAGAACGCCGGATCATATTGCTAGTAAATGAAACGCTGAAAACATGATACAGAAAACCACCTCTTGTCCTGCGTATGCTGAGTAGGTAAGGCCACTCTAGTGTATCGCGCCAATTGATGCAGAACCCCAAAGATCACGAGCATGACGGGGTATTCATCAGATAACGCTCTCTGTGGATGCAAAACAATCATCGTTTTATTAAGACCGTGCCGCGGGTGGATCTAAGGGATAAAATGCTTGGATCAATTGGCTCTCACAACTCACATTCCTTCGCGCCACACTCTCGAGGCCAGCCCGAAATTGGTTCGTAAGGTATAATGGATAATGAAAATGGCGGGGAAAGAGAAGTGATGCGGCCATGGTTGAGCAAGTTCTAAGTAGCCCCGGGGCGTTCTATGCAGAAGGGGTGTTGGTATTGGTGTTGGTGTTGGGTGTCGTCGCTGCGACAGAAGAATCGTCGCCACTAGGGCGTTCGATTTCGAAGCCATCGCATCGTTCGATCAGGCTTTGATAGTAATCCACCAAGACCTCTGGCTGTGGAACGATGCGCCATTGCACACGGAATAGGAATTCCAATTCCAGCATGGCCAACTCGGTCATGCCGATACCACCCACACGGGCATATGTCTTGTTCGTCCAAAAACTGTCGCTGAGCCCTTTGCTGGCAACGGTTGCACTGGCGATCAGGAAACGATGGATAGTGAGACTGGAGACGGTGAATGCTGGGTATAGCGCACAGAGACGGTCAATGTAGTAGACCATGGCGAGGAGGATCGGAGGGGAGAGGGTGGCGTGGGTGGTGAGACGTTGTAGGTAATCCTGCACGGAGATTCGGGGTGGAGATCGAGAGTGGAAGCGCGTTAGTCGGCCTTCATTGAGGGGAATTTTGTCGTTGAATCGGATCAATTCCATCAGCATGCTGGAGATCAGCACCACCAGGTCGCGGGGGTCGGCGTGCTCATATTGAGCAGGCAAGACTTTTGCCTCCGATTCGGCGGGGCGCAGGCGCTTAGACTGCGACACTTGCCCCTCAGGATCACCAGCGCCCGCCGGGGCACCATCTGACGAGTGGTGATCATTCTGGCTGTTGCGCTTATTGGACCCCGAACCGTCTGGGGCGGGCATCGAGACCTTCGGATCGGAGGGATTGGAAGGGGGATTCACGGGGACCGCGGCGGAGGACGCAGTAGGGGGTGGGGGAGGAGGAATCATAGAATCGGAGACAGTCACAGTATCTGCGGAGCTGCTGGGGACAATAGAGGAATCGGCGGAAGCAGATGTAGACGCGGAGGCATAGGTATGGGTAGACGCAGACGCAGTGGCAGTGGCGGAAACAGAAGCGCGCCTGCGGTGACGGTCTGCAGGAGATTCAGGAGAGTTGGGATCGACGGTATGTCGATTCAACGCGGTCCGCAACTCCTCAATGGCCAAGCGTGAGGAGCGAGGACTATTGAACTGTGGAGCCGGGGGATCATAATGGCCCGCCTGCGGTCGTGGGGAACGCAGAGCGGTGGTAGACGGCGAAGGGGAGGAAGCCAACATAATGTTGATCGTTTATGGTTTAGTGTTTAGGGCGGGAATGCAGGAATTTGAGGCCCAGCGGCCGCTCGGAGTGCACGCTGGCACCACGTGGGCGCACGAGTCAACGGGGGCGGAACTGGAGGCGCTGGCGCACGGCCTCATCCTTGCTTAAGGATGAGTGGGTGAGACCAAAGGTGGAATTCAATCCGGGGTCTTTTAGCAATGTGGAGGAGGGGGTGGATGAGGTGGGTAGGGTGTATGATGGAGGGGGGAGAAGAGGAGATTGTATTCAGGAGGAATCTAAAAGGAGGAGAAGTCAGACGAGTACAGGGTTTTCCGCTTTTGCAATGAGGTAATGTAATACGCCTTGTACGTGGGGGGCGCGACATCTGATTACTCCATCGGTGTGAACTCCGGGGGGAGCCCTGTGGTCATTCTGGCTTGATTATTGGCTGTCCGGGCCGGATATGACAAAACGTGACAATACAGAAGTTACAGGGCTGGCTTCCGATCATGTGATGTATCGGATGTACTTACTATGAGTAGTATGGAGTAAATATGCGAAGTGAAAAGTGAAACTTAACAGGTGGTGGTATTGGCAGTGGCATATGGAGACATTGGATAGGTCAAGATGGTCTTAGGTCTAGATGATCAAGATAATCGAGATAACCTGGAGGCTCAACTAGAATCGACTGCGGGTCCAGGCTATGTCAGACGGTGGCGGTGATCATTGTTAGTGAGGGACTAGATTGACTAACAGTTATCGGAGTTAGTGTGAGTGGCGTTGGATGCAGCTAGTCTACAGTAGGTATCAGTGAGTTAGTGACTAGTACTACTACTACTACTACTCCTACTCGTATGTATACTAACTACTTCTAGTACTAGTCAATAGTTGCCTCAGGCTCAACGATGACAAGGTGGGTTACGTAACCACTTATCATAGCGACATGCGGAGACTGGGGGAACCTCAAAAGGAAGCTTGGGAGCTTAGGGTTACTTGGAATCTTGAAGGACAAAGCCAACAAAGGGTTAACCCTCCTTCTCTCCAATTAATACCCATACTCGAAAGAGTCCGGCTGAATTACCCTTCCAATTTCCCTCGACACCGTCGCTCGCCCGTCGGACACGCGACCTGACGCCCGAATCCGGCCTTCCCCTCTCCAACTCTCTTCCCCGTGTCCCGCTCATCGACCATACGGCCCCCCCATTCCCCCCGCGGCAATCCTTTTTTTCCTAGGCACGCGATCGACTTTCGCCCAGACCTTTGAATCATTCCCCTAAGTGCGCGATTTATTCGCGGACCTCCCACTGGGAGGCGGTGGTTCTCGGAAGATGACTCGAGCAGCGGTACCGCCGATTCTGTTGCAGCTGCACAGCTCGGACTCGGTGTCCTCACAGGCGGAATCTCTGCGCACCCTCAAGAACGAGCTGATCGGCCATGACCAACGCAAAGAAACCTATGTGACCTCGGGGGTTCTCCCCGTTCTTGCCCAGGTGCTTTCCACCTATCGACCTGGAGGAGTGGCTTCAGCAGATCCCAATGGATCGGCTCCGAATCCGGTAAACTATCGCACCTCCAGCGAATATGAGGCTTGTCTGCAATCGATTCTGATTGTGGGAAGCGTGGCGCAAGGTACGTGATGGAGCATGATCTATAGAATCTATAATGCAGCCCCAGATTGGCTGCTAATCATTTCAAGCAGGTGGCCCGACATTCCTCGCTCCGATCTTCGCCAGTGAGATCCTTTCTATCCTTCTCGCCATATTATCCTCACCGGATTGCCCACAATCTTTCAGCCTTCCTATATTGCGGCTGCTCAACACCATTGCCGATCGGCTACCATTACAAAGCCAGGAACAATGGCCGCGAGATATCCGCTTAGCAGATCTTGTATTCTCAAGCGAGAATGTCGGCGCCTTGAGGCGGATCATTGCACAGGACTATGACAAATTGAAAAACCAAGCCTGCATTGAGCTGGCGGCTGCTTTGATTGGGAAGCTGTGCTCCGAGGAGGTCCACAAAACAACACTAGCGGAATGCGGAGTGCTGGATGCTCTATCCGTCAAGTTAGCCTCTTTCGTGGTGGCACAGGGCTTTGTTCTACCCGGTGCCCAGTATCATCTCCAAGAGCCAGGCGCGCTGGGGGAATTACCGGCGCCAGCACCGGCATCTGCCCGTTTGGCGCCTATCCTTCGTGCAATCACGACCATCATCGAGCAATCGAAGTGGAGGGCGGAGCATTTTCTCTCCTCCCCTGGCCTTATCACGGTATTCCCAAAGCAGGTTCCCGGATTTGCCGCGGTCGATGTCAAACGAGGCCCTTGGGGCTCAACTTATTTGTCCGGTTCGGCAGTTCCTCGCCATCCTGGTGCAAACCCAGTGGACCACCTCCTACCGTCGGTCCCATTGACTCACGAGAAGTCATCCCCAAACTCAGCCAATTTTCCACCTTTGGGGAACTCCGGCTCGCAGCGTCGACAAAGTCATTCCTATCCTACCCCGTTTTCGCTGGCCGAGACGCCCTCCCCAGAAGATGACGAGAATTCAATTATCCCATGGCTGATGTGCATTCTCCGCTCAGAAACTGGGATTGCCCGCCTAATGGCTGCACGTTTGGTGACTGTCTTGTTCCGTCTAGGACTCGCCAGGAAGCACCGGGTCCCCATGTTTGGGTTTTTGTTAGTCCCGATCCTCATTCGGATGCTGGACCGAGACTTCAAGTTGCCAGATGAGCAAGGGTCCAATGATGATGGGCTGATCACACCCACGCAACGTGCTAAAGAAGAGGCGCCAGCCGTGTTAGCGAATCTAGTCATGGACGATCAAGAACTTCAAAAACACGCAGTCAACGGCAATGCGCTCAAGCGTCTATCTCAAATCCTCAAGGAAACATATAATCCGGTGGCGGAGAACCTACGTTCCATGTGGTATGCTGAGGGAGACAGCCCGGCCCGCGATCCTGAGACAGTGTCGCCGGAGTGCCAGCTTGGCCCATCTGGATACTCCCCCACAATGTGTCACATAATGCGATATCGCGAGAGCATTCTCAAAGCATTGGCAGCTTTGGTACCCTTCAAAGACGAGTATCGCAAGTCAGTGTGTGAGAATGGCGTGGTACCCTACATCATCGACTCTCTCAAGCCTCGACCAAGTGATGCCCCGGCTGACGCCATTTCCATGCCCAAGAACTCAGCAGCGGATGGCAATCCCACGCCAACACTTCTCGCTGCTTGCGGTGCTACTCGAATGTTAACTAGATCTGTCAGTGTTCTCAGAACAAGCCTTGTTGATGCAGGAGTTGCGGAGCCTCTGTTCGTGCTCCTGAAGCACCATGATCTGGAAGTCCAGATCGCTGCAACCGCGGCTATTTGTAACTTAGCCTTGGATTTTAGCCCCATGAAAGAGGTCAGTCAACTTTGTCTTTTTGGGTGGAGCATCTCATCTAACATATCCTCCCAGGCAATCATTTCAGCCGACATCATTCCAATTTTGTGTGAGCATGCCCATTCGCCCAATACCAAATTACAGATTGAATCCTTGTGGGCGCTCAAGCATGTGGTGTACAACACAGCCAACGACATCAAAATGAAGGTTATCGAGGGACTCGGCTCGACCTGGATTCGACAAATCGTCAGTCAAGACACCAGCAGTGCCGCTCGACGTAACTTGGACGAAGAAACAGACCAGGGCGCAAGTGTCGCTATGGGCCGAGCGAACTCAGCAGGCGAGCAAGTCGACATCCTCAACCCGATGGAGGATATCGACGGACTGACCGAGGACTTCAAAATGACCGACACGATGCCACCATCAAAAATGAATCTCGACATGTTTCTCCCCGACGCAAGACGAAGACGCAGGCTCGTTCTCCGTGGCACAATCGAACAGTCCACCCAGACAAGACAAGACGACATCGCAGTCCAAGAACAAACCTACGATCTAATCCGCAACATAATCTGCGGACCTGGTGCAAACGAGATGATCGACTTCCTCTTCAAGGAAGTAGGCCAGGAAGAATTCCTAGATGCGCTCGCCGATAATCTCCGCCCTCGCAGTATCCAACTTGCCCACCGCCGAGAGAATCCCACTCGCGCCATTCAGGTCCCCGTCGAGATTCTTAGCTCCGTCAGTGCTTTAGTCATCCACATTGCTGCTGGCCTCCCGCGTCACCGTCAACTGTTGGTATCACACAAAGACCTTCTAGTGTCGATGGTCGGTCATTTCAATCACCCGCATCGCGAGGTCCGAGTTAGCTGCGTCTGGGTTGTTATTAACCTAATCTACGAAGAGGATCAGAGTGACCATGAGGGTTGTCGTGAACGAGCCGCCCGGCTTAAGGAGTTGGGCGTTATTGAGCGGTTGGTTAGCCTTGAGGAAGATTCTGATTTGGATGTGAGAGAGCGGACGAAGACTGCGGTACATTTGTTGAATACGCTTACTTCATGAGATTGTATTGTTTGGGATGTTGATTTAGCCATGGGATGTGAAGTATTGAAGGCGTTTTGTTTTATCGATGAGTGTGCATAGGTCAGTTGAGACAGTGCAAAAATGTTTAGATCGCATTCAGATATCCATGATATTATCTTCAAGCTAAAATTCGACCCAACCTTGTAAGTGACTAGTAACTACCTAGTTGATTATAATGATGCCCACCCTGGTGGTGCCTCCACCTTCAAATTCTTATCAATTGTGTGGGGAAACTAACGTCATAGTACTTCACAGCCAACTTCTCATCCCTGCGAGAATATCTACCTCGATACTGTAAACCACCATCTTCATTCCTCGAATCCTCCTAAGTCACATACAATAATACCCCAAAAAAATCAATGATGTCTCCAGTCCCAGAAACAATCCTCCGCGCCCTATCCCTCCCCAACAACTCAGAAGCCAGTCTATCCACTTCCGGCCTAGGCTCCGGCTTCACAAGCACAGCAACCCTGCGCGCCACAATCCCCAGCAAAACACAGGACGCAGAAGAACGAAAATACTTTATAAAAACCTCCTCAGACGGTCAAGCCGCCGAAGAAATGTTTCGCGGCGAATACGAATCGCTAAACGCCATCGCGACCTCTGTACCGGGATTTTGTCCACGGGCTCTGGCCTGGGGCCCGTTAGAGGAAGGTAGTAACAAGAAATTCTTTCTTGTGACGGAGTATCTCGATTTACGTGCTGGGGGTCGGTTTAGCAGTAACGGTGATGACGAGAGTAGTACTACTACGCTTGCCCATCGACTGGGGAAACTACATACAACGCCCGCACCGATTGATGTTCAAACCGGTCGTCGAAGATTCGGATTCCCAGTCCCAACATTCTGCGGCGACACGAAGCAGCCGAATGTCTTCCGGGATAGTTGGGCAACCTTCTACGCCGAGGAGCGATTACTTACAATTCTCGCGACGTCGGAGCATCGCAATGGTTCTGATGCGGGGTTACGTGAGCTTGTGGAGAAAACTGCGGACAGTGTTGTGCCACGATTATTGGGCGATGATCATCTTGGATATGATTCCAATGGTGAAGGGGAGGGGATAGTGCCTGTTGTCATTCATGGGGATTTGTGGAGTGGGAATGCTGATCGGGGGAGGATTGTGGGTTCTGGTCGTGAGGATGGAGCTGGAGATGTGGTTTATGATCCGTCGGCTTGCTATGGACATAGTGAGTTTGAATTGGGTATTATGCATATGTTTGGTGGGTTTGGGTCTAGGTTCTTTGATCGGTATCATCGGGTTGTGCCGAGGACGGAGCCTGTGGGGGAGTATGAGGACCGAGTGAGGTTGTATGAGCTGTGAGTTTCGCCTTGTTCCTCTCTCTCTTTTTATATTGGGTCTTTGATGTTAACCTTATGATCAGGTACCATCATCTAAATCACCATGCTATTTTTGGGGGTGGGTATCGCTCAGGTGCAATGTCAATCATGGAAAAGCTGATCCGGAAGTATGGCGACGGAAGGTAAACAGAAGGTATCCCTTTGGACAGCGTGCTAGAAAGGCCAAAATATCCAGGTATACAACTGGTATTGGATTAGAAATCATAGTACTTATGGCGAATATCCCCGCTACAATGATGTCACAATTAGTAGCTTTTAAAACAATGCCGGATGAATTCCGTTCTGACATTCCCAACTCCCTACTATATTCAATTTCGACATATCGCTAAATATCCGAACCATAATGCCTGCGCACCCCGATTCTGATATCTACCCAGAGGCCAGTGGCCCTGCCAAAGTGCTGGTCGACAAGCACCGCGCCGAGCAGCCGCTGAAGCTGTATGCGGGGTGGTTTTGTCCGTGCGTATCCTACCCCAACTAACTATTGTGCAAGCATACCTAGAAATGCAGGCTAACAAACGCAGATTCGGTGAGTGAAGAAAACTACTATTAACACTGCTTTCAGATAGTCTGGATATAAAACAAATCTAACCATCACAAGTCCAACGCGTCTGGCTCGTCCTAGAAGAAAAGCAAATTCCATACGAATACATCGAAGTCAATCCATACAACAAGCCCGATTCGCTCCTTACTCTGAACCCCCGTGGTCTAGTCCCAACACTCTCATGTCCAACAGAGCCAAATCCACAACCACTCTACGAATCAAATGTGATACTCCAATACCTTGAAGAAGCCTACCCAAACCATGGCCCAAGTTTCCTCCCAGAAGACCCTTACTCACGGGCTCGAGTCCGCATCTGGATCGACTACGTGACATCCCGAATAATTCCCTCCTTCCACCGCTTTCTGCAGTACCAAGTGCCATCTGGAACTGGTACTTCTCCATCCCAAGATGCAGGGCTATCGCAAGTTCGAACAGAATTCCTCAACCACCTAAAAGCCTGGACGAAAGAAATGCATCCGGACGGGCCATTCTTCTTAGGTTCTGAGATTAGTCTCCCCGATCTTGTGCTCGCGCCGTGGGCGGTACGATTGTGGGTATTTGATGAGTTTAAGCACGGGCTGGGAATTCCGCTGGATGGAAATGGGGGCGAGGATGAGGCTGTTTGGCGTAGGTGGAGGAAGTGGGTTATTGCTCTTGAAGGAAGGGAGAGTATTCAAAATACCACGAGCGAGAAAGTGCACTATTTGCCTATTTATCAGCGCTATGCGGATGATAAGGCTCAGAGCGAGCTGGCTAAGGCTACAAGGGCTGGGCGGGGAGTTCCATGAGTGGGCTTGAGATTTTCACCTGTTACTGAGTGATGTGATGACTTAATCTATCTTTCTAGGGGGGGACAAGTACCTACCTAAGATGGAATAGATTAGCCAATCTGCTATATTTTAGGTAGGTACTAGTCTGATATTAGAAGATGGTCAATAATGGTAGACATTTAGGGGTTAGAAACTTTTGTACTGTAGTTTTGTCCAAATTTGTAATGGAACACTAGTAATTTTGGACTCAGAAGTTACAGGCGGTTAGGTTAAATACCCCTATTTAGAACTACTGACCACCCTGCGCCTATGGAGCGCCGTACTAAGGTTATGAAGCGGTAGTTATGAACAGCTTTTCACTGGCTCCTGTTATTGGCAGTGAATATAATCTCACCAACCTCCCATAGGTATCGGAAATTGACCATGGTTCCATTTTGGTGGATTGCCTAGCTCTGCAAGTAAATAAGAAATAAGCGATTTATAATTCCTAGAGCATGATTAGCCCCAGGCATAGTAGATCGTTTCTACCATCGAGTTGTTGTTGATTTACTTCAAGTTGTTGCCGTTTAACCGGGTTACTCTCTGACTCGAGCATTCACCTTTGGAGATGAGCGAAGCAACCCAACCCAACCCAGCCAAACTATACCCTTGCAAACAAAACCTCAAAATTGTTTGACCCTGTCTCTTTTGTTCCTCATCCATAACTTCATCCATAACTCTCATCCTATTGAATATTGTACACTTCGGATCAGCATTCTTCCGCACCCTGACGACCTGTTCATTATCAGCACGTGATGATGGAGGATATCGAATCGACAGCTTCCAGCGACTCTTCCACCCCCGCGTACACAGAGGAGTCGCTCTTCAATCGCATCCGGCGCCCCTTTACTGCGATGGCACACGCGACTCGGGATGAGCGGGCTCATCCTGGCTCGGAAACAGATCATGGCCCGCCCGAACCTCCGCCTATCCACCCGTCCTTTGTCCATGTTGCCAAGCCCTACCTCTTCGAGCAGACAATCCAGGATTGCATCCAGGCGATGGGGTTGGATGCCACGCGAGAGGCATCGCAGCGTCTGCAGGGAGTGACCTGGATTGACAATGTGCGCAAGGCCCTGCGGTTGTACGTTGAGATCCCGAACCGAGAAGACTTGTAACGATGGCGTGAAGTGAAGCGAAGTGAAGCTAACGCGAGTACAGGCCGATCCGGACCTTCAATACCGCCGTCCTATATTACCACCGATACCGACTGGTGCGCCCAGATAATGAATATAGTTTTACGGTGGGTTTATGTCGCTATTTTGGAGAAGAAGCCCCGGTCTGACGTCTTTCGCAGGATACCGCGGCAGCGGCACTTTTCACCGCGTGCAAGATCGAAGACACTTTGAAGAAGTCTCGTGAGATCTTATGCGCGGCACACAATCTTAAATACCTACCCTCCGAGCATCTTTCGCCGGACGATCAAGTACGCCGCTCTCGGACATACACAGATAGGATTATTTGGTTGACAAGTTGCTAGGCTTTTGAAGCGAGTTCTCGAGCCATTATTGGCCTGGAACGACTCATGCTAGAGTGCTCGGGCTTCGATTTCCGTACCCGACACCCCGAGAAGACCCTGGCAAAGATGTCATTGCAGTATAAGGCGGGCTCCAAGGTCTCTTCTCTAGCATATCGAATTTCGCTAGACCTCTATCGAACATTTTCCCCTCTCAAACAGACGACACCTACCATGGCTCTCGCCTGCCTTGAACTGGCAGGACGGCTTCTTGACGAGCGAATTGAGGATATTGAGTCAGGAGCGGACTATGCGCATTGGAAGACTAGTCGCACTGAAGTGATGGGTAAGTGGATGATATCTATACTCTTACTTGACTCATACTAATGATCCTGAATAGAAACGCTCTTCGATCTCCTCGAGCTTTACACCGACTACCGTGCCTTGACATCCGTGGGACCCGAATTTCAAGCGCCACGTTTCTTGACTGTCCGTATCCCGCTTAACAAAGAAGCCAATTCTCAGCGCATCCCTCGATACAACCAATGGTTCGACCGACCTCGTCAGCAAAATGTTTCCGCGATTGACGGATCCAACGATAAACAACCCGATACTCCACAACGTCCCCATCATCCTTTAACCCCAGTTGCAGCCAACGGGGATCGCCTCGGAGCGAGTGAGCGCGGTCGCGACGCAGCTGTACGATTCACGATCGATTCCCAGTGTGCCGCGGATGAGAAGCGGCAGGTCGAGCCTTACTTCAAAGTGGAGATGGAGGAATATGAGGTGGAGGTTTAGTGGGATCGATGCCCCGCCGCTAGCTTCATCGCGTCGACTCATCGCGTCGACCTAAAGGAGCTTTTCAAAACTTGATGATACCCTAGTTCAGACTACCATGATTTTAATGCAACCAGTTTATTAGCATCAGTGCTTACTTTAAGCCAGACAGCTTCGTATGAGTATATTATGAATATTTTCAATTATATCACTTGTGTCTCGAATCTCGAAAATGGTTGCTATAGACTTCAGAGTCGAGTCGTTTTGCGTATTCGACTCAAGATGCAGTGACTCTCTCTGCCCTTGCAACCCACCGGGTATAAAATCGTGAACAATGCAGACCCATTAAAAGGAGGACCCGCAGTAGTATGCTGTATTACAGAGAGAAAGCCAACCAACGCCATTTTGCCAGAATTAGATGCGAATAACCATCCGTCCGTCACTCATTACTAGTCACGGGCCTTGACTGCGGTGACTCCGTGGTAGCCTTCATATTTTGTGAAACTTCGCCAGGAAACGGTTTGCGCGCCCATATCCTCTTCCTATAGAGTTTGTTAGTCACTTCAAAAAACGAACAAACTGTCCATCGCTGAGATAAGGGCTTCACTTACGCCCTGTGATATGTGTGATAGGCGGGATTCTTAATATCATTACGCATGCGCGCGCAATAAACATAAACCTCCTCCTTCTTCCAGGGCTTCGGTGCACCAAACTTGGTAAGCAACCACATACACCAGCCCTCAATCCCAGACATCCAATGCTCATAGTTCAGCAAACCAGCCTCCTTGAACTTCTGATGTTTGGCCCAGGGTCCAATGGGCCACTTGTAGTTCTTTTCGTGCATTTCGATGAATCCCTTCTCCCGAATACTGCTCGCCATTGTGAAAATGACGTCGCAGGTTCGACCTGCACGCTCACCACAGCCACGCACATTGGGCCCCCATTTCGCGAGCACGCTGTCTTCGGGTAAACTGCCGTCGTCGCATTCAACAAATGGCCCAACTTCGTACTGCTCGATCCAACCGCCGGGCTTTAATTTGTCGTAGCATTGTTGATAAACGCGATCCCACTCCGCTTGGTCGAAGGATCCGATCATGTTACGCATGCGGATGAAGTCGAATGGTTCCCGCCAGGTCCATTCCTGTAGCACGTCGTCTACTTCGATCGTACAGTTTGGCGGCATCCAGCTTATGGGTGGTGGATAGAGATCCACACCGCGAACAATACCTATGCTAGGTAAGCGTATTTCTTTTGAATATGGAAATTTGATATGGGGAGGAACCCACTATTCGGGAACATATCGGCCACATCGCTGGGAAACAAATTAGCTTTTTTGCTCTGAACAACCTTGGAAGTTCAATTTCGTCTCGGGGATCATCATACATAACCCATGTGCCCATTCCGGTTCCAATATCTAGAATATGAAGGGGTGCTTCCTTATCATCTCCGCATGGCGCGCGGAAAAGCGGATTTTCTCGCTCTGAGTCTAAAATGAGATCCACCAGGTGTCTATAGATGATTAGTCGACTTTCGACGGATATCCCGGGTGAGGGGCTTACCCTGCTTCGTACGCCTCGAATTGCTGCTCATCTGAGGGAAGACTGATAAGGTATCAGTTTGATTTGCCCCTTTTTCGGGAGTAGACCGAGGGAGTCATTTCCTTACCAGTATTCTTTATTTCTGAGACTTTGATATCTGTATACTTAGTTAGTATAAATTAACCCGTGGGGGGAAAAAATGTATAGTAATTCTTAAGATTAAATACTTACCTCCTGCCATTTTCCATCAGCCCCCGATAAATCGAAGATTTGATGGATGTGGTTTCTCTGAGCCTAAATGCGGTTGTTAGACCCGATGAATACGCACAGGCCAGCGGGCACGCGCAACGCCCCGCGTATCCGAGAGGGAAAAAAGAAAAGAAAAAAGGAAAAAGAAAAGAAAGAGACAAATCAAAAAAGAACATCACAAATGTGTAAATAGAAGAACGAGTTAATACTTACGATACCCAGTCATCACCACCGTAGGCACTGTCATTCTCGATTTCGGGATCCTGGACGACATCTCGGTCAGCTCACCGCAATATCCCGACAGTTTGGGTCAGGTTTCCGTCATCGCATCACAAACATACCACGTCGATCGATACCCCGTCAGAGATGGAGTGGTCAGTCATGCCGACCGGAGGGAAGGCCACAGCTAGTGAACCCTTTGCTGGAGTGGGGTGGCAAACAAAGGCGATGCGAACTTGAAAAAGGGGACTCGGAGATCGGAGAGGGTGACAGGAGATGGAGCTGGGCGGGGAGGGAGGTTTAAGAAGGTAGATACGATACAATGTATACCAGTAACCCGGACCGCCCGGTTCCAGCATTAATCGACGAGACGTTTAGGCGGTCGAAGGTTATAAGACCAGCCATTCGGGGCCAGAAAGGTTTCTTAGGCGAGAGGAGCCCGGGTAGAGGAGTCGTCAATCCACAAGAAGAGTGGCATTCCTTGGTGTGTTTGGCCAATGATGCGTCCGCCACGGTGGAGTCTTACCACTCTGTCGGTAACCCACTGGGGACTGTCTTTGGGCACGGATCAGAATGGTTGAGGGTTACAAGATGGAGATCTCTCGTCAGAGAGTTTTTTTTTTCTCCCTCTGCTCCGTATTTTCCTCTTTTTGCGTGTGACGTGGACAAGTTATACCCCGACCCGACACGATGGTTCTATAGTATGTCCACATAAATTAGGTACTAATTAGTACTTCGGATATACAAATATGGACACGATGACAGTGGCACACAGTATAAACCTTACCAACGATCAACAATTAGCAATCAGCAAGCATTGACCGACAACACATTTGGTCGATCCATTTTAATCTCGGGGTTCCATTACCAATTCTCTTGCGTTGAGAAAGGTCCAAACCCCGACAATGAACTTTTCCCACAACAAGGTCAAAAACACTCGTATTCGCCCGGCCCAGCCCCTATAAGAACCTTGTTTCAGGCCTAATCCCGGCTTTAACTTCAAACTGCCTCCCCGGAAAATGCATAGTGAACCATGACCCCTGTAGCACCCTTTCGGTTCTATATGTAGGAGCCGAAGCCCAATTTACCCGCCCTCATTCCTAGCCTACCTAGCCAACACCACCCAGTGGTCACGGGGTGTGCATCAGAGACAGCTAGATCCGATTAGCGATCGCGTTGAAGAATAGCTTAACCCCCCCTGCCAGCTATACCCCGCGTTGTAACCCTTTCCACCTATCACAGCGCGTACTCCCGAGGTGGGTGGGTTGGTACTTTGGTATATGTAGTTTCCGAACAGGGATTAATGATGAATCACATCGTCTGATTTGTTATACCTAGTGAAAATGCGGAGTCTAGTTTTTGCAGGCATGCGACACCTATGAAGATCGTGATCACTGAAGATAGAGTAAACACTACATACGAGTATGCCTCGCGCCCCCTAGTATCGTTCTGCAAAATTTACCCAGCCTCAATGTGCTGTCAGTTGACGGAGAATTTATTGTCGAGATCGGATATTTAAGGGTCTTGAAGACAATATCTCTAAAGGCAAATCAGAAACTCGTTGCGCATTCTTAACAGGCTTGTCTGTGAAGAGACTGGCAAGGAACACTTTGAGAGAGGGGATACATTGACCGCTTCAACACCCAGACTAAATTTGAGAGTAATTATTGGTGGCTACTCGGCCAACTTTGGAAAGTCCCAATCTCTTTCAAGTTAGGACCAATGTTACGATCCTGTGGATTTTATTTCGAATTAGAGTATAGACAGGGATTATAAAGTAGATCATATCCATCGTTCTATTATCTAGGCTAGAATGTAATATCTCCCCCGGTCGCGTAAGATTAAAACCTACCATTCGCCGGTTGCAAAATCTGCAGATCTCTACGTCCACCACTTTCCATAGCACACCATCGAGTCATGCGCGAGCACTCCTTCAACTTGGCTCAACTCCTATTCTGATCATACCAGTTAGCCCGTAATTCCAACCAGACAGAGTGACATGATAACAAAAATAAATTTGATAGAGCAGCTTCTTTCAGAGACCCGTCTTGAAACGTAAGGTGTTTTAGGTTTCCTCAAGATTTCTTTGGTAAGGGAAATCGTAGGTCTTCATCACCGAAGCTGCGATCGCACCGCGCGATCATGGGGGAATATAGTGTATTGGGGGGGGGGGGAAAGAAAGGGGCGCGTTCGTACCTGGACCAGTCGGAGCGTTCCCGCCAGTGGGGTAAACCACCGCGGGAACAAGGGTGTGGCGCGGATTCATTTTCCAGGGCCATGATATTCGTATACTCAGGGCCAATGGCTCTGAGTAGAGAATAAGGGGTCTTTTTGCCCCGGTCACAATTTATCGGCCCATGGGGCGATATGCCCCCGAGAAGACGGTCGCGGCTTGTTCGACCGAACTCTGTCAAAATCAACCAACAGTGATGCCTTTTTCCATTGCAGAATCATCTTGGATGCTCTGATAGATGAAAAACTTCTGATTTATGTGCTTCTGAAGACTTCTTATAGGATTCTCTCGGTGTCAGGGCTAGGGCATCGGCCCTACATTCATTCTCCTTTTTTTCAGTCGTTTGTAGGAAGATATGTCGTCATGAACCGGCCTGTGCAGTGATGTGGGTACAGAAAAGTGGTTCTTTTCATGTAAACGGTCATGGAATATTCGTGAAAATTCGGAGGGCCAGACATATGTAGGTCATTTGCTTTGTGCACTGTGTTTTGGCTTAGGAATTCCTTTTTTATTTTCGTATCAGAATAGTACTTTTTGGTGGTAAGTTGTACATGCTTGAAGTTCTTACATCTATGAAGATTCAACGTAATCTGAGCTATGTCACCAGTCGGGTCAAACTTGAGTTGCTATTTTCTGAGTAAAACTCAGTATCATTATTGATATACTTTTATAGCGGAAAATGTATCCAGGGGTTCCGTGTGGATGCCAGGCGATGCCGATCACAATTTGCAACTGGAACCTCCCGAACAAAGAAAATTGATCATGGGAAGCTTGGAAAGTCAATCTTTTCGATTAGATTAGGTATGGCTGTCACAGAGAATGATTGGTCAAGTTGACAAGTCAAAACTTTCGCCAGGTGAATTACATCATGAATCGGAGAGTACCGTGGCCTCGTTTTTAGGTTATTATCTGTAACATTATATTAGTCAACAGGTGCTTGTCCTAGTACTTTAGAAATACTGTGCTTACCCTCAATATGTCAAAGAAAATCCTTTCGTCTGATTTTTGCTCTTATTTTCTGGCGGAATATTGAACTTCAGGCAAAATCTATGCAGCGACGGCCAAGACTCATGGCTGGATATCATTTAATGTATCAAATTGTGCTAAAAAAAACCAAATTTTGGCCAGTACCTAACCGAAGAACATATTCCAGACTTCCACAGAAGATAGCCCTTGGATACTCATCTGCATCATACTCCTCTCATCTCCCAGAGCTGCCATCGCGTCCAGATTTTCTTCCATGACCCGACGGCCAAACCTTGGGCCAAGTTCCAGCTAAAAAAGGTTTCCCATTTGAGCCTGCCGTTGATGGTCTCCTGGGACGATTCGAAGGCCTTCGGGTGGGGGCACAGCTTGTTATTTGAGCAGCTTTATGCTGGGCCGCTTAATACAGTACCTAAGAGCTGCGGAGTGGAACAGGGAGAACTTGGATTTCGTTTCCCTCAGCATGATATCAGAATCAGAGCATCAGAGCAACGCTCCCGAGAACGCCTCCGATATCGCCCTCAAAGGGCCAATAAGCCAGGAAAATGTGTACTCTGCCGACCCGAGTCGAAAGCGAGGAGATGTGACCCGTGACCTCTGTAACAGTCTGTCGAATCCCCAGGCCTTACTACCTTGCACGCATAGTTCCCACCTTTTCTGACGTATAAATTAGCTCTGACCAATCTTTCAAGATGGTGACCCGTATCAAGAAGCCATCCAGCACAATACCCCCTGCAGGGATGACAACGAACGTTACAGTATCCCACCTGTCGAGGGGTCCTTCCTTCGACTGCACAGACGATAATTCGGCCTCAAGCATCAGCATATCAGACGACCAGCCGCAAGAAATCCCAGCGGATATGGACCGTATAATTGATGAGCTGCTCGTCCTCACCCACCACCCCGACGAGCATCCCCACGAGAAAGCAGCGGTCGACAATTTGTAAATCGTATCCCGGTTTCCCGAGCAGCTGTATCAGCAGCTCGAAGAGGATCCCCACCGGCTAGGCCCCTGGAAGGTCTCCAGCCAGGTTCTGGCAGTTGCGTATGCCGGACGCAGTCACCTGAACTGGGCTGCCTTTCCGAACCTCACCCCCAGCGTGATCGTTGTGGCCCTTGCATCGGATGAGCTTCGGGGCGCGTCTGCGCTGAGCCTGGGCGCGGATCAGTTTGGGCTAGAGACGGGGGGAGACCTTAACGAGCTTACGGCGGCTATGGCAAAGTGCGCGGGCCTACGGCAGGTGTGCCTGTTCCAGGGGGTGAACCGACAGAGCGATGATTCGTCCGCTGGTTGCTACTCAGAGCTGCTGCTTCTTTGGCAGCGGGACGGGGTAGAAGAACGAGGGACCATCCATGCAATATGTGCCTTCTCCACATCGCTGCGTAGCAGCGAATGCCTCCTGTGGTCGTCAACCATCACTCACGGTCTGAGCCTGCCGCACGCCCCCATCCTTCCTATGATGCATATAGTCCTGTTCGGGCACTACCAGGACGGAGAAGACCCAGTCGTACCTACAGACAACGTCCAGACGTACCAACACTACGCCATGACCAATACCCGATTAGACGGGGAGAGCTTCGCCGTCCGCTTCCTGGCCTATCTGTCAGCCCTAAGCTCGGGTTCGGAATCCGAGAAAGCCCTTCTGTAATTCGCATACCACAGACCCTTATCACCATCATCCTGTAAACTCGGCGTCATTCCTATCGCAGCGGGATTTTCCAATTCCCACCGTTCGCCTAACGGCCCAACACCCAAACTCAGCGACATCCAGCCCGGCAGCTGGGTGGTACTGGTCGGATTGTCGAAACAGATATCAGATCCCACTGAAACAGCGGCAGACACGCCACCATAACCCAATGGACCACCTCCACTTGATTATCCACAGGAATACCACGCTAACGACGACGTCGTCATACAGTACTCCTTTGTGAGGATCCCACAGGCCGCTACGGAGACAATCAAGCCAGACCAAAGCTTGCCCGCCAGTCATGCCAAGGTAGTCGGCAGCCTCACAGACTTCCTCAGTCACACCGCGCCGGAAACCGACCTCCCCGCGTAGGAGACGCGAATCGGGGAGATTCGTGCCTGGAGAGGCTCTGTCGGAACGCGCCATCAGGACCATATCCGAGAGCAGGGCGAGGGAATTGTTAGACTGTTTAGTCTGAGCGTGGTAGGGATCGCACTAGTTGCAACGAATCTTTCACGTCAACTTTACAGGGCTAGGTTTGGTTGCGCGTGGCCGTTGGATGATGAAGTATGTTTCCTGGTGTGGAAAGCTACCTAGACCTAGATAGATACGCGCAGTGGCCCACTTGTACCATATATAATAGTTTAATGTTGGGATCTCTGCTCTGCTCCAAGGAAGTACCTAGTTTTTTATAGACTCAGCATTAAACTACAGGGCTAGGAAAGATGATTACAATACAAGATACGCCTACACGGGTTACGATCACGGCGGGTAGGTTAGGTGGAGGTTCCGTTCTGTTGATCCCCTCGCCTGCTTGGATAAGGGGGTGGAGATATTGTATATTCTGGGTGCTATCCTGTACTTAATTATCGTAGTTATAAATAGAGTTGTTTAGGAAGTCAATATTAGATAAAAGTAATATACAATCGTTCTTTAAGGGACATATCTATTTCGCAAACCATATAATACAATACAACCAAACATCCACCCTTTAATAAGGTAGTATTCTAGTTCATAGGCGTTGACGCAATCTTCTCCTATACTGTAAGATCAGTTTCTGGTACGGTTGCCCGCAGAAAGTCGGGCTGTCCTTCTGTTATCTCCAGGGAGTGAGGGAGTGGGTGAATATTTACAGTTCCTGTTGTTCAAGCTGATCTTCACCCGCCCGTTCCTGTCGTTCTTATTGTTCTTATCGGGACAGTGTGCCGCAGCTCGTCTGCCACAGTTACGCTAGAGGCACCGGAGGCTCCCATCTCCACCACGGATTGAGGGAGGTTATCTAGCCCCGGTGGCCAGATATCTGCCATTCACCCGTTAGCACCCACCATCCAGATATCCTTTTGGGGAGGAGCCCTATAGAGATCAACTTACAATCCAGCGTTGTCGCATTAGCCACCGGCCTCTCCTCCAGTTCGAGGATGCGTGGTGCCTCCTCCACCGACAACCACTCACAATACTTCCGCACCCACTGCCCAATCGACAACAGCTCACGAGGACGCGGACTAGCCAGGACAAGATCCACCTGGTCCGGCTGCTCGTCCTCGACCGGATCCCAGTCTATGTTCTCGTCTTCGTACAGAACCGTAGCCATATAGCATATAGGAAACGCGGCAATGCCGTACGTCACACGATCAAGATCGGAGATATCGAGAACAACCAAGCCATACTCGAGACAGTCTGCTCGGAAGACTGTCGATAGAGGCTGGAACTGGATGTCGCCGGGGCGGGTGCCCTCGCAAGAGGCATCGTCCCGCTGCAACGCATGTAGAACGCAGGTGGCGGTGAATGGGAACTGGCGGATTCCGTCCTCCCGCCAGGGGAGCGGGGGCTGCTGTTTCACTGGCCCCGTGGAGTCGACCATGGGCATGTAGGGGGGGCTGCTCGGTGTCCGGCACGCTGGGCCGTTTATATGTGGGAAGCTCGTCCCCTGACGACTGACGATACCAGTCGTTTGCAAGCGCCGTCTCGGCTTCTAGTTGTGCGTGGTTTGCGGGATCAGAGAGGTTGTCGATCAGTGCGAGGGTATCAGCTACCATATGGCGCACTCGTAGGTATGATGTATGGGTATTGTATTCGTCGTGGTGTTGGCGGTAGGCCACGGCCAGGGGGCAGGTGGTCCCGTCGGGGCCGACATTCGCAACAATGGCGAAGAGGAAAGACCGGGGGGGTTCTGGTGTAGATGGTAGTGTATTCTGAATACATTGTGGTCGCTCAGCTGGAAGATGTGAAAGGGGTGTTGTTGTTCTAGGTTTAGGGTAGGAAGAAAGAGTTAAAGAGGGGTAGGGCTGGGCGGATCATATAACGGCTAAGGAACTAGTCGGCTGCTAGTATATGGCCAGGTAACCGTGGGGGCTGGTGGCTAATGTAGGTGGGAATATTGGCTTAGTGTTATGGTCACCTGTAATTGTCCTATGGAGAATGTGTTGGCTAAATATTTGCAAAAGCCGAATACTGGTGGCCCTTTCCAACTGCAAGCCATGGAAAATGCCCGAATGGGGGTCGTAGAACCTGGCTCGATTTAAAGCAATTCAGCCACTGGACCAATAACACTGAGTAAGACTGTCTGTCTCCTAGGTCAGTGCAGTTTTTTCCAGACCCATGTACGCTTTGCAGATCAATTATTCTCCCCTGGTTACACAAAGTAAAGTACATTCGGATGGACTGTACACGATTACCACCTGTAGCAAATGTCTGGATTGAAGTGCTAATATACACCAAGTCGACCCATGATATAACAAAACAGAGCGACACCTCCCTCCGTACATAGTTTTACACCCCTTACCAACGCTCTCTCCAGAGCCAGCCATAGAATCTCAAGTCGATGAGGCTTAGGATGGAGGTTGATCACAGTAACCGGTCGAGAAACGTATGGGCCAAGCTCTCATCAATAACGCGGATGATAATGATACAGGTTTCTTCCATCTCTACCTTCCCCTTAACCGCCGGGTCCATTAACAAGTGTGTCTGTACGACCGCCTGCTCCAAAAACTCATCCTGCACGTCTGGTTCCGCCTCCCGAGGACAAAATTCTGCACATACTGACGAGACAATCAATCCTTTAATATGATGTTCCATTGAAAGTACATAGATTATATTAATCTCATAAAATCCGAAAGAGACATTAATATACAGCCCACAAAGGATTTCTATAGGAGGTTCCTATCCAGGAGGTTCAAGATATTTCCACGTCTTGCATTTGGATACATTAATCCAACAGAATCTATATTCATTCTATGCTTCGCCATTTTACACGAGATAGTTCTGAATCTCGATTCGCGCCGAATGATAGTTTCAGGCTGTTGAATGGTCAGCGATTTGAAGATTGAAGAATTGCGAGGATGATTATCGTACAAATTTTAGTTCCACCGGGGAGCAGCCTAAATGGATCCCTTGGTGACACCGGTTTCCTTCGAGGAAAATTCCAGCGGGGTTGAGTGGGCTTTTGTCTGCATGGAAGTAGGTGCAAAGGCAGTTGAGGCAACAGAGGTCGGCGTGACTGAGGGAGAAGGGGCCTTCGAAGAGCCTCCCAAGTTGGCACGGCGGCGTCTTCTGATAATTGTCGAGGGCGTAGGGGTGGGCGATGGGCTGGCCTGATTCTTTGAAAATCCACTTGTGCTGGTCGACGGTTTGGCGTGCTTTGCTGGAAGCCTAGTTGAGCTGGGTTTTGGGCTCTGGGTAGAAGGCTTTGTGGACAGGGAGTCTTCATCACCCAACAAGCTACCTAGGTTTCCTGGAACAGTCGAGTCGGCATCGGAGCTGCTGATATCTCTTCCTGAGAGTAGCTGGCCCAGATTCACCGGAATTGTCGAGTCGGCCTGGTAGTTTCCGTTATCTCTTCCTGAGAGAAGTTGACCCAAGTTTACCGGAATCGTTGAGTCGGCCTCGTAATTACCGCCATCTCTTCCATAAATCCCCTTGTTTGATCGTGGCACTGCAGTTGGGGTTCCACTTGGGCTGGAGGTAGGCGTGGCAATTGACGAAGATGGTCTCGCAGAAGGCGAGCTTTTTCTTCCCACGAAGTTCTCAAGAGGTTCGCCACCTAGATTTCCCCCGATATCTTTTTTCGCAACTCGCCGGAAGCTAGGATTTCTAAATCGCTTATGATCGGTGACGGGCGAACTGGTTGGAACGGGAGTTGAGGTCGGGCTCACGGAATGGCTTGCGCCACCAGTACCACCGAGAGGGTTGGTTCCGAGCACAGGATTGAGGCCGAGAGCGTTGGTATCCAGCTGGGCACTTACGGCACCAGTCAAAAGGGCCAGCCCGCTGACCTGAAGAAAATACTTGAAATGCATATTGAAAAGCACGAACGAAAATGAAATTGCAAATGAAAATATGAATCTGGTATACGATATGATACTAAGCGTTAATATATGAAATTTGAAACAAAGGAGTGTGTACTCGATTAGGAGTTAAGGAATGGATGGCTTGCCGTGTCTATCAAGGGGTGTCCGATTATTTATCCTAATTGCCATTATCGTTCCTTTTGATTGATGAAGTGCATAAAGGATCGGCAGGTGGTCATACACCTCAGATAGGACGGGCCGTAAAAGGTAAAGGCTTAATCGCACCTTCGTGTGGTTGCACAATTATGTAGAAGTCGTCATATTTGCAAAATCATAGCTCATTTAAGATGAGCGGTATTACCTGATGCTATCCATAAATTCTATGAGGTCGATACTGAACTAGATTTGTTTTTCATCAAACCACCGAGTCCCTTGAAACGCTAAAGTCAGGCCTCTGGATGAACAGCTCCACCAAGGGCAGAAAGAGCGTCTTCTCCGGAGACCCTGCACCTGATATCATCTTCTCTGCGTCAACTCTGATCTCATCCCAAGACACCCATTCCCATGCTGAGCACTTGTTGGGTTCCATGATCTTGATTGGCTAGTTAGCACAGCACTTGAAGCACGAAATAGGGGGGGCACATAGAAGCGACACATGATCTGCGAAGCTATGTACTCACCTGCGGCTGAGCCCCTTCATCACTGACGACACCTCCAAGGAAGATGGTGACGTAGTGTTTATTGGGGGTAACATCTTTGAAGACACTATTCGTAGCTGTCCAGAATTTTAAATTTCGGACCTCCAAGCCAGTCTCCTCGAGGAGTTCACGCTCGCCACATGTTTCAAACCCTTCGCCGAATTCTAAATGACCTCCTGGGAGGCCCCATGTGTCTACATTCCGAATAAAGAGGTCAAAATCATGTTATATGGTGCCATTGTGAAATGCAAGAGGGTAATAGTGCATATTGAGGGTGGACATACCGGCACCGTGACTTCCCTTACGCTTGCCGATGATGAATTTGCCCTCAGAGTTGAGAACAAAGACACCGACACCGACCCTTGGATCCATGACTGAATTGATGACGACGGTTGGATGAGATCGATGTTGAGAATCGAGATTGTGATCGATTCTGCCCTGCAAGGGGTAGAGCGGGGTACTATTTGCGGTCAAGGGAAAAAAGAAAACCTTGGAGATCGACACTAGGATCAATCTTCTTCTGAAATTTGTTGGAAAAGTTGACCTGTTAAATTGCTAAGAAGAGAAAGAGAGCGCTAGAATGCGATAGATATAAGGATGTCTAGGTGGGAGAGCTCTTTGTTGCCTGACAGTGTGCCCCAATGCGTTGCTTCTCAAAGCGCACCGCCACATTATGCCTGTGCTGTGGCGGTTGCGGAAAACGCCTTATCGCTGACTGTGCCCAGTCGAAAGCCAAAGTTGTGCGAAAATTAGATTGCTAAGTGGATGAACTAAAGATCCAATGAATGATTGGCTCAGAATATACAGTATGCTGTGTCCACGAGCAAAAAAAAAAAAAAAAACCAGGATGTGCTCACCTGGGCAGCGTTGGATATTCAATTCAGCATATCCATCAAGAGCACCACCTACCTTTGAGAATAACAAGAAAAAAGCTCCGGCTAGGTTGATTATTAGGTACTTGAATTGGATTTTATCTCGGTCGGTTTTCGTTGTCTTAAAATCGAATTCGAACAATACTCGGTGCAACCAAGAACAAGACATAGTTGCTTTCTAACAAGCGCTTTAAGTGTATTTAGTTAAGTAGCCTTAGCTTAGCACGTCCGTGTGCCCCCGCCCGCCGGACGTTAAATAATACTACCACCAGTGACCACCACCAAGAACAAGACACATCAGATCTGAAACAGTTTCGTTGAAAATATAAAAACTACTCTTTGGGTATCATATTTAGCCGCTTCCAAAATACCAATCAGACAATATTACTGCAATAGCCCCAACCTAGACCTAAAGTTAGCTGGAACGACCGGTGAATTAGTTTAAGTGCTCATACCAGAGTGGCATCTACGCCGGGAGCGATGATAACTTCAAGAGCCGGTCGAAATCCCTGCCGTCTCGAGCGTTTGGTTAAATATAGCCTCTCATTGTGGTGAATGCTCTCTCGCACTTCACCAATCCTTCGATCTCCATCGACAATATCAAAGAGTCTCAGTGCTTCGCCATGTCGCCTCACCATGAGCGTGACATCTTTCTCACCCTCCATTTTCAAATCACTAGCAGCCATATTTTGAAAAGTGAATTTTAAATCGCCGCCCTTCAACGACGTTTGCGTGTCAACCGTGGCTATTTTCGATTTCCTATCGCTGCCGGGCATTGTGAGATACCAATGAAATGGGATCGAAAGCGCCGACCATCTGTGTATATCGAATAAAGGCAGACCCGACATATCGCGGAACTCTCGACTGGAGCGATCGCCGAATTTCCGACCGGTCACGGTAAAAGCGGGGGTGCCATCTTCATGGACGATGCGATATCCGACCTCCGAGCTATCATTGCGGGCAGGTTTGAGAATTAGAGTCGTCTTCGCTCGCACGACATGTTCGTTTCGAAAAGCGACTTCGTGTTCTGGAGATTTCAGGGCGAGGCGCGGAATGGACCGGAAGGTCCGCGAAATACGCGCATCGGAGTATGAGGTGTAAGACATCGTACTGAGCAAGAGTTGGTGGTGAGAAGCTTTGATCTCGAGACTTGGGACAAGAGGATGTATTGGATCTACAGGCTAGCATTCTAAAATGCCTCAAGGGGGCTAGTAAAGGCCGTGTGCCCGATGACCTCAGGGACCGATGAGGCATTTCGTTGTGATTTGCTCATCGCGGATATCTTCGCCCGGGGATGGGGCCGGAGCTGGGCGGAGCTCGGCGATGCTTGTGCTAAGAGGCTCGTTCATGGGGCTAGCAGTACTAGCGGTGCTAGCGGAGGAGATACAATGGGGGCGAAGTGGCCTGTTGAGAAAGAGGCGCAGACTTTCGACTGGCTCAGAATTCTCGCAGTGATGCAGAGAGCCGAACTTGCCTCGAGCGAGATTTCGATGTTTTGAAGTTGCCCGTTTAGAATGTCTCTTTACTTGACTTCCCTCAACTTTATTAAGATGGATGCCAGCTGCGAGGTACAACCATGGTCCAGGGCCATGTACAAGTTTGTTTCTTCTTCTTCTTCTTCTTCTTCTTCTTCTTCTTGACTGTAGACATAGATAACAGATTTAACAGAATTATCCCAATGGCTACACTTGGCTATATGATGGTGATGTATAGCATAAATGAAGAATCAAAACTGTACATTGTGAGTTCTGTTATGGTTCCCACTCGGAGGCTTCTGTCTTATTTTTAACTAGTAATTAGTAATTTACCACCGAGTTACGTCCTCTTATCGAAACTCGCTGTCTCGGACAAAACTGTTCGTCCGTGCCACATCATCAAAACTACCCCCCTCCTCTCTCTCAGTGCCCAGAACCCACATCTTGCCAGTATGCGTACCGACCCTGTCTTCCAGATGAATTTAACATGGGTATTTACGCTTGTTGCTTTTTCAACAGTCGCTTGTCACGCCCTTTATGACTGCCCTCGTCCAAAGTGTGAAACATGCCTTCCAGCCGATATCTATGATGCCCCGGGAGTCGGGTTCGACCTCACACCTTCCTACGGGTGAGCGTGTCGCTATCTTGATGATTTGACGAAATGGAATTAATCCTCATTTTCAACAGAACATCCGCCGTACATTATTATAATGGAACCGTCGTCGAAGTTGTCCAGATCCATGGCAAACCTGAGTACCTTGAGCTTATGACACGCCTTGCAAAAGGAGGCAAGCCCATATTAATGGAAGATCAAGGAATTCTCCAAAAGTCCTACTTTAAGCTATTCTCTCTTTTGGATTCTTTCTTGGGTCTCCCTTTTTCAGCACGGACTGGGTGGTGCTGGTTGAACGAAAAGCTTGAGCGACCGCTGAAATCGGACGATATCAACATCATTAGTGAAATGCTCTGGAATCTTAAGCTTGCTACAGAGAAGCAGATACGTCAAGATCTGAATAGGGTTGCTATCACAACTCCCGATATACCAACGTTGAGTCCAGAAATGATCAATACTGCTCTTCAAGAGTTAGATTTACAGACCTGGACGGGTGATTGTTCATGGTACCCAAGACGTCTGATAGAGGCAGATGCTGTTTATGCTGCTAGTGGCTATGGACTATGCAAAAGCTACCATGATCTATGGGAGTGTGATGATGAGTTTTATTTGGCCGGTTCTCCGGTAATTCTTTTTGTTTCCTTCACTCGCCATCTGTTATACACCAGCATTACTATACCCAATAATGGTGAATCCCTGATGCGTTTCGCGTACGATGAGATAAAAGATCTTAACTTCGAACTGGGGCTGGATCAAATTCTTGAAGCAGATAATCCGGACATATTATGGGCTCGTCTCCGTGAGCAGATCACAACTTTTTCTCAGTCCTCTGAGTTTCGAATCACCGGTTTTCTTTTAGCTGGTGAGAGCACGACGAACCCGCTTTTTCAGGATAATTTGAAAGACGCCTTGGCCGGGCTGTCGGGACTTCATATCGAGCCAAAAATAGCCCCGTTCGCCTTGATGGGATCTGTCCATGGAGAGAAATCCATGGATCTGACTTTCGCAGCTGCTCGGGGAGCAGCCTTGTATGCAAGGAGGCGACAAGAAGTACAGTGCGACTGCTCAGAACTTGGAGAATGTGAATTATCACGACAAAAAGAGAGATCAGGTGGCCAGGTGAAACTGGATTTATGAGACCGCAAATTGAGATACTCTGTTATATCATACCAAAGAAGAACACACTTGGACATGCTTCGTACGATAACCGTTATTTGAGATTGGCAGAGGTATGTAGTGTTGAGATGTAAGATAAGAAAGAGCTGGTCGCCCGATTCAGCGCATATGACTAACTACAAAAACAGTTAAATGCGGATCCCACACCAGCATGTTGGCTCAGTGGAATACGCACCGGGAAAAGTAAATAAAATAAAATGATCATATACTATTTGACAACTCTAACAAGGCCGAAGAAGAGTGGCTGAGCAGAGTTCGTGGAGAAGACATTGGCCTTGAATTCTACAGCGAGCAAGAAGCGAAAGACCTTGCATTGAGAGATCGTAAGCTCTTTGCCGAATTGTGGGCGAATGAAGTTGGGTATCAAGTTGATTTCAGAGAATTGGAAAAATACCCAATCCGGCTGACCAAATTCGCGGACTATCTTGAAAAGCACCGAGACGAGGTCCTTCAGACGTTCAGGTAGATATGCTCCTTGATTGTTTTTGTTTTTGTGCTGGACACCTATCCTGGACACCTATCGACAGTTTTGCTATGCGCTCCTCGGGCACCACCCCTCCGATACATCAAAGCACAGCAGATTCATCATGAGAAACAATCTGCTCTGCCATTGATCATTTGTGACGAAGTCGGTCTTTCATTGTACTCTATTTTTATACAGTCCCCTTAGGCTGCCAAAAATTCAGGCTTTGCCCCATTATATAACGATGTAGGGGTAAATTGTTGCGTGAGTAGGGAAAGGGCTCTGTGTTAGGAGAGCGACCGTAAGTTGGTCATTTTGGCTTAGTTATAATACGTAGTAGTACATCGCTCGTCCGTTTGAATTTTGCCTTTACGAGCTAAAACATGACCCAAAGTACAGCACCAAAACAGGCAGTATAGATTATGTAACTGCATCTCTGTAGTCTCCAACATGGAAGGCGAACCTGGGCACTCTATGTCTATGCCGGATTCCTTCAGGTCATCCAGAGATATAATTTTCTTTTCTCCTTCAAATGCTAAAAATCCATTCGCATAGTGGGTATAATTCGTAAGATCTGAATCGGCTTTTTTTTTCTCACGCGCTGACATGCGACTCTCTGCATTTTAACTAGGCCGTGGGATAGGTCAGCCACTCGTCTCATATTTCCAGTTTTGTTGTCCGATGTCCTCGGAACGCCCAGCTACAAAATAGTCAGGCATATACGAGGTTCCATGTTTATTTTGAGCGAGTTAAATATTTTCTGATTGTCAATACTATATACTGCCCATGTGATGTCTTACTCCGAGTCCGCTGCCAACTGAGACAACTTGAATTACTATTCATTCACTGGCACTCAGGCTCCCCCGAGCTGAAGATCCTCCACATTATACTACCAGTTACTCGTAACTTGCCATCATGTCTGTACCCGCCGCACCACCAACCATGGAGATACGACAGCAACTTCAAGATTTGATTGATGCTGTCCCCCACAATGACAGTGTTATTCGTGAGGGACAATACTGCCGCAGCCCTGGCTTCTTGACACAACTCAGAGACGAGGAAGTACAAAGGCTTCTGCAAATATATTTCGAGAACGAACATACCGTGATCCCGATGTTGCTCGCCCAGGAATCTGAAGCGCACCGTCTATCATATTTCAAAACCAAAGCAGCTTCAGACCTGAAAACCGGTATCGCTATCGGCTCCCTGGTCGCATATCATACCTTGCTCGACCCCGAGAACTCCGTTCGCGGAGCACTTCTTAGCGTTTTCGGCCGATCGCTGCTCGTTCAATCCCAGGCTGACGAAACGGACGATCGGGTCCTCGACGAGTCCATAGAATACTGTCGCAAAGCTGTCACTTTGGGTGATCCCCAGGGATGGAACCGATCGCTGCATCTCAACGACTTGGGTCAACAACTAACGACCAGATATGCCCGGCAGCATACTGATGCCGACTACGCGGAGGCAGAAGCAAGCTTCCAACAAGCTTCTGAATTGAGACCTGCTGGGAAGCCAGTCTTTCTATTTCGTTGGGCGAAATTGATCCGTGAGCGGGACGAGTTGGAAGGTTGCGAAAAAGCGGAAATGCTACGCAAGTACATTACCAAGCTGGGAGAAGCCGTTCGCAGCGAAAGCAATGCATTTAAGAACGCCGAGTATCGTGTCTCCATCAGCTGTATCTGGTGGAATCTGGGATCTGCCATGTGTGAACGCCACCAACTCACAAAATTGCCCGAGGATTTGGAAAAAGCGAGCAAGATATTCGGTCTCGCAAGGGGGGGCCCCTCAGCACGATGCAAATGACCGCTTCCGCTCATGTCGAGACCTTGGCCGAGTGAATGCGCTTCAGTTCAAAGAGAGTGGGGATTTGGAAAAAGGCGAAGCTGCGGTCAGTATGCTGAAGGAAGCTCTACAGGTCGAGCCAGACTCGATGTTAGTGATAGAGAGCCTTGCGGATCATCTTCGCATTTTCGCAGATTATGCAGACTCCGATGAGATGCTCACAGAGTCAGCGAAGATCTTGGAAAAGGCCTACAATGAGAGTGAAGATCCAAGCGACAGCCTCAGCGATGCCCAGGCCTTGACTTTTATGCAACAATTTAAGAGAAGAGGTAAACCCGAAGACATCGAAGTTGCCATTCAGCGATTTCGCACGTTGGTTGATCGGTCGCATAGTCGAGTAGAGGATCAAGCACAGTATCTTTTGAAGCTTTCTCAGTGCCTATTGTTAAGATTCGAGGCCTTTGAGAAACAAGATGACCTCGATAAAGCTCAAGTCGAGGCTACCAGAGCCTTTTCTCTTGAAACTACCCCTCAATTCATTAAGGGGGATTGTATTCGTCTTCAGGGACTGATTTCCAACGCACGATACAAGTGGAGCAATAATCCCGAATACCTTGATCAGGCAATAACGCAGTACCGAGAGTCATTGGAAAAGGTCAGCGACAAGAACAAGCATCTGGTTCGCAATGATCTCGCAAATGCGTATTATCTCAAGTTCAAGAGAACGTTGCTACTTGACGATCTTTCTGAATCAATCAAGGGGTATGACTTTGCCCTCCACGAGCTCCAACAAAGTGGAAGAAAAGATTCCAAGAAAGACAGCTTAATGATCTCTCATGGATTAGCCATCTCACTTACTGCACAATTCGAGGTCACTCAACAGCAACAAGACATTGACCGGGCTATCACTTGCTACGAGAAATGCTTTCAGGGCGCCGCAAAGAAAACCATACATGGTTTGATTCGGGCCAATAACCTCGCCCTCGCCTATCAGGAACGATACAAACTCACGGGACAGATTGACGACGTGAAAAAGTCTCAGACCGTCTTGCTTGAAGTACTCGCATGGGGCCTTGATGTGCACCCAAATAACCGATGTAACATGCATAACAATCTCGGGCGGGCATTTCTACTCTCATACATCGAGCTCAAAGAACCTTCGTACTTGGACTATGCAGAAGAGCATTTCCGCAAGGCTGATGCAACGGGTTGCACCCTCCCTGACTTTCAGATAGCGGCTTCAGTGAACCTCTCCCGGGTTTTGCTACTGAAGGCCAGGCAAACAAAACAACGCCGGGACCAGCTTGCTGTTTTACTTCAACTCACAAAAAGCCTCAGCTATATAGGGAACATGCAAAACATAACTAATTATTCTCACACGGATGGAATCATCTACAATACCCTGGAGTTTATCCTCGATTCTTGGATGGATTCAGGCTACAGTGCAGAATCCACCTCTGGACAGCTTTATTTGACCGCAAGCAAAACACTGATCCCTCATTTGAAAACTCTCCAAAGTTCCGCCATTGCCCGCTTCTATATTTTCGCCGCGATTGCGCAGCATGTTGTTGCAAAACAGCCAGGGATTGCTCGCGATGTGATCCGCACGACCGCCGAAATCTTACCCAAGAGCATGCTCCTCAGCTTTGATCGCAAGGATATCCTCAATAACCTCGGGAATTTCGTCGGTCTGCCATCCTTTGCCATCGCCTGCTCACTAGCCGCAGGGGACTCACCATACATCGCCCTCGAGCTCTTCGACAAAGTGCGCAGTGTCATGTGGGACAGCGTGCTATCTAACAAGATGACTCTCCGAGAAAAGGAAATTGAGAACTTTCCCGAACTGAGAGATAGATTGACACAAGTGCTAAAGCCTCTTGCTGGGGCCAAGGGTTCGCAGAAGACGCCATCAGTGAGTGAAATAGGTGGAATGCTAGTACAGCAACATGAAATCTATCGACAAGGTGTGGAATACCAGCAACTTTGGGAGAAGCTAGAATCGCACCCGGAGCTCGAAAGGTTTACATGTTTGCCGGAAGAGGTGTCTGCCCTCGCCGAATATGCCGAGGAAGGTCCTGTCATCATCGTGAACTACGGACTCTTCCGTAGCGATGCCATTATTCTGACCAAGGAAGGAGTGGAGTCGGTTTCCCTTCCATTGCTCACTGGACAAGAATTGGAAGAAAATGATAATCTGTACTTGGAAGCCCTCAGCATCATGAGTATCGATCTCTCCGTTGCCACCCAGAAAATGAACCAACTTCTCGAATGGATCTGGGATGCCGTTGCAGAACCAATCTTTGATCGCCTTGGGTTCTGTGGCATCTTAACCGATGCAGAGGATCTTCCACGATCATGGTGGATCACCACTGGTCGCATCGGAACGTTTCCACTCCATGCTGCAGGAAACCCTCGCAAGGGGGCCGCTTGTAACGTTCTCGATCGGACTGTACCGTCTTACATCAATGGACTTCGCGCCCTCGAATACACCCGCAGTCGACGCAGTACTCGACCAGATGTCCCGTCCAGATCTGAGAAGCGTGCACTCTTGATTTCAATGGAATCAACGCCAGGGATGGGAGAAGAGGGAAACCTCCCAGGCGCTGCGAGGGAAGTAACCAAAATCGAAGAGATTTTCAATCGCAGCGGTGGAAAAAGTAAACTCCTACACAGTCCAAGTCGTGTCGAGGTCCTACGACATCTTAGCCGAGCAGACTTTGCCCACTTCGCCTGTCATGGTGTCTGCGACGGAGATGATCCTGCCCGAAGCGCGCTCCGTCTGACAGACTGGCAGACGAAGCCACTTGATGTTGAATGTCTTCTTCAACAAATCCAGAAAAACCAAAGCGACGTGAGACTGCAACTTGTGTATCTCTCAGCATGTGAGAGTGCATCAAATAAGTCTAAATTCCGCGACGAAGGACTGCATATAGCTGGTGGGTTTCAAATGGCCGGAGTTCCCCACGTCATTGCTACTCTTTGGCCCGTGGACGACACATTTAGCTTCAACATGGCTGCACGGTTTTATCAACAGCTCAGTGCGCTGGGATCAAATTGCGACCCCACGCAATCAGCTAAAGTGCTTCGACAGGCTGTTGTCGAAATGAGAGGTTCGGGTGCAAGTTCATTGCTTTGGGCCACATACATACATCTGGGTCCGTAATCCCTTCTAGAATTCTGCTTTGGATGATGATCTAGCCTTTGTTATTTGAATCTATTTATATGTACGCAAGTATTGTGGTATGTCTTATCTTCACCAATCATCATCATCGTCATCAACTTCGAGCTCGTCATGCTCCTCTTCCTGCCCATCCCCATTTTGAGGAGGCCGATAGGACGCAGCTTCAAGAACAGCTTCGCAAGACAGATCATATTCCATACCATCATCTGTTTTCAGGGAGGCTTCCACGGTTTCCTTCTCTGTCGCGTCACCCCTGAATGTAGTGCGTTTATTCTGCGACCCGAGTCCCTATGTAAAGTGAGCGCGTTAGTAGACAGTCTCTCATTCGGGATTCTCAAGCGATATCCACTCTTACCCCGATAATAGGTCTGTATTTGAACTTGAGTCCTCCGAAGAATACTACTCTTCGACCCCCTGTACCCTAACTGAACGTCAGCATTATATTCTCCCCTCAAAGAAAATCACTCCTAAAAATAAGCACGAAGAGGGGTTTGAGACATGGGCAAAAAACATACTTCATCCCCCTTCACTCGTATCCACCCCTCTGCAGACCCGCTATCAACCCAGCCCCCCTTAGGAGCAAGCTCACCGATTTCCACAAACCCGACGTTGAACCCGACGTCAACAGCTCGATGGCGTTCCCGCCAGCAGTTCACAGCCGCCTCCTCCGCGGTCCAGATACTCGTGATCACCCACAGCGCATGATCTTTTAGTTCAGCTCTCTCAGTCAAAAGCTGTTTAGCATTTGACGCGACCCATCGCTTGAAGGGTGTCGCGTGGTAAAACCTCTCATGCTTAATCGGGGCACCGGTGATGAGCACCGCACCAGTGGACTCTTTATTTTCGAACCGATAGCATGACCCCAAGCTCAAAGGCACACCCGCAGCGGCCAAGAGCGCACTCTGCGATATACCTGCTGTCAGATCGATTTGGCGAACGCGTGTGGTATTGCCCAACTTCGGGCCCCAGGTATGTTCCTCTGGTGTCGCCATGGCGGGAAGATCATCGGGTAGTGCGAGTGAGGCTGTAAACGCAGATTGCGTGAATGGTGGCTGTGAGCGTTGCGAAAGATCGATTATAGGATTCCAGTCCCCATCGTCGTTGAAATATCCCACCATTCCCGGATGAAATGTATCGCGGGGTTGAGGGCGATACAGGGCAGTGCCGTACGGATGGCATTGCATCTGTTCCGCATATTCAATGTCAAGAGGCTTTTTAGAGGATGAACCCATTTTTCTTGAAATGGCGATTTCCGGCTAGCCACTGGCGACAGGCAACTTGAATGAGAGCTAATTACCAGTGGAAAGGAAAGAAAGTGTACTTAGAATCACTCAATGCTGACAGTCTCGAATGCGGGGTCAAATGGGGTCAAAAAGGCTGCAGATTGGGCTTGTTTATTTTTAGTCCTCGCCCACGCTACTTTGTATTTCCTAAGAGCAAAGTCGAGAATAACAGATCGAGTGAGCTGATACTAGTGCTTTTATTGATTGAACAATGGTTCTTCGAACCGGGATGAGGTGCGAGTAGCCTAGAACTGTGGTGTCCCGGATGCATTCATTCGTCAAAACTTCTGAAGGAATCTTTTTTCTTACGCCAAATTGTCGCATTATCACTCTTTGGGGTCGTCAAGGCCCGGGAGATGGCGCTCTTACTCAGAATCTCGCGGAGAGTAACCCCACGATTCATATCTCTGACTTCTCCACCAATGGCCCCCACGGCCTTGAAAAGTTCTGTTACACTTGTGAGGCTAGTGCAACCCAGTTTCAAGTCAGGCTGGTGGCCATCTTGGGAGAAAACTAGGTTAAACTGCTCTTTGACAATCTCCCTGGACGTGAGATAGAGTGTGATAGGGTTTCGAGGGTCAAACTATGGACATCGTCATGACTCGTTAGTATTGTGTTTGAATTGGTAGGTACTAGGATAAGTGAACCATTTCAAGCTCTGACTAACCTGTTCGACCAACTCATACGAGTCGGTATCATCATTTATTTGAGTCAGGTTGGAGATCTTGCTCAAGATGAGTATCATTGAATGGACGCCGGGGCCGCCCAGAATAACCACTCTTAATTGAGTGAGTCTTCCAAAGCCACGTTTCTGGTATGACAGATCCTCGTCGAAGAGGATGTTTGCATGCGGCGAGATAACCCCATCTTTTAGTGTGTAATTTATCTGCGCGCGCAGTCTCTCAATTCGCACTTCTTTCTCAGCCCTTTCAATCTCATTACCACACTTTCGAGCGAGATTCTGGAGATCCAGAATCACATTTTCTATCGCTTGATATCCGTGCCGCTCATCGGTCTGCTCACTGTACCTAAGACTATGGGCAAGTAGCATTGGGTACCTTTGAATGCGGACGATCGGGCTCTTCATGTATGTATCCCAGCCCAGCCTTCTGCCAAATTTGTGATCCCGTGTCTGGTTGAGAAATCTTTGGAAGTAGGAACTCTTCGTAGCCTCGACCTTGATTGCAGAGTGCAGGCGGGGATACAAACCACAGAATTCCAGATAAATCGGAGTGGCTTCACTCAGCCATCCTTGAAATATATCGGGGAAGTTAGTGATCCAAGGCCCTTCGGTCTCTTGCCTCTTGAGTAGTGGGTCATATAGGAAGGTTTTGTGCAACTGGTAAATCCGGTGATGGAAGCTAAATGTCTTTTCGGCAAACTCTTGATTCGAACCCCTGGAAAACATCGTTGATGGATCCAATATCAGGCGATGGTAATAAAGATAATGAACGACTTGAACCTGGTGGAGAAACCCCCCCCCTCGGTGGTTATTAATTCGTGGAGCAGATTCTGGCGCTGGATTTCCTTCCTTGGGACGGAATCAATATCTGGCCCTAGTGACCAATAATTCTGCCAATCTGGGGAATCAAGCATATTCCCGCTTAGGAAATCCTTTACAGGATCGCTTGTTATTAATAGAGAGGGGGTTGATGTTGTTGTGTGGGACGTCGTTCGCGTTGCTTCGCTTTCTTCTCCACTTCTCAGTGTGGAGGTTTCTAGAGAACATGGATTCGCCATTAGAACAGTCATCTTACCCGAATCGGCATTTTGCCATCAACATACCAGAGGTGTCCTGCACATCTGTGTTTAAAGATACTTCTTCTTCTCCCTGGACATCCGCCGCGTCGTTCGAGTTTTCAGAACCCGTGTGTCTCTCCCGAGCATAAGCCTTTGCCAGAACCTGACGATAGGCAGTTGAGTTGACTACCTCATCATCAAAGGTAAACAGTCTCGAGCTATAAAGTGAAGCTTCATCCTCAGAAATGCTGAGGGTCTTGAAGGACATATCGTAGATGGACCTCGGTGCTCGCGAAACTTTATTGGCAGACGCAGAGATGCGGGAAGTATGCTGGGCTACCTCGTTGAGGATGGCCGTATTCTGATCCATCAACTTTTTGAGTTCCGTTATTGTGCCACTTCGTATGTGTTAGATAGATTCGTTAGTTCTTTTAGGAAAAGGACAGTATTTACACTCCCAGTAACTGCATAATGAAGCCAAGTGCTGTCTGAAGACCACGCATCTGGCCCAAAAGCTCCTTCATCGTACTTTCACTCCACAGATAGCGAAGTTTGGCAGTAAACTTTAAATCCACTGAAGTTTGTAGTACCTCCGATTCTGTCAGCTTCGAGATCTCGCTCTCAAGGACATCGAAAACCACATAGCAGCCTGTCAGTGCCTGGTCCAAAGTTGACTCAAGACTAGGGTGGCTCTGCAGCTTATCCGATACGGCATCTGGATCTTTCAATATACAACTCTGGATATGAGACATGGACGCGGATATCAATGTTGTTTCGGTACATATTGCAGAGATGGTGAGGTTAGCGTTGTCGAATTTGTCCTTGAGATCGCGCAGCGCTTTCGCTGTCTGTAGGCAGCTTGCCGTGAGGCCGGCTACACTTGCAGATATTGAAAGCGGATCCATGCCGGTTGGTGGCAGGAATAGAGTATCGATAAGCTTGACAGGAGTGGGATTCAAGAGGAGGGGTTACCTTACGCTAAGCTGTGGCGGTGCAGGATGCAGATTGCAGATCACTTAGTGGGGGCCAAGGCTGACTCTTCACAATTTGACACTTTATGTGAGGAGTCTAAATACGACGGGGATAGAGGTCAACATGTAGAAGCATTCGACCATAATAATAAACATGGGAGAATGAAGAAGCGGAATATGGCAACTAGATGCCTTTGATGCCTGTGATGCCTTGGTTCTAAGGCATCAAAAGACATCAAACATGTAGTTCGTTACACTTTAAACAATATTTGCTATCGAACTTAACAGGTGACTTGTGAAAGAAGAATTGGCATATAATGAGTAAAAAGACCTGATTGTATATACTCAAAATAACAATATGCGCACCCCACCCTTGTAGGTAGGCTATATGGTTGACGATATCGGGATCCCCGGATCGGCGCCGATCACAAATCGCCGAGAAGTTACACCTCGCGGGACCTTCGACTTTCTCTCTCTCAATTTCAAACATATTTTTACATCAACTAGAAGAGAGAAAAATGACCGCAAGGTTCGCAGTCAAGAGCTTGGACCATTTGGTTCTAACAGTCCGCTCCATCCCGGAAGCAGTCAGCTTCTACACGACCAATCTAGGGATGCGTCATGAGGTCTTTACTTCGCCCAAGGACCCGTCGGTAGAAAGGCAAGGACCATGAATATAAGCTTGTTCTAATAATATTCGTCATGATACTAACGGCTAAGATAGACATGCTTTGCTCTTTGGCAGCCAGAAAATCAACCTTCATCTGTCGGGCAAGGAGTTTGAGCCCAAGGCACAGAACGTCAAGCCTGGGAGCGCCGATTTGTGTTTCTTGACGGATGAGAATGTCGAGAAGGTTCTTCAGGCTTTCCAAGATGCTAGAATTGAAGTAAGTCATATGTAATATGGGAGGTGGTGTATGTATGTTGCTGACACATGACAGGTCCTCGAGGGATCGCAGGTTGTAGAAAGAACTGGAGCGGTTGGGAAGATCCGGAGCGTTTATGTGAGAGACCCGGATGGAAATCTGATTGAGTAAGTGCCTTTTTATCTCTCGCAAAGCCAGACTGAATTAACTTGGACTAGAATATCAAACTACGCTTAAACTAAGGGATCGAGACCGCATGAAACTCACATGCGCCAGGATTTGTCCAATTTATGAAATAAGCGGGATTCACCTTGGGAAATAGCGCTTTCCGAGTAAAGAATAGAAAAGTTTAATTTCTGGTATTAGACTTGTGACATAGTGTCAAAAGGTTGTTCATCATACAAGGTCCGGGGCCGACTAAATCCACGCTTCCCTGCCTCAAACGGACTACTCCCGATCATAGCCTCAAGGGTGCGGTCTGGCGTAGACTTGGCATGCACAGACATGGTCACGTCCTGGTCCTCATGGATATTATTGGGTTTTGATAGCCGTGGCTCAACCCCTCATGTATCTCGACGTCGAGACTCATGCGGCGAATGCCCATGCCAGAACACCCATAAGCGCCGCGAGAACGGCGTTTTGCTGGATGGGCGCTGCGGCATTGAACACAGGCGATGCACTAGAAGAGGTTGTTGGAGAAGTTCCCTATGATTGAATTAGTCAACTGCAAAACACGTAGCAAGAACAACTGGTCATACCTTGGCGGAACTCGAGACATGCGAAGTGACTGAAGCAGTCACAGATGTCGAAAGATTGGGAGTGCCCGAGGCAGTCGCGATGGTCGAAGTATGCTCAGCAGTTGTCTTGGCCGAGGAGCTTTCACCAGCAGTGGCTGTAGTTGTACCAGTCTTGCCCTATCATTGAGGTCAGTTAGAAGAAATATCCGATGGGATCAAAGCTTGTCATACAGTTTCCGACTCGGAAGTCTTCGAAATGGATCCAGAAACCGAGGAAGAGCTTTGTTCGGTAGCGGACGTGGTGATGGCAGAAGTCTCCTATGAAGAAGATTAGGTTATGAAAGAGGTGAGAAGTATGAGTAATAGGACATACCATCTTCGCAGTCGAAGCCTCACCAGTGGAGGAAGAGCTTTCTCCAGAGCCGGTCACAGATGCAGTGGCTGGCGACGGCCCCTGGGCGGAAGAGGGACTGGGGGTGGCATCGACATGACATTCGTTGGCGGCATTTTTGACATCTTCGCCGTAATACTTCCAAACATCCTGAGTCAAGGCACACTTCAGACAGTTCGAAAGGCGGGTTTTGAAATCTGCGGTGTCACAATAGTCGCCGCCTTTGTGCCAATATGCGGTGATTAGGCCTATGGTTTCCAGGTAATGTTATTCACATATCTCACAGTCGTGTCTCTGATTAGTGCTTACCACAATCCTCATGGCAGTTGTAGTTGGGGGAACCGGGTTCCTGGCGCGAGAACAGGTCTGGCAGCTGGAGCGCCAGCACGGACGACAGGAGGAGAGCAAAAAAAGCCACTCGAGGCAGCGAGATGAACAACATGATGATGGGAATGTAAACGAAAGAATGAAAAGCAAATAAGATTGTTGGAATCGGATCAGGGTGTGGAGGTGGAGGCGGAGGGTGAGGAGGAGAGGAAGAAGGAGAAGGAAGGGCAAGTGAGAGTTGTTTATAGGCATCCGTGTACCGGAATCGGATACTGCGGTTTTGCATGGCGAGGTCTCCCCTTCCGACTTCCTCCAGTACTAGCGTATCGTTGTTATTGTTTGTTCCTTCCCGGCCGCACAATTTGCACAATTTACAAACATGCAGTTTGTTTCACTTGTTAACTGGCGGACTAGTGATATTGACCTTCTCGCCTACTGCAACCTTCAGGCATGCCTTCCAACTCATGTAACGACTGACTCGTCAAATGGCTAGATCAAATCCATTCTAGGACAAATATCAAATTCGACCACAAAGCTATTGAGGTACGCCATTTGGCACCACAAAGGCCCGTCAATGATACTCTAACTTGACCAAGAAACAGTCATTCTCCATAACACCTCGGAGATAAACTACTGCAAGCCACTAGTAAAAGTGGAACCAGGGACCAGCGCTTCCTTTGACGGGTGGGGTTGCCCTGTCTGAGCTGTCGCCGCTTTTATGACGGCCCTTAGAGGCAGCCACAGCGTAAACCTCATACTAACTAGTAAACACAATGCTGTGCTAAAGCCAGTGGCACACATTAAACTCCTAGTCTACTTTCAGGTCTTAATCAAATTAGTAGCCAGGCCTTGCAAGCTTGATGTAACCTTTCGATGGTCCTTTATGTAGCTTTTTTGATCGAAGTCACTTTTTTTTTGGATCCTCTCTTCCAACAACTCTAAATTCTAATTACAAGATATAACGAGATATCGCACATTTCCAAGTGAATATATCTGCTTGAAGGACGAAAATTGAACGATTTTTCTCTAAGTTTTCTCTTATCTACGGGGAACTCAATGGCGCGTGCTTCGTATTTCCTCAATTTGTCAGCATCACAAGATAGCGTGATTATAATCATAAAACTTCCCCCCCACCATGAACTTCACCCTATTTAGTCCTCGTCTATTCAAAACAAATTGACCCGAACGAAAATGGAGCCTATCCTATCTGCAAATGAAATCGGCGAAGGACTGCCCATATTAATCATCCACGGATGGGAGCTACAAGGAAAAGCCGAAGAGTCGGACTTCGAGCCGATTTTCAACACAATACCAGGCCTTCGTCGAATTTACGTCGACCTTCCGGGCATGGGAACCACGCCTGCAAATAACGTCAAAGACTTGGATGATATATACGCCCGCCTATCACAATTCATCGATTCGCGACTTGGAAGGTCGAATTTTCTACTCGTCGGCTCATCGTGCGGTGCTTATATCGCACGCGCGATAGCCCAAAAATACATCAACCAAGTCGATGGACTGCTATTGCGCGTACCACTCATCGAGCCAAAGAACAGTATGCGCGACCTCGATGCTTTCAAGACATTGGTTGAAAATAAGGAACTCATGTCGACGATCTCCACTGAAGACAAAGCCCTTCTTGGAGACGTTCTCGTCCAAACGCCCACCTACATCCAAGCTTTAAAGGCGAAACAAGAGAATGTTTACATTCCAGCGGGAAATGCAGCGGATAGCGAGGCGTTGGGTCCGATCCGAGACGATCCATGTCGATACCAATTATCTTCTGCGGTGCTCGATGAAAATGCTAAGTTCTTTGCACCTACCCTCATTGTGTGTGGTCGGCAAGACCAGAGTGTGGGCTACCGGGATAGCCTTCGGCTGCTGGAGCTTTATCCAAGATCAACTTATATTGTTCTTGATCGTGGTACGCATGGCCTTCCCATCGATGACTCGGAGAGGGGTGTTTTCGGGGCCCTTGTTCGTGACTGGGTAAATCGGGTTGGTGAATGGCGGGATCGTCTTGATGTGTAAAGGCTAGTCAGACCGATTATATCTATACATTTGTGCAAAAAATTATTATTGAATGATTCAAAATTGCTTGAATGAACGGAATTTAGATAGAGTAAAATTGTTTATTAACATGATGTGGGGAGGTGGTCCAATCTACTCGAGAGACCAGGGGAATGCCAGCCATCACGTCGGCTTGGCAAAACATCGCCTGACCACAATCAGATGTGCTCAGTTCTACCCAGGGAGCATAAAGCGGCGTGAGAAAGGCAGAAAGAACATGGAAAACTGCAAGGGGATACTAGCCAGGGTAGTTGGTAGTTGGGTCTGGGCGCCAATCAATCTTATCAATCTAATCTCCCCACCCGGCGAACGACCATCCGGCCTTCTTCATCTGAACCATCTGCAGTGAAAAAGCGAGCTAAGGCGGCGCTAATGCTTCCAGCACCTTAATTCACTCAGTTAATATAGTAAGTGTCCAATAAAATACCTCCGTACCCCTCCGGTAACATGTTGTCCGCCACATCGCTTCGCTCGGCCATCTGCTGTTGCTCGGGCAAGCGAGGCATTGCATGGCTTGGCGACGTTCAAGAAGTGGTACGGTAGTACTCGCTTCAGAGTTAAGGGGACTAGTTGGAACTTTTGGAAGAAGAATATGTGGTCATCTCCACCTCGTAGACCATCTCTCGGGATATCTTGCCGAGTAGTCATGTGTTGAAGCAGTGGGTACCCTTCAATATGCCAAGATGTATATAGTAAGAAAGGCGATTCTCTTCTTCGTAGTTCAGTAGCTAATTTTGTAGGCCCAGAATTTCTTGCGGCGCAGTTTGCCCTTCCCTCCAAACTCGCCTCATCTGCTTTGACTCACCACTCCCTCCCAACTATCTGCCCTTCCCCTCCTTCCTTTCTACCTTTCTTCCCTTCTCCCAGCAGACATCGTGTTGTACAATTAACAAGTTTGCACTCAGCCACAAGCATCATGCATCGACAAACAGTTTTGCTGGCTCTCGTCAGCCTTTTCCTCTTCTTCGTGCACGCCGCTGAGACACCCATGGCCACAGACATGGGACCGGCCGCCTTCCTCTGGCCTCCGGATCGCGTCTGGGGAGCCGCACAAGACAACACTCCTCCCTGCGGATCCTCAGCCGGCGTCACCAATCGAACCGAATTCCCCTTGAGTGAGTGACAGACTGCTTAAAACTATACCAAAATTCCGTCCAGTTGCTAACTTTACCTCCCACCTGCAGCCAACGGCAAGGCGTCTTTAGTCCTACAAGACGAATCCTACAACATCAACCTGGCAATTTCCTACCAAAACAGTGAGACCCAAAACAAGCAAATAGAAAAAGAGACGAAAAGAAAAAAGTACTGACAGTTCTTGCCATCCCAGATCCAACCGAAAATAAAGACTTCACAACCATCGAAGACTTCCCCGACCTCGTCCCAGGACATGAATGTTACGACGTGCCAAACCCGCCCAAGGACATCATTTCGGGAGCGAATGCCACTCTCCAGATTTCCTACCTTTCCACCTTTGATACGGAGAAAAATGAGACCTTCTACGCCTGCGCGGACATTACCTACGTCGAGCTGAGCGCATTCAAGGGATTTGTGTTCTGCCGTAACATCACGGCGCCCGAAACGACATCGACGAGTGCGAGCACCGCTTCCTCAACTGCGACGGCATCAACCTCGACCTCGACCTCGACTTCTTTATCTTCCTCCTCAAAGGGCTCAGGTCTCTCGGGTGGCCAGATCGCTGGTATTGTGATCGGGTCTTTGGCGGGCGTGGTACTTGCTGCTGTTGGGGCTTTTATTCTTTGGAGCAGACATCAGAGACAGATTCAAAGGGATAAGGTTGTTGCTGTGAGGATGAGTGATTGGGGAAGTGAGCCTGGAAAACCTACTTCTGGGCAGTCGCGAACCGCCTGATTTGATGTGATGTGATGTGATGTGACATGATATGACTTAATCTGAAGACATACTGTGAATGATGCCCCGAGTCGGGGTCTTAATCTTATGGCTTTCCATACCTTGTGGATCATCAAACTGTACCCTGTACTCAATTACGGCGCTTCATATCGGCAACGGACCCAATAGGCCTGTCTCGCCATACTGACTTCCCTTTGTTGAGCTATTCCGTCTGCATAAATTACTTGATCTTGATAATTCGGGCTGTTGAACATGTAGCTAGATAGTGTCTGGGGGAGCAAACATTCAAAACAGAATTTAGCGAAGGATAGCAACTGTTTCTAAGCTGAGAATCAAGCAAATATTGGGCAAAGCATCGGTTAAGAATGGAAAACAAGTCTCCTTTCTCGAACCCTAATGCCAAGACCTGCCATACTACATTGAGAATAATAAGTAGTCTCGGAATAGCTATTTTCCAGTATCGTTACCTGGACGGTATTTTACTTCTATAATTACAAAACTCATGTCTCGTCCTTGTATTTTCTTGGAGAACAGTGGTAGGGCTGACGATCTCGCGAAATCCACCGCATCTATCCCCTTCTCGCACGTCTCTCCTCGTTCCTACGCTAATTAAGAGTCTGGGAGCTTTCTCGGATTGTATAGTAAGTATCTATGTATATACGGCTTTATACACCTTGGCCCCCTCACAAAATTTAAAGGGATTGTACTGTACGGCTCGAACTGCATCCCGATACCTGTCCATCCCGATTCGATTTTCACCCCAATCACTACATATTTCCTTACCGCCGCGCCTTCCATAAGCGCTACAATGAGCGCTGAAGAGTTCCTGGCCAATGTTGAAGGCGGTATCGTGCTAGTGACCTGCCATGAGGATATCTTACGGATCGCATTCATCTACTTGGACGAGGGGCTATGGAACGACAACGGGGTATTCGATGTTATAGAGAAGCTGCACGCACATGGCTGGTCCTTTGGCGAGGGCGAGTTACGCTTTAATCGTACCCTGGATGTATTCTACCTCGCGCAGCTCGCGGCAGCAATCTACCGCTATACCTCCCAACTGGAAGGTGACTTCCCCTCCTTCTCCGATTTTCCTGCCTTCTATACAGCCCACCATGACCTTCTATACTCCTCCGTCTGGCGCTCCTACTACTCCATTCCCTATCTCACCCAGCGCACTACAGCGCGCTTCTACCGCCTGCCTGATCTCCAGGACCTTCCTGACTCCTCTTCCCCACTATGCCAGCCGTGCCATAGTCCGGTATCCGCACATGTCTTGAAACTCTCCCGCTGGGCTTACACTGTTGGGCGCACGCGCCGCAGACAACCTTTTCTGCCATTAGTGACTCTTACGGCAGTAGCCCTCAGCACGCTAAAGTCAACCATGACATGCCTGCACGCGGCCTACCCCAGTGCACCACCTGATTCGGAATCACATGCGCGCTTCTGGCTTGACTATTTTAGTCCTGATCTATCTTCATCTTACCTGGCTAGGATAAATCCCTGGGAAGAATGGGTGCCCAATCACTTTGGGATATTGGTCGCGCAGGGAAAGTATGATTTACACAGGTCAGAAGCAGAGTACCTCGCACGGGTTTCGGGGGAAGAGATGGCCAAAGGAGATGGTGAGTCGGAGCAAGTGATGTGGTGTGGGTTGCCGGATGGAGGGATTGGAGTACAGGCGTGGTGGAGGGGGGTGGGAGGAAGAGATCGGGAGTGAGGAGGAGGTGAATTTCCTAGCCGCTGTTGCGGTAGAGGAGACAGTTGGACTAGGACTAGAAGGAATCGAGATGGATGAGTTAGACCTGTCAATCCGGTCACATATACTACTAGCAGTTATGCAGGCTGCGGTGAAGGACAGGCAGGAGAATGAGCATTTCCTGGGGGAACTGGAGAGACGGATGGTTCAGAAGGGGATGATTGGCAAGGAGAGGGCAGAGAGGTGGATCAGGGAAGCCTTGGGGATTATGGAGCCGTATGTACGCGTATGGCAGGGTGTGTGGCCTGGTGCAGAAGAGAGGGGAGAGATGCTGCGGCGGATTTTGGTGGAGAATGCGCAGCTCTTTGCACGCTGGAGGGTGTCACCACTTTCGAAGCAGTTCACTTTTGAGCTGGGGCCGAAGGAGTAAGGGATTTAGACTACCATTACGACCATGATACAGCCATTAGACCGATGTGGAGGTATCTATGTATGTATTTACAGAGTCAAGCATCCAAGACCTTCGCCAAAAAAAGCTGCTTGGACAGTTACGAACTGCACGATTTAATATAATATGATACAGTCTAATCTAATCTGAAAACCCCTCATAACCCCCCCCCCCCGGCCTACATGTTTGCGAATGATGAATCAGGATCTTTATCTCATACTAGCATTCCATGCCTTATAGACCATCGAACTGATATCAGAAATACGCGAAAGGAATACGAGAAAATAAAAATATACCAGACTAATTCCCACCACCACCACCTTATATCTCCTCAAGCTGACATCAAAGAATATCACCAATCTCCGGTGAACGAGTATAATGCGCCTGTCAATCATCACTATCACGCATCTTAAGAAAAGCCGGCAATTGCGTAACCTGTCAATACAATTTCATCCAACCCACATTATACCCAGTGCACCCCTCAAGGGGCTCCTCCACATCCACATCACCATTCGCAATATCCTCTTCATCAAGCTCCTCCGGTCCCCATTCAGCATACACCATGCGAATAAACCCCGTCTCATCTTGATCCACAGGGGCATTCAGAACCGACTCCATAGCGTCCTGATCCTTGGTGATGAAAAACCGGTATCGACCAGTCCGTGCACGTTAATCTTCACTAACGCCCTGTTTCTCTTTCCTCGCAGTCTTTGCCCACTGGTCGAAGTGGCTGCGAAGAGTAGAAACAGTCGTACCCTCGAAGGAGGGGTCTTGCAAGACCGTTGGGGTGAATGTGTCGAGGAGATCAAGACCACTGTAGTACTCTAGGACTCTGTGACGGGGCTTAGGAAGCGAGTTAGGACTTTTTCTCAGTCGGTGTTGTTTTGGTATATGCATCTGTAGATTTCGAAGCCCCAAGTTTTGAAACTATCTTTGTTTAGGAGGGCCTCGATTTGGTCGGCGTCGTTAAGATCGGAATCCATTGTTGGATCGCGTTTTGAAGGGGGAACTTTCCTGTTGAGAAGGTGTTGATGGCATTGTCGAGACGGGGTAGTATACTAGTATGTATGGACTTTGCGAGATGTGAAGGGTGGAGGTTGATGGGAGTAGGGAAGCGAATGACGCTCGAGAGGGTGAAAAGGGCGGAGTTTTGGCTGTAGAAGCGTGGGAAGTGTGTAGGTCGAAGAAATCTTCCGGTAGTCTTGGTGTGAAGGTTCCGGTTTCTGGTATGAGGTGATAGGAGAGAAGTAGGAGTGCAAAAGCAACGCTAGACAACTTGAAGTTCAAGTTAGGCGGTTGGGCATGGTCTAGGCCGGGGGGGGCGGGCCGGATCCAGGGTTGTAGGGCCTAAAAGTTGGGGGGGAGGTTATAAATAACTTAGATGGTACTTATTATAGCAGGTAAACTAGGGCTTATAACTTTTGTAGACTAAAATTGGCTACTAATTGTTATTTAAGAAATATGTCAAAGTCTGATCAATTTAGAATACTAGCTGACAACTAACTATTTATTGCAGGTTTACTGCGATGTAAATAGGTTACATAAGATTTCCAAGCAAATTGGGAGTGTATCCGACAAGTAACAACTAGTAATGGTTAGTTATTCTGTCGTGGCATACTGCGGTCCCTTTTTCTGCTGCTGTGGTCCGTTGCCGATATGAATCACTGGGGCAGGCAGCTTATATGCTACTCTGTACTAATCTCTGGCCTTGATAGAATGCATTCCCTTCTCTACTTCAATCGTCGATTCGGCAGGATTAGGAACCCATGGGGGACTTTCGAGCTTCAAGTTTAATAATGTATTCCTCAGCAGTATAGATGTGGCTTGGAGCATAGGTGTGTGACAAGGACACAGAAATAAGAAATACTAATATTTGTCTAATAAAGCCAAAAAAGCCACCGTTCCCGAATTAAAAATCTTTCGTACCCAACGAAGCTCAACCTGGTCGAGATGAACCAAGCAACAACTTGAACAATTATGTATAAGAAGAATCAAAACCAACCACCCATTATGTTAAAATTAGTCTATCAGGACATCCCTTTGGAATTTGATGCTGAAGCACCGAACCGAACCAGGCCGAAAGAAGAAGAAAAAGAAAAAAAGCGTAAACCGAAAAAGTCGAACCGATTATCCAAAGCATAACCCCTTGAAAGATGTGATCATGTCGAATAAACGCCATTGCCATTAAATCCATCACGGGAAGACCGCAGTGCACACTCGCTATGTTTCCGGCTGCTGTCCGAACCGGAAGTACAGTACCAGCCTTCATCAATTAATTGGTGCTCCAGATCTCGCCAGTACTGTGCTTTGCCTCCAGCTCCTGTTTTCAAGTCGAGGTCGCCGAGACGGATTTCCACGGGTAATGATTCGTTGCGGGGGATCTGGGTGGAATATTAGCCTGAGTTCTTTTCTTCTAGACGGGTGGGAAGAGGAGGAGGACATACCTTGATAAACATCGTACAATCACGAAGAGTCATATCCAACGAGTTCTCCCTCGATCCTTCCTCAGGCCCGAACAATCCAACCTCCCGAAAAGCCTTCTGTCTAGACTGCAAATTCCTCAATGTTGAATTTCGGAATAAGATGCCCGCAAGCCGGACACGGTCATGGTCATTACCAGCACAACCCCTGACGAACCCCGTAGCACGCAGTACATTCTCAAAGCACTCAGAAACAAGATCAAGAGGACAAAACGATCGCGACTCCTTCAATCCTAACCCCCCTCGCGTCCCGATTCTTCATTTCCCGAAGCGCACACGTTCGACACCGTTCAGCGCCGACTGGTGCAGACGGGGACTGAAGTAGCCATTTCGGCTTGAACTCGGCCAGTGTCGCGCCCGGGTCGGCATCATTGAAGACTGTCATATCGGTAATAAGTAGACCGAATGGTTCATTCAAGGCTAGGTACCCGCCATGGCGTTTAGCAGGCCTGGAGCCATTTCGTTCCTCGGCGCGGAGTAATTGATTACAGTGGGGGATGAGGTCATCCGGGAGTCGAATCAGTGTTTGGTCGACTAATTCGTCGGTCTGGAAAAGTGGGCGGATTTTGGCATTGAAGTTTGCGGCGATTTCTTTGTAGCAGACGTCGGATGCAGTCTGTTTGCGTAGGCGAAGTAATTTGCCTCTGAAGATTGGGGGAATAGTCGTAGTCGTAGTGACCCCGCCATCATCGCGAGTGGTTGTTGATGATGATGATGATGACGAGAGCAGTTGTTTTGAATCATCTTTCTTGACCGCTAGATGGGAGGTGGATGGGACAAAGCGGTATATCACATTTGCTCCGCCTCGGCCAGGTAGATGAGCTGAACTCCCGGTGGGAGCTCGAGGAGACTGGGTTTTGTCATTCGGGGGCAATGGGGAGAATGGGGAGGAGGAAGTGGATGAGTTCGTAGAAATAGATTTCCTTTCTTTTTTTATGATTTAGATTTCGATTCCCAAGAAGTCCGGGGTTGCAGGGGGGGCTGATAAGGCGAGTGGAGGAGGGAAGAGACGATTGGTCACGCGAGATCAAGCCTGGGAAGCTACTCGCCGATCGGATCGTATCTTAGTCAGCCCTATTCAAATTAAACATGCACGTTGGTTAGAAAAATGTTGGATTGTATTTTATTTTAGTTTTAGTTTTGAATATTTTACAATCTCGCGTAGTGGGGTGTGTTTCCGAAATAGCTTCCTCATTTGTGGTGACCTCATGGGTGGGCAATCCCTCAAGAGCTTCACATCTGCCCATTCTGACGTGGCCATAGTAGACATCCTAGGTATACCAGGTAACTTAACTAGGCCATAATGTACAGAACTAAGTGGATGTACAGGCTACCTTAAGATAATACCTGCAGACGCAGCTTAACATTAGCGCCTGCCGAGAGTTCACCGAGTTCAACCTGCCCCACCTCCACTTCTTCCCTACACAACACTCTCTCTACGCCGCTACGCTCTACTCCATCATGGAACTACCTACCCCCGCCAAGTGCACCGCGGACTTTTGTCTGATTCCAGTAAGCCAAACATCAAGCCCTTACTTACAGTATCCCCCGTTCTGATCCATACCCCAGATCGGCACCTCCTCACCCTCCGTCTCCGCCCAAATCGCCGATGTCCAGCGACTGATCGAAGCCTCGGGCATCAAATACACCCTGCACTCCGCCGGCACCACTCTCGGTAGGTAGTAGTAGTATCCAATTGCAGTCTCAATTTAAAGGGGTGTTATAAGACCATCCTCAGCTCGTCCGATCGCTAATCAGCCTCGTCTCGTGTTACAGAAGGCTCCTGGGACCGGGTCCACCAGGTCATCGGACAGGCGCATACCCTCCTCCACCAACAGGGGATCGTACGTATCCAAACGGATATCCGGGTCGGATCAAGGTGCGTTCTAATATCCTGCAGTCGGGGCTGGGTTTGATTACGGCCCCTACGTCGGGCAATTCAAATTCAATTCTACCCATCCCCGTCCAATCGGTTGAAGCTCTATACTATATACTATCCTGTGGGATATATGTGTATAGCTATGCGTTATATAGTTTACCCAGAGACTGACACATAACACAAATTGAAACAGGACGGACAAAGAACAGACTGCTGAGGATAAGGTCAATAAGGTGCGCCAGTTACTGAGGAAAGACCAGTGAATTTAAGTTGGAAGTTCATCGAAAGGAGGGTGGGGTAGAAGGCTTCATTATAACTCCACGGGGAATACCAGTGCCCAGTATCGGCATTGATTAAACCTCAACTTGAAGATTGAATGTAAGAACAGCAGATACGAGCATCGATCGGTTTCAATGAGATTTATTCAATTTTTTCTCAATTCTATATACTATAGAGAGATCAAAGCCCCCCTTCACAAGTCATGCCGTCATTCCAATTCCAGCCCCAATTGAAAGCAGTCAAAGGGGATGAGAAAAAAAAGCCACGCAAGAGAAAAAAAACACCAGGTCATTTTGCGGTCACGCAACGCCGGCACAACCCAGAACTCCCAAACAAACAGCCCATGCCCCATGCTCTATATACCAGTATGAAGAGGGAATCAAAACATGTCCGAGAACAAAAACGCTGCACGATAATAAACAAGCAAGAAGTCAAAGTGTGAGCAAAGGCAGCAAGCGAGGCAGCCTTAGCTTTAACTAAAAGCAATCCCACCACCAAGAATCTTACTCCAATCCCCACCAACCCAAACCCAATCCCCCATCGAAGGCGTAGCCCCAGCCTGGGCAGAACTAGCCAAATCAACCAGACCCTTAAAGACATTATTGATGGTACTGCCATCACTCGAGGAACCAGCCGCCGTAGAAACAGAACTCCGACCAACAGCATTAGTAACGCCATTAATATCGTCAATCGCATCAATAGCCGGTCCCCGATTAAAGAAATCAACCAACACAAACGCCGGAGCCCGATTCCACGTCTTCTTACACTTTGTCAACGTGCTGCCGAGATTACCCGTGCCGCCGGACGGCGCATTTGTCGTGGCGACGTAGCTGGTGTTTGGATACTCGACGCCGAGCGCGGAGAGATCGGTTGAGTAGAGGAAGTGGTTCATAAGTGGTAATTTGCTCGATGCTTGGAGGGTGGCTGTATCTGTTGATGGTCTGTTTGCGTCGCAGGAGAAATTTGATGGGGATCGGACGTCGTATTGGTTTTCCCAGATGAAGTCCCACTCGTTCATGAGGTAGGGGTAGGAGGTGCTTGTTGTCAAGCTGGGGACGAAGGTGACGAGGCGTTTTCCTGAGTCGATCATTGTTTGGAGGGTTGGCCAGGAGGTTGGAGCTGAGGTTAGGGATTTGGGCTCGTAGCCGTAGGAGGTTATATTTGCTGTTTCGAATTCGGTGTTTAGGTCTGAGGCTGTGGCTGAGTCGGAATTGACGAGGAGGATTGTTACGACTGTTTTTCCGGAAGGGATTTTTTAGCTTTGTGCTGGGGTGTAGGGTGTAGGGTGTATATAGATTGGGCCGCGCGTACCTTCGTTTGGATTGTCGTCTAGCCAGTCCTTGATGTCTTTGAGCCAGTCACTTAATAGACCTGCATCCATCAAACCGCACTCGGAGTGGCACAGGTGCCATTGAGAGTTACTCTTGTGTACTTGGGCAGAGACGAGACGGACGCCGGCGCTGAGTTGGGTCGGGGTATCGTAATATCTGGGGTAGAATTGTCAGATGAATGGTCGGACAGAGTAGAAGGTAGAAGGAAGAGCAGAAACATACTGATTGGCAGCCAAGGCAAAGTTTGAGGAAGAGGAGGTCACGAATGGACTGTCGTGAGAGCCTAGATGTGTGATGTCGCCGTAGGATTTGTCGCAGAGATCGGGCGAGTTGTTGCAGGCGGTTGCGCGGACATTTAGTGGGTTGGCGAGGGCTGCGGGGAGCAGCGCCAGCAAGGGGAGGAATTGCATGTTGAGGGTATGCGATATGCGATATGCGGAGAAGAGGAAGGAGTAGAAAGATGTACAAGTCGGGGTAAATAAGATTGTTGTAAACGACAGGGAAAAAGGGTGTCAATAAGTGACAAGGATGGAATGTTGACGATCCATTAAGCGGGTCCAGGCCGCGTTGCCGTCTCAACTATTCTTAGATCGGCGGGTGGATCGCCTGTCCAGCCACGCTTGGCGCAGTCTCTCGTTGGCCTGGCCTTGATGTATTACTGTACGGAGGCGATGAATATGAAAATTCTTAAAGAGAAAGTCAAGACGGTGTAGTAGTATTCGTAGGCAACACTCAATTATAAGGGAAAAAATCCGCGTCAGTCGCACAGCCCGATCTGACGCGAGGAGCAGAGCGCCTAATGATGCACCCTGTCGATCATCTTCATTCGTTCCATGGATTTTTTATTAAGGATACCCAGGTGTCCCAGGGAGAACCAAGTTGATATTGAAGGACAAAGTGGGTTCAAATCCTCACTTGTGTCAGTGGTTGTCAATTATTGGTACATCCATCCATCCATCTCTATATGTACAAAATACAAGATACAAAATAATATACAAGAAACACAGCTATGGGCCTCGCCGTATTTTCGTTGGAAAACGCTCGCGTAGATCTCGCCACTCGCGCATCTGACGCAACGCACGACTATCGCCTCGTCTCGCCCGTTCACGTAGTCCCCCCCATTTCTCGCCGCGAGAGTACGACGTTTGAAGAACGCCGGAGACTGCTCCTCGTACGATATGGATTTGCCAGCCACCGGGGAGACCGCGAGTGCTCATGTCCACGGAACAAATATTCATCACCCCAAGCACGTTTGGCATCTGCAATCACTTCTTGCAGAGTAAATGGACACATTCGTCGCAGGGTCCGGTTCACTCGCCTGGCCGAGGGTGAATACTCGCTGAACAAAGTGGCCAACCGGTGACGAGTTGCTCGTCGGACCCAGTCTGCTTTGACTTTCAGGCCAGCATTGCTCAAGTCTCGAAGAAGAAGGATGCCTCGCACCCAAAGGATGTACCTTTGGCCAGTAGTCGGCCTTTGGCCAGTAGTCGGGTGTTTGTAGTAATGCTTTTGATTGCCGACGACATTTTCGTCGATGCGCGGTCGGAATCCCCAGGTGACAATCGCCGCCTGCATTCTCGCGGTAAATATCCGACTGAGAATTCGGCCGTCTCGCCCCGTAGGTTGCAATTTCGAGGAGAACAACGAAGGCTCCGCGAGGGGACTAAATGAGTACTCGCGAACCAACCAATGGCACACTTCGCGAAGTTCATCCCAATTATCATCCATGCCGAGTCGCTTCAGCAACTCAACCCAAAATGACGCACTGACATAGCTCCCTGCTGGCACCACGCGTTGCAGAACCCGAAAGACAAACATCACCTCATCTTTAGCTGATAACTGTTTGCCCGGGGAAGGGGCTTTGGTCTGTTGACGAGATGTCAGGACTTTTTCTGCCAGAAAATCCACACTCTCCTCGCTCAACTTTTGGCCATGTATGGCAACCTCATCCACTACCTTGGAAGCTGCATCATATTCCCCAGCTGCAATGTGCTTGCGGAAGTGTAGATCCAAAAGACCTGACGACCCCGGGAAATGCTCTGCCAACACCGCCTGCGCCAAGTTATACTGGCGCCAGTCCTGGGTCATGTAGTGCGACACCAGGAACGATTCTTGGATCTTCACGTCTGCCAGGACATCGGGGTGTTGATCACTATGCAGTAAATCGGAAAGTAGGATGCTGCGGTGCTGTCTGGCAAGCTTCTCAACCAGACTTGGAAAGATGGAGTCTTCGATCGTGATTCCGGATCCCCGAATCAGATTGATTCTATCAAGGATCTCCTTGCTGCCGTTAGCTCTGATGGTAACTTCACGAATAGTACGGGGTCCGATTGCTGAGATGCCGAGCATTTTGAGAGCCCCAATAACCCATTCCAAGTTGAAGGGCGGCGTAGATATCAATTTCGCACCGATGTCGTCGTTGTATCTCTTGCCTTCTATCTCTTTTTTGTGCCCTGTTGATGCTGTCTCATCGGTCATGGACGCATCGATGTTGAATTTTTCGAATTCTCTTTCTTCGGCATAGTCTCGGATGGCATCGAATTCTCGTTCACTGCCATGCCTTTTGACGTATTCCCAAAGGTCTAGCATTTCCTCGGCTGCTTGCGGATGGTCATCGTGTTTCACCAGGAATTCATGCATTCTCAGCGCATATTCTCCATAACCATTCTGCATTAAATGCGAGATTACCGGACCGTAGATACGATGACCCGGTGCGCAGCGGCACATAGCTTTGAAGGCAGTCTGCCCGAAAGCGATTGTCTGCCGTTGAGTAGTTATCAGGTTTGGCGAATCTTTAGATATTGGCAGACATGCAGGATGGAAGACCTGCTTAAGCACCCTTATGAGGTCATTTGGTTGAGCCAGCCCTGATCGTTGCAGCATTCGATGTATTGCGGAAGCTTGTCTGGTGCGGCCTTGATCCAATAGTTTACCTACCACACTTTCATACAAATGCGGCCAGCTGATGCCTTGACGCTGGTAGATATCAATTGCATGTTGGAGCACGCTAGTAAGATATATCTCGCGCCTCAGCCCAAGACCCACAAAGCATTTCCAGAAGAAATCTGCCCGGGGTCCAGTGACGGGTAATTGAAGCCCTTGCAAGCGAACTGTCAATCCCTCCCAAATCTCTTGTGTGCCTTGATCTCCATATTTCCGTTGCCGATGATGGAGGAGCTCTTCCCAGAGCTCAAAATCACTCGAATGCTCCGGCTGGTCCACTAACCGCGTCCCAAGATCATGGGTGTGTCCAACATTCGACTCGAACTCCAGCCGCTCCGGGTTTAATTGCAAAGCCTTCGCAGGGGTATCGAGTATTCTTTCGTTTTCGGAATAATGTTTATGTGAAGGTGGCCGTGGTGGTGCTATCGCATCGGCGCCTGTCGGTATTTCAATCTCATGGATGGGAAAGCTCAAAGGTCGCCTCTTGTCGGTCGTACGCCGCCGTGGCCACTGTTTGCGCTCAGCAGGGCGAGCGCTGGCATCATTGGCACTCGAAAAGTGTCGCAAGCATTGTGGTTGACCGCGCAGGCGCGTGTAATCAAACTCCAATTGCTCGATCCCAATAGAGGTCGCGGCGAGGGCGTCGAGGGTTGAGACGGCGAAGGGCCTCCTCAGCAGTCGAAGGAGAGCCGGTCGCATGGGTTGGACGGGAAGGGATGGCAACCGGCGTCAATCACCGCATGGAGCTGGAAACTATCAGAACAGAAAAAGAGTTGTAAAGGACTGAACAGCAATAATTGCAAGCTCATCAATTCAGTTGATGATGATTGGACGCTTTGCGCGTTGCCCTTTTCGGCACTTCCTTAGTCATTCCGGAAAGAAGAGGGAAGTCAGGTGACTCGAGCTTGGCCTCACAACGACGGATGGCACGATCATCGCCCTTCCCTCCTCCCACCTCAAACCCTCACCTCCCCTCCAACCGCCAAAATGTTCCGCACTGCGCCTCGTCTGGCCGGGTACGTCTCCCTCGATTTATGTCCCCGTGAACCCGAATGTCACCGGGCCCGCGCTGTACCTAGTCCGGGGGCGCCCCGAATTTCGTGAAGCAGTCTTCGAGGGACACCGCAATTGGTCAATTGCAATTGGCGGCGCTATGAACCTTGGACTGCTCTCGCTTTCGACATAAGCACTTGCTAACTCGTCTTGCTTGTCTACAGTTTCGTGTATCGCGAGAACCGTGTCCCCTTCTACCAGCGTCTGTTCCAGAACCACGACGGCAAGCGTCAGTGGTGGAAGGTCAGTCCCCGACTCAATCGCCCTTCGACTCAGCTTAGCAATTGGCAATCAAAAAGCTAACATGCGACTCGCATTTTACAGACCTCCCGTAGCAGTTACATCATGTACCCCTACCTCATCTCCGTCTACGGCCTCGGTGCTGGTGAGTGGTCCGATCTCGAATTACAATTGTTCACAGCCAGCCAACTGACACTCTTCTTAGCTACCACCTACGCCATGGGCCGCATGGTCTTCGTGAGTTAACCCCCCTTCGCCAATTCGCACCAGCGCCGCCCCCTACAAGTTCTCCTTGGTGAAGTTTCTCCAACCCATATACTGACTTTACCACAGGGCCACAAGACTTGGTTCGGCGAGAAATAAATGACGCCACCTCTTTTAACTGGCTTGGTTGCGGAAGATATTGTTTGTCTGATTGGATGGCGGTGTATTTCTACTCCGGTGATGGAATAGACGGGCTTGCAGGCACATTGATGATTTGGGGCTGTACATATACCAATTCAAGCGCCAATTCCAGAAATGTTGCCTCGGATGCAGTTTTTCACTCCCATCGCATTTAAATGGACGTAGAGTAATTATCCCAAGCTCTTTTTGTTGGCTTCCTTATCTGATCCTGTTCGGGCTTACGGTTGACTTTCTACGGCGCGTCATTGGTCCAGGAGGGGTCTAGTCTACTGCTAACGCTGGGAATCGGGCCGAGGAGGAACTCATCATATCTAACCCAATACCAGTTCTTAAAGGAATTGCCCGGGACATAAATACTAGCCAAGACTATCTCGAAAGTTATAGTATCGAGAGCAACTAATCATCACAAAAGGACTGGATTAGTCTTGACTTCATCCACTGCCGGATACAAATCGCTTAGTCATCCACATAACTGTGTTTCGGCGACTGCAATTCAACTTCTCAAGACAACATTGCGATTTCGACCGAGTTTCAGTCGAACAAAACAAGGTGGTTCTCTGGGTCTTATCGGCTATACGGCTTGAGAGCTTTCATTTTTGATTACGCCAGCACGCTCACGTTTGCTAAAAAGGCCGTGCATGCAAATATATCGATAAATGAGACACTTTATCCAGTTCTGAAAGCAGACCCAGAATTATGTTTTGTGACAGTTGACAGCCAAGCCTAGAGAAATGGACCAGACAGACCCCGCTTATCTAGAGAGACCCGCCAAACGCGTGAGGCAGGCCTGTGAAACATGCAGGTAAGAACACGAACTTTGCCTTGTTTGAAGATAATGACGCTCACAGAAGGCCCAGGCGCAAAAAAGCAAAGTGCCCCGGCGAGCAACCTATTTGCTCGCTCTGTGCTAGACTCAGGCAGCAATGCGTTTACGCGGAGGAGAGGCGTCGGCCAGCTCCAGAGGAAGCGTCCAGGAGCAACAGCGTGGCTCTGCCAGCGTCGCACACATTGGTAAGAATATAGGATCCAAGCCGAGGAAATCATCTAATAAATCCATAGGAGGACAGGTTGAAAAGCCTAGAAGGCAAACTTGGAGCTGTCCTTGATCATCTTGGGTATATCTCCTTTTTCTGCAAACTTGAACACCATGGTTATTAACACAAGTCCATGCACTAGCTCCAATTCGAGGAATGGCTCTTCTGCTTCTCCCATTCCAGCTATGGGACCCTCCGGGACAAGCTTCTCGGCTGTCTTGCCGCCCTGGGATGAAATCATGCCACTTGCAGAGTTGTATCTGTTGTACTGCGATTCTCAGCCACTGCCTCTATTCCACCGGAGCAGCTTTCTGGCCAGTCTTCCAACACGCGATGTCGAAATCATCTATGCTATATTCGCCTTGAGCCTCCGCTTTTCGGATACATATCACAATAGCAGGGATCTGGCGGAGCAGGTCAATGGGTATGCAGAAGTCGCACGCGGTCTCGTGATGAAACGAGTTTCGGAAGGGCCCGTTGAAGTATCAACGCTCCAGTGCTTATGCCTGCTGAGCCTGGTTGACTTTACCAGTAAGATACATCTCAACAGTACTTCGACGCAAGTTAACAAACTAAATAGATGGTAACACGCATCGCTCGAGCATTCACAGCAGTCTTGCCATGAATTTGGCCCAGTGCGCTAATCTGGGTGTGGAGACTCGTCCTCCATCAGACCCAATAGTTCGAGAAGAGCGCCGGCGTTGCTTCTGGAGTATATGTCTTCTTAAGCGCCTACATGGCGGGGAATTTTCCACTCTAGATTCCCCAGACGTGGGCGGTCCACCATATCCACAGAGTCCGTCCAGGCCTCCAAGAGTTATGTCTCCAGGGCCATCAGTTTCAGGGACTCGAAGAAGCACGATCCAGGACCAGGGAATTAATGCATATGTGATAATGCTAAGTGAGGCATTTGCCCGAACTGCGAAATACGTGCAGCTCCGAGGAAGACCCAGCAACGTCCCGCCGTGGTCTCCTGACTCCGAGTACTCCAAAATTCTTGCCATACAGATGGAAATGGAAACACGCATGCCTCTCACACATCGGTACAAACCCGCAAATCTCAGCGACAGGTCGCTGGAAGAACTTCAGGCGCATCGGGAGTACTGGGGACCCTGGTTCCTAAACCAATTCATATATCACACCATCCTATGCCTTTTGAATCACCCACTCCTCCTATCTCTGAGTTTACGCACTTTCCGAAGCACCATTCCGGAAATTTTCCTCCAACACACCTCAGACCTGATCTCCTCGCACACAACCTGGATCATCCACTTCATCAACTACTTCGAAGAAAAGTCATTCCTAGTCTCCGACCCGCTGCTAGGCTACAGCGCCGCAGTAGTAGCAACCATCGAGCTCCAGCTGAGTTTCACCGATAACCCCACAATCCGCGAACAAAAGCGCGAAAGATTCACCCAATGCGTGCAATTCGTCCAAAGAATTGGACAAAGATGGCCACACATGGCCCGCCTAGCCCGACGACTTCAACACCTCGAAGACGCCGTCTCAGCCACCTACCAACCAGACCCGGACACAGAGAACCAAAGCCTTCTCATCGACCTATCCCGCTTCTGGGAGATCTTAGAATATTCATCCAATAACGACACAGATTCGGCCCGTCGCTTATTCGGCGACTCCCTTTGTACAGGTCCGCCGCCTGTAGCCGCGGAGGTCTCGCAAACCTCGCCCCTACCCGCCCCGAGCCGGTTGGATGCGTCGGATGAGCATTCATCGTCGGGAGTACAACATCAGAGCTTCGGAGCGGGGACCGGGACCGGGACGGATACTGCATTTGCTGGGACACAGGATTATTCAACGAGTGGACTACTCTCGCCGCAGCAACTAACGCTGTCGAATGATGATTTTTCAATCCTGGCGTCGAATTTTTTTTCACAGGGACAGGAATTTCTTAGGAGTGGAGAAAATTGGGATTCTGTTGGGAATTTCTGAAATTTTCCAATGGGCCCATCTCTCCCTGTGTGAACGATGTTGATTGTCAATTGGATGTTCCGAAGTATTGTTTTCTACTTGTGTCCGATTCACTGCTGTAATATGACCAAAAATCCGGTTACCTCCAGTTCAAAGGATATGATATGAATAAAGGACTAGCGCAGATGGTATTTTACTAGAAGCTATGCATAAAATAATTGTAATTTCGGATGAAAGAAAAGAAAAGGCCTGCCCATTTCCCTTATAGAGCCCATGTACGAGAAAAATCATGAAGAAAGAGCGGCCTTGAAAACCTCGACGAATTGCCAAACTTCAGAGAAAGTGTTGTACAACGGCACAGGCGCAACTCGAACAACATCCGGCTCACGCTTATCACAAATGATACCCGCATTCTGTAAACGATCGGCCACCTTGTGCAGAAGACCCGGCTTTAGCAACAGACTCAGCTGTGCTCCGCGGGCATGGGGGTCAGAAGGCGTAATGATCTGGAACTGACGATCCTCGTCGGTAGAATCATTTAGCAGCAGGAATTCCAGGTAAGCGGTCAATTGGAAGGATTTTTGCCGTAACTCCTTCATGGAAGTCTTATCGAAGACGGAAAGCGAAGCGCAGAGAGTTGTCAAATCAATTACGGAGGGGTTGGAGAGCACCCAGCCCCCAGCACCAGGAATCGGCTTGAACTCTGCAGTATATGCATTAGTATCATGTGGAACTATGTCATTGCTCACCATTCTTGCGAGGCGAGGCGGGACAGGGTATAGAGAACTCACTATTATCCATCTTGAACCGCACAGATCGATCACCACCATACCATCCGGTCAAGCGATGGCGAAACTTGGGCGAATCCTCCCCATCAGAATAATCGACTTTTCCATGACGCTCATTCACGAATAGACCACCCATGGCACCAGGGCCCGCATTCCCGTACTTGTAGGTACACCATGCTGCAAAGTCAACATTCCAGTCATGCAGCTTGATTTCCGCATTTCCGTACGCGTGCGCAAGATCCCAGCCCACGATCAGGCCGCGCTCCTGCGCGTACCTCGTGATGCGAGGGATATCGAACAGCTGACCGGTGTAGTACTGAATGCCAGGTAAAAGTAGCACGGCGGCATCATGGGCATGCTGGTCGATATACGAGAGGATCTTGTCCGTGGGTATTTCATAAGTGTCCTCGTCGGGACCGATGAGAACCATATTATCCTTGGAGTCGAGGCCGTGCCAGGCGATATGCGACTCGATTGCATACTATTTCTCTCGTCAGCTTCTCAGCCATGCATTTCTCGGATCCCCGTGCCCGATCCCCGAGATCGCTCGCCTGTGGCGAGATGTGTGGTACTAATTGATGCAAGATGCAACTTACATGATCACTCGGGAACGCCTTCCAATCCATAAGGATCTTTTTTCGGGTCTCAGTTGGTCGGTAAAAGGAGGCTAGCAACAGATGCAGGTTCATCGTCAATGTGCCCATAGCGGCGACTTCGTCTGGGTTGGCCCCGACGATCTTGCTCATAGAGGCCGCAGCTTGCTCAGAGAGCAATTGCCACTGTGGCATTGGGGACCCCTCGAGATCAGTAAAATGACCGCAAACACCAATGCCAGCCCACGTATCCAGCTGAGCTTCCATATACTTTGCGACGGCCTTGGGCTGAATGCCCAAGGAGTTACCGCAGAAGTATATACTCGGCTCATTGGAAAGACCTGTGAAGCATCAGTATCAGTATCTGTGCCAGAACAAGTACGAGGATGGGGACACGAAGGACAGTTGTTTAAATTCCAATGGTTGTCTTGTCTTACCTGGCTTGGCCAGTACCTTACTGGCAAGGTTGGCCTTGGAGGGAATAATAAATTCGTCCCGCAGCGCCCGCAGGGGATCTGTTTTATCCAGGGAAACTGCGTATTCCCTGGTTATCGCCTCTGCGGAGAAAATGGGCTTGGGCGATTTGACCCCATTTGTACCATTTGTACCGTTGGTGCCGTTGGTGCCGTTCATACTGGGGCTGGGGCTGAGACTGGGACTGGAAATCGGAGTAGACAGGGGTGGAAGCTGAATAGCTCGTATGACAAAGGGAGAGGGGGTCACAAGGGGAACACGGAGCAGTGGTTTACAATAGAATATGTTACTCGGGCTCGGCAGTATCCCACTTTATACGACTAACTTCTTTTTCTTTTTTTTCTTTTCATCTCGTGGGGGATGTCGCAGGCCGGATGGTACATCCGCTTCCGCCTCCACGATCCGGTCCCACATTTATCTCCCGCAAAAAGAGAACGTGGTTGGGAAGTCGGTGAAGGATTATGGTACATGGTGATGGTGATAGATTTACTACATAATTGATTGCAGTGGAAGTGCTTTTTCATTGGCGGTGGATTAGCTTTACAAATTTCAAATTGATCAGCCTGTTGACGTGTGTGAGATGCAGATACAGGACGTTCACAGATAGGCTAGCTGCAAGACGTGCAGGTGGGCATTGAGCACTCGATCACTAGGTGAAACTGTAAAATCAAAGAAATAATGCCCCGGTCTATTGTAGGGTTAAACCATCAAAACCATCAGTACCATCAGTACAGTGCTATGGCATTTCGAGTGACCTCATCAGCCAACCCGGAGGTCGGATAGAGATCCGGCTCAATTCCGGGTTTCATAGATAGCAACGCCCTGTGAGCCGATGCCACCCGGTATGGACCAAGCCGTCCAGTCTACAATTCCGTTACGCCCAGCCTATTTCAAGCCGGAAGTGCACCGTATCTAACTCTCCTTTCATTTAAGTACCGCTTGTCCCAAAGTACTTCTGGCGTTGAACAAACGTTGAACAACAGCTCGGCTCTGCTCTCCATCTCCACAACGTTCCTATTATTCCCCTGGAATCACTCGCCGCCATGATTCAATCAGCAGAAATTAACTTGGAAGATTTTTCCATCTCTCCAGATCATGGCTTTCTTCCAGGAGGACTTCCACTCCAGAAATTATCCTCCTCATACTATGCGCCGTGGGAGAATCTCGCTGTCCGGCTGCCAACTCTCATTCAGACTGGCCAGATCAGGCCATTAGTCGATAATCTTCCAGTTCTGACAACATCACGGTTGCACTCCGAACCAGAATGGCGCCGTGCATATAGCATCCTCGGGTTTCTAACTCACGCATATATCTGGGGCGGCGAACAACCCCAAGACGTAAGCAAAAGCTCCTTGTTCAACAATCAGGCCCACTTTCTCTAACGTCAACCGGCAAAAAGATCCTTCCTCCCTGCATCTCAAGACCCTTACTCGAAATCTCCTCTCATCTGGGTCTACCCCCGTGTGCAACATATGCAGCCCTCACCTTGTGGAACTATACCACCGTTCCAGAAGCAGACATCACAGAACCCGACAATCTCTCTCTCTTGACGTCCTTTACCGGGACCAAAGACGAAGAATGGTTCATCGTCATATCAGTTGCCATAGAGGCAAAGGGTGCCAGAATCATCTCTTTGATGCTAGATGCAATCGCCGCAGCCGCCGCCAACGATGTCCCGCGCCTCACCGCACTACTTTACAGATTCACTGATATCCTCGAAGATCTCAACTCGACTCTCCGGCGAATGTACGAGAAGAACAAACCGGATGTTTTCTTCCACCAGCTCCGTCCCTTCCTCGCTGGGAGCAAGAACATGAGCGCTGCAGGTCTTCCCAACGGCGTATATTACGATGTCGGCGAGGGAAGAGGAGAGTGGCACCAGCATAGCGGCGGGAGCAATGCTCAAAGCTCACTGATTCAAACCTTTGATATCTTCCTCGGTGTCAATCACTCGGCCACAGGGGATATCAAGCCTGCCGGAACGGGATATATTCAGGTAAGCCCAAACAATGCCCTTCTTCAGGACCCAGCCAACTTTTATGGCCCGCTATCTATTCGCCCCATGCTAATATACATACAACCGACCAGGAAATGCGAAAATACATGCCCGCCCCTCACAGAAACTTCCTGAAAACCCTATCTGCAATCTCAAATATCCGCGAGTACATACTCTCCTCGCCGAGCGAGCAAGCTCTAAAAGAATCCTACAATGCTGCGGTCCTATCTCTAAGTTCCTTCCGAGATACGCACATCCAAATCGTTTCGCGGTATATAATAAAACCAGCGCGAAGTGGTGTGCCCTTGAAAAACGAGAAGGTGAATCTAGCCACGGCTAGTACACAGATGAAAGGGTTGGATGATAAAAATGCCACAGGTCTTTATGGCACAGGTGGGACTAGTTTGATCCCATTCTTGAAGCAGACGAGGGATGATACAAAGGCTGCTACTTGCTAATCACAATCATGGCGATGGCTTTTTTGCACCTTTATGTTTTTACCCCTGTCTTCCCGATCCCTAGATGGTTAGATTTGGTTTGATGACTTAATGACTTGGAATAGAGATTCCGCCTTTCTTAAATCCTGGACCTGTGGTTATTCGCAGTGTATAGGGTTCTATTAGTATCCAGTAGATACAATTTGCTGAAGTAAAGGGAGTGTAATGACCGTGTATCTGCTGGCCGGGGTAGGCGTTTCCTACTAGTTAGTAGTTGTTTGCCACCAGGATAAAATTCAGTTTTCCGATCAGCCTCCCCAGAATGCACGGAATTTAAATAGCTTCTATTGTTCCACTCTAGCCTATATATAGCCTGACATTCTGCTCGGCGGCAAATGGTTGGATTGTGGCGTACCTCGGTCTCGATAGCAATTACGAATGATACCCCATTATTGGTCGACCTTGAAGGAGACAAATACAATGTTTACAAGATTGTCACGTATCAAGCCAAGCACAGCTTCAGGAGCAATGGCCTGGTTTTGATATACAATATCTACTATGCGTGTAGTATCAGCATTTTGCGTCTAGATCCATGAAAAAAAGCGACAACTTTAAGCATTTTGTTCGCGCCAAATAGGTATTTCACTACTCCTCTCTAGGTTGAAGACTGCCTATTTAATGAACCCCCCTTGGCTTCCCCTTTTTCTCCTTACTCTCCTCCCTCACACACATAGCAGCGATCTTTTCTGCATATCCTCTTCCAACTTGTTACATTTTATCATTATTATGAACATCAAGAAGTACTTCCCTGATGTGCACTGGGTCTGGAAAGGATAAATTGCCTTCGTCTATGAGGTCCATCCTCGCATCGTGGTCAAGGTCCCCAAACCCGGTGACTTTGAGAGAGAGAGAGAGAGAGCAATTTCGGAAAGAACTCAAGATTTATGGAATCTCTTCTCTACATCTACCCTGAACGCCCCAATTGCCAATATTAATAGTAGTTAGTAATGATACTTTACTGTCAGGAAGGGTCATGTAGTATTCTAATGCTATTCCCACTTCGAATTATTCTACATTTTCGTCACTCCTATACCGCAGAAACACGAGTAGAGATATCCCATTGAATTCAACACAGGACGCCTCAAGGTTCAAGTCGCGTAATCTATCAAGCACTTCACCCCCGGTGCTTCAAACGTGAGGCCACAACGTGACTTATCAAAGTATATCTCGCCTCATCATTAATATCTCGTATCGAAAGAAATAAACACCATGATGGCCCAGGCCCATAATCAGATAATCGACCATGGGCAAAGCACAATGGAAAAAAATGGAAAATCAACGCCACGCCTATTCATCCTCGCAATTCCGTGCCATTTGTGCTCCAACCCCCCATAAATCCCCGAAAGACACCTTCAAAAAACAAACCAAAAATCGAGATCGAGTTGTGTGAGAACTGCCCACTTATCTGTCGGTGCCTGGGTCGATATGACCAAAAAGAGGAAAATGATGAATAGAAACCAAAACGCAGAATCAAAATCACCACCTCTTCCTACCTTTTCCCTTCCCTTTACCCCTAGTCTTCAACTCCACAAACCCCAACTCCTTCAATCCCTCCGCAAGAATCGACGAATCCCGCATCCCCGGGAAATCCTTCGCAGGATATACACGAAACGGATCTGACCACGCCTCCGCAAGAATAGGCATTGATTGACCCGTATCCTCAACGGAACCCCAATTCATGAGCCGAAACTGCAAACGATAAAGCCCCGCCGAGCGAATTGAAAGATCGGCGAAAATGAAGAATGTCGCTGGCTGGTGCAGTTTCGAGGCATTACGGAGGTTCTCGGGCTGCGAGAGGTCGGGGGGTGGGACTCGGTGCGGATTATCGGAAGATGGGTGTGTGGGTGCGGAGTTGGGATCTGGATCTTCGTCCACGAAGAAGGGGGACATGAATGCTTTGCCGGAGAGGAGTGGGGTGGAAAATGTATCGTCTGCGCGGGCGACGCCGTCGCCGTCTCCGCCGCCTCCTTCTGGGGTTTCGTCTTCATCTGTGTTTGGGAGGTAGGGTGGGGAATCGGAGACGGGGAAGAGAAGACAGCCCACTGTAAATCGTGGGTCTTCGAGGATATCCCGGTCATCTTGAGACCCTGGGTCGAAATCTGTGAGGAGGATTTGGACTATTGGGGGTGGGTCTACAGGGCGACGGTCTCGGTCTCCTGCACCGCAGGCTCGGGCTGCGATGGGCTGCTGGCGAACATGGAGGTGATAGCGGGATTGTATAGATGTTCGGCGGGGTGGTGGAGGAGGTGATGATTCGGGCTCGAGGTGAAGAAGCTTGTCGAAGCCGTGGGGCATGCTATAGCCTGGATTTCTGGGTGCGGGTTTTGGTTCTTGCGAGGTACTCGCTAATGATGGATATGCGGCTGGGCTCTTCTCAGAGTATACAGGGCTCGGCATATTGGTGGAACTATTACTATGCCTAGAGTAGTTTATAGTGTTAGTGTATAGTTGTCTTGAATTTGTGATTCTCCAAGCAGGCATGATATCCCGCATTCTGAACTCAAAAAGGAACAGCTTGATACCTCAAGGACGCCGCACAAGGACGGGTGGACTGACGGGTAAAATGGTTGGATCGACACAAAAAGAAGAAGAAAAAAGGGACTTTACTGGGACTCCTGGTCGTAGGTCCGCATTCGATAAGCAGCAGGCTCACGACTATGGCTCAACATCGAATTTGGTCTCTCTTCGTACGGTGCAGGATATGCCCGTGGTTCCAAAGGAGGGCCCTGATGATGCATCCGCAACGGCAGCGTCTGCGGCAAAGATTGGCGAGCCATGTAGCCATTATCGGATGAGAGCATATATCTCGGGTCCGTACTTGTCTCGGGCAATGTTCCTAATGGAGGCAACCGCGGCGGCGGTGTTGCCATCATGGGGCGATGATAATAGCCCACATCTGGCGGGACAAAGTGACGGGGTTCATGGCGTGCATAGGGTTCATATGCCATGGGTATGTTTTGTCGGGAGCGCGGGTCGTAGGCCCTGTTGTCAGGAGGAGGGTTCCCGCATTGCTGCGACGGAGTCCTCGACATCTATCCTGAATCGCGCGGGCGCCGTTAAATCGGGCCGTTGCGCTGATTTTAAAGTCGTGCCGTATTGGAACGGTGGGTTCATGAGTTCAGCGCCAGAGGCATTGAACAGGAAGCGGTCAGACCAGCCACAGCCGCGTTGGAGCGGAGTCGATGTCTCAAATGTAGATTTGCGGTTTGATTTTGACTTGATATAATGGGGGCCACGGTGGAGATAGGAACCTGAAAGGTTGATTGCATATCCTGGATCTGCTCGGCCTACGGTCAAGACATCTGATAAACCGCAGGATGCAGATCCAGATTTTCCCTCTGCTTTTTTTTCTCTTTTTTTTCTCTGCTGTTTTCTCAGGTGAGACACTCCATGAAGAATAGAGAGTTCTGCCCACGACTGAAGGAATTGGAAGATCGGGAGATGTTCAGCTGTCCATCAAAATGTTGGACGCACCGGATTTTCCCCTCGCCGGTGCAGCGCCGGGCGCGGCCCAATCAACGAGGCGAAGCGTGCAGGGAGCGGAGGCTGTGTGGGTTCGTTCCTCTTTTTTTTTGTCATTATTATTTTCTTTTTTATTTTCAGCAATTCCAGTGATTTGCAGATATCAGAGAAATTGCGAATTGGGCATTGTCAATTTGAGTCAGCCCCGAATTAGCCCCATCACTACAAACGTATACGATTGGCGGTCCTGCTACGGAGTAGAGAAGCAGGAAAACTGGGGGAACGGGCCGAGCAATCGTTGTTCGCCACAGCCACGGTGGAGAGAGGAGTAAGGGCCTGTGTACCACTATGGGTGTGTGTGTGTGCTGCTGCTGCGGCTTCACGAATTTGATCCTCGGGCATCAGTTGCTGTCAGGAACTAAAATCTCAGGATAGAGCCTGTGGAAGACGGTCAACAAACAACCGGCGCGATTACACGGCCATCCATGCTACACTCATGACCAATCTCCACAGCTGTGGCCTTTGAAGGAGGTGAAAGTGGCTTGCTCCTAGTTGCCTGAGCCCCAGCCCGTTTTGGGGTGGGGGTGGGTGGTAGGGGGGGTTGAGTGTGATGGGTGTGATGGGGCTGGAAACCTTAGCAAATCCCTCCTCAAAACGTCTTTTAGAGGGGCTATATTTTCCCTGTGATGGCGATAGGCACCGATGCAAATCTGGCCAGCACACGGTGGCCAGCAGCTAGGGATGTAGTAAAGGATCCTAGGCAGGGGATGCCTTGGTTGCTGTATTTCATACATCGCAGATTGGTTCCTAAATTAGAGGCCGTGTGTCCGTCCCATGGAACGGTGGAACTGTGGGAACGGGGTCCCCCTCAAAAGTGCAGAAAACTCAGAGCTCCGCTTTATAGAGTGGACACAACACACCTGCGCGGGAAGTGAACGGGGATACCCGTCGATCGGGTTGCTGACCGACCCTCACTCAGAATGGTTGGAGCTGATCTCGAGCACCATTTTGGAATCACGCCCAGTACATAGCACGGGCGGACGGGTCTGCAGGTCCAGCCGCCAGCTACTGGCGTGCTCTCCAGGGGGCTTGGCAAGTGAGATACATAAATCAAACTAGACAACGATCTTCCCAAACAATCCCCACAGTGGAGGGATCTGGGCGAATGCGTTAGTGGCACCTGTTGACAATTGGCTTTGCACCGAGGCCCCCCCTCTGACGACGTCCGTGCATTGAAGGTGGCAAGCTTCCGGGAGGGGAGAGAGATGAACCACAAGGGAAGATGCGGGCACTAACAGTCGGTAAGTCACTAATGTCACCGGTTTCCAGGAAATCAAAGTAGATCAGTGTTTCACGGCAGTGCTTGCCAGTCATCCCTCGCATGGCATGATGGCATGGCATGGAAGAAGGCCGAGCTTGCTGCCTTTCCACGTTACACGTTTGTGATCAAGCAACAGACGCTGTCAGTTGAGATCTGATCGGCAGAGGCAGCCAGAATCCGGGTAAGGAAGGCGGACTATTTTCACTTCTCCTTCTAGTATATTCTTTCTTCTTTCTCTTTCATCACCAGCGTTAATGGCTAGTGCGAAGGGTCCAAGCACCGAGGCAACGTTGCCAAGTTCGTATCGTTCGCTTGTCGCATCCGGGATGCAATCTGAGTTCACGGCACTGCAGATATTATCGCGTAGATCGCGGAATCCCAAATTTCAACAGAGGGTGGTTGGATGTATCGTCCGTCAATGACAGCTCTTCGGCGATCCTTGTCGACTGCGTCTGCCCTTGTTTAGCATATTCCCTGTTCCCTGTCCTTTCTGTATCCCTCGACCCAAGTGACATGTTTGACGGCAAAATATCGGACGTGGGGCCACGTCAAAGAAGAATTGCCCCCACCAGCGCAAGCGAAACCCGCGGAGATAGATTGTTCGACAGGCTGACATGGACAAGCTAGCTTAGGTACATACTGTAGAGGGGTAACCGCGCGCCCCACTCAAGTCCGAGTATCGCAAGTATGATAGGATCAAGACTGTGGCCCCGATTGCCTCATGGTGGTGAGCCTTGCGAAGGCATCCACTGCTGCAGAGCTACTGCAATAGCATACGCGAGAAGCCCAGCGCTCAACCCGTCGCTGCGGTGCCATCCATGCCCGGAACGTAGACAATCATTGTGGCAGGGAATTAAAGACTTCCATTCATAGCGAGATGCAGCTGAAGAGGATAGACGAAACGCAGAAAAGTGGAAGCAGGCCGCGATCGATGCACCACCCTTCAAAATAGAGTGTCCCAATCCCGGTGGCTTGCGCATCCCACCGTCGATCGTTGTTAGCTCCGTCTTAGGGTCGGTGGAAGCAGTCGGGCTGCGTACCGGAGACGCATACTTGTTGATAGGAAACGCCGTGGCGTCTGGATGAGCCTGGGAAGGATGCAGTAAACCAAGCCGGTGGGTTTTACTCGTCGCCGCTGATCATGGTAATTGCCGATCCAATCAACTGATCGCTGACTGAGATCCACGATCATGGTTTATCCCCGTTGGACTCCGAAGCGAGAATGTCCCACAGTGGGCTTGTGCGGCGTGTATGTACAGTATGTGGTGTGCTGTCAATCGGAATGAAAGGAAGCGAGGGACAAAAAATCGGGGTTAGACATTGGACGAACCAGATCTACAAGGCTATTCATATTGATGTGGGTATTCAACCCATTTTCCTACATGTGAGATCGTCCGTCCATGCTCAGATGTCTCCAACGGCATTTCCATGTTGATACATTAGGTTCACATCGAACCCACAAACTATATGCAGTAGCATACCTGGTGGAAGAAACTATCGAAAGCCTAGGTCTAGGCATGGGTCCAGATCCAAGTGGAACGGATCCACGGAGCTCCAAAGACCAGAGTCTGGCATATGAGAGGGCCGAATACGTAGCAGAGTTCCAAATGGAGCATCTGATGGCATGGGACCGCGGTCGATAACTTCGCGATCTGTCCCAACAAATACTGCACTCATATGCCCAGATTGACGGTCCCAGCCGACAAGGTAACCCGATGGCTGCCACGCCTCATGTGGCCCGCTCCGCATATCCAGGGAACCCAGCTGCATGAGATGAAAAGACTTTCCTCTTGGCCGAGGCACGCCGTTGATAAGAGGACGAACCCATATTAGTCCAAGTGATGCCGGTGTCCATTCTCGGGAGCGGTCTGACATGGGTGGGAGCTCAGCGTGCGAGAATTTAACAGGCGAATGTCGAGGACACCATCGAAGTTCTGGTATATCAATTTCACTAACGCCGTCTGGAACGACTTCGAGTCCAATGCCATCATTGTCGTGAAGTAGTTCCACAATTTGGCCCAGTTGGTTTGGTGAGCGAGAACAGCCCGAGGCTTGAAGCTCAGCATACAGCCGACTTGGGTCGTCATAGCCGGCACAATCGCCGTCGATTGTCAGAAGGGGATGGTCTTCGAATACTGACCATGGCGAGTCCGCGGTGATGCTGATATGGGCCTCGTTTTCCGGTTGTTGAGCTTTCTCCCATCGGATTCCTAGTCGTTGTTCCACGTGTTTGAAGGCAACCTCGAGCAGTGCATCATATTGATCGCCTGCAATATCTGCCAAAGTTTCGCAGATAAAAGAGTCGTCAAGTATTTCTTGTAAAGATTGGAAAGTTGCAATATGTGGCAGGTTATCTCCATTGCGGATCGAAATGCCTTCAAGGAATTTAGCAGCCGTTTCCGAACGCCTGGCCCGCACTAAATCTAGGACGACGTTGTACATCGAGTGCAAAGTCTCCTGGCTCTCTTCCGGAAATGTGTCTAGGAAATCGTTCCATAATTTGATTAAAGGCTCGCCGCTTTGAAGTCTGGATAATAAGCAGAGATAATTGGTCCAGCTAGTCAAATGTCGGTCGTCCTTGAGCTTTGAGCGGAGTATATCATGGAATCTGACATGACCACTCTCCGACATAGCATCGTATTCACCGGTGATCTCAGCAAGAATATGTGTGGTGTCATAATGTGGGGTTTCGAACAGCTCTTGGCGAACAGTTTCGTATAAAGCTTCAACAATTTCAAAGCCATTTTCGACGTGCAACTGGCCAGGGTTCAACTCAAGGAGACCTGTGAAGAATCGGTAAAATGCTTCAGACGAAAGATTTTGAGCAGCGATGTACATTCCGAGTTCGTAGAGCGTGGGGTCAATCAAGAGTTTTAGTCGCTGAAGCCTCACAACGATATCTCCCAAAGTTGAGAGAACTTCCGTAGACGGATGTTTTGTACGGCAGCGCAAAATAATCGTCTTTAAATTTGCTTGTAATAAGTCGGATCCCTGGTCATTCACGGCGAGTCTTTCTGTCACGTCTCGAAGGGAAGATAGAGTTGCAATTGAGAGAAGCCGGCTCTGGCCCTGTGTATAGGCGGCAGGCGAAACGCCCTTTAGAGCGTACCATAATGACGGAGGAGGACTACCGCGTTGCCATTGAAAGTCAAGCAGTTCAAGAACCCGGCGGCTTTTTTCGTCATTAGTTTTATTGTTGGTCTTGGACGTGACCGACCCTAAGAGTGTAGCACGTAGAAGCTCTGATGGGGACGGGTCGGAAGACTGAGCAGCAACACTGCTGAGAGGAGAGACACAGCGCAACGATGGCTGCAAAAGTGACCGACTTAATTGACGCCGGGGTCTTTGCAGCAACTGCAGGAGACTCCCCATACTGAGTGTGAGTGGTAGTACTCGTAATGGATCAAGACAACAACGGAAATGCGGAGAACGACCCACGAGTGGAGTTGCCATGGAGCGGCAGTTCGTAGGGCGGTGTCAAGGGCGGTCTAAGATGCGGCCGACTTGCCCGATCGATGACCCTCAGCAGCTAGATCCTTATCAAAACACTCCTCATCGCCTCACCTTTGTACCCAACTGGTAAAGGTTGTAACCCAGAGCTTGCCATAATGCCTAGAACACGAAAGCAAGAGGCCGCTGAAAAAGAGGCGGCCCCCGACCATCCTGAGCAGACTGAGACTGCTCCCGAAAACCCTCCAGCTGCAGAAGAGCCGACGACGACAGAAAAGAAGGATGACGATGGAGATGCGGCGGCCAATGCGGCGCGCGAGAGACTACAGAGATTCAAATCTCTTCAGGCGCGAGCGGTTAGTCATTCTTATACTTTATCTGCAAGGGCGATGTTGAAGAACACCCGTTGCTTTACTTGAAGAGAAAACTGACCCCAAAGTAGAAATCTGGCGCCGAGCGCAACATGAAAGAGACCGCAGCAGAAACACAGCGACTTGCAACAGACCCGTCACTGTTGAACAACATATCCCGCAAACACGCGTTTGCCTCCCACAATCTCCTCAAGGCGGACACGGAAGCAGCAGGAGAAGATTTCGAACGCAAGAGAGCCTGGGATTGGACTGTGGATGAATCCGAGAAGTGGGACCGCCGCCTAGAGAAGAAGCAGCGTCACCGCGATGATGTCGCGTTCCAGGACTACACTCAAGACGCTCGAAAGGTCTATGATCGCCAGATGCGGGAGCTGCAGCCCAACTTAGAGGCCTATGAGCAGGACAAGATCGCCGCCATCGAGAAAGCAGCTGCCAATGGCGATTTGGAGATTGTCGAAACCGCTGATGGGGAAATGATTGCTGTCGACAAAAACGGCAGTTTCTACTCCACCGCAGACAGCACGGGCTTTACCGACAACAAGCCGGACCGTGCGGCCGTGGATAGGCTGGTAACAGATCTCCGCAAGGCTGAGGAGGTCCGCTTGAAGAAGCGCAAGGAGCGCCGTGGCGACGAGGAGGCAGACGTCACATACATCAACGAGAAGAACAAGCAGTTCAACCAAAAGTTGTCACGCTTCTACAACAAGGTATGTCTTCCATCTGATCGCAATTATTTGAAGCCAATGTACTAACGTCTTTATCTAGTACACTACCGAAATTCGGGACAGTTTCGAGCGCGGCACTATGATCTAATGTTACATGAATAAAAAATCAAGCTAATGTACATGCTGGACATTTTGTGTTATGCCTGGTGCAAGACACCCCTCATTACCAGCGAAGAGTTTTGACTGATTTGCACGGTTCTCGATATTGAGAGACTGATCTGCACAGTGCACGGTCTCAAATGGACCAAGAATAGCAAGCCCTGCCTTAAAGCATTGATTTTCTCCAGGCTTTTGTTGCCAGCGCTTCAATCTGCTTTGTTCCCACAGCACCTTTGGTCGACTCGTCCTCCAGGGCCTCAACCACCGCTTCACCCACCACATCGACTTTGAGTGGTTTTTCGGCCATAGACCCGAGGAAGCCAAGTTTATTTCCTAGCAAAGTGTTGAACTCCGAGGCGACAAATCCACCCAGCGCAATGGGCAGCGTGAACTTTCGGCTGTTGTCATACATAAACCCTGGGCGAATAAAGATACTCCGCAGCGCAGGAAGGGTGGAGGTTATGGTGGCCTCGGCCTCTCGTTTGGTGGTGATATACCTGGCTGGAAGGACGGGTGCACCCGCCGCGGCGGAGATGTATACAAATGCCGGGACATGCTCGCTCGAGGATTCTTGGGCCAATGCGATGGCTAAGTTCCGCCAATAACAATGGGTCAGCTTTCGAGTGTCTAGAAATAAATCACAACAGTTGGACTGGAACATACCGGAATCCCTATTCATTAATTCATAAGTTAACTGGCCATCCTTTTCCTTGGGTTCCAGCGGCTCGCCCTCATGCCGTGTGAGAGGGTTCTGGCTGCCCAGCTTCGACGAGCTAAATGCGCGCTGGAGCCCACTGACAATCGGCTCTCTTCCTTGTACAACGCCCTTGTAGTCGGCTTCCAACAAAATCCCCATAGAGTGTACAACAGCTGAAGCATTGGTCAAGAAAGGCTTGTAGCTCTCTGGCTTCAAGAGATCGGCCTTGGCCCATTCCACGGAGCTCGCCCAGCTAGGACGATCAGAGGAGTCTGTCACGGCATCCCACCGCGGTTCTCCGGATCGACTGAAGGACACACTATTAGGAGAAATGAACGAACATTCTGATTATAACGGAGCGGAATACCTTAGTGAAACAACCGACCAGCCTCGTGCAGCTGCAGATTTGCAGATCCTGGAACCTGAAGCAGCAAGTTAGCATGGCGAACATCGGTCCATCGGCCCATGCGCCAGGGTGGAAGAGGTGTGCGAACCTAGGAAACCACTTCCTCCAGCAACGACAAGCCGCTTGGCAGCCATTGTATAAGGAAAGATGTCTTTCGATCACGGTCAATTCAATATAGAGTTTGAGTTTGTCGCCAGAGGTAAAATAGCATGTTCAATCCAGAAATATGAATGTGAATCAGATCAGATCATCAAGCTATGGCAGCTTCCCGCATGCCGTCACCGAGTCACGTGTTGTCGCAAATGCCTCCGCCCTTGCAACTTTCGAGTTCACTTCAAGACTTGCGAATCACGACTACCCCAGTCCGTGATTTGATTTGATTTGATTTGATTTGATTTGACCCACCTCGTCACTATGCCATCTGCAACTGGAAACAAGCGCGTCAGAGTGAGTATTACCCTGTTCATCCAATCCAAATAAAGTCCCCCTCTTATTATTGAACCCTTCAACTCACGGCTTCACTCATTAGGGCGTCTCAGCATTCCGACCATTCAGTATGTCTCAACAACAGCCAGCAGCGAATCGCCACCATATAGCCAAACCCCAGAATTAACAAAGTAAACAGTCTTCGGCACGGAAGCCCAACCCTTCGACCCAGAGAAGCGCCCCGCCAACGCACCAACAGACCACACGCACCAATGGCGCATCTTCGTAAAAGGTATCAACGACGAAGACATCTCCTACTGGCTGAAGAAAGTCCAATTCAAGCTCCACGAAACATACCCGCAAAACGTCCGCACAATCGAACAACCACCCTTCGAAGTCGTCGAAACAGGCTGGGGTGAATTCGAAATCCAAATCAAGCTCTTCTTCGTGCCGGAATCCAACGAGAAACCGCAAACGCTATGGCACAGTTTGAAACTGCACCCTTATGGCCCGGACGCGGAGGGTATGAAGGAGCGTCGGGAGGTCGTCGTTAGTCAGAATTACGAGGAGGTTATCTTCAATGAGCCCGTCGAGCCTTTCTACGAGGTCCTTACTGGTGGTCCGGCTGGGTCTGTGCCTAGAGCCAAGGGCAAAAATTCGAAGACTGGTCGGACGGCGGATATTCCGCTCGGTGATACGCCGAAAAATCCGTATAGCAAGACGACGGAGAACAAGGAGCTTGATAGGATGTCTGAGGCGACGAAGACCGTTGAGCAGATGATTAAGGAGGAGAAAGATCGCTTGGTCGAGAAGGAGAAGAAGTTGGCTGAGTTGAGGGAGAGTGAGGGTGTTCCTGCCATTCCGAAGAAGAGATGATCGCCTTCACGGCTGTTCTCAATGTCAACCCATTGGAACAGTGATGTCCAGATTCGATTCGCGCCTTGTGAAAATCGGCCCCCGTCAGCACATACAGTGCACGTGTGATACAGCTATTGCCGCGACAGACGTTGGATAGGGTTACAAGCGCCAAAGCTGTACCCAATCCGGATTTCAAATGGCAGACTCTTGTTCATAAGACCAAATTGCGCCAGTCTACTTCTATCCTAGTAGGAGGAACTCATATCTGGGCCCAAAGACTTTGTTCACAAAAACTGCAGTACATAGTTCCTCGTCACTTGGAGCATGAAAGTTTGCGACAACGTTCAACAAGCATGGCGGAGGGACCCGGCCGCATCTAGAGCTTGCATTGTCTGATAAAGCCAATGCCAATAATTTCATACCCAACTCTCAGCCTTAGCTACATACCAATTCTAAAGTCTATAACAACTAATCAACGGGAAATACCTTGTGCCAAATCAAGCGTGGGATATCAATGCAATGCAACTATGATACACTATGTAAACTCTCTCCAAATCCTCTCCACTTATTGAATTCCACCATAGGTAGACAGATCCGAGACACTATCGTACAGCCATGAACTTCTTCGGCACAGTAGGTTCAAAATCACGATTGAACCAGTTCTTCTCCAACTCGGCTATGGTCTTCTTCAACTCCTCATTCTCGTCCAATCTAGCCATCTCAAAGAAAATACCCGCATCCTCCAACTCCGCCTCCGACTGAGCAACTTCACGCCCAAGAAGCGCCACCATAAAACAAGCAGGTCTATAACCCTGAGCCAGAGCAACATCATACCAATTCGAAGCGAGCTGATGATACGCCTTCTGCGGCATGGACCGATTCAGAAAAGAGGCAATGTATTTCATCGACTTGTTCACAGGCGAAGAAGACTTTGCAGGGTCATTCAGGCCCGTAAGCCGCGCCATCCAAGCCGGCGGCCACCTATTTTGATTAGACTCCCTCTCCCCGCGAGTCTTGTATTTGCCGAGGAAAGTTAAGTAATAGAAATTTCCGAGGTAGAATGAAGCAATGCCATGGCCTGCTGTTGCAGCTTTGCACATGTATTCCTCGTACATGTCCAGATTACCCTCGTTCATCATAACAGACGCATACTCCGTCAAAGCTTCGGGGTCATTGAATTCCATAGCCGCGATTCGAATCGCCTCATCTGCTTTCTGTCGACTTTCTGCCGAATCGAATTGCTGGTCATGCGCGGCGCGGAGCAGCGCATATGTTCGGTAAGGCGAGTCCAGTTTATCTCCTATTTGAATGCTGGAGAACATATTCGGTCGCTTGCGTGTCGGCGAGACGCGGGGAAGTATCCTGTTCTCGAATTGTCTGAAGGCAGATTCGTACTTGCCGCGACGACCTTGGATCTGTGCGTGCAGAAGCATTGCAGGCGGATATTCTGTTCGTGCTAGCTCTTCGATATCGTCCGTCCACTGGGTGCGGGCTGGTACAACGTTCTGTCCTGAGATAGCTCGGTTAACCACGATGACTAGTGGGAGCCGTGCTTTAGCTCTAGCGCACGAAGAAAGAATCCATTCAGCGATCATTGGTTCTTCCAGTGGCAGGGCGACGATGTGGCCAATGCGGAAGACGGCGTCAACATCTGTACACAAATATTAGCAAGTCTGTCAGATGTATTTAAGAAACACCTCCAAACAACCCTTCCCCGTCAGTTGTTGGAAGGAATTGGAATTCATGAAGCAGTATGAAACGCACCAACTGATATAGCCCGAACAGCAGCCGCAGAGACCTCATTCTCAAACGCAGCAGTGATCAATTTCACTCCGATATCGTTATATGTCTTAAAGCTGATTTCCCGCGGCAGCTCCCCGTCTGCGACGGCAGCATCGTAAAGCGTTCCCGCGACCTTTTCATGCAATTCCAGACATTCGCCCATACTCTTCTTCGTTCGGTTTTGCACACTAGACTTCAAAAAAAGCTGTCCATTTACACCGATTCTCTGCTCCATTTGTCCATCCCGCTCTGCTTGTCTCCGTCTGACCATAGTCCCCGGTGCTTTGCGAGGTCTCGGAGCAGCAGCTTGTCGAGCTCGGGTGCTGTGAAAGGAGCGTGTCGACGTGACTGTGACTGCATCACTACTGCTCGTCGTGGAACGGGAGGCATTGACGGCGGAGACGGCGAGATTGCGCGCACGTGGGCTGATCGTTGATGGTATTTGCGCGGATAATGTTTGTCGTAGATGCAGCCATTGTTTCAGAGAGGTCGTTGGCCTCGACATTGTGGGCGCAGTGTCCTGGGCCCAGGGGGGGTTGTTGGGTAATGTAATGCGCAAAGATTGGGGAAGAATTGGAGTTGCTGCGGAGGTTGGGCAAAAACCGCGGAGGTCGGAATTGGCGAGTCCGCTTTCATGGAGACCACCATTTGGTCTACATAGTTCGGTACATCATTCATGCCCAGGACAATTAAACGAGCTACGCTTACTCTATGTAGTATGATAGAGACATTAATACTTTGAACATGCTCAATGCATAAATTAATCAAACAAACCCTCTTTAACAGACGGGGTCCTTAACAAAAATGCGTATAATGTACATTTGCCCTCACACGCCCAGGCCAACAAACAACGCTCAGGTCTCCGCAAAGCTCAAGTCGTGCAAGTACAAGGGAGAAAAAAGGGTCCTCGGTAATAAAAAAACACAGGTAGGAAGGAAAAGAAGAGTTCTCCAAGATCTTAAAGAACCTTTCTGCACGAATCCCCAGCCCAGACAAACAAAGGTGTCCGATTTTTTTTTTCTTCTTCTTGGTCCCCAAGTATAGCAGTGCTAGTATGTCTTCTTCCCCTTACTTACTCCATGACAGCCTTAGCACCCAGACCCTTGAGAGTCTCGATGATCTTCTCAGCCTCCTCCTTCGGCACAGACTCCTTCATGATCTTAGGCGCGGACTCGACGAACTTCTTGCTGTCAACCAGTGACAGGCCGAGCATGTTCTTGATCTCCTTGATGATCTTGGGCTTGGAACCGGCCTCAAAACCCTCAAGCTTCAGGTTGAACAGAGTCTTCTCGGCAGCAGCGGGGGCGGCCTCCTCTTCCTCGACAGCGGCGGCGGCGCCAGGTGCGCCGGCTCCGGGGGCCATAGCGAAACCACCAACAGGGAGGTCAGGGATGTTCAGGCGGGTCTATTAAAGATGACAAGTTAGCAATTGAAGAACCTTGTCAAGATGTTTCTAACAATCATTGAAGATTGAAACAGCGGAGCAGATTGCTCCCATATCTAATGGCATCACGGGTTCATGACCAACCTTCAAGCTAGACACGAGGTCGGCAGTCTCAAGCAGGGTCAATGTGCTGATCTGGTCGACAATCTGTGTGATCTTGGGGTTGGTAGGGGCAGCGGCCTCGGTCGATTCCCATCGTCGGTAGCTGGGTGTGCGGGCTGTGTATGAGGTCGCGATGCGCAGGGAGGATGGGCGGACGGAGCCGGACAGCTGTCTGGCGCAGCGAGCTGCGGACTGGATGGGGAAGGACATGACGAAGGCGTGAACGGGTCGGAGACTCCGAATCAAAGTTGAATTCAATTGACGGTGGAGGGAGCAAATGGAGAAGGACAGCTCTAACCGCGATGCGGACGAAAAGAATGGCAAGAGTTTCGGGGAAAATCTGGGTGTCACGTGATATTAGTCATCCATCATTTACAAACCATCAACAGAGTAGATGGGGTACTATCAACAGAATACTAAAGAATAGGCATGCGTAGTTGAAATGATGAGAAATCTGGGATAATGGATGATACAATATTGATTCGGGAGAAATGGAAGAAAGCGCAGCACAAAGCCTTTATATCTTCGTCTCTACTATGGGAAGCTTCCATTAGCCAGGGACGAAGCCCCTTATTGGCTGCTTGAATCTACTGTACTAGGTATATCTACAAAAGAACTTGGAAGAAGATTGACCAAAATGTAGGGATGTATTATCATACTCTGCTATACACACCAGCCGACTTTTTTTTCGTGATATCGTACGTAGATCTATCAACGTCCCAGCGGTCTCGAAGCCTCATAATCAAACGTTTAATCCTCATCCCAGTTAGCGTTGGGGCCTGGGGGTTTCGGTCCACCAGCCTGTCTAGCAACGATGATCTGATCAACGCTGAGAACAGTGCGGGCAGCCTCACTGGCAAGGCGAATGGCCCAGCTCTTGGACGCCATCAAGTCGAGGATACCCTCGTCAACAGTATCGAGAGTACCGTCACCGCCGGATCCGACCTCCAGGTCCACACCGGTAGTCCAGTAGGGCTCCTCCTCCTCGGATGAGCTGCCCTCCTCTGCACCTTCGGACTGGGCATCCGTGTTGGTGCGGTGGTGTGCGGTGTACAGACGGGAGAGAACCTCGGTGGCATCGAGACCGGCGGAGTCGGCAAGGGTACGGGGAACGACCTCGAAGGCCTCGGCGAACTTGCGAATGGCGTGCTGGGGCAGACCGGGGGGTCTTGTCAGCGAAGGCAGAGATTCGCTCGACGAGCTGAATCTCGGTGGCGCCGGCACCGGGGACAAGACGGGGGTCCTTGGTGATGGCCTTGACGACGTTCACGCCGTCATCGATGGCACGCTCGACATCGTCCAGGTGGTTCTGGGTGGCACCGCGCAGGACGATTGTGGATGTGCGGGTGGCGGAGTTGGCATCTTCTTGACGGAAAACGGTGACACGGTCACCACCGATCTCGGTGGTCTCGACAACGTCAACGGTACCCATCTCATCGGGCATGGGGGCGCCGAGACGGGCCAAGGGGTAGCGCCGACAACGCGGCACAGACGGCGGAGCTCGAACTTGGAAAGAATCTTGATAACCAGGATGTTAAAGCGGTTGAGGTAGTGCATGGCGAGGTCGCCGACGGTAGAACCAGCAACGAGAACGCGGAGACCGGAGTCATAAAGCTCCTTGATAGCGGCCTCCAGGCGCAACTCCTCGTCCTTGGTGAAGTCCACCATCTCCTGGGCATTCTTCAGCAGAACGGTACCCTTGGTCTCGGTCTGCGAGATATCAATTGGGCAGCTGAACACGCCGACCTTGGCCTTGCGAGCCTGCTTGATAATTCCATCTGGCTCACGTCCGAAGACCATACCCTTCACCACCTTGGATTGCTCCAAGCTACCACCCATAATCTTGACGACACGCACATTGTCCACGTTGAAGTTGAGGGGGGTTCTTGGGAAGCACGGCAAGGACAGCCTCCGCGACCAGTTCCGCCAAAGTATCCTCAACGCCAGACTGCTTGCTAGCAATGACCGTCCGAAGGGCCTTGGTGAGCTCGGTAGTGGAACGCATCTCCTTGAGTCGGTCAACCTCGAGATCTATCGCAAGAAGGGTACTAGTTAGCAAATTATCCACCTTAAAAAAAAGCCGGAGACAACGGTCATGAGAGTCGACCCTCCCCTATCCCGACATCCCCACCAAACTCGAATATAAAAGAGGGAAGTCAAACATACCCTCTAGGGTCTTCAGAGCGAAGTTTTGTGCCTTCTCGTAGCCTGAGGTAATATCACTGGTCTTCAATCCCAAACGAATAAGCTCCTCTGCCTTCTTCAGCAACTCCCCGGCCAGAACGATGACCAGGTTTGTGCCATCACCCATCTCGGCATCCTGTTGCTGACTGGCCATAACCAGCAGCTTAGCAGCGGGGTGCACAACATCCAATTCACGGAGAATGGTCGCAGCGTCGGAGGTCAGAATCATCTTCTGCAGGTGGTTGATGACGATCTTGTTGCGGCCGTAGGGGCCCAGGGAAGTCTGAACGGTGCCGGAGATGGCCTGGCAGGCCTCGATGTTGCGGATAACAGCTCCATCCTCAGCGTCGTGGCTGTATCGATGGGATTGTGGTTAGCTGGCTGGCTAGCTTCTAGAGCAGCCTCCCCTCCGAGCGGATAAGGAGGTGGGATTTGGATGTGTTTGGGGGGGGAGGGATCTTCTTACGTTTGGTACCCCTGCTTGAAGAGGCCCTGCTGAGAGGGCCCAGGGATGGATAGCGACATTGTGAAAGGTCGCGTCCGATGTGGATTTGACTGGATATGAAGGGGGTCAAATCAAAAGGGGGAGTCGATGAGCTTCGTCAAGAGGTGCCCGGGGAATTTTTGGGTGGACGGTGGGTTTGCTGCGTTTGCACGGAGGGGAACTGGTTGACCGCCCCGCGCTACTTGTAGTACTAGTAACTAGTAGGAAGTAGGAAATGTTGATATTATGGTACTTTTTACAAAATTCAGTTTCATATATCAGAAAATACAATAATTGGCTGTATTTCATGAGAATAGTGTACATGTATGAATATATTACATGGGCAGTTGAGTCAGCTTTAAGCCTCAAGCTCAAGCTAAAGCTCAAGTTCACCACACTGCCGAACCATGCGACCTAATCGCATTCTGGAAGCTAGGCACTATATCACTCGTCAGTTTCTCAACCTAACCAAACCTAACCAATTCAAGTTCCAAAAGGAAAAAAACTTACTATACTTCCCAATTGAACCACAATCATTATCCTGATAAATCATCTCCGCCTTCTCCAACCACCCCCTAATTGCCTCTTCCCGATTATAACTAGACGGATGAGTCGACATAAACTGCGGCGGAGCCCCCTTCTCCTGCTGCTGCATGCGATGCCAGAGCTTAACAGCTGCCTCGGGATTAAAGCAAGCCTTCGACATCATCATCAAACCAATATTATCCGCCTCAGCCTCCTGCGTGCGCGAATTGGGCAAACTCCACATCAGATTAACCAGCATGGACGACAATTGTCCCGAAACATCAAATAGCATTGAGACGAGAAATATTGTCCCCATCGTCAGAACGCTGGTACTCATGCGCTCGGCGGGATGGCGCGCTACGACGTGCGCTATTTCGTGGCCCAGGACAGCGGCGAGACCGTCTTCGTCTTGGCAGATTGGTAGAATGCCGGTGTAGACGAATACCTTGCCCCTGTAAGCCAAATGTTAGCATCGCATCGGCTCGGCACATGCGCAGAAAGAAAAGAGAGAGAGAGAGGGAGGGAGAGAGAGAGAAAGAGGGAGGGAGGTAACTCACCCAGGCAAAACAAACGCATTCGCCATCCCATCATCCTTAATAACATGAACCTTCCATTCAGCACCCTCAATATCCGCCATAGGAATAAGCCTCTGCAAAATGCGATCAACACTCTTCGTAAGAGGGTGATAATCAGGTAAAACCTTCCCACGCTCCGAAGCAAGAATCTCCCGATAACTCTCGGCACCCATTGCCAATTCGCGCTCCGCGGATACGCAATTAAAGCGTCGCCGACCTGTCATCTCTACCACGTCTGTATTATATAGGTAGATTCCCGAGATCCCGATTCCGAGTATCACAAAGTGCTGCGGTTTGGATTTGTGGAGGAGGGTGAGGAATATCGAGCCTCGTTGTGAACCACCGCCGCCGCCGCCGCCGCCGAAGCGGTTGTAGTTTGGTCGGCTTTGGTATTGGTAGTTGGATTTGGTTGGGGTGCGGAATGAAGACCTTGGCGTAGAGGTGAATGTGCGTTGGGTTGTTTGTGGAAGGATTATGTTTGAGTGGAGATGTAATGGGAGTCTGGTTCTGGTTCTGGGGGTCGTTGATATTGTAAGCCATCTTGATGCTATTCGGGGTGCTGGTGTTTTTAGGCGCGTGAGCGAGGTGAGCGGGTGGAGGTATTTCGAGGGTTGCGATGCGGGTGTTCGTGCGGCGCGTAGAGCGCGAAGAGTCAGTTGTGTGAACATCGGTTCTATTTTTGTATAGGTGGTTGGGGAGTGTAGGAAGGAGAGGTGAAAGAGTGAGTGAGTCAAGTCGGAGTGGAAGCGAATGATTTGCGGCTGGGACTCGGCGATAAGCAGCCACTTCCGGCGTTTAGGTAGGCTACCCTAGCCTACACTCGGATCTTCCAGGGTCTTCTACCTTGTGAAGAAAATACCCGATTACTTGGGGTTTTTATGGCAGCAAATTCATCATTCTAGTCCTCTTATTTCATTAGATTTTAATAATTAGTTGTAAATATCGATACCCAACTGCAATGTCCTGTGTTCAACTTGAAAGTTGAAAGGCCACAAAATTCCAATTCTACTCAACGCCAACATCCAAATCTTTACAACCAAGTTCACGAATAAACCAAAATCAGACAGAAAAATCTTCAATTAAATCAACACATGCAGTCATTCATTATTCACAAGCGGGGGCAGTCAATTATGCAAAAAGAGATGAGGGGGTTAGCTATAAACAAAACAAAACCAGAGTTCAGTAATCATGATATTTTCGGGACACGCATGCAGGCATCCAGTCGAAAAGCCAACCAAATCAATCCTAAGAAAAATTCCAAGGAAAAGGAGAAATAATTCATCAAGATGAACCAAAATGTACCAAAAAGGGCGTTGGGTTGGGGGGAGTAATAAGGGAAAGGGTAAAAAGGAAATAAGGGCATAGTAGACATCCCAAAGCAGGTAAAGAGCCCCATCCGCACCAAGGCCAGACCAAACCAAACCAAAACAGAATGAAATCAGAGATCGGAATCAGAATCAGAGGCAAATGCACAACACGACCAACCCACAGGCCATAGCCTAACGGAAACAGGTCGAAAACAAAAAGCCCCTGGAATCATGCCGCGCAGTCATGGTGGGAACAAAGTGGTATCATGGCAAGGAAAAGAAGAACAAGCATGCAGAAAGAAAGAGGGAGGGGGTGAAGTAGTAGAGGTAATGGGGTAGCGAGGAGGTATAGTATAAGAAAGAAAGGGTCATGACAGGCTTGACGAGAATGGCGTACGAATGTCGAGATAGGCGGATATATGCATATGCAAAGGAAGGAGATGGGACGGAAAGAACACCACTCTATCGCATATCTCACTCCTCCGTCAACGCATCATCGCCCATCTCACGCCAATCCTTAGATTTATCCGTCAATCGTCGCACGCCAGAAATGCGTTGAGCCCAGTGTCCCTCCGAGGGAGTGCGGTATGTATAAGCACGCTGAGAAGAGATCACACCGATGCTCTGTAACACGGCCTTTCGAGAATCACGGCTGAAAACAGCGGGGTGGTTAATCCACTCAAGGGCCGAGTCGAGGTCCGCGTTCAGTGCAACCATGGTCTGGGCATCGACAGAGGAGCTTGGTGTGATGGTATTCGCGTCCGAGACAGAGGAGGCATGGCTTTCAGCGAAGCTTGATGAGGGTGTTGGGGAGGCCGAGTTCGGTGTGTCGGTGCGACTGCCTGAATCGCTGTTTCCTGAGCGGGGGACTCCTGGGGGTAGAGGGGGGAGACCGCCTTTGCCGAGACCCTTCAGAATACTCCTTGTTTCGTTGAGCAGATGTTGACCCCGATCATGCTGGCCGCGGGAAACGAGAGTCAGGGCCCGGGTTAACATATCCGATGTGAGGAGCTCCATGCGGCGTTGCACGATCGATGGGTGGGGTGGGATGGGAGGGGTCATCGGACGACTGCCTTTGGCTCTGGGGTTTGGAGGGAGCATCGTTATAGCCAGGAGAGATGGGCGAGGCGAGTGTGTTAGATGACCGTCGCGGAGGAGGTCACCGTAGGTGAGATCGGCTTGGATCAGTGGTACCTCCTCGACGCTCAGAACCCGTTGCTCATCCCCATCAATACCCCCACCGAGGGCCTCCAGACCCGAAACTAGACTCTCCCAAGGATCTTGGGGCATGTTGTCTTGAGTGGCATTGTCTGGCTGGATAACCAGTTGCACCAGGACATCACGTTTATCACCGAATCGAAGATCTCCCAACGCGGCCTCGGCGTCCTTGCCGGTGGCACGCTTTGTGGTATGCAAGGCACCGCTAATCTTGACAAATTTGGCAGGCGATCCTTCCGGCAAGCGCAGCTTCAACTTGACATTCTGGTGTGAAGTGGTTTGCAAAGCGCCCAGGCATCCAGCAACACACTCCCGCAGCATCATCCAATCCTTCACGTAGAGATAAGAACCCTTGGTACGAGTTGACAGCTCGATCATCGTGTCCGGCTTATGGGTCAAACCAAGGCCGAAAGAATGAATGCTGACCTTGGCAGCTTCAGCTCGAGATACGACGAAATCAACACTTTCCACGTCGGAGGTCGATGAGTCGCTAATGAGCAGGATAGTCGAAACTGGGTTATTGAACTTGCGCTGCATCAGCAGATCCATGGCTACATTAGCACCCTCCACCACGTCAGCACGGAGACTCTTCTGGCCCACAGGCCGGATGGAGTCCAGAATCTTGTTCCATCCGTTCCAAGACTTGGTAGTCATGCCCACCAAAGGAACCCCACCACCGCTCGAGCCGAATGTCACCAAGCCCATACGGTCTCGGGAGCCCAAGTTTTGCACGAGGAACTTAAGGGCGTCACGGAGAAGGGTGATCTTGAGGCCCTGCATAGACGAGGATACGGGGATAACCACGACGAGGTCGAGGGGAATGTGGAATGAATCGATAGACGGCGTCTCCATGTCAGGGTTGGTGTAGTCAGTGATGGCGGTGTTGTTGGACTTGCCGGCGCCATATGAAGAGTTGATGGATGCCTGCCGCTGAATACGGCTGGTGCGGTAGTCATCTTCCTCGGCGCCCGAATTATCCAAATCATAGTCATTATGGCGTGAGATATTCTCTACCGGGTGCAAATCAATCAGCGAACGGCGCCACATCTCAAGCTGGTTGCGGTTCGGGAAACGTAGGAAGAAGCAAGGCAATTCGCTGACGGAAAGGTTGAGAGTCAGAACGGGTTCGTCGGAGGCAGACTCGATCGATTTCAAGTGCTTCTTGATCAGGATTGAACCCTTCAGAGTGCACCGAGTCCTGGGCTTTGACTCCTCGTATTGGTTGCGGGAGTCGGCGATCTTCTTCTCCTTGACACAAATGAGCATCTCTCCGAAGAGATAGCACTCCAATTCTTGCCATGACTCCCGATCCTTGCCAACGCGCATTTGTCCGTGCAGGCGGAGCTTGCCAAATCGTTGAAACTCGAGTCCGTGCCAATTATCCACCCGGTTCCTCAGCTCCTCCGCAATCTCATCCATGTTCTCGACGGGTTCATATTGAAGAGATCGAGCATCTTGTGAGCCTCCAAATCGGGCAGAGAATGGCTCATCGGGCTGCGATTGGCCAGAGGGAGTGTGTCGAAGATCCTCCGCATCAGGGCGCCAGTTGCCTTCCGGCACCTCCACGGTGATCAAGCAAGTAAGGGATTGTTGCTGGCGAGATCGGTTCATGGTGGGGAACTCGCTTCGCACCGTCACAATTGGGGCGGGGATGGGATTCTTCGCAACTCCGGGACGGGGGCTGAGGTCAGATTCCATCGCTTGCACATCGTAGTCATGGCGGCGTCCGCTACTCGTATGCTGACCATCGTTGTGATAGTCGCCTGACGAGCCCGCGGCACTGCCATTTCGGGAATGGGGCTGTCGGGAAGCGGAAGCGGAGGCGGAAGGAGCGTGGGAGTTGGAATTGGAGTGGGAGTGGTGGGAGTGGGCAACTGCAGTTAACCTCTCAACGCGCTCCCTCTGTCCAGTGGTGTCGCGACTGTCCCGTCGGCTATCTTGACGACTAAAGGTCGATTGTGTTGGACCATTATATCGACTACCACCCTCACTGGGTGCTCGACGGGACGAATGTTGATCCCATGGGGTGGGGGTTGTTAGACCACTACGAGTTGTGGCGCTATCGCTCATCGTCACAGAGCGCACGATACTGGATATTTTTTCTGTCGCATTTCAGTTAGTCATGCAATTGCTTCACTCGGGGATTGGCAGAATTGGGGGATCTCCTGTTCACATACCAACATCTAAGACATTTCCACCTCGACTCGCATCTAAGCCTAGCGGCGCATTGCAGGTCGGGCAGTATTGCGAGTCAATTTCGCGAATATACTCATAGAAGCATGCTTCGTGGGACACATGACTACATGATAATTGGAGAATACGCTCTCCGCGCAGAGTATGCTCCAACGGCTCTTCACAGACGGCGCACTCACCACCAACGAATGTCCTCTCCCGCCGAGTGCGAGTGCGGTCGACCTCCATCTGGCTAGTCTGTCTGCCGGATCTCGAATTATACGAGGCACTAGAACGATTGGTATGGGAAGGGGACTGCCAGGCCGGCTGGTTGGTTGAATGAATGGAATCGGCGAGGGTGGAGGGGGGCCCGGGGTCTATAGGAGTTGTTGGAGCTGTTGTTCTGGGTGACGGTGTTGGTGGTGTAGTTGGAAAGAGTGCTCTCGGGCCGGTCAGGCCTACGAGTTAATGAACGAAAGGAGCGAAGCGTGGAGCTAGAGCGGGAGGGCGAATCTGGCCGCGATTGAGATTCTGTACGTCACCGGAGTCCCGTTAGCTCTGCGGGGAGGCGAAAAGGCAACGCTGATATGCAGGTCGTGGTCTGTTACAGACAGCAGATCGTAGATTGAATCGGGCAGCTGGGAATATGAAAGAAAGACAGGACGTCTCAGGGGAGGGGGGGGAGAGAAGGCGGATGAGAGGGAAAGGAAGGAAAAGAGAAAGGAGAGTGGAGAGAGGATACGGGGGGCAAAGTGGTTTAAGGTCGGTGGACACATCCCATCTCGAACCGGCGCAATTGGTCTCAGTCTCAGATCGGTGGTTCCGGGCACGACGAGAGCTGATGGCCACGAGGTTGCGCGGGTCTGACGATGAGGCCGAATGGTGGAGGGAGGAGAGAGGATGAAGGAACGGAATGGGTCTCGCAAGTGAGTAGTAACTTACCAGGCTGAAGGGATTTCTTTCTAGATCGCCCCAGAAAGCCGATTTCAGGTAGATGAAGGTGGTTTGAATCGCTCCTCTTGGACTCCGATCTGGGCGACAGTCTGGGTTTCCACATGGGCGATTTCTCCCAAAGGGCCAGGAGGGTGGGGTGGGAAGAAAAAGGGAAGGAAAAGAAGTCGAGAGACGCCCCGAAAGTCTAAAAAATAATAAAAAATACAAAAACAAAAAAATGAGTAATTCCAGAGGGACAACGATCGCACTATCGCGAAGTGGACTAGTGGTGGTTGAGTGGGTTAGGGAGTGTATGAGTTGTGAGAGAATGTAGTGCAGCGGCAGTGCACAAGTGTACTGAGTATGTACACACTGTACGTATGAGCGAAGTACAGGTACTGTATTGTACAGGGTACAAGTGTACAAGTGTACAGTGTACAGGGTAAGAGACAGGAGATGAAAGGAGAACAATAGGGGAAGAGACTAAAAGAAACTAGACACTAGCTCGAGACTAAGTAACATAATTCGGAAAAAAAAAAACCCACGACGATCGTAGCAGCGCACGATCGCGGCTCCACCGTCGCTGCCGAACTGCTGCGCTAACCAGGGCGAGCCATGGACGCCCGCCGGTGCTATTGTGGTGTCCCGTGGGTCATTCAAGTTTCTCGAGGTTCCTCTACTACTAGTAGTGGTATCCTCTAGATCCCCAGAATTGAGTCCCCTGAAACCACCCGTGGACCACGGAAGCCTCACGGAATATTCTATCGACCCAAAGAATTCGGTACAAAGTATCCCTACAAAGTCAAAAAACGTGGATGTGGGTGGTTGTGGATGACACGCAGGTTCCCCTCTCTCTCGACCCTCCCCCTTGCTTGATACCGTTCTACACCACCTGGCGCGGCCCCTCCGCTACGCAGTAGCCTGCAGCAAACTACTTTCAAAATATCAATTTGAAAAACTTCCGGTCCCTTTGTATGGCTACTCAGTGTTCCACTTACGCAGATTCCCCTATAATGGGAAGGTGTTCGCCTGGTGTTCGCCTGGTGAGACAACTCCATAGTTCACGTCCCCATCTCCATCTATATCTCCGTCTCCGTCTGCGCCACTACGCTACTAGGTCAACTACCTGACGCGTTCCGTATCAAGCTTGAGCCTCCATTGGCGCCCAGCCAGGGCTCAGCTCACCTTCCGGGGCGGAAGGATTGGGAGTGAGAATCCTGGCGGGCGACTAGTCGCCGTGGCGATTCTATAGTACCTACCTGAGGTACTTGTACCAAGTGTATCTGTAAGAAAAATCGAGCAAGATGCAACCCTTACTACGAGTATGTATGAGGTACCCCGAGTTCGCCGCTCGCTCAGCCTGACACCGGGTTTTCCGGATTCCCGCCTCGTATGTAACAAGTTCAATTAAAGTTTGCAGTACGTAGTTTTTTGCAGCGCAGTTCTTTTTCTTTTTCTTTTTCTTCTCTTTTCTTTTTTCGCTACTTCTGCCGTTTCTCTCGGGTCTCTCTTCGGACTCCGTTGGCCGCAAAAGGTTATCTCGGCATGCCTTGAACAGTTTCCATCCGACTCGGATCTTCTCCATTTTGCCCCTGCCGACGATCCCTTGGAACCCCCGTCATGGTTACTATCGACCATGGTCGGTTTCCCACGAACCTGGTCAACCGATTTCTTCACCTGTTCATCTCCAACGGAGGCTCCCGATCTCCAATCAGATCTTTTTAACCTCCAATGGGTCGATGAACAAGAATTGACCATTCCCTGGTCACCCCCGGATGGGACCGCGTGATCGACTGGCTGACATAATACTTTGTGCCTCAGGCCCCAATCTTTGGCCTTGCCTTGCCGAAAGGAAGCGCCGATCACTCCAACGGCTTCTGTCACTTGCCAACCGCTTCAAACTTGGTTCATTTTCAGGGCCTCGAATAAGCTTTCGCCTCGTTTTTGCGGAGTGGACGTCATTGACCCAGGTCTATTCAGCAACTCGGCAAATGCTATCTGGTGATCCTTTTTTGGCGAATGCTATCCCTGATCACGCAGGGACCAAGACCAAGATGAAGACCAGACCAAGGACCACACTGGAACGGAGAATTACTTCCAAATGCCAGGGATCTGGAGTCCAGCACGTCCCGTCCAATCGAATGAAATACGATCCGAACCCGACCATTCCACCAATCTCCCCTCCCCTCTCTCTTTCTTATTCCCGTACGAGATCCATTTGGAGTATCCCATCTCCCCTGAACACCCCTCCCCTTTCATCGCCACTTTGATTTTACGAGCCGCGCTCTCGCCGCGCTATAGACCGCTGCAATCCCCACACTCGCCCGTCGTCCCACCACTAGTGGCAGCGATGTGCAAAGAAAAACAAGAGTGCAAGAAGCTAAGGGAGATTATTTGCACATCACTGACTCCATCATCCCTGAATATGGAGTACTAGTACCTACTCCGTAGTAGTAGTCCTCGACTCGCGCGCCGTTTCTGCCGCCACGGTGGATTTGCCAACTTCGCGTGCGACTGCCGATCAGTACCCCATTTTCTTCATTTTGAGAGGTCGTCTCGTCAACGAGGTCCCCCACCTTGTCTTGTGCAAAACTGTCCCAGTGCCGGATCGGCAGCTACCCCCCTGTCATATTCCAGCCACTCGCTTTGTAAATGCTTGCGTGTGTACGGTGTACGGAGTACGGAGTACAGAGCTTGGTGTGGATTGTATTATGGATGTAGACCTAGACCTTGTCCCTCTTCGAATACTTGTACTCCATAACTACTCCATACAGTACGATGTACGAGATACGGCCCAAATCTTTGTCTCAATCTCCAATCCGAAAGATGTCTGTAATCTGACTGTCACGACATAGGTATGTACCGTACATAACAGGCGCGATGCACTATGGAGACGAGTTAACTTGACCTGTCAACGATCACCCCTTGGCGGAGTGATTGGCACCTGCGCATCGGAGAATATAACTAAGCACGTTTACAGAAGATAGCTCAAGCCCAATTTCGAGCCATTGCTCGTATTTGAGTAATCTGGGATTTTCCAATGAAGATTGCTCTGTACTCCGTAAATGTCTGCTGCTAGAGGTAACTCCTCCGGAATCCTGTCCACAGTTTACGTGAACTATGTACATACTAGTAGGTTAGGTTGATCCCCATCCCCCCCCTCCCCTGAAGCTGTCAACGGGCCCTACGCAAATTAATCGCCCCATCCGCTGCTGACGGCTATTATGGTCGACCTTGCCTCGTGGTATCCGCAATCTACGAGTAATTTTCTTCCTACCTTCAGGGCCCCCTCTCTCCCTCTCTCTTTCTCTCCACGTAGCCTGCTAGTCTGTATTAATTTCACACCCTCAAAAATATGTATAATTATGATTAAAAATATCCAAAGCCGACGTATCCCAAGAAGAGCCAGCGCAAAGTGAAAGTAAACGAAAATTGGGAAGAAGTACCAAACTACCGAGTACTAGTAGAAGATCCTCATCCTGCTCAATTTTCGGATCATTTGCTTCCCCTCCCCCTCTTCCTTCCCTCTTTCTCTCTCGTACTACTGACTACCAGTACCTTGGCTACTACTCATACTCTCGCGCAATCCGCTCTCTACCTCCGTGCCTGCAGCACACTACTGCGCGCGGCCAGTAATCTGCATGAAGATCAACGTCTTTGAAAGCTTGCCGGGGGGGGGCAAAGGTGCGCGCATCGCTTCGGAATCCCGCCGGGCCAATCAAACGATGCAGCGACCGGCGCTGCACTGTACTGCACTGCACTGCGCACCGCACCGCACCGCTGCTGCTGCTGCTGCTGCACACTGCATGCCCGTACGAGTCAAGGTCGAAAGTCGAGAACGGGGCAAGGCTAAGTTTGATGTCTCTCATAATTGATCTTTAAAGTGTGTTTTTTTTTTCCATTTTCACTGTGCTATACTATACATACATACATATCGGTATTCTTCAAGTTATTTTCGTACTCCGTACCACTAGCACCAATTATTCGTTACCCCGTACTCGTACGAGTATGATGTACACTCCGTCCTCCAGTTCCGTATTGACCACGGACTGGACCACTGGCGACCTCTAAGCCGGAACCCAGGCCGCGACGATATCCGTGCCCTCAGGATCGCTGGAAACCGGTGTTTCAGAGCGTGGGAAATCGGCGATGGGCCCGGTCCCCTTTCTTCGGCTTTTACATACCAGGTGCACGGTTTAGTGGCCGTGGCATTGGAGGGTCGATTAATTACTCCGTACTCCGTCTCCGTAGTGTGTGCGCTGAACCTGGGGGGGGGCGGAGAAGGGGAAGGAAACGAAGGTGTGTCCGTTATGTATTTGGTTACTCCGTACTCTGTACGTTCACTGCTGTTCACTGGCAAGTTCTGTACTGTAGGGCGATTTAAGGTTTTTGGAATGAAACGGTCGTCCGTTGGTGGGCTCTTGTTAGCGAGCGAGTCAATTCAGTTCAGTTCAGTTGGGTGCAGAATCGAGTCGGATTTCCCGTACTGAGTGCCTCGAGGAGGAATGGGGGGTTCACCCGTCCAATGAGGAATCGGGTCCCAAGGGAAACCTGAAGGAGTTAGTGTGCAGACTCGTGCTGCAGGGTGACGATGTGAGGAACAGGGGTCGGTTCTACTTCGGGTTGGTGGACGTGCGACCGGGTCCGAGAATATGGCGTGTGTGTGTATTATGTACATGTATGGTTTTAGCATGATTTCTTGGTTTTTTCTTTTCTTTTTTGTCTTTTGTCTTCTGCATAGACATACGAAAGCGAACTCTAAATCGAATCCTCATGAAAAAGTTGCTGATCGGGCACATGTTTGTGATTCGACATGGACCGCCCCCACTGCGTGATTATGCAGGGCGTTTCATGGTTATAGATATGTACCCTGTCCACCACTATCTACATCCAAGGCACTGGGGCCAACGTTTTATCAAAGCGACGCTCGATGACGACAATGACGACAGAAAGAACTTTTTTTGAGATCAATATCTTCCAAACGCTGGAGCTCAGCTCAGATCAAGATCAGATTCGATCAGACTGGGCCCGTATGAAACTCCCTAACCCGGACCCTGAAACAACCATCCTCGTCTTCGGCGAAAACGGCGCCGATGGCCATTCATCAATTGGAAGACCGGTGAATCCTGGTCCATGGGAGGCAATTCCAGCTGTTTGGTTCTATCACGGGCTAAGAGTGACTCGGAATCTCGTAGCGTCAGGTGTCTAGACCCAGTTCCGATTCAGCCAGCCTTTTTCTAAAATAGCCTTGGGGCCCGTTTTTTTTTATAATTGAATCCTGTGGATTACTAGTAGAAGTTTCAGGTCGCGATACGGTCAAATCGTCTTCTGTCTTCTATCGGTTTTTATATGGGTCTATATTACAAGATGGATTCTTTTTTTTTTTCTATAAGATTGGTATATTTGTATTTTTGCACCGGCCGAAAGGTGGACTGAACTGTTGAACTACTGATTCGCGACGGGTGATGATCAACCGCATGGACCGGGCGTTATGGAGGGGTGCACGGTTAACGACATATCACTTTTCTTGCGCCCATCGCTCACCTGGGAATCCTTAGGAATGAGACCTAGATTCAAGAAGACGTTGGAATCAAGAAGTGAGAATCGATGTGTCAACTGTCATGGTGGGGTCAGGAAGAAGCAAACAAACACTTGACTCGTCGCCTGCAGATAGAAGTATATTCTGTTGGTCCTCAGAGAATCCCAAGGTCATCATTCAACTGTTCATATTTCATAGGATGGGATGGACGGACCCTAGAATCCGATATATCCATAATTCAATCCAAAATAGATAAGTCGTAACTTACATCTCATCATGTACGAAGGATGCATTAGTTGCTTTCTCAAAAACGGACCTGTTAGGCTAATCACGCTAGATGTGTCGCGTTACTACCATATGTATGGTGACACAGGGTACAAGTTTGGACATGGCCGCATGGGCGTGTGATCAAGGTTGTTGAGAGGGGTGATAGCCCCGCTGTTGATGAATGAGGCGCTGGCCTGTGGGTACGATCCGACTGGAGTGGTTCTACTTGTGGCTGAGATATAGTAGTACATAAGTACCAGTTAACTACCGGTAGTAGTTCTACTGTATCGCACCCGCATCACTCGTTGTGGAATATCTGTTGAGTCGGGAGCCTACTCGGGGCCGTCAAGTGGCAAGTCGGGCATTGCTCCGGAGGAATCGGAGAGTTACCGGAGCTTAAATCCTACACCACCTTCGGACAAAGACACTTCGAAATGATCCTTCACTTGTAGCCCGAATTATTCCTCCCCCCCCCCCCTGAGGAGCTCATACTTTTTGCATGGGCATTCCTGTTGGGACAAGCCGGGAAAAACAGGGTTTGACCGGAGAAGGACGGAGATCAAGGAGGGGGATGGGGGTAACCACTCCAAATGGTCTTGCAAGTAGTGTGTGTCATGCTGAATGACTTTTACCTATATTATGACCTTCTTAGGATTGCTTCACTAATACTCCCGTACCTCCATGACACTTGGCCCAGGGTGTTGAATTGAGCTTTCCCCAGTCCAGTGTAGGCCAGCTCCGGGTTTGCTTTGTTTGCATCAGCCACACCGGCGGCCCCCGAATGGGAAAGATTATGTAAGGGAATCGGGAAAGTTTGTTCCCAACATCTCACGGAAAAGTGTCGCTATCAACCTCATCCTTCTCCCATCGTCAATTGGGAATCAGTGTTCACCATGCTCTTCCGTACTGTGGCCCGTCAGGCCGCGCCCCTGCGTCGCCAGGCTTTCGCCCCTATCACCCGTCGCTCTGTCACCACCGACGCCGCCTCCGCGCACGCCGAGAACATCCCGAAGGTTTGTTGAGATCTCATCCGGAAAATGGGAAAATGCCATACGAGGCCTCAAGGACTCAATGCTGATACTGGCAATTGCGCTATACAGGAGGATGACAAGCCCTTCACCGTCCGCCTCTCCGACGAGAGCTTCGAGACCTACGAGCTCGACCCGCCCCCATACACCCTGGAGACCACCAAGAAGGAGCTGAAGCAGATGTACCACGACATGGTTTCGATCCGGTATGCGCCCCCCGATTTCACCTTCTGCCTCTTTGCGAGAAGCTCGCTCTAACCGTTTGCCCTTTTCCCTTTGATATAGTCGCATGGAGATGGCTGCCGATCGCCTGTACAAGGAGAAGAAGATTCGCGGTTTCTGCCATCTGTCGACCGGTCAGGAGGCCGTCGCCGTCGGTATTGAGCACGCTATCAACCGCATGGACAAGATCATTACCGCCTACCGTTGCCACGGTTTCGCCCTGATGCGCGGTGGTACCGTCAAGTCGATCATTGGTGAGCTCCTGGGCCGCCGCGAGGGTATCGCGTACGGCAAGGGTGGTTCCATGCACATGTTCGCCGAGAACTTCTACGGTGGTAACGGTATCGTCGGTGCCCAGGTTCCCGTCGGTGCTGGTCTGGCTTTCGCTCAGCAGTACAACGAGCAGCCCAACACCTCCATCATCCTGTACGGTGATGGTGCCTCCAACCAGGGTCAAGTGTTCGAGGCTTTCAACATGGCCAAGCTGTGGAACCTCCCCGCCCTGTTCGGCTGTGAGAGTAAGTTTTTTTACCCTGTTATTCTCAATTTTGAGCTCTCTCCCTTGCTATCCGAATCAAATTTCTAATATACCCGTTCTATAGACAACAAGTACGGTATGGGTACCTCCGCCGCCCGCTCCTCCGCCCTGACCGAGTACTACAAGCGTGGTCAGTACATCCCCGGTATCAAGGTCAACGGCATGGACGTCCTGGCCACCAAGGCCGCCGTCCAGTACGGAAAGAACTACGCCATTTCCGGCAACGGTCCCCTCGTCTTCGAGTACGTGACCTACCGTTACGGTGGTCACTCCATGTCCGACCCCGGTACCACCTACCGTAGCCGTGAGGAGATCCAGCGCATGCGCAGCACCAACGACCCCATCGCCGGTCTCAAGCAGAAGATGCTCGAGTGGGGCGTCACCTCCGAGGAGGAGCTCAAGGCCATCGACAAGGAGGCTCGCGCCTACGTCGACGCCGAGGTCTCCGAGGCCGAGCAGATGGTCGCCCCCGAGAACAGCTCCCGCAACCTGTTCGAGGACATCTACGTCCGCGGCTCCGAGCCCAAGTGGATGCGTGGCCGTACCGTTGACGAGACCTTCTATTACTAGATGGAATTATAACCCGACGGTGCGGACCTGATCTTCTCGGATTCGACGGTCCTGGTCCTATTGAAAATCTTGTCGTTTTAACACCTCCACGGGGCTCTGGAGTTTCTCTCCGTGGAAAGATTCCCGCAGTGTATCCCTGTTTCTATCTACCCCTTATCTGTAATTTAGCCGATGACTACTTTTTCTTCGTTCGTCCTGGTTTCTTGTTCTAGAGTAGAAATCATCATTGGTTCCATGAAGTTTTCTTTTTCAATGTAGCTGTTCCTAGTAACTTGCGTATACGTATCTGATTTGCGGAAACTGATCCAGAAGTCCACGCATGTTGTTTTTTTATGCTGAGGTGCCGCTCTCTAGGCCGGAGTGTGCGCGTGGGCGAGATTTTGGAAGCATGAAAGCAGCATACCCTGTTACTACCAGTAAGAGAACCTTCGAAGGAAGATTCGGAAAGAGTCAAATGGCTTATTATGACTAGCCTCATAATTTAAAATGGGATAGTAAGTGATATTTTCAATCGTTGAATGGTAAACTTGGTAATATCTAAACACGAACGCTGCGCATCATGGGTATCGTGGCAAGGTAAAATAATAATAAACAGAACATCGTCACCGCCGGGAACTCTACGCAGCGAGTACTGGATATAGGAAAGGAGCAAGGAGATGTGGTGTAGCCAGCCAAACAGATCGTCTCAAGCAGGTTCCTGCCGCAACATCTCAAGAATCATCTCTTGCGTCCGTTGGACAGAGTCTAGTTTTTCTTCCATTGCCGCGCGGTCACGCTTCATCTCATGTCGAAGCTCAGCTCGTAGCTCCTGTCGCAGCTCATCTTTAATCCGACTGATATCATACGGCCCGGGATACTGCTGTATCTCACGCTCAGAACTCTGGATGGAGGCGGCCTGTGAATTCGACTCGGATGCGGCCTGAACTAGAGCCGATATTACAGGCGAGGATCGGACGTCGGCGCCGCCATTCCCAGAAGCGGCGTCGAGATGCTTGTTAAGCTTGCCAAGTGTTTCAAGCACGGCGCCGAACATGCGATTGTTCGGAGATGGATCTGCCGGTGTAGTGCTGGGTGCGACAGGCACAGGAGGTGTAACTTGGCTTATGGGAATGGGGTTCGAGAACATATTCTCAAACCCAGGCGGTAGCCTAACGGCATTTGTGACCGGCGCTGAAGGGGTCTCGAAGGTATGGGCTGGAACGACAGGAGCAGGCGTGGGAGTGGAATCGGAGATCTGAAGCACATCACCGGGGACATGGGCAACAGTAGTACTATCATCATGGAAAGAATGGCCCGTACCCACATCCATTCCATCGGGAGTAGCCGGTGAAGCAACACCAACTCTTCCCACTGGTATACCATGCTCATCAGGAGATCTCCACTGAGCATCCCCAGGCTTAGAAGACCTCCTGCGCATAATCATATCATCACGCTTCGCAATACGCCTCGCCTCAGCTTCCTCCCACCGCTGCCAATTCGGAATCCAAGCATCAAGAACAGCACACCATTGCGGATTCATCAAATCCTCCACCAAATTCGGACCCGAAAAGTCCCGCTGTCTCTGCTGCTGCTCATCGAGGAACTTAATCCTCTGCTTCGTGACAATTTCAACCTTCCTCCGTACAGAGTGCCACGAATAAGGCCGACCATGCGCAAACGTGAACTCGGCCGCAATCGTCTTCCACCAGTTACATATATCGCTGCGTTTACCGAACGTGCCCGCGTGTCGATTACATAGCTCGAATAGCGAGACTTCTTCCTTGGTCGTGAGCCGCTTGCCGTGTTTGCGCGGTCCGTCTTCAGTATCCATCTCGGCTGCTCGTTTGGTTCCTCGCGCGCCTGGTTGAGCTTGGACTGTATTGTTTCTCGCGACTGGCCCGCCGGCTGTCTCGCCTCTGGAAATGCTAGTCATCGACTTCGTAGAGTAGTCCTGGTCTCCGGATCACCGACACTCCCCACCCTTCGTTCAAGACAGTTCACTAGAGAGGTCTTGTACGAGTGCGGAAATAGGCCGGGGCTCACCGCGGCGTGGACGTTACTTGTAGAAGGATAAAATGTACTCCCGTTCCTGACGAATCCCTGGTGTTCCAGAGAGATTCAGGAGACGGCGATGAATCTCAAATGTGGACGGATCGTGGCCCTCTATGTTTTCGCGGACCATTAACGGGGTGGATCTTGTTTGATCTGGGGTGGTAGATTGACTGATAGCCAGGGTGGTGAGTGGGGAGAAGGAAGGGTGGTTTCGCGTATGGATGTAGAGGCCCGATGGAAGGAATAAAAGACCGTATGCCTATTCGTAGGATAATTAATTTCTCAATGCAGGTGGGAATGAGCCTATATGACCCAAATTTGAGAAGCGCGCGGGCTGATAAGGTGACTGTCGATCCGGGGAGGACGGGGACGGGGAAATGGGAGGAAGAGAAGTGCAAATCCGAGAGCGCGTGTTGCAATTTTGAGCGGGCGGTAATTTTCACCCGTGGAATTGCACTTGGGCCTAGCCCGCTCGTCTCCACTTTGGCCCATGGGGGATGGTTTTGCACTTTCTGTTACGGATCTGCTTTATTTATTTGCAGGAAGAATAAGTCTATGCGATGCAGTACTATTTTGGGTTGAGTGTTATGAATTTCTTTTTTTTTCTAGTTATTGCGAAATTACGTTGATACAGACTATTTGGGCGTCTTTGTTCTGGTTACACAGACCCATAGATCAGCCCCAACTTTATCATTTGACCCTACTCTTCACTTGATATAGAAAAGAATGAACCAATTGAACATTTCATGTTCATAGATTTAACTGAGATATTTGCTTTCATAATCGTTTCAACATATCATCTGCTCTGCCCTGCATAGGCTTCATTTTTACTCCACTTCCGTCTCGTTTGAAAAGTAATTCAATTCCCCCGATCAAAGTAAACATATTCAAATTCAAGTTCAAGAACACTCATAACTCATAACAATGACCTCATCCACTAGTAAACCTAAACCAGTCCTTAAATCCGGCTGCAGCGCCGGTGGCATCAGATCGGCCTCAGCAGAAACCTTCACCGAACGAGACCACGTCTTCGCAACAGCGCGCACCCTGTCAAAGATGGCACATCAAGAGAATCGCCCGAACATCACCCTCTTAGAGCTGGATGTGACGTCCACCTGTAGTATCTATGCTACCGTGGATACTGTCACAACAATTACCTGGGGAAAGCTCGATTATCCAGTCAACAATTCAGGCCAATCCTGCGTTCGGCCGGCTCTTGGTACGGATCTGGAGCAGGCGAACAAACTATTTGATGTTAACTTTTGAGGAGTACTTGCTACGATTCATGCTTTTGAGCCGTTAGTTATTGCCTCACGGGGGACTATTGTTAGTGTGGACTCTATTGCTTCGGTGTTGAATGTGCCGTGGGGATGTAAGTTTCCAAAGTTCCCGAAATTCCGGCATACATACATATATACATATATAGAGCTAACATTTGATATTTGATAATATCAGCTTCTTTTAACGCATCAAAAGCCGCAATAAAAGTATACGGTGAATCCCTCCGTCTAGAAATGGCACCTCTAAATGTAAAAGTCACCACCGTCATAGCCGGAGTCGTCGCAACGAACATTTTCGCCAACCATCCAGACCCCAAACTTCCCGCGGATTCGTACTGGAAGCCCGCTTCTAAAGAGATCAGTGCTGTTATAACGGGCAGTTCAAGCCCCCATGAGAAAGGGCTTCCAGCGTCCGTATTTGCGAAACGTGTCGCGGATGATGTGCTTGGAGGCGCGACGGGGTTAACATGGAGGGGGAAGATGGCTTCAATTGGGTGGTTTTTGCAGGCTTTTGGTAGGTCGATTTTATGCTCGGATTTGAAATTGATGTTGATGAATCGATAGGATCGCGCTCTGCTAGCTGGGTCTGGGATGGAGAGATTGGCATCGGCTTAAAGTTGAAGGGTCTACACCGTGCATATATGTATGCAGGTACTACTAGTAGTACTATCTCACCATAAACCAACCCACAGGCTGCAAGTTCCTTGTCTATACGATCTCTTTGGGGGTACTACTATATTCCAAGGCTACCTTAATTTACTTCACAGTGGTTCTTTTGTATCCACGTCTACTACTCAAATTTACTACAAGAGGCATCTAACGTGAACAGAAAATTTATATCCATTTACAGTCAAATCATGGCTATGGTGGTACAGAGAGAGCACGGAAGCTCCAATAATAACAAGAGGATAATAGGCACCAACACCATGCTCAAAGGACCCGAATAGGTCTCTCCCAGCTAAAAATCAAAACCCTGGGGAGATAGATCTATGAGCACCGGAGCAGGTATGCAAATAGAGGAGAGCAGTAATACACTCATGGGGGGAATGGGTAGAAGGGGGTAATAGAGACAAGACAAGACGAGAAATCAGAAGACAAGAGATAGGAAGATCAGTCACATTCTCTCTACCACCGTCTCTTCAAGTACCAGCCATAAGCCGGGGTACTGATGCTCTCACCGAAGGGAGTAGGGACCTCGGCAGAACCGGGACGGGCAACGGGGTGACGCAGGTACACAGCGGCGCAGATGTTCTGGTTGACTTCGAGGTAGCGGGGGATGAAAGCGAAGGCGGACATGAAGTCACGCGGGCGCCATGGGGTGGCGTAGGGCTTGGAGTTGTCGATAGGGTTATCGCGCATCTGAGTAAGAGCACGCTTGAGGACCTCGAATTCCTCATCGGTCAGCTCGGACGCGTCGACGTCGGCGCCCTCAGCAGCGGCCTGGAAGGCTTCGGAGAGCTTGTTGCTTGCGGCCTCGGGCTCGACGGAAGTAGCAGCGTTGGACTCTTCGGAGTCATTCTTGGCCTGCTTGGTCTGCTTGGCGGGCTTCTTCTCGGCACGCTTCGCATTCAGCATCAGGGTGAGCTCGGAGAATTGAGCTTCCAGGTTGTCTGTGAGGATAGTGCTGGTTCCGGAGCGGGATAGAACACGGCGTACGGCCTTTTGGAATCCACGGAGTTCCTGCTTGCGCTTGGCTGGCAGGACTTCCTTGTCTGTGGACATGATGTTCTTGGCTTGAGCCATCAATGCCTTGAGGGTATCCCGGCCATCTTCCTTCTCGGCGTCTGGCTTCGTCTCGGCGGCCTCCTCGGACTTGGCCTCGGATTCACCCTCGGCTTCCTCTTCATCCTTCTGCTTCAGCTGGCGGGTTTCACGTCGTTCGAATTTTGTCTTGGGGGCACCTGTGGCAAACATCACGCGGTCGGGGTCGACTTGGAAGAGGTCACCGGGGTTGAGGAGATAGCTGGGGTGTCGCATCTGGAGGCGGGCGAAGTTAGTATCCGAGCAATTGACTCAATATAATTCAATGATTTCATACCTTCTGTCCATTGACGGTAACGGCTCCGTGAATAACAAATTGGCGCGCTTGACGTGTGCTGCTGGCAAAGAGGGATCGGAAGATAGCAACATCCAACCGACGCTCGAGGGGAGCGAAAGCCATCTGGGTGAAAGGGATAATTCTAGAAGGACGGCCCTTATCGCCCTGCGTCTGAAGACCGGAGCCTCGTCCAGCAGAGTTCTTAGATCCATCATCGGCGGCCAGATCGGCGGTGTCCATGGGGACAACGCTGCGAATGCGCTTGGAGAACATGCGCTTCCATTGACCCTCGCGGACCTGTTCACCGTGATAGGCACGACCCAGAGCCTTGGCGGTCCATCTTTGCTGGAAGAATGTGCGGTTTGCGGTGGCCGGGTTTCGCAATCGTTGTAGGTTATACAAGTTGTACTTGCTCCATGATTGACGGATTTTCTGGATGGACAGGTGTTAGTGCTTTCGAGACATGAGAGAGACCAAGGCGATCAATTGGAACTTACACCCTTAGATAGGGAGTTGCTAGCCCTGTTTCTCATTGTGGCAAGTGGGAGGGACGCGACCTTGAGGGGGAGAGATCGGTTGGAGTCGTCGAGTCTGGCCGTGTCTTGAGGCCGCTCCTCCAAAACTTCCGCAGGTCACGTGGATGACTGATAGTGGTCCGCATGGATCTCGGTCCTCAAAATTTTTCCAGTGATGATGTCAAAATTCTGGCAGCCAAATATCCAATGGTTCCATAACTCAGTTGGTTAGAGTGTGGTGCTAATAACGCCAAAGTCGAGGGTTCGACCCCCTCTGGAACCATTTTTTTGCCAGTTACCTTTTGGGTACTCCGCTTGCCTGATTTAGCTTCAAATCCCAGCCGACATCAATCAACAGGTTCCATAACTCAGTTGGTTAGAGTGTGGTGCTAATAACGCCAAAGTCGAGGGTTCGACCCCCTCTGGAACCATCTTTTTGCCCTTTTTCGCTATTTTTTGCTATCTTTCGGCAAAGTTTATGTATAGCCAAGTCTAGACAGTCTGACTGACTTTTGATATCGAACTTGAACAAGGTATGTAGAATGGTGGGTGCGGTATTAAAGGGGGACGTCACCCGTGGACTAGGGTAAGCATCACTTAAGTCACACGACAGCTGAATTGGTTTCCTTCAAGTTACGAACAATCGAGTGATATGTATAATATTCTAAGGTTCGAGTTACTACATACTAGTAGTATCGGGCTGTCTTGGTACGCCTGAAACACCTGTCGGGTTTCTTAATAGTATCTATGCGTCTACTAGTAGTAGTACGTACGACTTGGAGGTCATACTAGCAATTTTGCGGGACTTCTAAAATCATATGCATTATGCCATTCCCGGACTTGCGAAAACTTCTAAAATGCCCAGCTGTAATCCTTCGTTCAATCCACTTGGAATCAGAAGTCCCCCTTACTAGTAGGATATTTTATTCGTATGGGCAGGACGTGGTAGCCATACCCTTGGGCAGAGCTACCTACAGTTTTGAGAAGGGAAACCATTCTGCTTTCTTTAGACAGCCCTTCGGAAACTTCATGGAGGCGGATACTTGGAAAGAGAGCTAATACTTCAGTTTTGTGTATTTCTTTATGCTCTATTTTGGGCCTTGTAAGGGATTAAAGGTGTCCAGCCAAATAAACCTTTCTATATGATAGAATAAACCAATTCGTGGGAAATTGTGGACAATCCACTCAATCATTCGTGGAGTATTACTAGCTATTCCTAAGATTTAGCAATCTAGTCATGACAGGTCATATCTTGAAGTATCCAGCTGATTCTGATCTGCGAATGGGTTAGAAATTTTCGCCAAGAACTTTCCTCCTTTCAAAGTCTTCCAGTGACAGTTTCAACTGTGAGATCCTCTGGCCACGCTGGATAATCTATGCCATTTCCACGAGTGCCAATCTGATACCTCAAATCCACTTCATTGCCTGGGAATTGGGCAATCGGTTTAACCAGGCAGAAATTGGCGTTGAGAAGATTCGACTTTCTTGTTTCGAAAAATTCCGGATTGAAAAGCGATTCCTGATCGTGCTTATAGAGACTCTTTATCATGGCAGGGATTGAGTACTGCATTGCATGATAATGGCGGAAGGTCAAATTCTCGTGCCTGGCCCACAATTCTTTCCATCTTTCGTTGTCGTATGCTCCGCAGGAGCGAACAAGCCATTGAGAATAATAGTTGAGTGAGACCTTTTCAAGTACATGGTTAGTAAGATCGTGGATCTTGCGATTCGGGTTAAGGCAGGTATAGAAAAAAAAGAAATTCTCTCACGTCAATGCCATAGCAGCCTCCATTTTCGGCACGGCGTACAAGGGCCTCCAAAATTGCCGTGCAACCTGCGGCACCGGTACTAAAGAATGGTTGTAAGCTCTGTCTTGGCTATATTCTGGCTCTTGTAACCTACCAATAATCTGAATTCGGGAAAACCGGAGTTACAGCCTCATCATGGCCCATTGCTTGTGAATAAGATCTCGAAACACCACAGCACTATTGTTGTCAGCCTTTTCAATTATGTCTATCTGAATCGCTGGGATATACTTACAGCGTCACTGATCTGCTGCCAGCCACTGCGATGGGACCATGGCCCATACCAACCGTAGCAGTTCTCTCGGACGTGCAGGATACCACGCGCGCGATCCTTTACCAAATCAAAGATAGCTTGACGGCTGAAGCCCAATCTCTCCATAACACCGGGACGATAACCATCAACCACGACATCAGCATCGCGAATTAGATCACGTAGCTTTTCTCTGTCTGCCTCATCCTTGAGATGCAAGAACGAATTCCACTTACCCCAGTTCAAATCTTGGTGAAGGGCAGACAAGTCAGTCACATGCGGGGATACAACGCGCATGACGCTTGCGCCCATTTCAGCGAGACTTCTTGTGATGGTAGGGCCGGCGATGACTCGGGTGAGATCCACCACCTTCAGACCGGCAAGCGGTCGCTTAGGTGAAGAAGGATTAGAGGCGTTTTCTGGCCACCAAGAAGCCTGCTGGGTTGAGCTTGGGTCTTTGATGATCTCGTAAAGTCCAACTTTACCGGAAGCTTTGCCATGTTCACTTGCAAAATACTCATCAGATGACCAGGCTATGGTTCCAGAAGTTCGGGCTTTCTCGTTCATGATTTCGTCAAGGTCTTCTGCGTTATACTGAGAAATCTTATTTTGGATCCTTTCGACCACCAAGTCATAAGTGTCATTTTCTTCACCTTCCAAAGCGAGTCCCAAAGCTGCCAGGGCAGGTTCAGGATTCATATTGCCATGTATGTGATAGAACCGACCGTCCTTTGTCTGATAAATATTGGTAACCAAGCTTCGATGGAGACTTGCGTGAGATCGATGCTTGTCTTGGTTCGGGAAAAGTTCTTGCATCATTGATGAAAATGGATCTATCGGAACCGGGCTGCCCTCTTTCACATAGCGTGCGATCAAGGGAGACATGAAAAAAAGACTCGCATGGTTCCTAGCACAGGTTGTCAAATTTGCGGGCACAACTCCAATAGATATATTACTGGTAGGAACTCACGTATTGATGACAATCTCGACGGGGTCGATTTTGTACTTTCGACCCAGAAGGTGATTTAGCATTGTGGCCTCAAAGGCCTTGATCGCCGATATGCTCTCCGTGAATCTCCAATTGATTGGAATAATTGGCTGAGATGAGCCCTCAAACCGCACATATTTACTGAGGGCCTCTAATTCTTTGGGCAGTGTGTCCATCAAAGGGTTTCGCAGGATGCCGTTTTCAAAGACCCGTCTCGCCTCCGAAGGAACTGAATACTGATCGGTGGATCCCATGATGGGCTCGATCGCACAATATGATTATGGTGGTCAGAGGTAGAAGGCCCGGAGTACTCGGAGTGAAGGGGTGAAGAAGCTAAGGGGTGAAAAGGCCAAGGAAGGGGTGAGGGGAAATCCAAAAATGAAGGATTTGAGGTCCCCATGGTGGGGGCTAATATTTAAGTAAATCAATGGAGCCCGGCAGTAAAAGTAGTTAGTAGTAGTATCTAATTTTGGAAGTGGTATCCTTCTACAGCCGTAACTTGAATGCCCAGGTGCAGCGCTGCACCTGCCAGTGGGTAGTAGTACAACACGAGAAGGGATATATTGCCACGGGTATTGTACTGAGTAATTCGCATTATGAGCATAAATATGCATTTTGGCCCACAGCCCCGCAAAAGCACCTATTACTTGATTGGGTTCCTGACAGAGAACATGCATTTATCCGTGCTTCGATGAATCGTGACTATTCAAGATTGTAGCCTTGATGTGGGGAAACGAACGGCCAGGTGGTGACCAGAGGTGGGGTGGATAAGCCCTGCACAAAACATGTCGCATTTATGCACGTACATAGTACACACATGTCGGCAAGTTGAACTGAGCGAGAGCTGTTGAATCTATAGAAATCCAATTTAAGAGGATATTGAGTAGTTTCATTTTTACATTTATGTTATTTTAGGTAAGCTCTTGCATATTTCTCCTTATTGCCCACTTTATTCACAATAATCATCTGGAACATTGACTAGGCTATCGATAGTTCTTACTTAACGGTGAAATGTTAGACACAGACTATCACATGGCAGTAGATGCCTTGCCGTATATTGAATTTCTCAAATGAGCAGAAGTATCAGTCTTTAGGACTATCCGGACGCTATCCTCTCGTCTGCCCAGTTCAAAACGACACTTGCCTCTTCATCTTCAATAGAAACTGCAGAAGCTAACCTTTTTACAACCGCCTGTCCTGCTAATCTTGCCCACCAGGAATCCTTCGAGCAGCCAATAACTGCACCCCAGCAGATGTATATCAACAAGGCAACAGGCTCTTTTTCTCGTACTAGGCTAACAAAGGCTTCACCGACCTCAACGACCCATGCAAGAGCCATTTTTCCATCTCTTGCAGGGCAATTCTCCAGCATTAGATTGGCTCTGGTATAAGTTTCCTGCAATTGCAAGCTTGTATGGTCGCACAATCTTCTCGGTTCAGGTGGGATAATGCTATCTACTGGGGGAGAAGTGGTCCAGTATTCCTTGGGATAAAGTTGAATCGCGGGCTTTAAGGGACTTTTATCAAGCCAGGGCTGGGGCACTTTCAATCACAGAGTGGATTCCCTTCACAAAGGAGAATATTGAAGTAAGACTTGTGTGATCAGTTTCCGAGTTTCCGTTTGGTCTGCTGTCGGTAGCATCGAAAAATGGAGACGCAGCTGCAAAAGCCATCATGATCATAGAGCACAGAAGAAGTGCTTCACAGTTTGATGATGAAATATGCTCCAGCTTGGTCCGAAAAGCAGGCAGAGCTCTTTCTTGATATTGGAGTGCCTCATCGATAATCGACGCAGAATTTGAATCGAATTCGGTCCCTTCGGCTGCAATATGCAAGCATGTAAATGCAAAATAGTGAATCCATCAAGAATTCGTGTCTCATTCCCAATTTTACAGTATAGTCTTGAAAGATATGGCTCATCTCGGGAGAAAAGCTGTGGCATGTTTCCAGGCACAAGTGGTGAATTAGCCCTAGCTCTTTCATCCTACTGGTGGGATTTGGTCCAGATAGTCGTCCAGATGGTGTCGGATATTCGTCCTGCGTTTGTCCAATTTCCCGAAATCGATCGCTCCAATGGGAATGTTGAAAGCCATTATCCGGATACTTGCAATCCAAGTTTCGAGAATGCAGTTTGTACAGGGAGGGCCAATATCATCACACTTTTTTCGACGAGTCTTGCATTTCTGACAGTCCGTGCAATACTTGGTATGAGACCTTCGTGGTGGCATCTTTCAGGGGGTAGAACATGTTGGGTTGAAGAAAAACACGAGACCGAGCGAGCCGCAACCTTCTCAAGAAATCGTTTTGGGTGGTGAGCATACAATATCTTGAAGCCAAATAAACAGAATAAGTTCCAGTGAATGAATATCTATAGATGCCTCGCTTAATTACAAATATAGGGCATCTCTCTAACCCACTTCTCTTGGATAGCCTCATCCATCACCCATTCCGCAACACTCGCTCGACTAATCCACATACCATCTCTTCCACTGCCCAAGAAAGTTGCTTCAACGAGGCGCATCTCTCCATTTGTCAAACCTCCGACTCGAAATAGTGTCCATTTAATTCCATCCTCAGCTAGCAATGACGTTATGTATCCCCCAACACTGATCATCTCCCAATATTGGCCACGCGTAGAAGAGATCGCCTTTATCGTCCACTCTCCAAGTTACCATTTGAATGACGCAACATCAGACGCACCCTTATAGGAAGGCGTGCAGAGAATGAGAACTCGTTTGATGCCTTGAGAGACGAGTTTAGGAATAAGGGCTCTATAACCATTTGTGAGGGGCTTGAAAAATCCAGCAATAGTCAGTGTCTTCAAGTTCCTTCACGCGATAATGCTATTGAAAATGGGCTTGCTTCCATACCATTCCTTTGTTTCCGGCTGGTGGTCCAGCGAAGGATACAGATGTATCAGCCCCGCATCTTGAGACTTCATCTAGAGCATCTTCATCTTCCAGTGTTCCTTCGATGATCGCCACCCTTTTGTTGTCGGCGACTTTGGTCGGTACCTTGTATCGACTTCGGACGGAAAGGGTGAGAGTACTCGAGAGAAATGTCACAAAAAATACCCCCGATCGCGCCTTTGTAAACAGTTAGTTGCTTGCTGTAGTAAGTATGACGAAGGGTACTAGTATATATACCTGTAGCGCCCAAAACAAGAAAATGCATGGTTGATAATATTGGAGTGACGTCTGTTCTCTTTCTTTTTGGAACCAGAATAGTTGAAATTTTCGAACCCCATGCGACGTCTCTCGAGTTAAAAAGGCCTTTTGTCCAGGCCTTTTGTCCTGGTATGAATGTTGACTCGGCTTTGCAAGCAGGTCGTGATATCTTCTCCTGATTGGTGGTAGGAAGTCGCAACTCCTCTCGAGCCTCGGAAACTCCACACGAATACGCCGCTATAGCGCTCAAAAGGGAAAGTCATACGCCTCCAATCACATTCATCTACGGCCAAGAACAACCCGAAGCCATCGACCTGGGGAGTGTTGTAAAATTGCAAGGAGCATGTGGACCATGTCTGAAACTTGAAGGCTATAAGTAGTTTCCAAGGTTCTTCTTTGATCATTGGGTTTACCTCCAGGGCTGATTCTTTTGCAAGAGGACTTGAATATCAAATTAAGATCATTCTATTTTCAGGCGATATAAACAATACTAAAGTTCAGCTTCAACATCTGAATTGAAACCTATGTACAAATTTTACAATCCATATCCGCCATTCAAAAAAACTCTGTCGGCAAGAGAGAAATTATCGCCGAGATGAGCCGTAAAAGACAAGTGTAGGTAGCCAGTGTTGTCTGGGCTACCATGCATGAAAGAGACTGTCTCTCCGCGGAGCATACCCGCGCGTTTTTTTATCATTCTTGAGACCCCCAGCCCAAGCAACCGAAACATAATCATCAAGCCCGGGCCTTATGCAGAGCCCCGGGCAGAAAGTGGAAAAAAAAGAAGAAAAAATACTGAGCCAAGAAAGGAAGAGCGAATTAAAACAGCCATGAACGAGAAAAGAATTCATGCCGGACCTCGATCGTGAAGCAGGCCTGCCGGCTTCCAGTTCAAGCTGGAGATGCCAGTCGTCTGAGTCTCCGAGTGGTAAGGTTGGGTAGCCCGGGTTCAGAGGTGGAAGTAGACGTGTAAATTTCATTTTCATGCAGGTACGGGATCGACGCATGCACGTCACGTTGGTTTAGACGCAGGAGGTACGGCTAGTCGAAGCAGGGGGAGAGGAGATCAACACGGCAGTCGCTTCCTTTGGAGACTGGCAGGTGCGTTGAAAATCGTATTCTCGAAGAAACGGCGAATAAGGGAGAAGAAAAGAAGTCGTGATTTTTGTTTTGTGGGGGGGACCGGGCGAGTCAGAACTCATCGGCGCTTGAGCTCACTGGCAAGGCACTCAAGGACCTATATATAATGAGCAATGTGAAGATATGTAGACTGTCAATTAAAACATACCGTCCCGGGAACTGCGCCCTGGTTGTAAAGGTACTTGCCAAGGCCACGGACGACCTCGAGCTGCTCGTCGACTGTCAGGCCGTTGATCGCGGTCTCCATGATATCTCCAACGGAAACCTTATATACAGCGATAAAGCTGTGGTAGTACATGAAGGCAAAGAAACCCATGATGAACTGGCAATCCATGCGATCGGTGATACCACCGTGACCAGGAATCGACTCGCCAAAGTCCTTGATGTTGAAGGTGCGCTTCAGACCAGAGGCAAAGAATCCACCGAAAGGAGCAATGAGAGAAGCAAAAGTAGCGAATCCGAGGATGTGGAACTGCATGGGCTCAACGGAGAAAGTCTTGTCGATGCCGAACAATTCGAGGGAGAAGGTCTGGGGGACAAAAGCCGGGTTCAGGGTGCATTCCAAACCAGTCAAGACGTTCGATCCGAGGTCATTGACGGGGCAGATGAAGTACTTGTAGCGCATCAGAATGTTGGTCATGAAGTAGCCGAAGATGATGGTGCAGATCCAAGCACCGAGGAAACCCTCAACAGTCTTCTTGGGGGACAGCTGAATCAGCTGGGTGCGTCCGAAGGTGATACCGCAAACGTAGGCGAATATATCATTGGTGATGACCAGCGAGGCGGGGAGAAAGAACCAAATCATGCCCTCGAAGATGTTGTTCATCACAAAGTGGGCTTGCACCACAATGAGGTACAGTGCCATATGGGTCCAGGCGAATTGGGTAAACTGAAATCGGTAGTGACGCTTTTGCAGAGATCCAACAAAGAACACGAAGCCTACATGAATTAGCACACGCCAACATACAATAGAAAAGGGGGACGGTTTACGCCCACGTACCCATAACATAGAGGAAAAAGCTAATGAAGCGGTGGTGAGCGGCCAGAGGAAGGAGCACCTTGTCAACGAGTAGTATGTGCTTAAAGTAGTAGATCACGCTCTCTCCATAAAGGAAATACATGGTCGTCGCGAGGAAGTACCAGTTCAGGGTCTTGGTGAAGCGGAGGTTCTTCTCCTTGCTGGGTACATTGGCGATGGCAATAACTTCCTTGAACGAGACGATTTGAATGGCAGTGACCAGACCAATGATATAGATGTGACCGGAGAACATGGCGATAAAGAAACCCGCGATCATCACGAAAGTCCATATCGTGCGTGTAATGAAGGTCTGCTTCTTCTTCTCGTATTCGGATTGGGCGGGTTTCTGATTGAATCCATAAAAAACGCGGTTAGACATCTTTATCAAACCAGGTCGCGATATGACACAAACTCACCTCTTCGGGGATCGTGGATTGCTTGGAGGCGGCGCCATTCTTGCTGGGACTCGAGGGCTCCGAGGTTGGGTCGCTGACGTCGGAGGACACGCTCAAGCGGCGCTCGCCGTTACGGTGCGGGAACCGGACATTGCGGCGGGACTTAGACATGATTTATAGTCCAGTGAAAAAAGGAGAGAAAAAGAGGAGGGGGGGGGGGGAGGGAAAGGGAAAGGGGGGGTGCGGGTGAGAAGTCGTTGAGAAAGAGGGAGAAGTGGAGTTCAGTAATTCCAGCAGGAGCTCCAAGACTGGCAGTGTCAGCGCTCATGTGAACCCGAAAGCGGTCAACTCCGCGTCGCATCAGCATCAGAGTAACCACAACATCTACCTTCCCTCATCCCAGAATCACAAACACAGCCACAATCACAACCGGGGAGAAGAAAAAAAGGAAGAGGATGATATTCCTGCTCTGATCCACCTCTCCCAATCGCATCTCTCCATTTCAAATACCGCAATCCCCCCTAGTACTACCTTCATTCATGGCGGGGGCATGGACGATGATGATTACTTCTCCGACGACTTCGATTCCCTACCGCCGGGTACGCTGTACGAGCTAGAGCAGAATGCCTATCAGGCGACTCAAGCTCCAGCTACTCAGGTATCGGTGACCCAGGACCATGTTCAGCCAGTCGAGCATGCCCATCTCAATGCCAGGGTCGCTACGCCTGCGCGGCAATCGACGACCTTAAAGCCACCACCTCGACTACACACCGGGTTAACGAACGAATACCATACACTTGAAGTGGGCGAATTGGGGGCGGAGGTGCATAATGATTTCGAGGACCAACCGGCCCTTCACCAGGACACCCATGTCTTGGCTGCGCAAAATGAATGGCCCGGGCCTACCAATGGTACGATGGGCGACGACGCGATGGAATTAGATGACTATGGCCAGACGAATGTGTATCCAGCAAATGCACATCTGGAGCAGGTAATGCTCACCCGGTGACTCTTGAATTTGACCTGCGATCGCTAACTCCGCCTACAGCTAGAACAAGAAAAGGAATTGATCCGACGCGAACTAGGCGAAGCTCAGGCGCTGGCCGAGACAAAGGCTGGGGAGATCGCCATCATCCGTTCAAAACAGGTCAGCATGGTCCGGGATTACGATCGCCAATTGTCAGCTCTACGGAAAGCCATGGCAGACGAGGTGGCCAAACACAAGGTCGAGGTCGAGGCGGCTCTTTCGGAAGGGAGGAAACTGGCGACAGAGAATACTTTCCTACAGCATGATCTTGCTGAGGAGACATATCACCTCCGAAACTTCAAGGTCAAGCAGCAACGGCTTGACGATAACGCCCAACCAGTCACTCCCAGGAAATCCCGAGTGCTTCCTTTTCGGGACGGATTTGACGACGATGAGATCGCGGTAGTCTCTCCTAGCAAGTCGGCGGCACGATCGAAACGAGGAACTCCGACTCATCCCGGAAAACGTAAACGACGGGCAAGCCAAGATAGTCCTGTTCCTTTGCAGTTGAGTCCCGCTGTGGAAATGATGATGGTTGATGCTCCGTCTGAGGAAATCCCCGACGCTGATTCGGAAGACGAGCAAAAGTCTTCCCGTCGAGATCCCCGCGAGGAAAAACATTTGAAGAGATTGCTGAATCACCGCCTGACTGAGAGTCAAGAAACCGATATTGAAGCGATGGCGCACTTTTATTTCCCATCGGAACCCAAAGGACCTATATCGAGAATTCTGCTAGACGATCTTGCCAACTTGAACACGGGCAGCTTTGTTGTGGACTACATACATGCGATCGGCCCGGTATGGCAACGTGCAATGAAAGAGAAATTATATGACCCTATTCCTCGATTCATGGCCATTGCCCGATACGTGTTGACATTGGACGATGTTCGGCTCGAAGATCTTATACCACCTTTGGTCAATGTCCTCCAATATGCCGTGGAAGTCAACGCCGCCAAGCGATTCGAATTCTCCCCTGCGCGTGCTCTTCGCCAGTCCCCTCAAACACCACAATCGGATCTACAGCCGTTAGTCGATTCAACCGAGTGTTTACGGCTCCTCTTTCAAGTTGCTTGTGAATTATTACATGTCAAACGTGCTATGAATACATTCTGGGGCCATATCCGCCACGACTTCATCCTGGTCATGCTTCACGGATCTCAACCTCTCAAAGACATATCACTTACCATGCACCTGCTGTCCACGAGTATTCGCCCCGACTCTTTCGGGCCCATCATGCCCTCGGAAGGAGAACAAGCCGCTGTGCAGAGATATATTGTCGACCGACTCACTCATATGCTTCACGAGTCTGCCCAGCCAGACGAAGGCCTCGAATCTTATTCTGTATATGATATCTGCGCAATGCGACTAGAAGTCCTGCTCTGTTTAGAAGCACTCGCTTTTAACCCAGCTGCTCCATCACGAGACCACGGCAGTGCTATCTTGGCAGTCCATCAAAATGCGCTGGCGCGCCTCTTCAGATCAATGCACGACGAACTGGACGCGCTTTACTCGTCGCCGCCAGAACAGGAGCTACGCGCCGCACTGGTCAACGGGCTAATGCGACTCATTTTCGGCGTCATGCGTCGCCATGGCGCGTCGATAAATATGCAGGACAAGCTCTCATGCGTGGCTGGTAGTAAGCAAAAACATCTCGTTGTGCTCACCAGGCTTGCCTTCTGTGATGGTGTCATTTTGGAGGCGGGTATTGAGGACGAGACGGTCGACATGGCGCACGAACTACTAGAAGAATGGACCAATCCGCAAGAAGCGGAGTCACTTGCCGCAGCCTTTCCCAGCTCCCGGCGAGAGTGACCTGAGATCCACAGATGATGTTGGCATCGAAGCACAGAGCTGTTCGCAACCGGGTTTTTCATATATTACCGTGACACTATCGCCTTTTTTCCGATATATCCCTCGAAATTTGTTTCCCTATGACTGAAATGCCTACTCTACCCTAATAAAAATAAAATGACATATATTTCACTCCAGCGGCCATTCGTATGTAGTATGCACTAGTACTAGTTGTACAGTGTGTTCATACTAGCTTGAACTTGAATATATAGCATGTCTCTAGATTCCTTGGCTCCAACATCACTACTAGTAGTTAGTAGTAATTGGAAGGACATAAACCACTGGCACTCAACATAGAGCAAGGAGCATACTAGTAACCTTGGAAGGAGATGCGTGGCGAGAACTTGGAATTGAAAGATGGATTGAGGATGCAGACGAAGTTCAAGTTGCTTTAAAAATACTAACTGGAAAGCTCCAAGAAAGTAGCTAGTACCCTTAGTAAGACCGCAGAGAATATGATTACCAGACTTATCGTAGAATTCGAAATCAGAGCTTTTTTTCCCCGTGCTAGTGATGGTGTCTCAGATCGGTAGGTTGTTTCTTCAAGAGGGCCATCGATCAGATTGCTCAGGAAGTAGGTCAATCGCTGTGATACTGGGCAGGGGGTAGCGATTAGACACATAAAGGCCCATAGTCCATATTTATCTTCTATAAGGGACCTCTGAATGGATCATCTTCCTTTGCACTGTCTTCTAGATAGTTTGGCAGTAAATATGGCTTATTATCGATCAATCATACTATATATAACCCTATCAAGGGATTTCTAGCACATACGACCATAGGGTGTGGAGAACAGGGCTTCCCGTCCGCTCAGCCGTACTTAAGCCACACGCCGGCAGGTTAGTAGTATGGTGGGTGACCACATGCGAATCCCTGCTGTTGTATGTTTTGTATTTTTTTTTTTTATCTGTTGGGATAATTTCCTTGCCGCTTTTCTTCAGCCCCAAAGAGCAGGCGTGGTCCTTCGGCTACACTTTCTCACCCTTCTTTCCGCTTGTCTCTCAGCCCCCATGATAGCCTTCCATACCTTTATTCACATTAGGATCTTCTTTTCAATCTTTTAAAATTCGGAACTGGTAGCTGTGCATGGAATTTCTACTGTTGCTTTGTCCTGAAAAAGGAAGGCGAGAAAAACCAAGTCTTGGTAGTACGTCGCCGGCGAGAGGTCGTGTCCAGCTAGAGATGTAGGAGGAACAGGATAGAGACCGATACATGAAGGTGTCAGCTTGTTTGGTGTGCATGTTCTCTCGTTCTGGACTGACCAATTAGAATTCGCCAACCAGCCTGACGATACCGAAAGTATTATTTTGCAACCCTCTGAATACTATTTCTTCGTTTCAACTTTCAATCAGGTTGCATACTAGGTTGCGGTGCGTTGCATACTAGGTTGCGGTGCTTGGAATCCCCAGCAAGCAAACACAACAGAAAGGCGCACAGGGCCTGCATAGTCGGAGCGCCCTCCGCCTGGCGTTGCTCCCCTGCAGATTGTGCCGATTGTCCCATGATTACTTCCAAGTTGGAAACCCATGTTCGCACTACCAAAAGTCGAGTCCATGCCGACCGAATATGCGCACAAGAGTGCTATCTAAGTGAAGGGCAAGTTGCTTGATCTGAAAGGAAGCAGTGTTATTCTGAACCACGCTCACAGGTGGCGGTTAGGCGCTGGGCCTTCGCACCATCTTCTTCCGGGCTTTGCGTAAGACTTGACAAATGGAGGAAAACTGTCGAGCCGCAACGGGACAATAAGCGCTTGTCAATTTTCATTTATTCGTACGGATTAATTACACTGGAACCTTGGAATGGACAAGTGACTATCATACTACAATGCTCTTCTCCATACTCGAGCCGTTGGCCCAAGGCATGATGAAAAGAAATAGGATCCAACAAGTGGAAAGTGCCAAAGAATGCGCCTGTCAATGACCCGAAGGCCGTTGAACAAACTGTTCCGCCGCGCTGTGCAATGCAGGGACCAATCTGTGGTGGGCCGCCTTCATGAGCGCAGCCACCCAAACAAGGTAAGTATGAAGAAGAAAAGAAAAAGAGACGAAGAGCGGCCGGCGAAGGTGGCCTTTATACCTGGAAGTCACGGGGTGTGGGCGCTAGTAATAAGCGAGAGCAGCACGGACCAATCAAGGACGGCATATCTCACGCAAGGGGTGGCCAACATGTGATAACTATACACCAAGGCAATAAGGCAGGGGATACAGCATTTATTGTCGACTCATAAAACCAAATACTCATAGAGCACACCAATATCACCAAAAAAATAAATGGACTTCAGATGGGCAAAAAAATGGTTCCAGAGGGGGTCGAACCCTCGACTTTGGCGTTATTAGCACCACACTCTAACCAACTGAGTTATGGAACCGCTGATTTGATACAGATTGAGATCTATGACTACATAAAAAAAGAGGAGGTGGAACACCTAGAATAAAGATATCCCTGGGAGAGAAAGGCAAAAAAGTGGTTCCAGAGGGGGTCGAACCCTCGACTTTGGCGTTATTAGCACCACACTCTAACCAACTGAGTTATGGAACCGTTGATTTTACATAAATTGGGATCTATGGTTACATGAAAAGACATTGGTAGTGGGCCACCTAGAATAAAAATGCTCCCGGCAGAGAGAGGCAAAAAGTGGTTCCAGAGGGGGTCGAACCCTCGACTTTGGCGTTATTAGCACCACACTCTAACCAACTGAGTTATGGAACCAGCTGATTGGTTGGGCCGCCGGCTTAAGGTTATCTCAAGCAGAATAGATATACCTAGATCTATCACAGATCTATGCCTTATTGCCCTAGGTCTACACCTTGGACACCTACTAGTTCTCTTAATACCTGCGCTCTCATCCTTCCTTATATTTAGTATTTTTGTTGTGGCTAGCGCTTTGCTATTGTTTATCATCATTACTAGGCTGTTGAGCAATGTGGCATACATAGACTGGCAATTTTACTGATTGAGATGAAGTTGAACAGTCCTCTTATGGAGATAAAATAGCTGCCTGCTGCTCTGTCGCTGTTACGTGCCCAAACGGTAATTTTCCAAAAGAGGGGAAAAAATAGAATTTGCCGCACATTCCTTGACTGTCGCTCCCGTGCGGGCGAAGCTGGTCAAAGAGATCTTTGCGTCAGCAAGACCCTGACCATCCAGGCACTCCACCCACATCTGGATCAAATAGGCCACTGGGTACTGGCTATACTAAGATGACTAGATCGTGATTTACCTGTCAGTTTCCCTTGTCGACAAGAACGAGTATAAAAAACACACACAGGCTTGACCTGAACTGCCTAAGACTTTACAAACACATTAGACCGCATACTGGCCAAGGACAATGCTGCCTCTGAAACTCACCTGGGAATAGAGCGCTTCCCTGCCGGTCCTGGTGAAGGGACAATAGCTCGATTTGATCAGTACAGTTGGACAAATTGACCCCAAGATACTCCTTTTCGGTATTGTGATGCCTGGTTTGCGGGTCCTTCGGAGCATATAATAGTAACATCATAAACTTTTCATTTACAAAGGTACTGGCCGGTGCTCGCGTACCAGATCCAACATCGTAGATCTGAAATGTTGCAGAACCTCGCCAAACCCTCTGTTCGATGCATCTATCGCCGGACAATACTAAATATCGACCTCCCTCCTGGCAGTCAAATCTTGCCCAATAATGCTTTTACAAATTGAAAAGTACGATCTTTTCTCTGGCTTCCTCAGAGTTCTACTATATTTTGGCTTTTGCTGAATATGGTGAATGGTGTACTAAAGTAACGATTCCTGACTGGCTTCCTCGATCGAAAAGATGTGGTCTTTCTGCCACCGAATCTCCTTGGGGGGTAGGCAGTCCTACTAGTAGATGTGCCAAGTTTTATGAGGATGGATGCTCGAATACTACAGAGATCAAGATACGACGTAACGAATCAGGCAAAGGAAATAGTAGCTGTTCAACGAAAGTAATAGCTTGAGGAGAAGTAGGAGGAAGCTGAGATGAAACTAGTAGGTGTGGATGCCTAAGTGGATGCCATAGGCGTAAGACATCAATGAATGGTAACAACACCAGTTCGTTACAGTAGTATAATAATTCTTGTCTCAGGCCCTAGATTTATATATATCTACCTACTCTTGTATCTATTGATGTTGGTTGTCCTCCTGTTTACTAGTATCTATGGGCTACGCTTTAGCACTTGCTTTCTTTCCTCTCTATGTTCAGTATTCTTATTGATACTTACTACCATGTTTGCTAGCCTACATGATTTATATAGCTAGGCTGCTATACTTGAAGGGGTTTAACGTAGAACTGTTTGTTGATTAATTATTAATTATTAATTTTTTTTATTCTCATTAAGGTATCTATTGCAATAGAGACCTAGTTGTAAGGAATAAGTGCATTGAGTATGCGATACTAAGTATGGAAAAGAGATGAAAGTGGTGGGTGAGGCCTCGCAGATAGGCTGCGAGGCTGTGGGACCCGCGCTAAGCCTGAAAAGGAAGTAGGGTCTGGTCCAGAGTGTTACATCTATCATCCCAAAATTAGAAATATGTGGATTTTTTGTTCTCCTCCACCACCGGGTTCCATAACTCAGTTGGTTAGAGTGTGGTGCTAATAACGCCAAAGTCGAGGGTTCGACCCCCTCTGGAACCACTTTTTTGCTTCATCAGTCTATATTTTTGATTAATGATGGGTATTTGAGTTTGTTGAGTGGATATTGGGTGTAGTCGAGGGTTCGACCCCCTCTGGAACCAGTTATTGGAATATGTACCATAATATTTTGATGTTTAGTCGCTGGGGTACTTAAGTACCTGCAGCGCGCTGAGATTTTGCATGTGCGTAATGCCAAAGGTTAGTTTCCTTTTGCTATGTTTATTCCCTGATACGGTCGGAGAAAGTCTGCAGGAGCAAAGGAATTGGCCTTGTCAGGATGAATCAGGATCAAACGTGGCCCTTGCTTGGTAAACAATATTGTATTTATACTATCACATCCCAAAACATTCCTTGACCCAGTTACTGAAATTCTTATCCATGGTATGCCTGGTATGCAGATGGTATCTCGGATCCTGTGCGAGGATGCCCAGATACTCACAGATCCAAGCACGACGTAGCATATGATGCAATGAAGCAGTAGCGGTTCGAACGAAAGTAATAGCTCGAGGAGAGAGAGAACGAGGAAACTAGGACGAAAGCTAGATACAGATGTAGGCGTAGGTGCCTATGTGGGTGCCACATGCGTAAGGCATCTACGATGGTGACGACCTAGTTCGTTATCGCCTGGGAAACGAAGGGCAAGGGCTGGGCTCCTCTAAATTCCAGAAACTTAACCATCGTTGGTATTTTCGATCATTGTAGCGCGAACGTGGCCTTCGAGAATGGAGCGGATTGTGGTTCCGTTGCATTCAATCCATTCAAGATCGCTGCAAGTTTCGCCGATGCTGAAACTGGACAGACTCAATTCCGGATCCGCATTATAGTTAGAGTGGCGATCAACTGTTAGCTTCGACTCTTGAGCCTCTGTTATTTGAAGGGGCTTGTTTCGACACGATACTCCTTCTATCGGCGCTGAGATGGACTCGGATCGCGTGGGTGAGCTGGAGGTCAATTATAAGATAAGATGAGACAGAAAAAAAAAGGAATAGGCGATAAGTACTCCTCCGTAGTAAACTTAGCCACTCTGCCGCCGCCACTACACAGAAAATCGTATGGTCGGGGATTCTTGGATTTAGATTCATGTCTTATGTTGATCATGGCAGTGTTATTTTGGGTGCATTATAGACGGGTTCCATAACTCAGTTGGTTAGAGTGTGGTGCTAATACAGGGTTACTGTAACGCCAAAGTCGAGGGTTCGACCCCCTCTGGAACCAGTTTTTGCTTTGATCTACTCCATAGCTTAGGTAATTTTTACCTGAACTTGATATTGTCAAACACTTCGGGCATGGCCATCGTATAAGGCCGCGTGGACTGCATTCCCGATTTCTGCCTTGAGTATGAACACCGTTCCTAAAAAACAAGTGCACTGTCTAGCAACCCTCCATAGCTTGCGCATCAAGCTGCCATCGTACATACATACAAAGTCAGTTATCTAGATGGGCCTTGCAGGTAGACTCATGCTGTTTGAAAAGGCAAAAACCAGCTAGCCTACGAATAGGCGAAAGGTGGTTTGCGTGTACACAGAGAGGCTAGCGGGGTAGTGAATTTGTCTTATGCAGACTTTAGCAGAGCTACATGTCGCCACATCCTGCACCAAATGGTGACTTATGATTTTCTCTCACATAAATTAGGTATCATGAATTTTGTACAGACACTTGGGTAAGACGATCACTTGAGTTTTCCAGGCTTGGGGCGATTCAATGCAGTCCCCCCTCCACTTCGTCTTCAGCGGTTCACCCTTATTCATCTTAGCCAGCATAGACTAATGATTCAAGTGCTATATGTGTCACCTATTCCCGGAGCTAGAATTGCTATGAAATCCAGTACTCATAATGGCGGGCCGGCCCGTAACCTTGAAAAGAGTAGGGGCCGTTAGGGCTTTGTTGGCTCACCTCGCTCCTTTGCATGTTACTAGTATATGACATATAATATGCAGGAATTAAAGTGACACAGCATATTCAACCTTGGAAGCTGTTACACAAAGCACTTGGGTCAGCGACGGCGTTACACATGGCATACATTATGCAGGAATCAAAGTGACACAACATAGTTAACCTTGGAAGCTGTTACACAAAGCACTTGGGCCAGCGATGGCGTTACACATGGCTGAAATACCATTAATCACTAAAACTGCTAGATAAGAATCATTCTTGATTAACCTTAGGTAATTTGCAAAAGCTCAATATGCAAACCATGAGGTTATACATCTAGTAGCAGTCAACACTAGGTATAAAGCTCACCATCTTTCCTAACATGTAGTTGATCTATTCGCATTAAAATTTCAAATTGAGATATTAAACAAACCATTCTTCTCTTTAAAACCGTTCAAAATGGTCGACGCAGCTTATTGGCATCCTGCCTTCAAGCAGACGTATTTCTTTGGAGGTCGTCGCTATGCTCGTATCAAGTTTTCACCCTCGACAAATGACGACATGATTAGCTGGGGCCCCGACGAAATTTCCGAGCGCTGGCCATCTCTTGTTTCCATCGGGTTTGGCACAGTCGATGCCATCTTGCCCGTCGAAAACAGCCATAATCCCGTTCAACATATTCCTAGATCCTTCATCAGGAGCCGCTCTCCCCCTTTTAGTGTGTAAGAGTACAATAGTGATTGAGGCGCCCACGGAGGAAACCTATATTTTTGGCGGATTACCACAGAGTCCACAGGGGAAGGGGGGGGGGGGGGCAAATCAATTGTCTCTATTTAAATTTCAGGACATTTGGTGGCATATATGACACAGCACATAACCTTGAGCAAAGGACCAAACGCCAGTATGATCCATAACTTGAACCACAGCGAGGAGGCTGGTAACCGTCCCTAAGATAGTTGTAAACCTGGCGGTATTAAAGGTTTCATTTCTCCCTGTTTCTGAAACTTGAATATACTTCCCTGCCGCTCGCCCGATACTGACGCTCAGAATTCGAGCATCTGCTGTATGAGTAAATCGTCGTTCTCGCCAACCATGCATCCGAAGTCAGCAGAGGCAATGTCGCCCTCTGTAAGGTCGCCAAGGTTAAAAGTGCTACCTGAATAGTTAACAAACAAATCTCAAAACTCCCAAGCCAGGTGCCAATGGACATTAAGCTACCGTAACATGAAAAAAGTGAAATCCCTATTGAGAGCATCGTTGAGGGAGGATCACATACGCTTCATAAAGTCCGTTATCGGGCTCCATCTCAAAGCTTGAGACGTCTTGATGCTGCAAGGCGCTGGAGTTGTCTATGGGCCCACTCAAAACACCCCATTCCCGGAGCTCGTTCAATGTTTCAGGGAACATTCGCTGACAGTAACCTGATGAGCTCATAGACTTGAGCACCTGTAGGCATTCACTGGCTTGTTGAAGGAAACCTTGGGAGCCTCGAAGTGCGAATGCGACTAGCAGGATCTGAATGAGATCAAGGACAAAATAAAAGTCGGATATCAATAGGCTGAAGAGTGTATGCTCGTCCATCATCTTCTACAGTATGGACAAGGACTGCCTGGCAGCACCAATAAAGATATCACTGAACTCCTCGAAGGATCGGTATTCGAGTTCTGTTGTAGTTGCTCTCGACGCAAAAGGCTACAGAGCAGGAATGGCCGGCTAGAGAGTATGACCAAGTTCCAGTACCGCAGATGCATAAAGCACAGTGGTCTCCTATGCAACGGAGGAGCGGGCGCATCATATTGCAGATACGACGGCACACCGGAATGCCATTCCCGTAGCGAATCTAGCATAGTGGTGAAAGTCTGTAGAGTCAACCTCTTTCCACCCTCAAGAGGTCCAATGTACAGGCCATGACGCATAGCCTTAGTAAACTGTGTGAGCGATGAAGCGAGCTCATGGCCTTCCGCAGGGGTATGAGGCCCAGGATTGAGTATCTGAGTTCAGTTTAGCTTTCGAATACGCTTCTACACTGTGTAACTGTGCATACCTCTTCCGAAGGCAGTACTGGTTTACATGGCACATTTTCGAGACTTCCAATCATCGAAGGCTTCCCAACTCTGTGTGCAACGTCCTGATCAAATGCCACTGGTACAACAAGCCCTCCAAAAAGAAGATGCGCCCGTCGAGGGAAGACTATCGCTACTACTTCCAGCACAATGTCTATATAACCACATCTGGAAACTTTAACACCAAGGGGCTAAAGTACTGCATAGATGGGCTCGGGGTTGATAAGTGCTTGTATTCCATAGGTGACTTGGCACATATCTCTCATGATAATCTTCTAAGGCTTCGCAGACACATCTTATGATCAGGTGGAGGTGGGTCAAGCCTGGTGGCGCACAGTGGAGCTGGGCGAGGGCCAGAAGGAACAAGTTGGAAGAACAAATGCTATAAAGCTGTTCAAGTTACCACTGGAGATCTAAATATGTATTTCATAGCATATAAATAGGACATCAAGCCATCTTTATACGTACTAGTATCAGGTTGGTGAAGCTTTAGCACAGAGTTGGAGAGCACGACGCAGCTGCGGAGGAGTAAATCAGCAGAACTTGAACACTTAAAACTATACAAGCTTTAACTAAGGGTAAAAATAGGGGTACACATTTTCTACCACATGCATTGAGCGTTTGAGCCATTGATATCTGAATTCGATTGAAATACGTGCCTTAATTTTGGTCGCGAACACTAAGGCTCAGCGAAGGCGGGAAAGTAACAACAAATTGATAGTTAACCCTATAAACCTTTTCAATCTACCACAAGTCCTTCGCAGTATGCGTCTTTGTAGCACACTCCTTAAGCCTTTTTTAGAATGTATAGCAGCCATGTATAGTTTTAGACTTATAATCCAGTTCCATCATGTTTAGTTAGCTTGATGTATATAATTTATACACTATTTAGAAACACAGAATATGTTAAATAATTATCCCTATTATCCTAAAAATCAAAATATTATATCTACAGTACGTCCCGAAACTGGTGTTACCACCTGCAATCTTTCATTGTTTCTCGAACCGTAATGTCAAGACTAGCTAGTCATGTTTGGGAGTTTTTCCGGAGTACCCCTGTTACTAGTAGTTGGACGTAAATTGCTTCTTACGTAGATTACTTGGTACTTTCAAGTATATATTAGCTTGTAAATTCAATACATCCGACCCCACCAAACGCGTCACAGATCAATTTCCTCGAAAATTGTCACGCGCAATACGATTGCGTTCATCAACGACTGCCGAGGAATCGTAGATTTTTGTGCGCTTCCGCAAGGAAAAAGAGTCGCCAAGCTAAGGAAGATCAGCGATTTCTTGCGATTGAACCCGGAAACCAGTGTGGCACAAAACGACAGTATCGTGAGATGCATACGTGGGGCCCAGCTTTCTAATAGGTCTTCTGTACCGTGACGATGCAATCTTGTAATTAATATGCCAACAGGACGGCATAGAAGGTCTCAAATTGGTACAGAGTGCATCGAATAGTCCGAATGAATTTTGCTTTCTGGGCGGTGGCTCATGGCATAGTCGATGGTGCCTTTACAGGCTTTTTACAGGTCTCTCGCTACATACAGCCTATTTATTTTCACAGTATAGGGAGTATGCGCAAGCCTTGGTACAGACCCACCCAGGATTGCCTACCATGATGAGAGACAGAAAGACAGTCTTTCAAACCCTAATTACATAACCCGCCATTCCAGAAATGATTACTCCTGTATTTAAGTTACATTCTGATGTTGAACAGTAAATTCCAAACGGAAGGATGCTGTAATTCGGGTATCATGTGATTAAGATTTGAAAGAGCTTCTCTATGTTACCGACAGCAACGCGAGGGACAGTACCCGCCCCAGACTCTCAGAACATCATGATAATACCGCTAGGTCAATCTGGCGCGCGATGTAAACGAGGTATCGGCTCTCATCAGGAAAGCTAGGAATATCAATCGTGATCTTGCTAATCCATGTTGACGAAACCTTCCACTTCGTCCCTGTCGTCCTGCCAGCCTCATCCCACAGCTCTTGGAACGTCTCGGGGTTATGTAAAAACCGTGTGTCTCCGGTCACCGTAGTGAAACTGCCTGGCTTTGAGCTACCAATGTGGCCTCCGAGGATAACCGCATCTGTAACACCTGGTTTCAGAAATTTGATCATCCTTGTCGCAGCCAACAATTGTCGGCCCCAGTCAAACAAGTGGAAAAAGTTCCCCGCGCTAATAAGCGTGACCTTACCGTCCAACATCTTTGACCCTTCATCACTAGGGTCAAGCATGTTGGCGGCAACAAATGAATCAGGTCTGAACTTCTCACGATCATTGAAAAGTTCAAAGCCGAGGTCTATAAATTCTGGGGAGAGATCTGTCCCATAGAGTCTGGCCGGATCGACGCCATCGAAAGCTAATTTGCGCAGGACCTGTCCGACGCAGCAGGCTACATCGAGGAATGCATCCTGTGAACCAGGTTGCTTAAGTCGCTTGACGATGGCCTGGAACGAGGGATGGTCTAGCCCTTTTATATTGGTGAAGGACCAGCGCCCGATACACGGGTAGCGATGAATGGCCCAGCCTTTGTCGCGCTGCGAAGAGAGTCAGTTTGCGGTCTTTGGGCTGAATAAAGGGATAGGGTATGCCTACAATAGAATAGAGATGCTCATTCACCTTTTCAGGTGGGATATTGCTGTAATTTTCCAAAAGCTCTCGGAAAGGACCGATATCGTCTGGAAGATCCTCCGTATAGTTCCTAGCTTTCCATTTGAGGGCTCGGGCAGCCAAAGCATCCCCCGCCATTTTTATGATAATAGGTTAATTATTGGTGTTGATAATTCCTGGCTTTCGTCATCTAGTCCGTTGTCGGAAATGCGTTGAGATGTTTGACAAAAGCTGTGGATAAAGGTGGAAAAGTGGGGGTGAAGCGGATACAGCTGTTACGGCTCTAGCGCCGGCTTTCTGAAATGCCGAATTTCGTGCTTTGCTATCTCCGTAACCTCTCATTGAACATTATCGACGAGCAGCTAGGAAATAGTAGCAGCTAGTAGGTTCGTTGGCGAGACCTTTGAATGCTGTATTTTACGCGAAACTGCTATACACATGCCACCTCTCGTGCGCCTCCCAACCTCCTATCCACCCCAGCATAACCTTTGCGCAGTTCCAGTATGGCTTCGACTCTTCTGCCGTTTCAGGCTTCCAGAGCATGGTTGGATTTCTGAAGATCTTTGGTTATGAGGATGTGAGATGCCACAACTCGATTTTTGCAAGGCTCAGAAAACGCAGCTGGTGTGATTCACAACGTTCGTTCTAAGCAAAGCACTAACTCAACCTCGCAAATAGCAAGAAGAGCACAGCAGACAGACAGCATTACGGGGAGGCAGCACGGAAATACGTAGCTTATTGCAATAGTGGAAGAAACGCTATTGCGGCCCAGTATATGTTGTTAAAGCAGGCAGGATAGGAGAGTAACGGAACGAACAGAGACAACCCCGCACGAGAAGGAACCAACGTGACCTGGGATCCAACCAGCACTAACGAGAGAGAGGCTTGGTAGGGGAGTAGGGTGTGTGTTTCTCTCTGTGTTATTGGCAAGCCTCAACGTCGGCGTTGGGCAGCCGTGGGGTTGGTAACCCCTTCCACTCCGCCCCTTCGTTTCATCCAATAACACTGAAGCACGCCCCGAGGCGGGTCCAAAGCGGAGGTTTTTGGGCCCGACTCAACACAGGACCTGGAGTTTCGAAAGATTTCCCACCTAGTCGCTCAAATTCGTCCTCCTCGAAACTTTATCGCATCCTTTCACCAGATAAATAGTTCTAGGTCCAGAGGCTTCTCAAGAGATGCCACAAAAATTAAATCCTAACCGGCATGCACTTCACAACTTTCTGCCTGAACTTCAACTTATAATCGTGGGCTATTTAGACTTTTGGGACAAAACTGCGCTGATTGAAAGCACAGTATTCGCACCAGAAGTAGTTGTTGGAACACGGAATTTAAACGCCTACGATAAGGATGGCAATACCCTTTTGCATATCGCCGTTAAGCAAAATTATACAAGAACAACAAAGTTCCTAGTTTCTGCTGGTGCACAAATCAGTACAAAAAGCGAGGTGCCACAAGACCACGCAGCAACTCCATTGGTACTCGCTTCAGGACAAGGGAACTTGAGTATAGTTAAAATACTCGTGAACAATGGCGCAAGTATCGATGAGTGGAACTACAGTGGGGTTTATCCACTCCATTACGCTTCAGAAAACGGACACACAAGCATAGTTCAGCTGCTTCTGGAATTTGGGGCCACGCAAAAGCAGAACTACGATTTTGGGACTCCACTTCATCTCGCCGCCAGCAACGGACACGCAGATGTGGTACACCGACTGATAACCTACGGCGCGAACTTAGCACTGTTACGCAGAGGAGCAACAGCCCTTTGGCTTGCGGTGGCGAATGGCCATCTTGATTGTGTCAGAATTCTTCTAGAGGCAGGAGCAACTGAAACCGAGCCTCATCGCCCTGCCTTGGGTTGGCCGCTACTATATTTAGCTGTTGGAGGGCCCCACTTCTTACAAGCTCTTAACATGGCCTACGAACAGAGTATCAGAGAAATTTCCCATTTTCCAGTTCCAACTTGGAAGGCGGGGAAAAAGAGTTATGGGCTGAAATTATACGTCTCCTTGTTACATCTGGTGCCGATGTTTTTCAAAAACTTGAATCAGTAACCCCACTGCACCTTGCTGTTATTGTTGGCAATTATCCTGCTGTGGATGTTTTGCTAAGGGCTGGAGCTGATATCTATTCGAGAAATGAGTACGGACGCTCGGCGCTTATGTTTGCTAGTTTGTTAGGCTTTGAAGATATTGGCTCTCTGCTGTTAAAGGTAAAGCAGGCAGGGCCGAATGAGAAGAAACCAGCGATAGGACCTAAACCCAAACTTACAATTAAGATGTGATCAGTAACATCACTTCAAACGCTTAGCTCTACCCTTCTTGTGTTAGGGATCGACTTCTACTTGCATGCAATCGCACGGAGTGGAACGACACAGTTTATGTACAGTTTGGTGATAATATTCCTGAGGCTTGGGCCATCGACTATTCTTGGCCGGACCTTGACTTTGAGTTCGATGAAGAGGGACTCAACATGACCCTGGGGGCGAAGAATGCACTATCTCGAATTATTATAACGAAGGCTCTAAAAGGTTCATGTATCAAGGGACATCAGGATTACGTTCCATGGAGTGATTGACTCATGGCATTTCGATGTGTTACTCACTAATTCATCAAAGCCAGCATTGAGGCGGACGGTGGGCTATGGTGAAGGATATTTTGTACATGGCGCTTTCAAGAGCCTTTCTTGTCGCCTCAATTCATCATACGTAAGCATTCTTGTTACTATGGCGATGTCTTTCATCATGGGGTTCTCTTGAATGCAAAATGCCCTGCTGTGTCTTTCAAATTCAACGGTGTTTCTTCATATTGCAACTCAGACAATTCAGAAAGGACTTGCTGTAAGCCGTGTGAAAGCTTAGACCAGGCCACCCTAGGGCGCTCATTAGCGGCAACCGGCTCAGTAGTAAGCCTGCCAGGCCAACAGCGTCTCAAAATAGCTAGCGTTTCTTATTGAAATCGGACAAAGACTGTCAGAGCTGGAGGTTTGTATCGTTTAAATAGCACATTGGTAGAGGGAATAATACTAGTATTTAGCTGGCGCTGTCAGTACTGTAGATAGTCAGTATTAGAGATATCTTAAAGATATATGTATATAATCAGGAATTTGTTCTATCCAGTATAGTACCTATTTATATACTCAGTACCCTAAATTCTTAAGATCAAGCGATTGTTATAGGCACTATAATGAATTCACCCAGCCCTGGGACAATATACAGAAGCGGAAAAACTGGCCTCTCGAGCCAAGGAATGATCGCCATGGAAGCAACGACTGATTGGTTTCCAACCTTGCGAGGGTAAGCAAGTTGCATTAGCAGTGTGGAGAATCTTAATATACAGAGACACTTTGATGACAGGCCCACAGAAATACTCTTCTTTAGGGTCATCCAAATCTCTTGCTGGGAACTTTTTTTTCTACCTAATTTTATCCCTGGATGATATTGGTTCACCCATGGTGTAAGAACCAACTTGAGACCTTGGCAGGATGACAGTATTGCGTGGTCTCATTACCCACCTGGTCAGTTATAAGTCTCACTGTTTGTCTTGGAAAGAAATAGCATTTTTCTTCCAATACCAACCTCATCCTCTCTTGTGCAATCGCGATAAATAATCCCCCCCAGCCGTCATGAAGCCAATGAATCAGTTTATCATCGTGTTCAGTATGGGGATTCCAGCCATGGCACAGAACATGTCTTACGGAGCCGAAAATTTCTATCGCAGCAATAATGTGACAGTCCAACCGATCAGTTTCCCAACGCAGTACAGAACAACTGTCGCAGGAAATCTCTTCTATCTCAAGGACCAGAACAACAACACTGCGCCTGCTGTTGTCGTCGGCCATCCTATGGGGGCGGTTAAAGAACAGAGTGCCAACCTCTACGCGACGAAACTGGCTGAGCAGGGACTCACCACCGTCTCCATTGATCTCCCCTTTTGGGGTGCTAGCATGGGTGAGCCGCGCAACGCGGTCTTGCCCGATCTCTACGCAGAAGCATTCAGCGCTGCAGTTGATTATCTGGGCATCCAGAATATAACTTCCGTCGACCGCGAGCGGATAGGAGGACTTGGTATATGTGGTAGTGGCGGCTTCCTGATCAGTGCTGCAAAGCTGGACCCGCGCCTCAAGGCTATAGCTACAGCAAGCATGTACGATATGGGAACCCTCGCCCGCCAGGGGCTACAAAATTCGCAAAGTGTCGACCAGCTTAAGGAAACAATTGCCGAAGCCGCACATCAGCGCTGGAGCGAAATCGACGGCGGTGAAACGCAGTATACCAGCGGGACCCTGAATCACCTCACAGTGAATGCCACTCCAGTCGAACGCGAGTTTTACGAGTACTACCGTACCAAGCGTGGAGAGTTTGTGCCTGTTGGATCGACATCAGAGCTCACCACTCACCCCACACTCTCGACCTTCACCAAGTTCGTCAATTTCTATCCGTTTAATGGCATCGATACGATCTCACCCCGGCCGATGTTATTTATTGCCGGCGATCAAGCACACTCTCGTTATTTTAGCCAAGACGCTTATTCGCGTGCTGCTGAGCCGAAGGAGTTTCTCTCGGTACCAGGTGCTGGCCACGTCGATCTATACGATCGCACCGAACTTATCCCGTTCCAACGACTCACTGAGTTCTTCCAAACGAATCTTGCGTGAACGATTCAAGTCGTTAGTTAGCTCATTCAAGTGGGCCCGTTCCCGATTTGGATATTCTCGGATTTCTTCCGCTGGTTGGTCATTCCGGTGGAATGCTCCAAGGTTTGGAGGCGCAGTGGAGCAATTCGGCAAGGAGGCTGAGACTTAAACAGTACTAGCAGCAGCTCTATGTACGTTATTTCATATCACTAGACCTGGATCCTGTTAGATGAGAGAGCTATGCCCGTCAGATGAAATTGTTGCTTCCAATGATGAAACCTTTGGTCTATGTTTTCCTTGTTTTTACACAGCTCTTTACCAATTAATTTGGGAAACATACATCAAAACTTGGCGTCTTCCTTGGTCAACCTTTTAAGTTATCTTTCTCGGCGTGGCTTTGCTCGATGTGAGAACCATAGATAGGGATGAAGTGATGGACCAATCAAACAGGGGACATTTGCTTACATGGGTCCATGAGCTAAAGTTCACCACCGACCAATCAGAAATATTGTCCTGTTGTCCGAGCTTGGCAATGTGGCGATCCGCTTGGCATTTCTCGAAAGCAAGCACAATCCAGCAGGCAGACAGAATTTTCGAGCTTGGTAATCTGATGAAGACACTGTCAGCAAGATACTCCACGGCCCCACCTAGGCTTTATTAACGGGCTACTTGCTCTTTTTAGCTTGTCAGCATATTGCATATTTTCCAACTACAGCATGGCAGATCCCACATCCGGAACGCAGATCATTCCACTGAGCAGAATGCCACAGCAGGCTAGTGTCCAGGAAGCCCGCGATGATTGGACTGGCGTCATAAATCGGGAGGAACGAAGGAAATTGCAAAATCGCCTCAATCAGCGACGTTTCCGTACGTACTAGTATCCGCTTGATCCGAAAACGTGGTAAATCCAGTATCTCACTACTTGCTAGGGCAGAGAAAGCAAGTCGACGAGGCGAAATCGCAGGGCCCCATCATCTCCCCCGATATCTCCAATTTGCCTAAACCGCGTATGGTCCCACTTGAGTTCCAGGAGGAAAATAATGAGCTTTGGGAATGCGCACTGGCAGCACCAAATGCCCGCCAATTCCGTAAATGGTTTGAGGCAAAGGCACTCGAAAGCTATATGAACGGCGCACCGAACAGAGATCACCTAATCAGTCTTAGCCGGCTGAACGTGCATAAAGCCATCAACGAAAATATCTGTGCAATTGGCATGACGCCCGGGTGGATGCAAGACGATGACTCGATATCAATATTCAACCTTTCCCAACCCGGCTTCTCAATAGAGGGGATTCCGGCCTGTTTACGCCCTAGTTATATCCAGCTACATGTGCCTCATCATCCTTGGTTAGATTTCTTCCCCTTCCCCCGCATGCGTGATTGCATGATCCTTGCTGGCGACTCTTTTGACGACGATGACCTTTGTCATGATCTAATGGCGTTTTGGGACACAAGAAATACAGCTGCTACGTTACTGGTGTGGGGGGGAGTCGTGGGATGCAAAGAATTGGGAAGTTACAGAAGGCTTCGCGCAGAAATGGAAATGGCTACTCCTTGATTCGCCGGAGTTACTGATTTCCACTAATCGTTGGAGAAGGTCTAGAGGGGAGAAACCCTTCATCTGGAAAGATATTTTGACGGGGGCATAAAAACAGCAAGATTCAAGTTGTCACTTTGAGGGCATCTCTCTTCATGAATGTCAGTCATATCGAAAGTGTTTCTTTAGCGTCGGGGGGGATGGACCCACTTGCACATCACAATATCAATGGCATTAAGAGCAAATTTACATTGTCAATGTATGTATAGCTTAAAATTGGGGCACGCGTTGATTCGTATTTCTATTCTCATAATTTTCAGACAAAGGCGATTATGTGGCCGGCCATTCTCGAAGCGATGCTAAAGAGCCAAGAAATCGCCAAGGACTTGATGACATTAGACCCATGGGTTCATTTCGTCATTTCGTTCAGTTATCTTTAGTCTTCCTTAAATCCGACAAATGCCGTTGAAGACTAAAATACTGGTAGTAGTATATAGTATACCTACGGTTGTCCCTGCTCCCAAACTCTAGTACTATATTTCTAATTCTCCACAATTACAAATTATTCTTGCCGGTCATATCACTCCCTAGGCCCATTAGCAAGAGTGTCCTCGACGATAACTTCCTACTTTCACGCCATTGATCGCAAGCCATGAGATTATTTATCCTTCTTCATTTATTCTACGGTATGGCCATGGCAATTCCAATCCTCATATCAACCCAAAACGATGCCGACCGCTCAGAGAGCCCTGGCCCCTCCCCACACACCTCGACCTGGCTTCCACCTACCGAGAATTATCCAAAAAAAAGATATCTGCGGCCTTATTTGAAACCGATTTCTACAGGAAATTCCTCGAAAGTCCCTCTCTCTGAAGCCGGTGAATATGAAAGGCTTGTTGCATATTGTGAAGCCGGTTTTGTCTCTGGATGCCGGGCGGCTATTGGGGGGCCGAAATGAGAATCAAACGAAAAAAAACAAGCGGGCATGGTTTGGAGTTGACGGGGAGCCTATACCTCAAAAAAAAATATTCGCTGCCTCAATAGCATTGTCGATTTCCAATCGTTCAATCATTCTACCTCACATGTATACCAAAAATCATTTCATGTTTTCTTCTGTTAGATCTGCTGATGCGCGTAAAAAGTAGACTGTCAAGATCGGGGCAAAGAAAGGGCCTGTGGTTATAGACCAGATTATTTCAGCCATCAATGAAGTTTGTGATTATTGACAAACTCATTGAGATTATCGCCAACAAAATCGCAAGCTGATCGACCTCAGGTTGTTTGGATGGTTTGTCTGATAGCTCCCTAGATACCGGCCTTGGCTGATGACCCCGAGAACAAAAAAAAATCATCCCCGGTCGCAAGGGAGGGTACCAGTTCGGTAAGTATTCGACTATAACCATACACACTGAAGAAATTAACAAATCAAAAAGAACACGTTTTTCAGAAAAAAAAAAACAAGAAAAAAAGCAAAAACATACAACAGCAGGGATTCGCATGTGGTCACCCACCATACTACTAACCTGCCGGCGTGTGGCTTAAGTACGGCTGAGCGGACGGGAAGCCCTGTTCTCCACACCCTATGGTCGTATGTGCTAGATAGTCACTGATAGGGGGATATATAGTGCATTTACTAAAGAATAGGCCATGTTTACTGCCATGGGCAATAATGGCTAGTGTTCTCACAATAGACAAGGCAAGAGCTGGGTGAGAGTGTCACCCATGGTCGCACGAATCGCAATTTGTTGATGTGTTGATGCCTGACCTGAGCCTGTAGGTACCGCGTCTAGGTTGTTTTGCTGCCATGTCGCTGTAATCCACCTGGGCACCGATTGTGATGGTCCTCTCTGGATAGGATCCATAACAGCTAGCCCGTGGGTCCTTTTCCCATACCCACGCCTACCTTCTCTACTATCTGGAATTTCGCCAACCCTACTTCGTTTGAGTCAATATTTGACACATTCCATGAGAGGGCCGTGAAGGACAGAGTGTATAATGTTGTCATGAATCTTTATTCTACATGTGCATCCATACGCGCCCACTACCCAGATTCCTGTTCACCTGAGTGTACTAGCGAGAATATCGTGGAAATTCGTATTACTCGGCAAGCTCACACTCAATGAGGCTCTCCACGCCACGTTGGACGGTCCAGATTTTGCTGATCTTGAGGCCAGCGGCTTCCACCAGGGAATGCCAGTTGCCTGCGGTTCTTTCACTCGATGCGAAATCACTCATCATGATGATATCTAATGAAGTTGTCTCCCAGTAGGCATTTGTCTCAGGGATGACGTTCTCGTTGATCAAGATTTTACTATATCCAGGCTTCATAGCCGGGACGATGTTCTTGAGAATTTCAATGCACTTCTCGTCGGGCCAGTCGTGAAGGACCGAATGCATGTAATACGCACGGGCCCCTATGAGAACAGATTTGTCAGATTCAGTCTTATCCGGGGGCATCATCAGATTCTAACTTACCCTTTATAGGTTGCTCGGTGAAGAAATCATGCTCCATGGGCTCAATAGATCGGTGGAGGTTCATGGTCTGCGCTTGTTGAATCACGGCCGGAAGATCCTGAAGAACAAAGCGGCCAGGAACGTGTGGCCATTTGCGGCGGAGTTCACTCAGATCGTGGCCAAGGGAGCCACCCATATCAACAATCAGAACGCAGTTATCCTCCGTGGCACGCTCGGCAAGTCCGGGCACGTCATAAAATCCGGCATCCATCCAGCTAGGACGACCCTGGTGGTACGCAGACATATGGTTGTTGAATTGTTTGGCGGCAATCGGATGTGTTCCGAGGAATTCGAAAAAGTGGTCTTTGGTATCGTAGCCAAGTTGAAATGCGGAATTGGTACCGTCTGTCGGGTTGCGAAGGTTTGTCTTCCTGAGATGGTTGGGGAGGGCCATGACACCCTTGGTGATGCAGTCCGTGCTAAGGAGACAGCGGATTAGCGTTGAAGAAACTGGAGAGGACTCTTAGTAACTTACATGCATGGATAGGCGTCGCTAAAGCGCTCTGACATGAGAGAGATAGAGAATCCAGTCCGGCGGTATTCATCAGGGCCGGTCTCAAGAATCACACCCATGGCACACAAGTGCTTCAAGATACGAGCTATAATAGGGTTTAATAAAGTTCATGGGCAAGAGATATGGAGAACATACCTAGCATTTTGGGCTCGGCAGAAACAGCCTCGGCTAGCGATGAAGCACTTTTGGGCTTGTCATCCTTAGATAGAGCAGTGAACAAGCCCATGTCGACACCGGCTTCAATACACGCATACAGAGTGGACTGCGACCAGGCTATCCGGATCATAGCCTCTCTGGGTGTCTCTGTGGCGTAGACCAGAGCGCGAGCTGCATCTAAGAGATCTGTGCGAGCCTTCGTATCATCTGAAATAAAAGCTTTGCCGGATGTAGCAACCTTCTCGAGTAAAGCCGGAACATGATCTGGAAGGTTGGTTGAGGTCGCAATGGCCGACGAAACATCAACGAAGGCCTCTTGAGAAACCTTTGCACCATTAGCACCTTTGGTACCGTTGGTGCCATTGGTACCGTTCTCGTGTGTGACAGTCATTTTGATAAAACTTGGGTAACAAGTATGTGATGGATTCCTCCATGTAAAAGGGGGGAGAGGCGGTTCTTATTTTAATGCCCAGGTACTTTGCCGCTAGCTATGTGCCGAATACCCCATTGATGGATCGAATGCAGGCCTCTCTCGCTTTCCCCCCTCGATTGGGAAAGGAATTTCAGGAGAAAAGATCATACTCGTGGCGTAGCTTTAGGTTTTTTGTTCAATCCTTTAATCTCTGGCACATGCTAACAAAGTTGGGTTAGAGGGTAGGGCGACGTAGGCGGATAAGCTTACCACTTCCTTCCGGCTTGTGAGGGAATCCTTCCGGTTTGTGAGGGAATGTGCACGTTTCAATCGTTTGATAGGTGATATCTTGATGGCCGGGCCCTTGGCTTATCCACTTAGTTGCTCAAACTATGTACATTTTGACCCAGTTGTACGGGTGTATGGCACCGTCAATGAGCACGGTGGAGAACCGTTTTCAGTGGAGCCCTTGGCCAGAACACGAAGTCGGGGAATGGACGGAAGTATCCGCCACTCCCGACGACATGGGGTCTGTCGGTCGTCTATCATACAATCATATGGGTAGATCTGAGTCGTAAATTCGAACGCACTACCACCTCTTCAGCTCAGTCGGCTAGTCAAGCCCGGCATATTTTGAGATGCACTACCAACAGTGATTCCAGGACTGAGTAATCAATTGAGAAACTAGACTTACTGGCGATCATTCATTCGCATATGTATGCCAAGGTTCCTGTCACAGAGTATTTTTACATCCATTCACCATTGGACAGCTGATGCAGGGTGCTTGTTAGGGTAGTGGCAGCCTGGGCCGAGAATATGGTTATTACCTGATTCTGACACTTCCCGCCTCCTTGTCTTAGCGCGGGTGACCCTGGTTAAGCGCTCCTTCGCGTCGTTTAGTCTCGTTAGCGTTCCAAGTTCCATAACTCGACCCACATGGCGTGACCATAGCATGGAGAAGATGTGTCAATCCATCTGGATCCGAAGACCTGTCAAAAAAACGCCACACTGGGGCATACTTCCCTATTCGGTTAAAAACGTTCGCGTAATTCCTGTTCGCCGATCGGTATTTCAACAATCACCTTGACAAAAATAAAAACTTTGGTGATCTAGTAACTCCCTTGGGCTTTCCCCCACTTTAGGGTGGGTCGGGGTACTTCTGTTTTACATCTTTGCTCGTGTTTGGAGAATAACGGCCAGTTTCAAAGGACCGCTCCATTGGGCCTTGCCGACTATCAGGGGCCGGGGGCGAAAACTTAGAAGAATGGGAAAGGGTAGTAGTACCTGATCAAATTCAGCATCTGACAGGTCCCTAGGTTCTCCCAAATACTCGCTTCGTCCTCCGCGAACCGCGCACTCTTCATATATAGAGTCGGTGACTTATTTTTCTTGTTCATCTGTGCGGGAATACTATCTTTTTACATTGCCGAGACCGACGAGCTGAAAGTCTAAAACAGCAGTCACAATGGTTGTGACGGCTGCAAATGAACATGAAAGTAAAGGTCCTACGATCTTGGCAGTCCTCTGGACTCTAACATCGTTGACTTTTCTAATTGTCACTGCCCGAGTCTTTATTCGCTTGAGGATGCTCAAAATGTTTGGTATTGATGACTACTTGATTGTGGTTGCCATGGCTCTTGGTATAGCCTATTGTGGTGCCACGACAGCTTCAGTCGTAGCGGGGTTCGGTCAACATCAAGTTATTGTTCTACAAGATCCTAGTCTTGACTTGTCAATGGCGATGCTTCTAAACAACATATCGTTCCTTCTTGGGATCCTCTCATTTACGATTCCGAAAATCGCAGTGACGGCTATGATCACAAGGATTTTCAACCCAGGATTGATACAAAAGATCATTCTGTGGACCTTGGTCTCCGTGGCGGCGGCGGTTTCGTGTATTTGCATTATCATTCTTTTCACCATGGTATGGATAGATAATATTCCCCCTTTCCAATGGCCGTTGCTAATGATTCAAAGTGCGACCCTCCCCGCGCACTATGGACGCCAGAACTAGTACAATCGGGTCAAGCGACATGCAAAAGTACCTGGATGTTGATTGACTACGCAATTTTTACAGGAGGTAAACTTCCACCACTACCCGCTCTCGATGCCCAGACCATTAATGGGTTTATAGCTGTTTCGGCCACTGTCGACCTTTATCTTGCCCTTTACCCCATGGTTGTCCTCATGAAATTGCAGATGTCTCTGCGTAAAAGGATTGCCCTATCCGCTGCCCTGGGTCTAGGTGCCATGTAAGTTGTTCCTTGACAATGTGAATACATTTCTAATACAAAGCAGAGCCGCGGCCATGGCTATTGTGAAATGCACTCAGCTGCACGGGCTTGCAGACAAATCTGACTATACATGTAAGCCATCAAGAATGTATAATAACACCGACTTTTGCTAACAGTTTTTTAGATGGCGTAAGTAGTCTATCATATCTCACTCAGCTTAATCAACAAGAGAGCAACAGTATCTAACAGCGATCTCAGACCGCCGATTTGATCCTTTGGACCAATATAGAAGCCAACGTGGTCACCATCGCTTCGTGCATCCCGACGTTACAACCACTACTCGAAATTATCCTCGGAAAACGGTCTCTCAGCTCCTACAGCAACGGTCACAGTGGAGGTTATAAAGGCAGCAAGACACAATGGAACGCCACCCACGAGCGAAGCAAAAGGTCAATCCCCAAGAAGGATGATTTGGCTATTACCAATGTGGAAAGCCAAGAAAGTATCTTGCGGGCAGATAACGACAAGGATACTCCGGGACCCGAAGGCAGGAATGACTTTCCCATGAGCGCCATTCGTCGAACGGACAACTTTACTGTTGAGTACAATACACAGTCTCATACTGGAGACGAAAGGACGGGTTCATGGTAGGGTTGGAGAAGCGGGAGTTTTCATCAACGAAATCGAGATAAATAACCAAGGTATTGAAGATAGACAAAAAGCTTACTGGGCTAGTTTCAGGTTTCCTTTCTCTAAGTTTATGGTCACTGAATTTACGATTCGGCATCTGCGCCGGCGATATACTATGACAACGTGAGATAGGTACTGAGGGCAGAGCCTCAGGTGGTACAGATTAGTCAGTCCATACCGTTATATCCATGTATATCTAGCTCTTTGGGCCTCAGGTAGTCTTTCAACCTACACATATCTCATGATCTCTCTCCATCAGTAATATGTAAGCAGATCAAGTGCGAAATAGACAGGGGTGCGAATCTGGGCGGCTATAATAGCCTACGCGTTCTCCAAACAGCAATCAACGTGTTTCTCTTTGTCCCCACCAATCTCTCAAAGCTGGGCCCAACCTCTCAACTATCCCGTCCAAATTCCGTTGATACAATATTTCGGACATGCAGCCACCCTTATTGTCTCCGTGGTTGGAGTGACCCCTGCATTCTCATTGAATGCATGCCCCGGCTCTAGCAGCCGTGTACTTTCACCACAACCTTTCCACGCGCACGTTTGGTGGCGATGCGCTCGTAAGCACGTACGGCGTCCTCCATATTGAAGATGGAGTCGACAGGGATACGCACTCGACCCTCCTCAATAAGCCGCGCCAGATATATTACATCATCACATGCTGGCGGCGTGCTGAACATGATATAACGGCGCGGCACCCCGCCCAGCCATGTTGGCAGCCATTTATTAAGCAGTGCATTGCGAGCCAACATAAATATACCCTCAAACATGCCGACATTGATCACGGCTCCATCGGGCTTGAGGTATGCTGGTGAGTTGGCAAAAAGGGCCTGCGTGCCGACACAGTCGAGCACAAAGTCAAACGGCCTGTCACTATAATGATGTGCTAGGTAAGCCGGCAGCTGATCATATTTACGGTAGTCAATAAACTATGCATTTATTAGTGAGGTTCTTGTGCAAAATAGACAACCTTTATTACCTACCTCATCGACACCCAGATCACGAACCATAGACTCGTTACCGCCGCTGGCTATACCGACCACCTTTGCACCACGTAGCTTGCACAGCTGCACGAGCACCGACCCGATCGAGCCGCTAGCCCCATTGACGAGCACAAAGTGACCCTCACGCACACCCGCTGTGCGGATCATCTTGAGTGCGGTGCTTCCGGACCCGCTAATGCCCGAGGCGGATGCCATATCAACAACGTCGTCGATGTGTGCAACCTGGCAAGCGGGCAGTCGCACGTACTCTGCCAGTACGCCGCGGCCCATTAATATGTCGCTAGGAACCTTCACAAAGGCGACAACGTGTGAGCCCAGATTGCGCACCTCTACCGGCGTGTCATCGCCAGCCGCCACGACCTCACCAGACAACTCAATCTCCGGCACCCATGGACTGTTGAAGGGCAGACTTGGCAGTATCTTCATCGTCATTTCAGTACTGAACTGTAATGACACGTGTGACACGCGGATCAGGACGTCGGATGACGAGGCCGTGGGTATGGCGGGCGTGGGATAGTCGGAAACAAGCTCCAGCGCGGTGGAAGCAGGTCCGCGCCGTGAGCGGACCCAAGCGCGCATGGTCGGTGGGAATGTCGGGGTTTGGACCGTTGATGGCATTTTTATCGTTTTTTATGTACGGTGTAAAGATTATAACGGACCAGTTCCGAGCGCGAGAGCGGGGAGATCTGGGGCCGTTGCTTGTGGTACAGAAAAGAGAAACGTCTCGAAAGGTCCGGAATCCACTGCTACTAGAATTGAGTAGAAAAAGAAGGTACCTTAAGCTTCTTTAGACAAACAAAAAGGTCTTCGATAATATAGGATAGCCGACATGTTACCATATAAGGGGGTTTGTATCCTCGGGCGAACCGGACGAAGTGGTCGGACCAGTCGAACCAGTCGGACTGTACGTGGATGACTTATCCTGCATGCTCCACTAGTTAGTTAGTATCTCTCCTCCGTAGCTACCTTCCTCTCCAATACATACCACTACTATTCATGCACTCCATGCTATTATGTATTCCACACGTACACGGACCAGTCGGACAAAGTGCCAAAAGTTTAGAGACGATATGTGCCAATGGAGGGAACGAGTCAATCCGGAGCCGGATTATCAATCAATACAGATTGGGAGGGTATTCTCACCCCAAGGGATTTGAAGTTAAGGTAGTAGTAGTAGTAGTAGTAGTAGTAGTAGTAGTAGTACAAGAAATAATATGAGCGCTGAGAGAGACCTGAGCAAGGTCCATCCAAAAATTTACAAAGCCACATGGTAGAATCCACATGGATTTCCCAAACGCCACAAATGCTATTACGCTCCGAGGATCGTCCCATATGCATCTTCCACTTCCTTCGCAATCTCCAACAACGTAACAATAATGATCTGGTGCGTGATATTGGGGAGCTTGTCACGCTGCAACCCAATCCATTCCAGTGGTGGTGTTGCTTCGCCCATATCGCGCAACTGTGGCGTCTCAATGACGGGCGGCTCAAGGGCCGTGTAAGTGTACTTGGATTGTGGCACATTGACCACGGCGGTAATCTTCTCCTGCTGCTCGGTTCCAGAACCACTTCCTTCGGCACTGCCACTACCGGGACCACCGGTGATGCGCACGGCAGATGGCGGAAGCGGTTTGCCAAGTCGGGAAGCAAAGGCCCGAGTGTGTGTTTCCCACATATCGCGGATGAAACTGATGCGTGAGTAGTTCCAGCCCACATCCACTTTACCCTCGAAGGTACTGCGAAATATGTAGTCGATTTGCCTGGTTCCGGGGACTTGCCATGTTTCCATTCCAGCGACCAGTCGAGGGACTTTGAGGATGGTCCCGCCGCGGGAGTTGGCAGCACGGTCGGCCATCTCGTCTACCGACAACTCTTCAAGCTGGGCGGCGCTCGGCCGACTGATACCAGAGAGTGCCACGCGAAGTTGGCCTAAAGTTAGGCCTAACGCGCTGTGGATCTTGTTCGATTCAAGTGATACAGCAAATCGGGCCTGGGCATCGAATGCCTCCACTTTGAAAATCTGGTTGTCAAAGAAGGTGCTCGGGAATGCGCCGAGATTGACATGGCGAATATTGACGACAACCCCAGTATGCAGCGAAATTGGCGCCTGTTCGGACTCTTCGTCGCTCTTCTTGGCAAGTTCCTTCGTTTGAACCTCTGTTCGGTCTGCTTGCATGGTGGATTTGCGCCGAAGGTATCGTTCCACTTCACGGAGTGATGCCTCATACGCAGCTTGTTTGTCTTGAACCAGTCGCTGCCAAGCTTGATAGAGAGCCAGTGTTTGGGAGGCTGTCAAAGATGTGCAGAAAACTTGGACCTCGTCTCCCTCCAACATACTGAAGAGTCGCTGATTGTCTTCCCCAGAGGATTCGCGTACATTGTACATCAAGAAGTTAAACATGGCAATATGTGCGACAAGGAAAGGCTGGTAATCGAAGGACACCTTGGCCTGGAGGTGATGGAAGGCAATGGATGCCTGAATGAGAGGGGTATGCATAGCCTCGTCATTCTCCTCTGGCCATTGGATAGAGGTGCGGACTTTGAAAGTACGGAGCTCAACAACGCCACTCAAACGGCCCTTGCTTTCAATACTCACACTATCAAGGTTGATGCACATGCTCTGTTCGCTGTCGGAAGTCTTGTTCGATGACACCCATACGTTGTCAATAGCGAATTGCGCCTTTCCAAGAGTTGAGCCTAGATCAAGTTGAATCTCAAGCTTCTCAATAGCAATAGTGGTATTCCAAGGGAACGCAGACGCCGCAGCAACTTGTTGATATCGTTGAACAATGTATGGCTGATGAGACTCAGGCGTAGGTGCAGGCGTAGGTGCAGGCGCAGGCGGCTCTGGAGTCGCAGCAGGGCTAGACTCATCATCGGAAGGCAGCCAGATTTCTTGGAACAGTAGAGAGTCTTGCACTTGCTTCGCATTCAATGAAACTTTCATGGGGCTGACTTTCAAAATAGCCGACATCCCGCTCATGCGGCCGAGATGCTTGCTGTTCATGAGCGACAGCACCATAGACTTGACTTCAAAGCTTGCCGTAGACTCATTAGAGTAAACATGTTTGACTGAAGCTTCTAGGTTGTTGAATGCCAAAGACAAGGCCAGAAAGCGTGCTTGCTCTGCCGATTGAACGGTGTTGACTGTCACGTACACGCTCTCGAATCGCGCTGTGGCGGCCACTCTGGCAATTGGCTGACAGCTCAGACTGAACTCTTGTTTGTTGAACAATAATCCCAAATTGACCTTGCAGCGACCCAGAATTGATGTTGGATCTTGTGCTCCAAATGGAGTCTCTTGCATCAGCTTCTGGGGTTGCAGCTTAGAAGCCGCAGATGGGCGGCGGGTTTGTGGTCGTTGGCTATGTTGGCTCTGTTGATTCTGTTGGCTTTGCTGGCTTTGCTGTTCACTCATGATCTCTTTCACGGTAGCAGTCATCTGTTTAACCAAGGGCACGAGTGTCGGGTAGAGCACATTCGTGGACGGATCAACCTTGAGTTCAGCGTTGAGGGCAGGATCATCGGTCCCATTGTCTTCGAAGTGAACCTTCAATGCCACACCTGGGGCTCGAAGGGTTGCTGTCGTCGCCGAATCGCCTTGGACATATTGTCCGTACTTGCCTTCTGAGATTCGGCTGCCCTTGAAAGTGGAGGCCAGCAAGCTCTGGGAGTCATGCCCTTGTTTGCCTTGCAGTGTGACAGTGGCACCTGCAAAGTCAACATCCACAAAGACAGACCGCAAGCGTCGATTACCGAAAAGGCTGCGATCTTTGTTGCTATTGGTGCTGTTATCATCATCTGGAGACGACTTCGTCGCCCAAGCAACTTTGCCTTCCCGGAGAGCCTCGGATGCAGAGGCCATGGAATTTCGTATCATGTTCGCTGGAATGATGAATTCGGACGTCGCTCGAATATCAAGCGACTTGCCAGCTGCCTGGAATGCAAGCCATGTATCCTTGCCGCTGGAGTAGTAAGCAACATTGAAAACAAGCTCTGGCATGAGTGCGGAATTGAGGGAGCGTTGTTTCCTGTCTGACCGGAATGGCACCATTTGGAGTTGCATATCTCCAATGCGAAGTTTAGCCGCGTTCTTCTTCTTGTTAGACAGTTCAACCTGCTGGATCGAAAAGACCAGATCCTCAGGCTGTCTACCTGAGCCACCGGACAATGCCGCGGGCATATTCCAGGCAACTTGGATATCCAGGAACTGCAAGGAGTACAAAGCATTCAAAAATGCCTGTGGATTATTATCATCGTTCACATGAATCTCGGGCGTCTCGGATGGAACTTCCGGTACGTCGTGGTTGCGATGCCGTAGTCTCCTGAGCCGCTTGACTTCATGCGACAGATCCAGCGTCTTGATCCGTTCTTGCGTGTAAATTGCAATATCGACCACCAAAGCAGCAGTTTCGGTAAACAATTCGATATCAAACTTATCACTTGTGAAGTGATATGCTCGCATGACTTCCCCATTCTCACGAACGGTTGAAGTTCCAAGTAGTTTGAGTGCTGCGGAAAGCCCACCATAGAACGTGCTTTTTGATCGCTCACGTCTGCGTAGCTCGAAATTGATTTGAGAGGCATCAACACTGAACTCCGGATACTCCATCGTATAGCCGCGATCGAGACCATTCTGAAGGCGCATCTGCATCATACCCAGACTGAGAAGCATTTCTGCTGAGTAGTTCCGTCCTTTCAGACCCGAAGCAATGGCGTGGATCTCGATTCCTGCCATAGTGAGGCGGGATTTGTATAGCACAACAGTATCTTCTGTGGTTGATTTGGGCTTCGGCGACTCTTTCTGCAAAGAAAGCACATCTGTTAAATGACTCTTGACAACGTCAACATTTTGCTTGAGATCCGAAAGAAGGTGCGAGATGTCGGGACCAGTCAGCACAGCGAGAAGACTTCGTACTGCACTGGCTTCGAGTTGAATGAGCTCTATGGTCATGTCGACCTCCACCTCCTTCCGGTCGGGCAAGAGGTTTGCCAAAATTCGGCCATTGGTTGGGGGTATCTCAAGGACCGACAAAGCGTGAGATCGGGCACCATCACCAGACATGAATTTGTGGAAATTCTTTTTGACGTCGAAATCGACTTCAATCTTAGAGTTCTCGGTTGGCATCACGGACATCCGTGCCACGTCGCCGACGATCTGATAATTCAAGGACGGCAAAAGGCTGAAGCTTAGCCTATAATCGTCTAGGAACATTGCCACATTGACATTGTTACTAGTTGACTTCTTGGATGCGACAGAATTCACATCGGGATCTTGCTTGTGAATCTTGACATTGTCCATGAGTTGTCGGATGTACCAGACTTCATCTGCTATTAGGAGATCAGCCGTATGTGCCAGACTGACCGGATCCTGCATCATATTGAAGCGAAGCTTTTTGCATGAGCTGGTGATCTTCCAGTCACGCTTGCACTTAGCGGCATCTTCTTCGGAAAGAAGCGAGAAGAAGAGATAAGGATCTGCGATCTTGGACAGCAGGAGGGTCGTCGATTGACTCAGAAACTCCGAAGAGCATGCCGCGGCACTGAACAAAAGAGCAAGCTTTTCAGTAGTTGCATCTTTAAGCCCCGAGGAACTGTGAACGACTGAGCCACGTAGAGATCGCGACACTAAAGCAAGCTTGACGTTGATACCATCAAGGGTGATGGATCCAAAATCGGTGCCAAAAACAAATTGCAGTTCAGTGGGTTTCGTTTCTTTGGCCGCAGTTGGTGTTTCCTCCGGCTTGGATTCCAGTGTGATATTCGACATGACTTTCATCACGCCTTCAACTAGATCCACAATCTCCCATCGAAGACGCAAAGCTGAAGAAGAATTGTACACCTGACAACTGACAACCTTCTTATGTTTCTTTGGACTCTCTCCCTGGATTGCCATATCTGGGATTACTGACGTGATGGTCGACAGGTTCTCAATGATGAGGTCGCTTTCTCTTGGGCCAGGGTCCAAAGAGAACTTGAACGTTTTGATGGTGCAAGATAATGAAAGGGAGGGCTCCTTCGTTGCAGGCTGAGGCTCTTGCGTTGACCATATCTTGCGCATGACATAGCTCTTTTCAACGTGGGCTAGGTCCCAGGCCCGCCACTGATCGAAGCCATTCAAAACCGTCGACTTGGCGTTGGGAGGTAAAGGTAAATTGTCACCCTGGCAGTTCTTCTCCAATTCCCCTTTAAGGTGCGCTGGAAGATTCTTGTAGACATTGCGAATACGAGAGATGATCTTCCAAGAGTCATGCTGTCGCAAATGGGCCGAGACAACTCTCAGGACATAGGATATGCGCGTCAAAAATGTGGGATCTGGAATACCAGTGGCGGACTGCGTGACAAAGTAGAGCAGAAGTCGAAGACGTCTTTTGCTGGATGATGATACTTGTTGGAAAGACGAGGCCACCGAGTCAAACATTGTCGTCGCTCGGCGAACAAGCAAAGCCAAACCCTCCACAGACTTGGCGGACGTGACCGTATTGAAGTACCGCATTTGAAGGTTAGACCGGATATTGGGTGTGGTAACCAACCAAAAGTTCATGTCACCTAGCTCGCAGTCGAAGACGGCTTTCTCCTGGAATGCATCTGCTCGGCCACCCTCCACCGCGATCGATGCGTGATCTGCCGCAGCGTGGACTGTGATACCCTGCTTGAGACCTTCAAGAAGGTCACCCTTTTGACGCTGTACCCTTCTTTGGAACTCCGTTCGAAGTCGATAGAGCTCGATGGCGTAAACGTCACGGAACTTGATTTGTGGGTTTTCACAGGACACAGAGACATCGACCACTCTCAATTTAATGCTTGGGATGCGCAGGGCCAGAGCGGTGGTTTTCTTTGGTTGGCTCATGGCCTTGTCATATCCCACAATATCGGAGACGACATCCTTTTGTAGAGCATCCATGATCTGGATGGGGTGCTTGGGTTCGAGTCCGTCAAGTAATGACGCCAAGCTGTGGAGAAATCTTGGAGTACAAAACCCCCTGATTCCCAAAGGAAGGTCGATGGCAAAGTTGGTGTAGGTTGTTTGGTCGTCTTCAAATGTCAGGAACATGGATTCGTTGTTGTTTTCAGTATCGTCTCCCTCAAAGCCTTGCTTTTCTGCAGGAGACGGTAATTCAGATGTGTCGAGGGAAAGTTTGTGGTAAGAAAATTGCGGTAGGATCCAAGGATTTGCGTCCCGGATTGCTGCAGCGGAATACGGCATCGACTTGGGAGTATAATAAACGCTATCAGTATCCTTCACCCGGCTAGACCGGCTAGCATCGCGGAAAGGAGGATCGGGTCGTTGAGTTTGTTCAGAGCTTGAAAGCGTTCGCGAATCATATTTCCTAGGAAATTTGACACTTCTAAGACTCGATGTCTCGGAAGGAACCAGGAAGCTTCGCCCGCTGGTGTTGGATGAATAAGTTCTCGAAGACCCATGGTACGATGGAATGCTTCTAGACCCGAACCCTCCTTGGATAGGCTCAGGCATTGATGGAATGGCCATTGTCGGGGGCGAGAGGTCTTCTTCCCTATCGGCAAAGGATGAGGTTGGACCAATCTCTTCCCAGTCAAAGAGTAACCATTGGGCTCGATGAGTCCGTTTGTCATGGGCCTTAATATGTTCCTGTTGCAGGCGACGACGCTCGCCAATGCCTCTCTTGCGCATAGCCATCTTGAGCCCGATTGACAGCTGGATGAGGCCCAGTGTATTTACAGTTTTCTCAGGTGTTCGAAGAGCCTGGGCCACATTATTGCGATCAATGGCAGCGACCGTGACATCAGGAACCAACAAGCTCAATCGTTTTGAGAACTTTGAATTGGCCCAGTCATTGAATTTCGTTGTCAGCGGGCTCGATTTCAAGACCACAGCAACTTGGTCCAGCAGCACAGAGACATGGATAGAGCTGATTTTTGCCCTCAAGAAAGTGACATCATACAGAACAGGAGGGAATAGTGGTGCGAGGGCGTTTTCTTCGTTGTCGAATGAGAAATCGAAGCTTTTCAGACTGGAAGACAAGCATTGCAAGAACTCCGTGGAGCATTCACCCAGGATTCTGCCAACATCGAAATCCCAGTTACAAACATAGGTCGGCTCTGCAGGTGGTAGTCCAAATAAACGATGACCATAGGCTGAGATACCATCAATGAACAACTGGGTTCCTGTAATGGACGTGGATCCATCCTGCTGGACTGACTGCAGGTCGATTTTGAGCGGACTTATCGAAAGTTGCATGTCCATGTAGTAATTCGTAAAACGTAGATCAACCTCAAGTGAGGCGGCGCGAAGCCTCGAGCATTTGGACTGCTCGTAGATACTCTCGGGAAGCAGAGCACAGGGGCTATCGACAGTGACATGGACCAATACATCCATATCGTTGGACTTTCTGTTCGGGTTTATTCCGGTGGGGTTGGATGGCAGTTCCTCGGCGTTGACCATTTCTTGGTATTCCTCGAGGGTTTTGAAGTGCATTTCATCTCCAAAGTAGTTCTCTCGAACTGTCATGAAACTCTTAATCAAAAACCCGTACAGATACATTCGAGGCGACCCTCCGTTGATGTTGAGTACCAATGTATCTGTCAACTCAGGCGAGGTCATGTGGAAATAGTTGTAGGACCCATCAATAAATAGGTTGTCCAGCGTGGCCATGGACTTTCCTGGTAAAAAAGCATGCAAGGTATCCCAACCGGGTGTGAGATAGTCCACACCTCCGTCCTCGAGATTAACTTTGAAATCTACAGCGTTTTGATCAGGCTGAAATTTGTTGAGCGGGATCGTCACATTCGCCGTTAATGTCTTGCCCTTGATGACAATGAATCGATTGTCCTCCAAATCAGTCGGGTTGCTAATGATGTTTCGATCGTTCACGTTGACCAAAAGCTGAAGATTCGAAAAGACGAGATCAATATGGTAGATGAATGGCACAAATGTGTAGTACTCAGATGGTGGCCCTGACGCCCAATCGCTCACAAGATCAGTCAGAAGAAAAATATGATCTCTTAAGAGGAACAGTTCCAAATCCTGGCTGTGGACAGTAAATCTCCACGATCGAAGACTATTCCAAATGAGAGGGTTGGACAAGTCACATGTGACAAGTTGTCGAGGACACTGCCAGAGGAGTCCATGGTTCACACTGGAAGACAATTTCGACTCTCGCAAATCAAGAGTGAGCTCGTTTCGAAAGCCCAGACTAGAAGCCACCATGTCCATAGCGTAGCTGATAGAAGAGTCGGCTGCCACACAGAGGGATAGCCATCCAAATGGACGGATGTCGGAACCAAGGGTTCCTTTTTCACCTTCTTTCGGGCGAGATTTCCTTCTCTCCTGTTGACCTTTTGCCTTTGAGGAACCCCTGATGGCATCGGCTCGACCTTTCCATTGCCAATCTTTTGATTGCTCGCGGGTAGGAATTCGCAGTTCAAGCTCGCTGCTGATCTCAACACGCAATCTAAATGCTGTACTTTGCCTCAAGACACCGGGGGCCAATTGCTCTGCAGGATCGGAACTTCGGTAGAAATTTGGGAAGAAAACATTTTGCAAGCCGATTCTTTCCCTATCGGTCCAAGGCCCGTAGTTGATTGTGCCGCCATCGATTTTCATGTCGATACCCCATTCCGGAGGAAGAGCGTGGTTGATGTTTTTGTCCATCTTATCATGGCCAGACTGGGTGGAAGCCAGGTGTTGAGGACAAACCCGTCCCGGTATATCCCAGAAATAGGTCAAATCCAAGCTAGGGCTGTCTATGATTGTTGAAAACCTCGCATACTCGACCGAATTCCATTGTTCATGGTCGTCCGAATCGTTTTGATCGAGATACCGGGACAATCCAGTCCAACGAACTTCGGGAAACTCTGCTTGACTTCGTGGCAGATAATCTGCCTGCTTGATGCTGGAATGAAAGGACTCGACAGAGCTCTGAAAATACGGGACGAGATCTCGAATACCATGCCATAGCTTGCGTTTGTGAAATCGGTAGCTGAAGGGGTTCCGCCTTTTTTTGCTTTTTAAAGGATCATCTTTTTCTGCAGCACTCAGAACTTTGGCAGTTGCTAGTTGGGTTTGTTTGAAGTCGGGGTTAGGGCGCATTTGAATGACAGGATGACTGAAATTGAACGCAAAAAATTGCCGGTAAAGATCAAGAGGTCCGGCGTTGCATGCAGCGATGTTCCCTGTCGCACTATCAAAAGTAGTGGTCAAGACAGATCTGGTATTCTCGTTTCCAAGCACAACAGCGCCTTTGGTGCATTCAAGCTTCACCGGGAGAAGCTGAAGCATGTTTGAGACGGGTTCCGACAACTCAGCTTGGCGAATATCGGTCTTCCGGGATCGCAAATTATCATCTTCAGTCGTATGGCGCTCTGGCAGATCATTTGATTCCGGCTTGGGTTCGTTCGCAGATCGGATATTGACCGTGTCGTTGGTACGCTGGCGTTCCGGTTGCGAGCCAGTAGACGAAGTTGGCGAGTATGGGCTGTCCTCATCTGTGTCTGATTTACCATCTTTGGTATATCCGAACCCTGCCAGAATACTGTCATAGGCTGGGCTGCGATTGTAAATGAACCATTCCAGGCCGTAGACCTTGATGGAGACGCGACATGGTAACTCTGTGGCCTTGCCCTCGCCGCCTTCTTCTCCACGGCCATCACTTTTCCCACAGGTGCCGGCAGAATCACTTTTGGACCCTTCGGATGTGTCCAATCCTCCTGTCTTGCGCCGAACCTCTGAGAGGTCCGTCCCTTCCACGTTGCGCTTCCAATACCTCCATGTTATGAAACCGCCGTGGATGAAAATCGTCTCGTTGGCGCCATGGTACCTGATGCCTTTGAAAAATATTCGACCACCGAGTAGCGAAATTTGCAGCGCGTTAATATCGATATAGACGCGATAGTAGTGCCAAGTGTATGCTCGAATTGCATATGATACGAGGGTCGCGAATAGTCGATTGAAGTAAAGGAGGAAGAAAAGGACCCTGGATTCTTCAGCAACAAGATCCACAAAGCAATATGATCACATATCTCCCTATACATACAGGATACAGGAGACGATCAGCTCCAAAAGAAAAAACCTAGGGCAATCAGCAACGCGATCTTCGGGCAAACAGGAGCTCCGAGACAAACCAATTGAAGCTTGGGTCCGGCGTCAGATAGGAAGCCGTCAAGCTTGTACTGGCCATTTCTCAGTGAAATCGCCAGCCGGCATGAGCATCCTCGAAACCAAATGACTCGCGACCAACGAGCCCAAGCAGTTTGCGCGCAAAGTAGTTCTTTTTGGGTGTTGTCGGCGTCGGGGGAGGCAGTCGCGGAATGCGGGCAAGTCAAGGCGGTGTCACGAGAAGATCGTCATCCGCCGACGCCTCCTCCTGCCAACATTCGAAGGAGCTCCCGCCAGCTACTTCGACTAACTTAGGCGGCCGGATTTCGTGTGTCTGCTTGAGTTCGGGCGATATGAAGTGGTTTCTTTAATTCGCGGTCATTTAACCCGCGCTTTGTCAACTCTCCGCCCATCATGAAGGCCCCTGCCAGTGGTACGGGCTCAAGCCTGGCGAAGGCGATCATTATAACTTCTGGCGTTGCAGCTCTGGTAGCCTCGCTACTCTCTCTCGTGTGAGTCTTCTGCTTTTTGCTCTCTTGGATTTGGCTTTTTTTGGCCTCATCAATAGCCATACCCCAGAACTCTTAAGCTAACGTCTGCCTGGAACTTACAGATCGATATGGTTTCAAATGTACGACCTTTGCTCACAACTTCCCACCCTCTCGAGAACGAATACTGAAAAGGAGCTTGATTTAGGAAAAATTATCGAAAGCCGTTACTCCAAAGATATGTTGTGCGCATATTATTGATGTTAGTACATGGTGGTAGCCTGGGGGCTTCAGGGGCGAGAACGAGAACAAGAACAAGTGCTGATTGAGAACAGGGTGCCAATTTACGCAGCATCATCATGGACAAGCATCATTTCCCTTCGAGCCGCGCAGTTCCTAGATCCGATTCGAGATATTTATGAGGTGGGTTTCTCTGTTTCGAAGCTACGCAGACCCGCTCTGATAATGGACCCCAACAGGCCTTCACCATCTACACCTTTTTCCAACTTCTCATAAACTTCCTCGGTGGGGAGAGATCCGTGATTATCATGGCACATGGCCGTCCTCCAGTCTCGCATGCCTGGCCGCTCAATCATTGTTTAAAGAAGATTGATATCTCCGACCCCCACACATTCTTGGCCGTGAAGCGCGGTATCTTGCAATATGCATGGCTTAAACCTGTTTTGGCACTTGTCTCGATCATTATGAAGGCGACGGATACCTATCAGGAAGGTTATCTAGGTATCACCTCGGGCTACCTCTGGACAGGCATTGTGTACAACCTCAGTGTGACGATTAGCCTGTATTCCCTCGCCATGTTCTGGGTGTGCTTGCATGACGACCTCACCCCTTTCCGCCCCGTCCCGAAATTTCTCTCCGTAAAGCTCATTATCTTCGCTTCATACTGGCAAGGATTCTTCTTGTCCATTCTGCAATGGCTGGGCGCTATGGGCAACGGTCTTGCCGGATATACCCCAGACAATCTGGCAGCGGCAATTCAGGACAGTCTCATCTGTTTTGAGATGCCCATCTTTGCCATCGTGCACTGGTATGCGTTCTCGTGGCACGACTATGCGGACCCAACGATTTCAGCAGCCCGACTGCCAATGAAATACGCCCTGCGCGATGCCTTTGGCATTCTAGACCTGGTTGAAGATACTAAAATTACTATTCGTGGGGAGAACTACGAATACCGGCTTTTCGATTCAGGAGACAACGTCATCGCGCACGAAGAGTCTCATTCGCGAGTCAAGCGAGTGATGGACGGAATGCGATATGAGCGCGGCGGAAAAGCGAAATATTGGATCCCCAAGCCTGGAGAAGCAAACAAACCCGGCGAGATCACCAGTCGCACTCCGCTACTTGCAGGCGGGGGAGACTCAAGCCAACGTGGTCGAAGCGAACGTGGTAGTCGCAGTTCGACCGAGCGATATCGATCATCGTACAGCGAAATTGAAAGCGCGATGGATGATGAAGATGAACGACTTTTCACGAATGCACGAGCCCTGGAGTTCGGAGATTGGAATGTAGGTTGAAAAGTGCCAAGCTCGCTCAGGGTCCCACGGTGTCGTTTCGCAAACGCGAGTGCTAACTAACTTCCGACAGTATCCGGTGATTACAGCCAACGAAGTCCCCAGAGATCAACGACTGTCAGCCAGCCAGAGTTATCAAGGATCATCTCAGGCGGGAGGTGATGTGAAAAAGGCCCGTTCGCATCGGAAAGGCCGAGCATCGGGCAGTGAAGGCAGACGCCATGCCAACAGCGCCAGCGCCAACGCCAACGCCAACGCCAACACCAACAGCTCCCGTAGGTCCAGTCGGAGCTCAGAGGCGCCTCGTCCCTTGCAGCGCAATGCCAGCTCGAGTAGTTCACAGAAGTCGCAACCCAGCCAACGAGTGGATCTCGTGGTGGAGGACCATGAGGCTGAAGAGGAAGAGCGAGTCCAGACCCAGCGGGAGTTGGGCTCTGCTTGGGCGGGTGGTGAAACCCGACAATTTTCGTAAGTCCATTGTCCTCCCTTCACGATTGGTCCACAACTGTACACAACCAAGATTGGATTGACCCTGTTCTCATTTTCCAGGAGACCGACCAACCAGCCAATCGAAGAGGAGATTGAGACCGAAGCTCCGGCTAGGGAAGCCCCGGCTGAACCTACCCAGGACGATCGCGAGCATCGGTCCGGTCGTTGGGCTTACGATGGAATGGAGGAGGACAATAACGTATGGGGTCGATAGAAATAGGATTTTCTGTATTATTCTTTTATTTTTTTAGGGTTTTCAACATCATCTTGGGTGCTTTACCTGTCACTTTTCTTGTTTCCCACGGCTCGGCCCCAGTAAAGTTGTAGTCGCGAACTCATGGGGCCCCTCTTTCCCTCATCGAAATCTCGAAACGACATTCTGAATCGAAATGAAACAGATGAAGCCACGGGTCCCAAGGTGTACACATGTGCCAATGTGCCAGCAATGTACTGGCCCCGGCCCCTCCTCTACGCGCCCGACCCACTGCAGGACCCTCCCGCTACGGATATACTTAGCACTCCGTACTCCAGATCTAGCACCTACTTGTGCCATGACAGAAGCTCGATAAGCCCAAATGTGACATCTCCACATGATCCTGGCGAATCAGGCACCATATTTATCCCCGCTAAGGTGATCGTCACCAACGATGGTGTGTGCTCACACTGTGAGCAACAGGATATTTTACTCGTCCGGGTTTAGTTCGCGCTCCTTAGCGGCCCCAGGGGTCTCTCATTCTACCGTCCCTGGACGAGTAAGGAACTCTGTTTGCCCATGGTGTATGCGCATTGGGGGGGGTATCCTCGTCCTGTCGGGGTGGGGGCTGGTCCTTAGTTCTCTTCTCGTACGACTCGTGTCGTCGCTAGCAATCCGTTTCGTTCCTTTCGATTTTCCTTACTATTTGTTTCTTTGTCCGCTCCCATTCTTTGTTGCTCCTCTCTTCTTGAATTTTCGCCTTCCGGCAAGGTGATGGATTGATTCCCAAACGCGCTGGCCGCCATGTCGCTGGCTTTTGAACAAGCTGGATCGCTCTTCACCGGCTGGTTTCGGTCATGCGTCTCATGTTTATCGCCGCATGAAGAGGTGCAGGAGGGACAGAGGGGTCGAGAGACGAAGGAAAGAGGTACGTTGCACCAAAGTGAACCGAACTCCAGGGACTCGGAGTATATTCATGTCTATCTATCAGCGGCTAATCTATCGTCCCTGGAGTATAGGCGTCGAACGGGAGATGCAAGTATGCCATACCCAACCGCATCTGGTTCCTCCCATGAAACTGGTCGTGTACGATGATCTCCCCAGTCCCGGTGGTTATCATAATCGCCAGCGGAGCTCACTATCATCATGGGTAGTTGAGGGGAGAAACCTCGCGTCACGGGCCTCAACCCGTGCAAGTATGTCCTGGAAGAGACAATCAACAATCCCCTTGAAGATTGGCGCACCGTCCGATTTTCGTCGAGTCGACTCCTTCCATCTCGACTCGATGCCAGCGTTGCCAAAGCAGTACCGGCCCCTGGAACTGAGCATTCACCGATCTGGCCATCGGTTATCAGACTTGCCCTCGTTCGAGGAGTTCCAGCTGGAGGACAATCATCAACGTCAGACTATAGCGTCCCCTCCACGGGCCTTCACTCCGCCTGGTATTCGAGCCCGACGCTGCCAATCTAGTCATGCTGCAGTATCCGTATCTCGAAAGCCAGTCGGCTCGGGAGATCGTCTATCATCTGTATACCTTGAGCATCCCATCAAAGCCCCCAAGCCAGTCCGCATTGCGAGCACTTTGATCCCCCATTTCTCTCTCGTCAACCCCATTGAGACAACTATACACGAATCAGATCTCAACATGCCATTCTTCGACCAGTCCAGCTGGGAATCAAACGTCCTCTCACTAAAAACCTCAACCTCAAACCACGCCGAGACTCAAACTCTCTCATCAGAGTCAGACTCAGAGCGAGAACCCCAAACACCTCGTCCCAAAGGCACCGACCCCAGCGACTCATCCACCTTCACCAACTCACCTTTCTCCACCGGAGACTCCCCATCAACCGCAAGTTCACGAACAATGCCATCCCGCCTCTCCTCTCTCCGCCGTCCCTCAACAGCCGAAAACCGCAACACCATCGCCGCAGCGCCCCTACCCGCACTCCCCAGTCGAATGTCGCAGTGGTTCTTCCCCGGTAGCAAAGTATCCGGATCCGGATCCCCATCCAAGCCAGTCTCTCTCGCCGGCGAAAATGGGTTCGCCTGGGAACGCACCCGGACGCTCAGCGGTACGACTGTCGGCTCAACGGTCACGACTATCACCGGCGGTGCGAGTACCCGACGACCGAATTTCTCTGTCTCGAGTACTTTCACTGCCTCGTCAACGCCCAGGGCATCGATTTCGGGAGCCACCCCAACCCCCGGTACAGAGAAGGATATTGATGCTGGCTTTTATCATCCCACTATCTTTGAGGGTCGTTCGCAGCATCATCTTTCCCAGACTGATTCCCGGGCTGAGGAGTTCTCGAGGTATGACGGGACCAATGTTGGCCTGGCCTTTTAGGGCTTGCTTTAGTAGTTACTCTTAGCTGGGGTTACGTTGGCAAGCGGCAAGGCACTAAGTGAATTTCTCGCTTGGTTCAAAGACTTTCAAGGTTGCTATTTGGATTTGCTGGAAATTTCTATATAATTGTGCGTTGCTTTTGGTGTTTGTGATGGAATACCCCTTGGATATTGATTGGTTCTTTTGAGTTTTTCTTGTTTGAGATTTTGTGGTTGGAGATAAAGATCTGTATCCTGGTATTAGTATACAGTTAGTATTAATGGGTAGTTGAATCAAAGCTAGAGTGATTTGCAATGTATATGTTCGTTTTCGCCTGGGCGTTTCCAAGGTTCGCCGACCAACTAGTACTAGTAGTAGTTTAAGTACGACCTCGGGAGCACCTCACCTCATGAGGCTCTTTTAAGATATTGCCATGGTTTACGAATACGATCCGGTCAACTAGAGACTACCTATTCAACACGTAACTATCCATTGCATTTTATACAACATAAAAATAGAGACCTAAACCCTGGAAACAGTCTAGCTGATCGCCCGGTTCGCCTTCTCAAAGCCCCAGCATGTCGGGATGAAAAAAGCACAGAGATGATATGTAAAGAATGTGCAGCAAGGGGTATCTTGTCAAAGCCACACACAAAGAAGAAACAAGAAGAGAAAAATATCGATGCTATACATGAAAAGCCAAAAGTCACAGAATCCCCGGAGAACAATGGGCCAACTAGTCCGAGGACACAATCTCCAACCCATCCGCAGCAGGCATACTCACCGAACCATTCTTCCGATGATTCTGATTCTGCATACCAAGAATTTGCCACGCTCGACCCATCATCCCATGCCCAAGTCCCTGAGGAAATTCAACAGAGGCTTTATGAGCATGTTTCGGCATACGATCACGCAGTGCACGTTCGCGCTTAGCAGCAGCCAAACGATCCTGTTCACGCTCGTGATGGACAATATCGTCGCGCCATTCGGCCCAGTGCTCGAAATTCTCGCGTTGCTGGAGAACCTGGTAGCGGAGACGAGACTTCGAGGGTCGCCATGCGTTGCGGTTGGTCTTTTCGTCCTCCTCGCCCGTCGTTGTGGGGGCCATTGTGGACTTCAAGTCGCAGACGCGAGTTTCCTTCGTCAATTTGAGGAGATGGGTCAAGACATCGCGACTTTCCAGCGCTGTGCGCTGAATCTTCTCTTGCTCGACGGTGGGGGTTGTCCGGGTAAGTGGTGCATCCAGCCAGGCGTGCAACTCCGTCGACCGCTGTACAGAGTAAGGGTCAAGAAGGCTTGAGCGACGGCTCTCCTCCCGGAGGAAACGAACGGCAGATTGCAAGCTTTCAACCTCAGCACGGAGGGTTTCATTCTCCTGCATCGCGGCGAGGGAGGCCTCGTTGTCAATAACGATGCCATCTCCGGTGGTGGTCACGCCGGCAGCGCCAGACATGTGCTTCAGTTTCTCGTAACGGGATTTGATTTCCTCGCGTTCTTTTTCCACAGCCTGGAGTTCGACTGCTTGTCGCTCTACAAGTTTTTGGAGCTCGGATTCAGATGACTGGAATTCTTCGATCTTCGCTTCCAAATCCTTGACCATGGAAGCTTTCTTGCTTGTCTCACGCATGCGTGACTCGAGGAGCTCGATTTTGATTCCTCGCTCTTCGAGGGTGTTATCTTTGACTCCAAGAGCTGTAGAAACCTCGTGCACCTCATTCTTCAAGCGACGAATTTCCTCATCCGCATCCGGTGAAATGGTCTTGTTTGACTTTAATTCCTCCGCTCGAGCGATCCAAGGGAATGCGCCTCTTTCGAATTCGACTGTACGAGAGAGATTCGAAGAAATTGAGTCAAGCCCATCGAGCTGGCCACCCAGGTCGCGCAATCTGTTCAGAAGCAGTAGAATTGGATCATTGGGATCCTGAGGGCCATCCTCGGACGCCACAATACCTGCGAATGACTGAGCCATGCTGTCCACAATCTCTTGGAGAGCAAATGGTTCTGTGCGACTTTCATCACTAGTAAGAACCACAATATTGTGGGCAAGTTTTCGAGTCAATTGGGAGAGTTCACGAGTAGCGCTTTCATAATTTTTGAAAGGCTCATCAGCATCCTCTCTTAAAGGTGCCATGGATCGTGATCTCAGTTCTTCAAGAGCCCGAGAAATCTTCCCGGTAGCCACCTTCAAGCCACGAGCCTGGGAAACGAAGACATCAAGCTGTTTGAGAGTGAATGCGTTCTCCTCACTGCCACTGCCTTCTTCGGATGATTCCTCTGGAGCTGCAAGTTTTGAAGCAATCAGGGCCCTGATATTTGTGATACCGCTGGCAGCATGATCAAGGTATGACTGGGAAAGGCTCGCACGCATACACATCTCGTCGGCAAACATTTCCGGGGTCGATGGGAGAATAGTCTCTGCCAGGTGTGCAAGCAAAGCAATGGACCGGTGTAGTTCCACGCCAAATTTCTGCATGTTCACCTCGTTTTTCTTACAGTTCTCAACCCAGAAGTTCAGTGTGCGCTCGACAGGCTCCATTTCGAAAAGAGCAGCCTTGGTGTTTATAAACTCGTCTGGAGTGCATGCACTAATATGGTTGACAAACTGATTACAGATGGTCGCAATCCAGAGCAGCTGTTCAATAACTTCATGGGAATGGAAAAGCTCGTCCGGGGTCGCGAGAGTAGACTCGTCGGAAATTTTCTCGCGGATAGTGTTGTTCATGATGGTAGCCTTGTAGCTGACGCGCTTGAATCGGAGGAGAGCCAAGACCGAGTTTCGTTCCCCGTCAAAATATTCGGGAAGGTATAGCTTGATGATCGAAAGGTGTTGTACCGCTTCCTCTGCCTCCATCCGGTTAAGTTCCACGTCAATTGACTTAGTCTGAGCCTTGGACACTGAAGCTTGGAGCTTCATATTAAGGTTCATCATGGCTCTTGAGCGAGTTGTGAGGTCTGTAGCTTCGGCTTCAGAAATCTGTTGAGATGACCGCATGTCTTCCAGATCAGTCTGTAAATTGGTGACCAATTCTCTGAAGCGACCCAGTGTATATCCCAACTCCTCGATGGCCTCCTCTTGCTGCTCGTTCTTCTTGACCTGTTCATTGAAGACAGTTTCTTTATAATCAAGCTCTTCCTGAAGCTGCTTCTCGTTCTCGATGTGGGTATATTCCAACTCGTCACTGATCTCCCTCAAAGCTTCTAGATCTTCGATAGCAGCCTTGAGTTCATTAATTTCCTCCTGATAGCGCATATTCTTGTCGGCTAGCTCTTCGATCATTTCTTCGGCACCCAACGCAGTCTCAAGCTGTTGCTTGAGATCGTCGACATTCGTCTCCGCAACGAGAAGTCTCTCCTTCGCAGCTTCATAGTCAGACTTGACGGCAGAGTACTCTTCCAGGTCTTGCTCCAATTCCTTGATCTGATCTTTAAGGTCTCCCTCCTGCTGCTGTGTCATGTCCCGCAGACGGATAAGCGCCTCGCGAAGTCGTTCGTTGGTCTTCTCCATCTGCAACCATCCATGGCTGGATCGATCTTCCGGATTGGTCTCGTTGCTGAACTCTTCGTTCTCTTCGCGAAGAACTTCCACTTCCAAGCTAAGCTCCTCCATCTTGGATCGAAGCGCTTCGCACTCATGCTTGTATGCCTCGGACGTTTCCTCCGCCATCTCTCTATCAAGAGTTGCCATCTCCATAAGCGAGTCATGCTCGGCTTGCATTCGCTCAACCTCTTCGAGGCGAGCCTCGGTTTCCTTCAGCTTTTTGCGCAACTCAGTGATCTCCATCTGCTGCGGTGAATACTTGGCTTGTAGCTTTTGAATGATATTCTCGAACTTGTCGCGCTCGGTCTGCACTTGCTCCAGTGACTTGAGCTTCTCCCGATCTTCAGAACGCTTCTTTTCCATGACACGGAGCTTTGTGTGAAGTTCTTCTAACTCCCTGGTCACCGCTGCATTTTGGATGGGCCGGGATGATGTACCGGCGGCACTTGGACGCGTTGTCGCGGGTCTGGCAGTCAAAGATTGTCTGGAAGCTTTGGGCGCAGGCGCTGGAGCGGGAGCAGGCGTTCGTCTTTCATCTTGAGGAGTTTCACCTTCCGCGTCAAGAGAATCCGCATCGGTTGGCTCTTCTGACTGGCCGCTTGCCCCGGTTTCTCCGCCATCCGAAGCCTTTGTTGGGGCAATCCGCCGCAAAGAAGGTCGTTTGGATAGTCCGGCAGCTGTGCTAGACACCGCGGATCCTGCTCGCGAAGTCCTTGTAGATGCCCCAATAGTCGAGGGTCGGCCAGCCCTGGCAGTGGGCTGGGTCGTAGATGCACCGGTAGAGGGTCTGGAAGCATGAGCAGCCGGGCGAGGTCTGGTGGCAGTGGGGGCGACGGTGGAAGTGCGGGCGGCACCTCCTAGCGATGAACGGCTCGAGGCTGCAGAAAGCTGCTTCGTCGGGGACTTTGTAGGAGACTGCAGAGGAGAAGGCTAGTTAGTACGATTTGCGGTAGCGGGACGGGGAGAAGGTATGATACCCTGATTGAAGTTCGAGGGGCCATTCTTGGTGCAGGTGTAGGCGATCCAGTCGCATTGGTGCTCTGTCGCTTGACAGCCGTCGCAGGCAGCGCACCGGGTTTCCTTGCACCAGGAGTGATTCCGCTTTGTCTGCTGGCAGCAGCAGCGGGGGCGGGTTTGGCGCTTTGTTTACTCTCCCGCGTTGGCTGTTCAAGAACTGCGGCGATTGCCGTTGGGCGAATGAACATGCCGTATCCTGGCTCACAATGAAAGTACCGTTCACCCTGTACCTGGCCATCGTTCTTTCCAGTAGCGTCGTCCAATTCAACGCCAATCCAATCTCCAACGGCGAAGTGGGTGGTGCCGAGGAAGCGGACCGTGGCCTGTCGCCCATCGGTCAGGCTGATGACCGAACCCGGGGAAATCTCTTGTCCGGTCATCGCGAGTGTAGGGATCAATGATCCACGACGACGAACAGTTGTTGACCAAAAGGAGGGGTGGTTTGATGTTGTTGGTGGCAGAGGAGAGACGGGATGCACTAAAGGAGTCCAGTCCGGCCAGGAGCTCTAGACGCGCTCCGCCGATCGATTGTCGCCTGAGGCAGAAACATTATCATCAACGGAGACTTGCATGATTGATAGTTCACTACGATAGATTAGGCGTTCTTGTGTTTTGGATTCATTGTAGTCTTGGATTCATTAACATGATAATCTATTTCCTTTCCTTGGTATCCCACTGTCTAAAGTCGGACAAAACAAAGGACGTCTTTCCGAGACCTGTCCCTGTCGCAAGTCTAGTATCAACAAAAAGGGCCTCTAGGCCCATAACAACATAATTCTAAACCGCGTCACTTCCCTGCGATTTGAAAATATCAGGGAAATGGGTTCGAAGCTCCTCCAGGCTCGAGATCTGATATTTAGAGGCAGGGATACGTGGGATGGTGACACCCGGTTCCACCAAGTGAACTGTCGTCCACCCCCGAGCTTGGGCATGTGTGCAATTGAGGTGCGAATCGTCTGTACATTGGACATGGTAAGTTAGCGGCGAACGGGTAGCAAGATAAAAGACGAGGCACCCCGTGGGCCTGATTGACGTACCGACAAAGTAGCACGATTCCGTGCTGGGAACGCGGGCCTCCTTCTCTGCCTTGGCATACATGTCCTGGCTGGGTTTGCAAACCAACGGTAACTGGCCATAGTCACAATAGGTGATACCTTCAAAAAGGTCTTCTACTCCTAGCAACTTGACCACCCGTTTTCCGTGGTTGACATAGGCATTGGTGAGTAACCAAGGTTTCACCTTGGTGGTGTCGAGGCTCTCCAACAGCTTGCGCAGCTTGGGATTCGGTTTCAGGATCCTATCGAGAGGAAGGGCATCATCCACTTCTTCATTGAATTCAAGAGGATCAATTTGGTGGTGGCGTGTCAGGCCTTCAATAGCCAAGCCGTACTCCTTATAGTACTTTTGGTGGAGCATGTGGGCGTCCTCCGAAGTAAGCTCCAGATGCTTGACGAAGAACTTATCTGAAGAAATCTGTCAGCTTTTGCATAACATTGTCACCGATTCCAGGGTCATCTACTTATAAGTGTCTGCATTTCATCGTGAATGTTGCATGCTAGAAGTAGTTGTCAGTATAGCTTCGGAGCTCAAATATACCAGAGCAGAACTGTACATTTAGAGTAAAGCTAGACATCAAAAAATAACGTTAGCCAGCTATGCGACCATTCGACCATGCGAATCTACCAGTCCAGACGTACACAATTGTCAATATCGAAGAAGAACACGGGCCGTGAGTCACTTCCATTTGCGCCGTTGACTGCTGTCATTGTGGAGTTCCAGCGAAGGATGAAAGGAGAACCAGGTGGAGACTTCGGTGAGAATGAAACAGGACGTAGGAATTGACTGGTTAAGCGACCAAATGCACGATGCATGGATAAATTGAGATGGCTTCAAAGTTATCAAGAAAGCTGGGGCAAAACCCAAGGTAGAAATTCAAGGCTGGGGAACCTCGGGGGGCAATCACGGGACCTCATTGGTTTCTGACGTTAGCGCCTGCCGCAGAAAAACGCGACCCGCGATCATCTTTTTTTACCGCTCCCTTTTTTAGTTGATGAGCTTAAAGGTCCTGGAACTCGCAGCGCGATTCCAAATCAGAAAGGCAGGGAGATTCAAAAGTCATAGCACTTTTCAACTGCCTTGCAAGCAAAAGAGACACTATTCAGAGTTAATCTCAGCCGTCTTCAACTTGAAGCAGCTCTCTCCCCCTTGAGATCATGGCTACGGCACATGGTTCCACTACTCACCTTCCAACAGGTCCGATGGCTGCCACCGCAGCAATAACTGCAGACGAGGTCCAGGAATACGAGCGCATCTTGAAAATCAGCGATGACATCTTCGCAGGCTCACATCCACGCCTCAGGGTCCCCCAGCAATTTGTGCGCAAGCCTACAGCACGAAATGTCCAAAATGGCACCGCGTCCACCCAACCTGCGAAGATCAAGCCCTCGAACACCCTCGCTGAGCATGTCGCCGTTCTTGAGACCTCGTCTGAATCCCCACGTCGCAGTCAAGGTCAAGGTCAAGGCCCAGTGGCCAGCAACCTGCCGTCCACGGCCACCCGCATAGCTCCCAAACCCGCCTCGGAAATTGACCCTATCTTCTTGACCAAGTCAGATGATTTGGTGAGAGCAGAGCTTCAGTTACAGAGGCAGAGGCTGGAAAGGACTTTGCGGGACCAGACGGAGCATCTGAAGTATGAGGTGAAGAACAAGCTCGCAGCCCAGGATACGAAACCTGGTTTCAATGTCTCGCAATTGTTGGAACGAGCACTGCAAATCGCGAATCCCGTTTCTATGGGCGAACCTCCCGAGACAAATGGGCCGAGCGATTCCTTCGATGAAAATTCCTTCTACTCCAGTAGAGCTCCTGACTCGACTCCGCCTCTTGAAGAGCAGCGAAGACCATCTCCTCCGGTGGCACTGACTCAAGTGGCGGACACGGCCAAACGCGCCCCGGTAGAGCCATATGCAGATGAGTTGCAGCGACTTGAAGCTCTGAATCGAACTGGCTCTGATCAGGAAATGCAAGATGCTTACTCTGTTGCTGACCAGCGCGCCCCTTACTCTCAGAAGCAGCCTCTCCCCGCTCAAAACCAGATCACCCACCAACCCCAAGAGCCTCAGCAACTAGATGTTCTGGACGAGCCTGAGTATTCCCCTCCTGCCCCGATTGCCCCACCTCTCAATCAAAGAGCCGTCCGATACCAAGAAGGTGTGGCAGGAAGTGTGCCGAGGCCCAGATACACCGAACAGACCCGGTTCGCGCAAGAACCAGTCTCCCCGGCCAACAATGTGAAGGTAGTTCGCAACCACATCACATCACCTGCTGCTCCGAGACCATCGCGAGTTTCACCGCTAGCGACCGCCAAAGTACCCTCAGTTCAACAACTCCGAGACGAGCGCCTTAATCATGACTCTGACCGAATCTACTCTGATCCTGACTCCGGCCGTGGCAGTCCCAATGGCCCAGCTCCGCATATCGTCTCTCGAAAGCGAAGGCGTTTACAGGGCAGAGGAGAGGAGTCTCCCCAGGTTTCCTCGAGAATAACCGACGCCGATCAATCCGAAACGTTTATCAAAGAAGAGCCGGTCTCGCCCCCTCCATTCGCAGACGATCCCGCCATTGTCCGCAACAGGACGACCCAAGAACGTCCTGTGTATATCGACATTGCTTCGCCACAATACACGCCAGTGGCTGAGAGGCAAGAACATCACGCTCAGCGACAAATCTACGAACCAATCTCTTACCATCAACTCCCTGTTGGCCAGGGGCCACCACGAGCAGTTTCTTCTCGAATGAGTACTAGGCGTCCTATTCGTGAAGATGATGATTTGCGCCGTGTTGCCAGTATGCAGTACGCCAGCCGGTCAGAATATCCGAGGGAGTACCTGCCAGTCGACCCTAACAGCAGCCGCGCTGCGTCCTACTCGGTCATCGATAGGCCACAACCAGAACATCCCGGTTACTACGAAGAAGTCCCTCATTCCTATGGTCCCAGGTATGTTGCTGTGGACGACATGTCTCAACCAATATATCGCGAGCCATACTATGAGGAGGCACCTCCGCAGCGGGTCATGGCCGCGCCTCGCAGGCGTATTGTGGACGAGAATGGCGTCGAGTATGAGGAAGTGATCCCGGCACATAGGATGCAGCCCATGGCTCCACCCGCTCGACCCATGTCCAGAGTACCGCGAGTCGAAACATACGATGACCGAGTCCCCGTCCGCGCCCCAAGTGTCCGTGCCCAATCCGTCGTTCAGGATCCATACATTGAACGCAGATACGTGCAGGAGATGCCACCACCACAACCACAATATTACCGTCGTGTCACGGCAGATTATGCCCGTCCCGTCGCCAACGATCGACGAGCCTACGCCGCGCCGTTGGAAGGAGGCCACGAGCCCTATTCTCGCAGCGGTAGCGTCCAAGTCGCTGAATATGTTCCTCGTCACTCAAATTACGTAGATGAGCCTCCCGCTCCTCCTTCCGAGAGAGTCATGCGAACAGCAAGTGTCCGGCCCCAACTCGCTCGGTATGAAGAACCACATGAGATTCCCCAGCAGCGGGTTGGAAGTATCCGACCTGGGCCCAGTCGGGATGTCAGTGTGATCGTGGATGATCGTCTTATGGGCGACTACGTTGAGAGGCCGTATTATATTCGTGAGCGACGATTTTATGATGGGGAGGATGGAGGATCTCGTGTGGCGTTAGATGGTGCTGCGGATTCTGTTCAGCGTGTTCAAGTTCCGAGACACTACTAAATCTTATCTGTTCATTTTGCATATCTGGTAGCGTTGGGCAGCATTTATCAGTCCTAAATTCATACTCTTACGAGAACGTATCTGAGATATCCATATTGCCCTAGAATAACTTGAAATAGATAATACAGTTTCCCGAGATGGGCTGCTAAGGTTACCGGTTCCTTCTTCCCTGCATTGCCATTCCATTGAGCCCTTTTAGTCACCACAATTCCCCCAAGAGTATATGCAGGAACACCGTGACCTTGCCATCCATGATAACTAGTAGGTGACTTAGATATCCGAGACCGGGGCCCTACTCGGGTAGGACGGGTTCGAAGTCGACTCGGAATTCGATACGGCGCGAATATATAAGCGACCAGAGCCGAGAAAACTTGAACGCGGAGCAGGAAACGAACTTGAATGAAGCCGAAAATAACCCTTTATCAAAGTCAGCAAGTCAGAATCCTGAAATGTGATGCCAGCAATCGCATTAGTTCATCAAGTCCGAAAATCATTTGGGGAATGTGTGCCATTTATGCAGGAGCTTCGAAGCCCACGACGCCCTTCCTAGCCGCATCAGAGTGACAATGGTTATCAACACTATGTGCTTCTGAAACCCAATCATTTGCATCATTTGCGGTCTAGGAGTGTAGGCTTTCTCGAACTGGGTATGAGGACAATCAAGTCCAGCGGCGTCGTAACGTACTGGGCGTTGGGAGAGATATGGTTCGTGTGCCAAGGAAGAACATGGGGTGTTTGTGGGTCTTTTGCATTTCACTGACTTTTTTTTGTATTGAATCTTGTGTTCGTGACTTCGACCAAAATGAGGTATCGTTATTGTGGATAAGAACTTGAGGGAGCGGAGTTTGCCGGTGTGGGAGGGAGTATACAATTGGAAAAGAAATACCTAGGGAGGCAGTCACCACCCAGTACTTACCCACCACCTGTAACTACCAACTACCAACTACTCAATTCCACTTGATCGAAGAAATAGTTCTATTGTTACTCAATCATGACTACCTAGTAGCAAGTATTATCACGCATGGCATAAGCCGAGATTATTTAGAGAAGAACCTTATGCCTCCGTCCTCCATCGAGAAACAATTCATGAAATCCGAAAACAAAAACAGCGAACAATAGACGTCACGGATACCTGGTTTTTAGTAGTAACAGTAGCAGAGTCCTAAGGCATCAAACAAACACAAGACAAGGCAAATACTACAATTATAATTCTCTATAGCTGGAAGGAACAGACTACTTGTATAGACCTTGGAAATGGTTTCTGACTATAGTAGGTGGCCAGTTACCTAACCTAGTGAAACCTGGGGACATTTTGCCTCTCTATTCCAGCTCTAGGCCCCCTTCTAATTTTTCCCAATCTAATACTAGTAGTAGATACTCTGATACTAGTTGTCAATGGAGCAAACGTTCTTCGAATCTGACTAGTACTATTCTGGAGAAGTAGCCCAATCTTCGACCAGTAACTAACTACCTGATACTTAGTGTTAGTGTCATCGCGGTTAGGTGACGTGACCCACATATCTCCAAATCGGTACTAGTACGGTACCCTAGGGTAGGTGCGAATCTCCAATGGCGGCTGCCAGTGGGTATACCGTATGTCTATAGATCTAGCACGCCCCAGTGAATGTCAACAATCCTCTTTAATCCGCTTTCCATTTCCTTCTTCCCACTCCTTCCTGCCCACTCACTTCCTCTATCCATTCCCCTCTTCCCCTTCCCACTCCCCTCTGCCACTCCCTCTGCTCAGTTCGCTGCTCCTCGCTGCTCGGTTTCCTGCTCAGTTCAGTTCTCGTGTCAGCAAAATGTCATCACCCCCGAGAAGACCAGGCCCTTCCGGGACACCCCACTCTCGAAATCCAAGCTCTTCCGGGCCTTCACTTAAAACAGTGAGTTCTTTTGTGTCTTCTTTTCATTTCAATACTGATAATCAAGCTAGATTTTGGATCAGAGGCTGGATCACTACAAAGAAATCGTCTCCAAGAAGAAGGAGGAGAAGGACATGACCAAGGGGTTCCTCCTTGACTTTTTCAAGATCCTTGACCCCAAAGGCCAAGCCCATCTGGCACAGGACGTCTCAGGATGTGCAACCGACGAGCTCCTCCGACTACTGGTCAAAAGCCTTACCGATTGCCTGTTGGGTCCCATGAAAGGAGCAGGCGGCAAAACATCCTCTAATCCAACCCCAATGGTTCCGCGGCTGGGTATCGAGGACTCAATCGACAACATGGTGGCGCAAGACCATGATCCGGTCACCAGGGGTGCCCAGAAGGCACTCCGAAGGAACTGTATGCAAAGAGACGGCTCTAGATGCGTCGCATCACGAGCCTGGCAAAACGGTCTTGAGAATATCCCAGATGATGACGACACGGCCAATCTTGAAGCTGCCCACATTCTTCCCTTCAATCTTGGATCCTTCAATCGCAATGACTCGCAAGAAGTTCTGAAACATGCAAATACCTGGGTGAACATCAACCGCTACTTTCCGACTCTTAAGACCATGTCATTTACCTCGGAACATCTCAATGCGGAGAAAAACGCCATGATGCTGGACAGAACGCTTCACTTCGAATTTAGTGCATTCAGGATGTGTTTTGTAGCAACCGGCATCCGCAACCAGTACCACATAAAGACTTTTAAAGACATTCCGTCGCAAGCACTCAAATGTCTACCTACTAATCGTCTTGCGACGTTCCAGTCACACAGCGGAAGCTGGGAACTCCCGGATCCCGAGCTCCTAAGAATCCATGCCCAGCTCGCAGAATTTTTCCACATGAGCGGCCACGGAGAGAGGATCGACAAAATCCTCAGAGATTATGAAGAGCTCGGAGTTCTTGCTTCCGACGGAAGCACAAACGTGGAGGATCTGCTTGCGATCCGCTTGTCGTCTCTTCCCCTCAATGTTAGAGAGCGATCTGATTCTGAGTCAAAGCCATCAGGAAAGCACCCTCTTTCCAAGGAGCAAGGAGGTCCGTCGGAAAATGTCAGGCCGAGATCCGACTCTGAGTCTAAGGCGTCTGGAAAGCATGTTGCGCCCAAGCGAGGAGGCCAGCAACCAAGCCCCTCCGGCCCAGAGAACAAGCCATAGCGACGCTAGTTTTTCGTGGGCAAGGAAGTTGTGAAGGCGCCGTCGGTTCTGGGTTACAGTCTTGTTAGTTCGAGGTTACGGTCTTGTTAGTTCGAGTTTAAGGTCTTTGTCGGTTCTGCTCTGTGTCTTTGCTTCGGTTCTGCTCTGTGTCCTTGCTTCGGTTCTGCTCTGCATCTTTGTCGGTTTCGCTCTGTGTCTTTGCTCGGTTCTGCTCTGCGTCTTTGTCGATTTCGCTCTGTGTCTTTGCTCGGTCCTGCTCTGCGTCTTTGTCGGTTTCGCTCTGCGTTCGAGGGATGAATCTTTTTGAGTCGGCTATTCTGTTGCCCACTCGATGTCACGTGCTTACACATGATGTACCTAGTAGGGGAGTGGATGATGGAAAAGTTCAGACAGATCCTAGATAGTAGGACAAATAGACTTTGTTACTCTCATTATTTGCCTACGTATGTTCGTTAACTAACTATGGAGCGGTGCACGTAGTCTTAGTTTACTATAGTACTTCGCAGCCAGCCAGGGTTGACGTTGTGGGTCAGGCAGATCGGAGCTTGGCACTCGCACTCCACGCGTTAAGTGCGACGCGTCGGAATTTCTCAACATGCCATGAACAATGGCGACCATCAAGGCCATCGAGGCTCATTCGGTAGGCTTACCAGTACTCCTCAGAGTGTGATGGTGCCTCTGTTAACCCTGATTCCTCCAGGTTCATCAAATCCAGTCCGGCCAGGTCATTGTTGACCTGTGTTCTGTTGCCAAAGAGCTGGTCGAGAACAGCCTCGATGCGGGCGCAACCACAATCGGCAAGTGCTTCTCCTGATAATAACATGTGGAAAATGCTCAGATCAACTCTAATACCTTTTGAACAGAGGTCCGGTTTAAAAATAACGGGCTGGACTTGATCGAGGTTCAGGACAATGGCGGCGGAATCTCGCCGGACAATTACGAGAATATCGGTGCGTCACCCTTGAGAAGAACATCACCGTGCTAGGCGCTAATTCATGCGCTCGCCATTCAGCATTGAAACACTACACCTCGAAGCTATCCTCCTACGATGATCTCTCACGCTTACACACCTTCGGCTTCCGCGGCGAGGCATTGTCATCTCTCTGTGCCCTCGCGAACTTCCACATCGTCACCGCTCAAGCGAATCAGGCCCCCCCGCGCAAACAAACTCGACTTCGAAGCTTCCGGAAAGCTGCAAAAGACACAAATAGTCGCCGGGCAGAAGGGGACTACCGCTTCAGTAGAAGGGATCTTCAAGCGACTTCCAGTCCGCCGGCGCGAATTGGAAAAGAATATCAAACGGGAATATGGGAAGGTGTTGAATCTCCTGCATGCGTACGCATGTATCAGTGCTGGCGTCCGGTTCAGTGTTAAGAACACCGTTGGCAAGACGAAAAATGTCGTCGTTTTTTCTACCAACGCGAACCGCACGACGAGGGAGAACATTGCCAATGTATATGGGGCGAAAACTCTTTCTGCGCTGATTCCATTGGACCTGAAACTGGAATTTGAACCATCTGTTTCGATGAAACGCGCAGGTGGGGGGAACAAGTCGAACCAGATGGTTGTTCAAGGTCATATCTCTCGGCCTGTCTTCGGAGAAGGGCGTCAGACTCCGGATCGACAGATGTTCTTTGTCAATTCCCGACCTTGTGGTCTGCCTCAGATTGCAAAGGCTTTTAATGAGGCTTATAAATCGTTTAATGTTTCGCAGTCGCCGTTTATCTTTGCGGACTTTCAGATGGATACGGATGCTTACGATGTGAATGTATCGCCGGACAAGCGACAGATTCTAATCCATGATGCTGCTGCTTTGATCGAGTCTCTCAAGACGTCTCTAGTGCAGCTTTTTGAAACTGCTGACCAGACTGTACCCCAGTCACAGGTGCTTGGCCCAAAGCTTTCCACCCCTAAGCAGCAGGCACTCGGGGCTCTTCCGGGATTCGTCTCAGCTCGCAAACTCAATCAGCTTTCCGATTCCCCTGCCACCCCGTCTCAAGAATCCAAGGCCGAAAAGTCTATTGAGAAAGAAGCTGAGAGCAAGCACCCACCTGCTCGGCATGACATTGAAATCCCCACCAACACCGAGGAAAGCCCACAAGATGTTGAGCCTTCACCTCCAGCTGAAACTACTCCGGCGCCCAGACGACCATCAGCACCACCTAGAGAAGCCACCTCACCTATACAAATGCCAGACAGCACTCCGGCCAAGCCTCGAGGAAAGATCACAGCAGAGTCCCAGTATCAAATAGCTGACGAACGAAGCTCTGAATTGCCCCAGGAGCTGTCTTCGCAACTTTCCGCTGAACCGCAGCCATCATCCGACCATCAGATCGATGAGCCAGAAGAAACGCCAAATGTGGTTCAGAATGCATTTGATAGAATGCGCCCACGCCGTCTTCCTGCGGAAATGGCTACTATTACGATTGGCGGTCATACTGTTAAGTCGGTGGTGGGAAGTGGTCCCCCGCGCAGACGGACTTCAGATCGGAGATCATCGGACAAGGAACGTCCTGCGCGAAAACGGCTTATCCACACACCGTCCCGGCCTAATATATTCGGAAACCATATGAGAGAGTTTGCCGCACCGGGAACACAAACGGAGCCAGATGAGGCTGGGGATGAGGAGGCGGAAGATGGAAGCGAAGGCGAATATGAAGACGAAGACGAGGAGGCTGAATACTCTGCAAGCGAGAACAGTGAGGAGAGCGATGTCGAACAGGAAGCTGAAGAAGAGGAAAAGCCCTTTTCGATGCCTGAGGATACCGATGATGCCCCTGGACAAGGCGAGGCTCGTCACCAACTGGAATCGGAGACGGTTGAAGTAGAAACAGATACCGGCACAAAAGAGCAAGACATGGACGAGGCCGAGAAAAAGGCCGAAGAAGAGGCCAGAGTTCAGCATCTAATCCACCAAGCAGAGGAGAAAGCCATGCTTCCAAGCGAAAACAACATCAGCCGCCTGAACAAGATGAACAAAGGCGCCGTTCATCGCGATGCAACAGTCCACCTAGTCAGCACGATTGACGCCTCGATCTCGCAGCTGCAGTCCCAAATGACAAAATTACGCGAAGGCCTTGAACAACAAAGACAACCCTCTACCGAAGAAGACATCGAAGCCAATGACGGCAAAACGGCCGAAGACCGACTTGCGTTAACAGTAAGCAAGACTGATTTCGCGCAGATGCGCATCATCGGCCAATTCAACCTTGGGTTCATCATTGCCGTTCGACCCGGCGAAACCCGCGACGAGCTCTTCATCATCGACCAACACGCCTCGGATGAGAAGATCAATTTCGAGCGTCTACAGTCCGAAACGATAGTTCAGAACCAGCGGCTCGTCCGACCACAGCGTCTAGACCTCACGGCCGTCGAAGAAGAAATCGTTCTAGAGAACCGCTCCGCTCTAGAGAAAAATGGATTCATTGTCGCTGTTGATGAGAGTGGTGAGGAACCCATCGGTCGACGATGTAGTCTTATTTCTCTCCCACTGAGCAAGGAAGTTGTCTTTGGTTCGCGGGATCTTGAAGAGTTGATCGTTCTCCTGTCTGAGTCGCCGGCCGCTAACTCGGTCTCTGTACCGAGGCCTAGTAAGGTGCGGAAGATGTTTGCGATGCGTGCTTGTCGCTCGAGTATTATGATTGGGAAGACTTTGACTGCGCGGCAGATGCAGCGGGTTGTTTATAATATGGGGACTATTGATAAACCGTGGAATTGTCCGCATGGCCGACCGACTATGCGGCATTTGATGAGCTTGGGGCAGTGGGATGAATGGGATGAATATGGGGAAGGAGAGGATGATAGTCTTGATATCTATCGGCGTTACGTGGAGGAACAGAACCAAGGAGGGGAAGAGGAAGAAGAAGAAGATGATGATGATGGTGATGATGAACTGGAAGCATAAAAGCGATACCCAATAACAGATCAAAACTATATACCGACTAGGTATCAAACTTGAAGGTATATTTAAAACGACTCGCACATTGAAAGCAACCTTGGAATCCATCCAGGCTTACTACTACCTAAGTACCTACCTCGGTAGGTAACTATATATCATCGTACCCACTACCTAGGTACTCATCGCATCTGGGCATTACCACCACCCACTGAACCAACCTTTCCGCACCTCCTCAGGTTTCTTCTTCAAGCTCCCAGCAATTCCATTCCCATTGCTATCTCCATTCGCAACCCCATTCTCCCGCTCCCCCTCAACCTCAACAGGACCAAGTCCATGTCCATTCCCAACCCCACCACTCCCATCAACGTCCATCCCCGAGTCCGAACCACTTCCCCAGCCCCCCCTCTAACTCCCCTCCACCCCCCTCAACATCATCCATCATATCTTCCAAAACCAAAAGATCCCTCTCAATCATCTCCGCCCAATTCTGCACATCCCCAATCTCCTTCAACCCATCACGCGTCTCATCCGCCAATCCGGCCCATTGCGCATTCTGCCTCGCCAGCCGCGCTGTCGTCTCCGCTAACTCGTTTTCCTGCCGCTGTAGGGCCGCGGCGTTGGAGGTTATTGTTGTTGCGCGGTCAAGGAGGGGGGCTTCTAGGTTTGTGCCGACTGAGTGGAGTGTTGCGGTGAAGGCGGCTAGGGCTTCTTTTTTTTGGTGGTCGGTGCCAGTGGTTTCGAGGTCTTGGGTTGCGGGGTTGGTCATGGTTGTTGTGGTTTGCGGGTGGGTGGGGTCTGCCATTTTGGTTTTTGGTGGATGGGCCTTAGGTGTTGGATTCAGGATATACTAGTATGTTTTCTTGTTTCAAGTTCGACCTTGGGGTGGAGTGACGAGGTAGACAGCTTTGTTGAGGGCGGAGTAGTAGAGTAGACTCAGACCCAGACTCGGAGCAGAGGGATAGAAAGAGAAGCTTATGCACGTATACTGTTTGATTTCAAGTCTTGGATTCGCGCTTGTGACAATGATAAACTTGAACCTTGATAACTTGAAATCCACGCAGATCTGCCACCCCACTTGGCGTGGCGTGCTGTCAGCCTGTCGTCTGATCGACCTGCATTCAGTTCAGTTCAAGTTTGCTAGTGCAGGGTGCCAGTGCGGAGAGGTAATCAGATGTGCAACGGTAACTACTACAGTAGCTTGCAAAATCGCCTTGCGCTTTTACACACACTCTAGCCTCTAGAGCCCCACATTATAGGCTGCTGATTGGTTGTCCTACTGCATAGTCACACTTTAGCCGCCAACAGCACGAAGTAGCCCATGCACTTCGACATTCTCGTATGCGCAGTTATTGGCCAAGAATATCATTCGCGAGGTGTGTGCGCGCGGGCCATGCACATAATCTTTAGGCTGATAGCAAATCGTCTTTACGGTCGCAGCCATCCTCGTTACCCCTCCCCTCGTTTTACAACCTAGAGGCCCTTTTGAAGCGAAGGAATATATTATATTTCTACCCATTAACCCCTGCCTTCGCCATAGTTGCAGTGGCAGCTTTTACCAGACAGGTAATTTCTGACATGCCCATTGAAGAGATTAGACCAATCCCCTCGACGAGCATGACGTCCACAATATCGTTTAGGGATTCAAATTCGGGGGGTCAGATAGGCGTGAGCCACGGCCCAGTCACCTACCACTTCCATACGCCAACAAGAGGAACGAGCGAGGTAAATACCAGGCCTTGTAAGTCCACAGAAGCCCCAAGTACGATTGCATACACACTAATTCTCTCTAAGGCGATCAGTCTGAAGTCCACTATGTCATTCCATCCTTGGAGAACCATCACTTTACGGGCCGTGAATCGACGCTGGATGAGCTAAAGCAGAAGCTATTTCTCCAGGGGAATACTGCTGAAAAGGTAGCCCTATTCGGACTAGGTGGCATCGGTAAAACCCAGGTTGCTCTTCAGCTTGCGCGCTGGGTCAAAACGCATATACCAGACTGTTCAATCTTCTGGGCGCCTGCCCTTAGTCTCGAGAGTTTTGAGCAGGCTTGTTCGCAAATCTCCAAAAAGCTTCAAATTGAGCAACATCTAGACGGTGAAAATGCGATGGAGTTAGTGCATCAGCATCTAAGTGCTGAAAAAGCCGGAAAGTGGCTCTTTATTGTCGATAATGCCGATAGCGGGGGCTTGCTCTTCGATGACCTATATCGGTATTTCCCTGCTAGCAAGAGCGGTGTAACTTTGCTCACTACTCGCGACCACGAGGTAGCGTTTTCGTTTGCAGGAAGGGATACAATTTTGCTCGAAAGGATGAGAACAGAGGAAGGGGTTGCCTTTCTCACCAAGATTATCCCACCAGACTCGCTTTGTGATCAAAAGTCGACTATACTGTTACTTGAGGAGCTGAACTTCTTACCGCTAGCTATTGCACAGGCGGCTTACTATATGAGACGAAACACTGGAACTACCAAACGATATCTTCAGCTTATGAGGAAGACCGAAAACGACAGGATGCGTCTAGCAACCAGAGAGTTCTACGATATAACTCGCTATCCAAAAATGTCGAACGCGGTGGCTACCACATGGCGTATCTCGTTCAACCAAATCAAAGGCTCCGATCCCTCTGCCGCGGATTTGTTGGAATTCATATCTTACCTTGAGCCAAAAGGAATCCCAAGACTTGTCCTTCCTATCCTTGATTCAGAGGAAGAGATGGAGTCTGCAATTGGAACATTGTGTAAATATGGATTTCTGACCAGAAGAAAGAATTTGGATATGTTTGATATACATAGCCTTGTACAGCTGGCAACACAACTGTGGATAAGAGAGGCACGGAAGACGCAGCAGATCATCGCGACTGTGACACGACATATGGATAAGTGCTTTCCGTCTGCTAAATACACAAACCGTGAGACATGGAGGACGTGCCTTCCACATGCTCTAGAAATTCTTACAAGAGACGAAAATAAAGATATAAGTGAGCGGTATAGCTTACTTTTTAAGGTTGGGAGATGTGTTCTAGCCGATGGCCGAGCAAAAGAAGCTGTTACTTTTTTCGAGGATGTGTGTGCATGGGATGAAAGGCACCATGATGAAGAACATCCTGATCGACTGGCGTCTCAGCACAATCTCGCAGGGGCATATCAATCCAACGGGCAGATCAAACAAGCTGTAGAGCTACTGGAGCATGTGGTCGCGGTGCGAGAGAGGACGCTTGATGAAGAACATCCTGATCGACTAGCGTCTCAGCATGAACTTGCAAATGTATATCAATCCAACGGGCAGATCAAACAAGCTGTGAAGCTACTTGAGCATGTGGTCGCGGTGCGAGAGAGAACGCTTGATGAAGAACATCCTGATCGACTGGCGTCTCAGCACACTCTCGCAGGGGTATATAAATCCAACGGGCAGATCAAACAAGCTGTGAAGCTACTTGAGCATGTGGTCGCGGTGCGAGAGAGAACGCTTGATAAAGAACATCCTAATCGACTAACGTCTCAGCATACTCTTGCAGGGGCATATAAATCCAACGGGCAGATCAAACAAGCTGTGGAGCTACTTGAGCATGTGGTCGCGGTACAAGAGAGGACGCTTGATGAAGAACATCCTGATCGACTGGCGTCTCAGCACACTCTCGCAGGGGTATATAAATCCAACGGGCAGATCAAGCAAGCTGTGGAGCTACTTGAACATGTGGTCGCGATGCGAGAGAGAACGCTTGATGAAGAACATCCTGATCGACTCACATCTCAGCATGAACTTGCAAAGGCATATCAATCCAACGGGCAGATCAAGCAAGCCGTAGAGTTACTTGAGCACGTGGTCGCGGTAGAAGGGAAAACGCTTGATGAAGAACATCCTGATCGACTCACATCTCAGTATACTCTCGCAGGGGCATATAAATCCAACGGGCAGATTAAGCAAGCTGTGGAGCTACTTGAGCACGTGGTCACGGTAGAAGGGAGAACGCTTGATGAAGAACATCCTAATCGACTAGCGTCTCAGCGTGCGCTCCAACCGCAAACAAGTTAATCAACGCTCTTCCTTGAACAAGTGTGCTGTCCAAGTACGCGTCAGACAGTATCATCTTATTGTTATCTATGCCTTGTGGCAGGACTCACAAGAGATAATACAGTGGTAGTTAGTTGACTAAGCCTCAAACAAGCAATGCGACGGTTCGTCGCAACACCATGTAATATAACGATCCAGAAATAGATGGTGGACTAACCGCATACAGCTAGTAGTATCTTAGCAGTGGAGACTGCCAAAGAAGGAGTGAAAGCAAAAAACGCAAGGCGATTTTGCAAGCTACTGTAGTACTAGCCCTGGAGCTACGCAGTAATACTGTTACTACAGTACTACTACTACTAGTAGAATCTCTAGATATACAAAGATGGATAGATGCTCAACAGAACCTTAATATTAGTACCACCAGAGTCATATATACTCTGGGCATTAACTATAATTCAAATATGACATGACATCCTATGATAAACAATATAGAGCAGATTTTATGGACCAGATCGACATATCCAAGAAAAAAAAAATAAGAAACAAAGAAAGATATAAAAAAAAGGTGAAAACTGCAGCCCGCAACAACCCCATGACGAAAAAAAAATGAAAAGACACACGCTTAGAAATTTTTCTCATCCATGCAAGTTCGCTCGAAAAATGGGAGGGGAAAGGTAGAAACAAAGGCGAACGCAAAACACAAGGCATGGGGGAAACAAAAACAGAAAGTCCGGACATTAATAACACATACCCATGTCTCAAAAGTCGACACGAGTTGGTAAAAGCGCAGACCGGAAGTAAAAACCAAAAATCACAATCAAAGAAGACCCGAAAGAACAGCCTCAGTAGCAGAATTGATATAAGGCCTCTTGAGATCAAGATTAACACCAAATCGTCTCTCAAGCTCCTGCTTAATACTCTTCTTCGTAACAGCCATGAGATCCGCCGTGCGCAGAATCTCCCGAATCTCCGCAAGAATGGTGTCGTCGGAGGGTAAGTGGCTCATATCTTCCATACTCAGGTCTCCATGAGCCATACCCATGCCCATCTCGGACGGAGTGACCGAAAGACGCGAACTCGAGTTCATCAGCGGCAGATCCATTTGAGACATCGGTCTAGAACCGGGGAATCCGTACTCGGACTGTGGGAAGGCGTGCGATCGTGTACCGTAAGAGTAACCCGAGACTTCGGAGCGATCGTCGCGGGAGGTCTGAGCTTCCCACAATTCCATCTGATACTCTTCCCAGCGTTTCTTCGGGATGGAAGCGGGGTCGAATTTTCCTTCGTCGGAGATGACGACTTTGCGGCCCTTTTCTCCTGTGATGACGCGGGTATTTCCCCAGGAGAAATCGTCCATGTGCCAGAATGAGTAGAGGGGTAGAGCGAGGGTGAAGACTGGGATGGCGAGGATGTAGATGAACATCCAGCCGATCATTTCCCACTTACGTCGGACGATGAAGATGAAGGCTTGGAGACCGTAGATAACACCGAGTAAGATGAAGGCAGTCCAGGGAATTACTGAGCTGTCTTGGACTAGCCAGACGATCAGGTAAATGATGTAGGCGACCGTGACGGGTTGGATGATGGTACTGAGGAGATCGACGAAGACAATGAAACGCATGCTGAAGCAGCAGAATCCGCACAGCTGTTGGAGCGGGACTAGCTCGACCAGATTGTGGACGGTAGAGTTGATCCAGCGACGACGTTGCGAAAGGAATACGGCGAAACTCTCGGGTGCGACAGTCCAGGCGTGAGAGCGGAAGATGTACTTCGTCTTGAACTTGGGGTGGTGCTTGAGGAGTAGCGTGGTCAGGTATCGATCTTCACCCAGGTGGAGCAGGTTCTTCATGTGCAGGGTATCGACGCGGATCTCGGAATAGGATTCGACGACTTCCTTGCTCACGAATAGCGGTTTGCCGGTCTCTGAAGAGCGAATTCGGAACATGGTGAAACAACCGGGTAAACAAGTGACGGAACCGAATAGACTCTCGAACGCCTTGATCAAGTTGTGGGAAATATAGTACTCGTAAACCTGGATCATCGTGACCATGGATGTTTTCGCGTTGGACAGGGCTGTCTCTCCACAGACACCGATGAGGCGGGTATCAGAGAGGAATGCCGAAACGAACCGAGTGGCGGAATCCGGTGCAACCATTGTATCGGCATCGACCTGCAGAATGTATTCGTAGAAAGTCGGGTTGACACCGATAATATTGCGAATTTGATGGTGCATCTCCAGCTCCATGGGGCTCATGGGCAGATTGTAGTGAATGCGGTTGAGGAAGCGCATGAGAATCATTTGAGAATCACGCTTACCACGGTTACCCGGGCGAGACACTTCAGAAGGCTTGCCGACCTTGACAACGACCAGGAAGGGCACGATATGACCTTGAACCTCGTAGAGACCGGAGTAGATCTTACCCATGTTGTGCTGCTTCATACCTTCACCCAGACTCTCGAAGCTGAGAGGCTCGGGATCCACAGATTCAGGAACGCCCAAAATGTCCAAAACGATGCGTGGTGTCGGGCGATCGTTACCTTGACCGATAATCATACCGTCACAAATAACAAGGAGAAGCTTACGCTTGTCATCGTAGCGCATGCGCGCCATCGAGTCCATGGCACGACGGAGTGAATCCTCATCTTCGGTATACACCGGCACTTGGCAAATGATGAATTTGTCGAGATTCTCGGGCAAGTTCTTCTTTGCGAATTGCAGGGCAGCCAAGAACTTGAAGACCAAAACAGTACAGATCAAAATGGAGATGGCAAGGATAAAGTAGCGAGCGAACTGACACTTGACCGAGTTACGGGTGTCGACATGGCCAACAAAGAACAAGTTGTCAAGGCACAGTTCCATGCGGGAGCGCAAAGTGTCGTCAAGATCAAGATCATTCCAGTATTTGGTCACATCGTAGCCGGACTTTTGCTGGAAGAGAGTGACGAGCAGAGGGCTCATATAGTCGGTCTTGATACTGCTGGTGGAAGGATTCTTGCCTTCTGGGAAACGCGGATTGCGAGGTCCTGCAATGTAATACGACATGTCGTATACCTTTCCATTGATGCTCACAATGTTTTTGCCATCGTCATCCGCTAGAGTCTTCATATACTTGGCGGTATAGCCCACGTATCCCTTTTTGTAATTGGCTCGCATCATGACCATCTGCTCGTAGAACCAATCGGGTTGGTAGAGATTGGTCCAAGAGCGGAAGTCATGGTACTTGGCATTGATATCGAAGGAGGTCGAGGAAATCGTGCTAGCCGAGTCATTCAAGTTTGATCTATAGTCAAGCGGCACGCTGGGGTCGATGGCTCCGTCCACACCCTGGCACAATGCAGAGACCTGGACGGGGAAGAGATTGGTGGCATCGGTACCGGCGTAGTTCTTGAGTGACTTCTGAGGAACAATATCGGGGTAGTGAGAGGGCATGAAATCTCCCAAGTTGAACACAACACCTCGGACAGAAACGTACGAGGCTGCCCCATCTTTGCCATTCTTGTTGCTGAGTTCTCCCTTGGAATAGACATGTTGAGTCGGACAAATCAAGCCAGGGAAAGCGACAATCATAAAGATAGCAACACCACAGGCAAACCAGATAATCAGATTGATTGCAAGCTTCTCACGCCAAGCGATGCGGATATCCTTTCGCTTCATGCGACCGATATACCGGATCAATATGTCGGGAACCATCCATGTTAATAGCCAGACCAGTGCCATCCAACGGCGGCGGGATCCCGAAACAGGAATATCCTCCACCTCTTCCATGTTCTTTTCTTGACCCTTCTCAAGCATCTGCTGCTTCGTGTCGAGATCACGGAACATGTCACCAGAGTTGAAAGCAGAGCCCCCAGCATCAGAACGGCCATCCAATTCGCGGCTGCCGAAATATCCCTGCTTCGTTTCGTCACCATAGATAAATGCGCCCGGGGACGCATCGGCCGGGTTGAGGAGGCGAACTTTGGCATCCGGGTTGCCAGCAGAGTTAATAGCGTCGTCATCAGCACCGCCAATGGCGTTGTAGGTTGGAACGACGCGTTCTCCGACTTTGGCGAGATCTGCCCAGCAACGCTCACTCAGGAAGACACCAGTGCTACCAACGCGAGCCTCGTTTCCGGGCCAGCGTTTCTCATCCAAGACGACTTCCGACTTCTCCTTATCACTGCCGACAACGACATTACCGATCTCGGCCAGACCAAGGAACTCCGCAAAGGGGAGAAAGACGCTGAAGTCCGCATTCCGGAGCCGCTGGCTGATCTCGGCGATGCCAAATGTTTGAACTTGCATGCGAACACACTTGCTGTCAAACTGATTGGCGATTCGTCGATCATTGGGCTTGAGGCAGATCACGAAGTAGGGGTTTAGGTTCGGCTGGCTCAGGCACTTGTTGATGATTTCAAGGCCAGAAAGGAATTGGCCAGCCGAGCCCTGGGAGGGACCCATCAAGCCACTCTTCCGACCTGCCATGCTGCGGCGGGAGCTTCCCACTTGGCTATCCACTTCTTCAATGTTGTCCTCGCTGTCGGCTCGGGACATGGCCATTGAGGTGAGTCGAGATTGGGCGTCATGCTTGCGTCGAGCCATGCTCGGCATACGCATTGGCTTGGAAGAGACCTGGGCCTGCATGATAGCGGTCTTCTCCTTCGGGTGGGTGATGGTTTCGACCGCCTCTTGATCGAAGAGCTCACGGACCAGGTCGCTGCGGGTAGACTTCATGAGGTTCATCAGATCGCCCGAGATGACCTCCCCGTTTTCCTCGAGGAGACCCGCCACAGAGTAGTCAACCTCGCCGGCGAAATGCTTCACAGTGAATGCGGTGCGGGGACCCTGAGTGATGTAACCACTGCTAGCGCTCGAGTCGCCCGCAGAGATAGCCGGGTTCTTGCCCTCGAAACGCTTTCGAACGCTGTCAAGGAACTGGGCATCGGAACGTCCACGCTTGGTCTGGTCGTCCAGAATGCTCAGCAATCCATTGCCGTGCTTCAAGAGACCGCGGACGGTGTCGGTGTTGTCGAAATAGCTGGTGGCCGGAACAGTGATTTCCTCGCGATCCAAGATATCGGCCTTGCGGTCGAAGAAAGATTGCAGGCAGTAGTTGTAGAGAGACTCCGTCGCCGCATTGCTGAGCAATTGGTCCAATGTTGAGCCAGTCGCGGAAGACTGGGCGAAACCAGGGAAATCCACAATGGAAATGGTATTGGCAACACTGTCCTCGGCAGCACAGAGCCTCTGGTTCACTCTCTCAATAACGTAGGTCACCAAGAGCGAGTAGATAGTGCGGGCGAACGCATCGGCGTTCTGGCGAGCGCCCCGTGGATCGAGCATGACTGTCACTCGCTCACGGTGGAGAGTCTTGGTCTTGTAGCCTAGACTATTCTCTAGAGACTCGATACTCAAACCGAGGAATGCAGCGATATTGGCCAGAACGTCCTTGTTCTTCACCACCGTCACCATCTCTCCACCCTCGTGAGAGTAACCACCACTCTCCTCTGCCGCGGTGGTCGTCGCCTGCCCTGTAATGAAGTCCAATTGTCCAATGTGTAGAATACTTGCCAAAATCTGACAGATCTCGGCAATTTCACCTCGGGAAAACTCGAGCTTTCGCAGAGCCGTCTTGAAGTGCTGGAAGCCATCGGTGTCATTGACACCGACCTTCAGTTGTGTTGGGTGACCGAGGTAGCGCCATCGCTTGTGGTTGATGGAGCCCGAGCCTCCAGTTTGAATGTGGATTGTGTTGTCGAAGCCCAAGTGAGACTTCTCAGCAGCACTCGTACCAGCGAGAAGGTAATAGAGCGAGTGGAAACTGCGCTCTCCAGTGGGGACAGAGGAGATACGGCTTCTTTCCAAGCGGTAGTCGATGATCTTTCCTCCAATCAGGGTGGGATTGACAGAGGACGAGCCATCATATTGAAGTTCGAGGAAAAGACCGGCCTTGGATGCTGTGGGGGTGGTCACGGATTTAGTTGTGGTTAGGGTGTCGAAGACAAAGGCGGCATAGGAGAGTTTCGAGGAGAGAGGAGTTGAGGAGTATGATAGAAAGGATGAGAGTAGGTGTGAGCGAATGGTGGTTTTGCCCGATCCGCTCTCTCCACTGAATGAATGGGTTAGCAGTGATCGACTGAGATTCCATTTGTGAGTCCAACTTACAGAAAGACGACGGCTTGGTTCTCAGCCCGGGCACCCAGACGAGTGAAGGCACGACGAGCGAGATCCTCGGCCTCACCGGCAGCGCTGCCCTCTTTGTTGCCATCTGGGCCTTTCGTCGCGGAAGAGTATGTGTTGAGGGAGATCAAAGCCTGGGAGGAAAGGCGAGCTGTGGGTAGACCGACGTGAAAACTGAAAGGGGTTAGCGATCGGGGGTTTTTTCAGAGGGAAAATTGCAGTTTCGCAAGGTGTGGGATATGGGATGTTGTGCGTACCGACTGGCTAGGTGAGCCGTGAGATGAGTATCGGACTGGAGATGTGCGGGGAGAGATGGGAGGGAGGATTGCGTATGGGCTGGAGCGCCAGGTCTTGTGTTCGCCATATTGACGAAGAAGCCTCTAGAGGACTAGAGAGAGGGAAAAAACGAGTGTGATGAAGGCCTGGTGAGGGTCTTCCAGAGTCTCCCTGAGGGGAGCAAATCCCGAGTCGGCGGAGCAGAGTCTCGACAAGCCTCGGAATGAACGTGGACGAGTCGGCGAGTTGGGGAATGTTGCGTGGAATGAGGCCCCTGGCAGCAGACAGAGTAGCCTGATCGAGGTTGAGATCGAGGGGGATAGGGAAGAATCAACGGTGAATCAGGAAGAACAGAAGCAAAAGCAGAGGAGAAACAGAAGCGACAGATGAAGCGGAAATCAACAGAGCAAGAATTGATCCACCGAAAGAAAAGACAATCGTACTATGGGGGTGTATGGGGGTGAGTGTGTCCTATGTATGGTACGGTCACACGCTTGTATGGGGCTATGTATAGTATAGAGTGGTCATCCGAGTGGATTGCCCTTTGGATTGGACTGCAGTTGCATTGAATAGATTACTCTGATTGGCTGGAGGATGCGGGTAAACCCACTGGATTGGAACTTGGAACCTGGTCGAAGTGTTGTAAACATCAACAGATCTACTGTCGTCTCATTAGGGCAACAGCTTAGGGGTACGTGAAAGAAGTAGAAGTAGTAGTAGTATACTAGGGTGTATACTGTCGATAGTATACCATACAGTATGCAGTCTATCGGGGTGGCCGTGGCTATTTCTGGCGGAAAATATCGACACGCTAAGCTGGATCAGGGTCTCAGGTAAACAGGATCCACTCCAGTCCAGTCCACCACAGCTCAGTCCCTTTTCCCTTTTCTATGGAGCAGTCCCTGTTTGGTCCCTGTTGGTCCCTGTTTGGTCCCTGCTCCTCACTTCTCTTCCACCTCTACTGCCACTCCCCTGCACCAACACTGCCAACACTGCCAGGTCCAGATCTCTCCTTACTGATTCCCGCATGGACAGCTGCAGAAATAGCAACATGTCAGATCATGGCCCGCCCGAAAAGGATTCCGGCTTCCCTATCCTCTTAGCTCCACTCCACTTTGACACATCCCGTGCCCCTGAGTGGACCGATCACAGGATTAACCGGGGGATGGTGTGAAACTAGGGGTTTGTGCAGACCGAGTGGCAACCCTTTTGTGAGACATCCCAAATATAGCCGGGCCACAATCCAAGTCGGTTAGCACTCCCTCTAGTTCCACTTCCTCCGCAGGTCGCCTGATTGGACGGGAGCAGAGCAGTGTGTACACAATGCACTCTATACTGTCCAGTGTAAAATCTAGAGAATACTTCGATTTGGTGAAAGGAATAGATCAGATCATGGATAGAGAGAGGATACACTCAGTCGTGAGTATACTAGTACCTTCTAGTAGTATACATGATACCATAAGTGCATAACCACTCTGGTAACAACTCGCCTACGAGTACACATCACCCCACAGCAAAGCTTCGGGTCGATCACAGGCGATCGTCGTATTTTTCTCCTGTCACGTCCAAAATTACACCGTACGCCCCCCGTACTGACCAGCTCCCAGTCTGGTCTGTCTTATCTCCTCCTCTTGTCAACTCTGTCAACCTCTTTTTTCTTTCTCCACGTTGTTTGCTTCGCTTTCCTCCCCTTCCATTCTCCTCTGCTATCCTAGTGTCATCCAGGAGTCCCTATCTCCAGTCACTCGCTCACCACCATTCGGAGTTATACAGTCCCTGTGAAGCTCTGAGCCGACAAAGGCAAGGCTTTTTCTGTTGTTGTGCCATTTGCTTTTGCCCCGGAAACCATCTCACCTCCACACACACCACCACTGGTGCTTCAATTTCGCCGACACTCGACGCTGATCACACCACACCACATCATACACACCCCTCTATGCGTTGATAACTGCTTTGGCTGGAAGTCTCAGTTCGACCGCCATCGTCTTCCTTTACAGCGCTCGCCATGTCGAATCGCTTCTCGGTCTTCTCCACCCAGTCCGCCGGTTTCTCGGCTGGGCCGAGGCCGACCTCCCAACATGCGACTCAAGTTTCGACCACCACCTTGCTGAACGCTCTTCATTCGTTCTATACCGCTGGCCAGCCCTACCAACTGGATTCTAGTACTAGTTTGGTAGTCAATACCTGGGTCACCGCCGCGACTACACTGCCCGATGGCCGCAACGGTGCCACCATTGACCGTGACTTGGCCATTCGTGCCTGGGAACACGCTCGGAGGCGTGCTGAGGATGGCTGTATTGCCCTCTGGTGCGTTCTTTCATCAATTTTTTTTGTCTTCCAGTCATCATCGTGCTGACCAGAATATAGCTCCCTCCACCAGTCGACACCGTCATTACTAGAGCCTTTCATCACTGCGCTTCCCATCTCTACACCGGAAGTCGCCTACACTGCACTCGCAACACTGCGACCATTCCTCTCTGCAGTCACATCCTTCAACCCGTCTTATTCTCTCCACTCAGCTTTATCAGCCTCATTTACGTTGACCCTTCAGGGCCAGGTCGTGGGCCTGTCCCTAGCTCTCTCTTCAGCGGGCATCAATGTCCGCAAGGGTCTTTTGGAAATCCCCAACGAGTCTGGTTTCCGTGCCTTTGATGCTTTCTACTACCTCCTCACCTCCGCATCCACTCCCGCTGAGCGAGAGTTTCTCGATCTGAGAGACCCCTCCCACTATACTCTGCTCAACCGCTCCAACACTTACAGCCCTCCGTCCTATCTCCCCACTGCTGATGACACCGCATCCGCCGAGGATCTCCGTGCCAATCTGAAAACTATTGGTATTAAGGGTGCTGCCCAGCGAGGCATGCTCTCCGTTCTCGCAGGTCTGCTCAAGCTGGGAAATGCCGCCGGCCTTGAGGTCGACCAAGAGGAGCTCGAAGAGGTCTGTGAGGACGTCGGGGGTCTCCTTGGCTTAGACCCCGAAGTCCTGCTGCACAAATGTTCGACCGACGAACGCGAAATCTTGATCATTGGAATTTACGAAGCCCTGATCGACTGGATTATTAGTAAAGCCAATGAAGCCATCGCTACGGATATCCAGGCTCTCCTAGAGAATGAGTCCAGCAACGGTGGTGCCCCTCAGTGGTCCAACGAAGACACCGTTGGACTCACCATCATTGATATCCCTCGCCCGGCACTTGGCAAAGCTATTGCCATGAGGGGCGTGTTTGATGACGACCTTGGCATCAACGCCGAGATGAAAGAAGACGGCATCTCTATCCCTCCAATCGGCCAGTCCGTCACAACCGAGATGAACACCGCAGTGGCCCAAGTTGAGCCAGATCTGGGCATTATGAGTGGTTCCGCTGGACGCGATCGCGAATATGAGAACGATCGACGACAGGGAGTCTTGGAGAAGGTTGGAGTCGAGGCTGAAAGCGATTCTTTCCTGCGTCAAATCCTCTTCCCAGTCGACACCGAAGGCATCGCCGTCGGAAAGCGTGGACGCTTTGATCTTCCCACAATTCTTGGTAGCAGCCGTGTTTGGTACCACCTCTCAATCCATCCCACCGATGACCTGCCAGAGCAACTGCAGGCCTCTGCCAACTCTTGGTCTGCAGGTGCCGTGTCGCGTCAGTTGCGCGACTGGCGACTGCCTGAATGGGCCAACCGTCGCATCAAGCAACTCGATTTCACTGCCGACTTTGATGTTGAGGAGTTCGTCGCTCGGTATTCCCGCCTTGGCTGCGCCGAAGGCCAGGACGGCGTCGAGAATTGGGTTCTGGAGAGAGGCTGGAGCAACGGGGACGCGGTTGTTGGTCAACAACGCATCTGGATGAGAGAAGGTGCTTGGTGGGAAGCCGAGAGTATGCTTGATCTCAAGCCTGATGAGGCCGCGAACCCCTTCGGATATGGTGCTAGAATGTACGAGCCTGGCATGACCCCAGACGGTACTCCCATGGGCGAGTCCACAAACCTCCTCGGCCACGGCGACATGATGATGCACCCGGCGGCCATGAGCGCGATGGCCCCCAGTGTCATGGGCGGCGCCAAATCAATTGCCCCCAGTGCTCTCTTAAACCCAATGGCTGGTGATTATGGTCTCGGTCATAAGGGAGATGACAACAAGGGTGATATCACCTACTACGACCAATACGGTCGCTACGTTGGTGACGGTGACGTTGAATTCGGTGAACCAAACCACATCGAGAAGACACCAATCACCTTCGGTCGTCGACTGTGGGCTGGATTCGTCTGGGCCATAACCTTCTGGATTCCCTCCTTCGTACTCAGGTATATTGGCCGCATGAAGCGCCCGGATGTTCGCATGGCCTGGCGAGAGAAGTTGGTCCTCATGGCTCTGATTCTGCTCTTCAACGCCATTGTCTGTTTCTACATCATGGCATTCGGTACTCTGCTCTGTCCCAATAAGGACAAGGCTTGGAACACAAAGGAGGTTAGCTGGCACACAACAGACGACAACTTTTTTGTCAGTATCCACGGTCGCGTCTACGATATCTCGAAATTCTGGCGCCAGCAGCACAGTGATATCAAAGGCCTACAGGTAACGAGCTCGGTCATGCAAGAACTCGCTGGTACCAACCTGGATGCCTATTTCCCGCCTCCTCTTTCCCAGTATTGTGGAACCAGCGCCGATTTGAACATTGAGTTGGGGAACAATGACACCACGGCTGTTCTGTACAGTCAGGCGAAGCACAACTGTGGACCTCAGAACTTCCCGCAGACCAGTACTAAGCTCCACAAGTTGACCTGGTATTCGGACGTCTTCCTTCCAAAGATTACCGACTACTACAAGGGTGAGCTGGTCTGGACGAAATCCACTATCAAGTCACAAGCCAATGATGACCAACGATACTGGGCCATTGTCAATGACAAGGTCTATGATCTCACGGACTATTTCTACACCCTCGACCTGAAAAACGATTTATCCTCATACTCCTTCTTGCCCGACTCTGTTACCACGCTCTTCAAGGACTACCCAGGAACCGACATCACATCCAAATGGAAGGATACATCTGAGTTCCAGAATGCTCAGAGGTGTCTCGATTACGTCTTCTATAAGGGCAAAACCGATTTCCGCGAGAGTCCCAGGTGTACTGTTAACAACTGGATTCTGCTTTCCTTCGCCATTCTTATCTGCGCCGTGGTTCTCGTCAAGTTCTTGGCAGCTTTGCAGCTGGGATCGAAACGTCGGCCTTCACCTCAAGATAAATTTGTCATCTGTTTGGTCCCCGCCTACACCGAGGGTGAAGATTCTCTTCGCAAGGGACTTGACTCTTTGACTGCGCTGCAATACGACAACAAGCGGAAGCTGATCTTCGTCATCTGCGATGGTATGATCGTTGGTGGTGGAAACGACCGACCGACCCCCAAGATCGTCCTTGATATTCTGGGTGTTGACCCCAAGATGGACCCTCCGGCACTGCCTTTCCACTCCGTTGGCCAGGGCATGGAACAACTCAACTATGCCAAGGTCTACTCTGGTCTCTACGAGTACGAGGGTAACGTTGTCCCTTACATCGTCGTCGTAAAGGTCGGAAAGGAGTCTGAGCAGCGCAAGTCTAAGCCCGGAAATCGTGGAAAGCGTGACTCGCAAGTGCTCCTGATGAAGTTCCTGAACCGTGTGCACCACCGTGCTCCCATGTCGCCTATGGAACTTGAAATCTTCCATCAAATCAACAATATCATTGGCGTGGACCCTGAGCTTTACGAGTACTGCTTCATGGTCGACGCAGATACTAGTGTCAAGGAGGATTCGCTGAATCGATTGGTGGCTGCTTGTGCGGCGGACGCTAAGATTGCCGGTATTTGTGGTGAGACTAGTCTCGCGAACGAAGAGCGCAGTTGGTGGACTATGATTCAGGTGTACGAATACTACATCTCGCATCATTTGTCCAAGGCCTTTGAGTCTCTCTTTGGCAGTGTCACCTGTCTTCCCGGATGGTATGTTCTTCCCCCTGTATCTTCTCCTATGTTGTACTATTACTAACTACTGTCCAGTTTCTGCATGTACCGTCTTCGCACTGCGGACAAGGGCCGCCCACTCATTATTTCGGACAAGGTTATCAAGGAGTACGCTGATAATGATGTTGATACGCTCCACAAGAAGAACTTGCTCTCCCTGGGCGAGGATCGTTTCTTGACCACTCTCATGACCAAGCACTTCCCTACCATGCGCTACAAGTTCGTTCCCGATGCCTATGCAAGCACAGCTGCTCCCGAGAGCTGGAGTGTGCTTCTCTCCCAGAGACGTCGTTGGATCAACTCAACTGTCCACAATTTGGTCGAACTGGCCGCTCTGAAGGATCTCTGCGGCTTCTGCTGCTTCAGTATGCGCTTCGTCGTTCTCGTGGATCTCCTTGGAACGATCATTCTTCCGGCTACCTGTGTTTACCTCGGTTATATCTTCTACCTGATCGGCAGTCACACTGGACCCTTCCCGATGATTTCGATTATCATGTTAGCCGCTGTATACGGTCTGCAGATTATCATCTTCATCGTCAAGCGACAGTGGCAACACATCGGTTGGATGGTCATCTACCTGATGGCCTTCCCTATCTATAGTTTCATCCTTCCGCTCTATTCCTTCTGGAAACAAGACGACTTCTCATGGGGTAACACCCGCGTCGTCATCGGCGAAAAGGGAGACAAGCGCATCGTCGCCGTCGCTGGCAATGAAGAAGCCGACTTCGACCCTCGCAGCATCCCCCTCCAACGCTGGGACGACTACGCAATGGCGAACAACCTCCCCGGCCGCCGCGGCGAAATGGGCGCCAGCCAAGAGAAGATCTATTCGAACGGCCGCTACGTGGACGACATGGGCATGGAATTGGACGACATGCACTCGCAATATTCCTCCGTCAAGCCCGCCTCCACCATCCTAACCGGATTCCCAGGTGGCCAAGGCCGTCATGGCAACCCGTACATGCCACCGCAGTCACCCGCCCCCTTCGTCGGCGGTAATGTACCCGGCAACCGCAACTCACACATGTCCAACTTCTCCCGCTACACCGACTTCCCACAGATGGGCACTGGTGCTCAGAATCAGCATCCCGCCGCAGCCTCCAGACACATGTCCATGGGCGGTCTGAGCGGCTACCAAGATGCACCGGGCCACCAGAGCCGTCACAGTCTCGGATTCATGCAAAGCCACGAAAACCTCCTCGGTAATCGGTCCCGCAGTCCCCTAGGCCAAGGCCAATACCCGCCCTCGCGACCTGCCAGTACTGCCTTTGATTTCCGTGGCGCTGCCGGCGGTGGCCCCGATGAGTTGGCTATTAGTGAAGCAACGCGTTCCTGTCTTGCTGAGGTTGACCTTGATACCGTCACTAAAAAGCAGGTCCGTGTTCTTGTCGAACAACGATTGCAAACTACTCTCACCGGCGAAAAGCGTGCTTTCCTTGATCGCCAGATCGATCATGAATTGGCTAATATGTGATTTTGATTGAGTTTGTTCCAATCCCCGTTATCCATCTACCAGCGTCCGCGCTTCTTTAATTCTTGTATCAATCATGCATCTACACGAGCGCTATTAACAAAATATTTCGCCTTGCCTTTTTTCTACAAATGTTGTGTTGTGTTGTTGTGTTGTGTTTTGTGTTGATCTTGTTCTTTTCTGTTCTACTGGGATCTTTTTTTTTTCGGCATGTCTGGCGTCTGACGGGCTGCATTTTAAAACTTTTGTTTTTGTTATCTCGCCTTTCTTTTGAGATAAGTACATTGAGCGATTTTCTATATTGAATAGGGTTTACAAGCTGTTCTATTTATAGTTTTAATGTGATAAGAAAGTATATCTCGTCCAACCTATTCCGGATATTATACTAGTAGTAATTGATGGTAACTGTCTGCAAGAGTATTGACCACATCCAGTGGCGCAAAAGTTTGGAACATCCTATTGCCTACCATTATCGACCACCTTCTAATGGCAGACTAGTAGCTACTAAGATGGAATAGATTGGCTACTCTATTCCATCTCAGGTAGCTACCAGCTCGCGATGAGAAGACGGAGACGAGAACAGTCAACAAGGGGATTCAAACTTTTCCAGGTTTGCAAGGCCACTGTACCTACTACTAGTAGTAGGCCAGGCTTTCGTTTCGTTGGCCCCGGGGGTAATTTAGCTGCACTCCACCATATTTTATGAAGAAAGGTGACAAATCTTTTGCCACTGAGCATAACTACCCCTTTTTGACTGCACCCAGTCGTACTCCATACTGCGGACAGGATTCCCATCGAGATACCTCTATCATTGATTGAAGCTACCTATCTCCCTAGATCAAGCAGACAAACTAGCAACTACTAGTGTTGAAAAAGCTTTACCTGCTAACATGGATGGGCCCGCCTCCTTTACCTAGTACCTAGAATTAGAACTAGATATAGATCTAGCTCCGGTGCAGAGAATGCAAAAGCTTCTTGATTCCCCTCGGTCCATGAGTCTGGACATGATCATAGTAATGTTCCTTCGCGGCATCCATGATGGCCTTTATCCTTGCAACGGGCACCTTTGCCTTGCGATCGTAGGAGTAGAGACCGTTGACTTCTTGTTCAATGTCACACCTGAAAGCGTAAATTAGCATCTGGGCACATCTCCAACCTGAAACCTGAACTCATCATCCTTCGCTAGATATGATACCAAGGGGCCAGGGATCAAGGAAATCATCCACTCACAACTGCGTATAAACAAGTCCACAAGTATGGCCCCCCTTAACAATCCCCATAACAAGCCTCTCATATCGCTTCAGGAAATCCTCAATGTCCGTCGCGGTGGTATATCCCCAATCACGATCGCCCGCCTGACCACCCTTGCCCGGCGCGATATTCACGCCCCCGAATTCGGTGCAGATGACCGGTGCACCGGCTTTGTGTTGCGCTCCGGGATCGAGGAGTGTGTGTCCTGCGAAGCCGGAGTAGATGGGTCTTGAGAACATATCATGTCCGGCTTTCGGGGCCAGAATCCCCCCCTTCCATCTTTGAGCATGTTTCTGATAGTTCGGCCGAGTCGGCGTAATCGTGGTAGGTTGTTAGGTCTGTTAGGACGTGCTCCCAGCCGCAGTTATCGTTGATAGGTCGACTCGGATCCAATGATTTTGTCAAGTAATACAGAGAGCGAATATGATTCCGCTGCTCGATGTTATCCTTCAACGAGGTATAGGCCCAACTCTCGTTGTTAGGTGTCCATGTGATGATACAAGGATGATTGATATCCCTCTTCACAGCCTCAGTCCACTCACTATTCATCCGGTCAATATAATCCGGCCCAAATTCATACGCATTGGCCATTTCGCCCCAAACGATGAAACCTAGCCGATCGGCCCAGTAGTGGAATCGCGGATCCTCGACTTTCTGATGCTTGCGGCACCCGTTGAATCCCAGATCCTTCGACATCTGGATATCGAGCTTCAATGCCTCGGACGATGGCGGCGTAAGTCCCGTTTCGGGCCAGTAGCCTTGGTCCAAAAATAACATCTGAAAATAAGGCTTGCCGTTCAATCGGAACGTCCCATCGCCATTCTGCCACGAAAGACTCCGCATCCCAGTCGTCGTCTGCACTTCATCAACAACCTTCCCACCCTCATCGTAAAGACGAAGAGTCAAATCGTACAAAATCGGATGCTCAGGAGACCAAACCGCCACACCATCATACCAACACCCCTCAACATCAAACGGCGCTTTCCTCTCCTTCTCCAAAATCGCAACATCGGACCCAGAAACCTTCATACAAACGTCCAACCCAACCCAATCCCTCTCCGCTTTGAGCGACCTCTTCACCTTCCCCTTCCCATTCCCAACGACTTTCCCATAAAGACTCGCCTCAATCTCAACACTACACGCCGCCCGCGCACCCCGTCCCAAAACCGAAACCTGAGCATGAAGCTCGCCAGACTCAATATCATCTGATCTTAACACCGTCCCACCACTCCCGCACGCAAGTCGCATAACAGGCACACTCTCCAACCAAACAGAAAGCCAGATCCCGCCCGTAGGCGTGTAAAAGATATTCTCAGGCACCGGGCCCCAGAATTGTTTGCCGCGGGGTTTGGGCCAGATCGTAAGGTGAATCACGGACGCGGAGCGTTAGTCTGGCCTTGCCAGTGCCAGTGCTTCCTGTGGTTGACTCGGCAGATGCAAACGCGTCCGAAACATCCAAGTCAAAGGGAACATGACCACCCCGATGCCCACCGATATAACTCCCATCAACCCAAACAGAGCAGTCATAGTCCACAGCGCCAAAGCGAAGAAGTAATCTGTTCCCGTTTGCGACTTCGTCGGCACTGCGTATGTCGCTGATACTACGCTCGTACCACGTTACCTCGTGAGCTTCGTAGAGGCCGATTCCTGAGGCTGGGGTTTGGAATGCGTAGGGGACTTTTATGTCCCGCTTGTTTTGGGCCGGTGATGCCGGTGATGCGGCTTCTGCTGCTTGGTCCGGAATACCGGTTTTTTGCCACTGCTGGGTTAGGCCTTTGTCCTTGTCGTCGAAGATGAAGGACCATGTTCCGTCGAGGGAGGCCCAGTTTAGGGCTTTGCGTTGGAAGTCTGGGCGGGGGTAGTTTGCCATGATTGACGAGGTTGTGTTTTTGGTTGATTGTTCCTTTCTTGCAGTGCTTTATGGGGGTGAATTGATGATTCCAAGGTTGTTGGGATGAATTGTGAGAATGAAAGTGATGTTTGACTTGAATGGGGGTGTGGTTGTTCTGGACTGGTTGAACCCCACGTTGCTACGTCAGCCGGGATCGTCGTTCCTGCGGGGGTAAGATCTATCCATCAGTACACCTGGCATATACTATACTGGGCATAGGACCTATCTAGAAGCAGCTTTCGAATACGTTCAATACTAGTAAAGTGGGAGGGCTCTCTGGCGATGGCTTTGCCCTCATATATCTTGCTACCTAAAGTTCGAGCTTCACTCCTCATACTATTTGCTCCGGCAGTAGATCTGCAGTCCCCACCTGCCGCCCCCAGAACGAAAATATGATAAGGCACTGGCTTAAGTGTTTTTTTTGGACTACCTAGGTATTTAGCACTAGATATGTATCAGATGATTCCAGTATGACCCCCAATAATATCCACTATGAGTATTTAGCAGGATACTGCCGCGGCAGCATTGTATTTCAGGTATCAAGGTCCCGCAGCGTAGCTTCTCGATCAGTTGTCTTGTGAATGTGATGCAGGACCCGAAAGAATAATGTTGCATTAAATATTCCCAAGGTTGGTATGGGAGCTTACAAGATCCATGAGGCGATTGGAGTCTTGCTCGCCCTGAATTGGTGGTTTGGTGTCCGAAAACGGGTCCCTCTTCTTCTGACTTGAACGCTTGCCTTGGATTCCTTTCTGAATATTTTCCCTCGGAAACATACCTGTAACAGTCTTGAGGAAAGGTTTTCTCAAAGAAAGTTATCCTTGTAGCTTTAGAATGTCAGATATGTCAATGAGATTCGAGGATGGGAAGGAAGGCACTTACTGCAGTGGCGGATTATGTCTTAGTGACACCGTGCCACCAAGAAAGAGGACTGCAAATGAACATTTGCAGGGAATGGAGTATCCATCCAGCTATGAACAGCGCACTCAGGCCAGGGGGCCCTTTAGGCGCCGCTACCATATCGTAATGAATCGCGGAGATCTCCTCCCAGCATCTAGTGTGCTCCCATCCTCGTGTACAGCAACGTACCATAATGAGCCTGTGTCCCTGGTAGTTGTTGAATCCCTCCGAGGCCAGTTGGCTCATGAGGGATACTTGGTAATGAGAGAGAGTCCCAAGGTCGATAAAGCTGGGATCATATGACCCGCTATATGATACAGCATCTGCCCCGCTCTGCCTCCTCTCGCATCTCCTCTAAGATGTCGATGTCAGTGGTCGGTAGCAGGCAAGCCATATGCTAGGCGTATTTCCTTGTTCTATTTGCCATGGCTGCCTTGCTGAGGTTGTGCTGCTTCATGTGCGACATAAAATATCGGTAGTCCTCCAGTGCGGCTTGCAGGTTGTCGTCCTTCTGCGTACCAGGGAGATAGAAAGAGGAAACAAAGCTCCCAGTCCAGAGTGTCAATTGATAGAAATGGACGAGCAGAGCTTTCGGAATGGGTTCTGGGCCCCGAGGCACTGCAAGAAGTCAAAAATCGTAGTTTCTTATAACATGAGATGAGAAATTCCTTCGCTGCATTTGATGAGAACTTGAAGTGTAAGAAGGGAGCCTTGGAAATGGTGGATGGGTAGATGGGGGCCGACTATGAAGAGGAAGGTGCGATAGTGACTCCTTTGCACCTTTGCACCTTTGGTAGGGTAGGGCACCTGCGTACTTGCCTAACTTGCACGAGTATCGCATCAGAGTTATCCCTGCGTATCACATGACGGCCTAATTATACTCGAGGTCTGTGTCTGCAAATGACTCATTCCTCAAGGACCACTGACAGGCCGTCTGAACAGACTTCTCATCCTGAAATATCCAAGAATCGAAAAATAATCCACTATGGTCCACGTAAAACCGTTTGTTCTTGACCACTGGGGTATGCAAGATCTAATACCAGCATCCGCTTTGACTCATTAGTACCAAAGACTTCGCTGACGGATTGTTTGGCATTAGTTCGCCAGTTTAAGGTACGCCATGATCGCGGCAACTATCCCTAGGATAAGACGTCAGTATTAAAAGAAGTTATTACACTTCAAAGCCATCTTCTCAGATATCGTTGCACGGTTTGTTTTCCATCGATATTAGGCTCGACCATCAATCATATCGATAACTGGTTCTAGATACATGCGTGGATCCACTATCGTTACAGGACCTCACCAAACTCGGGGCATTGAACTCTTCTGTTCACCCCATTGAAGCGTCAAACAGCTTGATCTATGGCTCTGTTCTAGGCAAGCCTGAACTGCGGCAACGAATTCTCGCACTCTATGGGGACGCTGGGGCTAATCCCGCAGAATCCTTGTCTTTGACAGTCACACAGGGGGCTATTTCAGCTAATTTCCTGGTTCTGGACACCTTACTTGGACCGGGAGATCATGTTATTTGTCAATATCCGACATATCAACAGCTTTATGATGTTCCTCGTCGGGCCGGGGCGGAAGTTTCGCTGTGGCGGACTCATGCTGAACACGGCTGGGTACCCGATGTATCTGAACTGCAATTTTTGGTGAAGAAGAACACAAAGATGATCATTATCAAGTGAGCTATTTACCAACCATTGAGCAGTGTGTCAGTGCTGATAGTGAGAGTTTAGCAATCCGAATAATCCTACGGGTGCATCCATCCCAAGAGGAGTCCTAGAGAAGCTTGTCGCTTTTGCCTCGGAGCGCGGAATCATCATCTTCAGCGACGAAGTCTTCCGTCCGCTATTCCATGACAATGCACAAGATTTACCGCACTCAATCATCTCATTCGCGGGGCAATATAAGAACATAATTGCCGTTTCCAGTCTCTCAAAGGCATTTTCGTTACCCGGAATCCGAGTTGGATGGATCATCTCACCAAACTCCGATCTCGTCAATGAAGCCATTAACGCGAGAGATTATACTACAATTTCTGTCTCTCAGATAGACCAGGATATCGCAACATATGCCCTTGACCCCGTCGTTCGAGAGAAGATCCTTGACCGATCACGGTCCATTTGTCGACAGAATCTCGCGAGCTTGGAGAATTTTATTGCGCAGCATTCAACCCAGCTCTCTTGGGTCAAGCCTACCGGGGCGTCATCAGCATTCGTGCGTATTTTGGATCGTCAGACTGGAGTCCCCGTTGATGATGCTTCATACTGTGAGAATGTCCTCCGCGATACGGGCTTGCTCATTGTACCTGGTGGCAAGAGTTTTGGGACAGAAGCCGCTGAGGATCTGAAGGGATACTTGCGAGTTGGATTTGTGTGCTCGACAGGCCAATTTGAAAGGGCCCTCAGTCTTTGGGACGAGTATCTATCAGTAAATAGTCCTGGAGGCGAAGAGCTAGCCTAATTAGGCTAATGGATCTCATTGAACTCCAACGCTTATGGAGCAATTGTAAAGACTATACATCCGTATTAGGAATGCAACTCGACACCACACATTAAGGTCCATCAAGTCGGTTCGATAATCAGCTTATGAGAGCCTCCAAATGCCTCCGAAACAGGAAAATTCCAGCGTAGATCTGCGTTCCATGTATAAACTGTGCATTCCTAAATAACCAAGATAAAGCCCCATGTAAGTCCCAAGATCTCAAATCACAGGCTATTTCTTTTTCTTTTCCTCTTTTTTTCTCTTCCCTGTCTTTACCACCATGGTACAGCCCAGCTCTATTGTACTCGCTACCGCCATGGCGGTAGCGGGATACTTTGCAACAATCTGCTTCACACCTCCAAACGCATCCCCAAAGCGAAAGGAAAGACAAAAGATCGACCGCACATCGTCGATGGGTGATTTCGTCCCTCTCATCCTCCGCCAAATCGTAATTGTCGCCGTGGCTTATCACGCAGCTCTTGTCATCCTACCTGAACTGGACGCACCGAATGTCATGGCACAGGCTTGCCCTCGACCAAAGAATCCCAACCCAGCACTATTTTCTTGGATCTCTACCTCAGTCACCGCACTACTTTTAGTGTTCATTGGGGCCTGGGTGCGCCTTTCGGCATTTGGAGGTCTTCGTCCAAATTTCACTTTTCATCTCGCTGGCCCTAGTCGGCTCGTGACAATAGGTATATATAGTTGGGTACAGCACCCGAGCTATACCGGTCATTTGGCGGTTATAGCGGGGTGTACGTTGCTTTTTATGAGATGGGATGGTGCACTGGCTTGCTGGATTGAGGAGTCTACTTTGGTTGGATTGGAAGGATGAGTCCTGCTCTTTGGGCGTCGTTTATGGGGTTCTCTGTTTTCATGATACGTGCAAGGGTCAAGGATGAGGCGGGTATACTGAAGCAATCGTTTGGAAAGGAGTGGGAAGATTGGAATCGCTCGACTAAAAGATTTATTCCTGGGTTGTTTTGAATTGGTGAGGATGATGGTGGTTTGGTACACTTGGTGCGTTACGGAAGTTTTCGTTGGAAGGCTTTGGATGAGGGCGGCGAACCTTGGAAGCAGTAGAGTTTCTAGTTGTGATTTGGGGAAACACTACAGGGCTGTTCCAGGGCTGAACATGAAGTTTCCAACTTAGTACTACTAGTAGGTAGTCACCTTGGATACTGGAATCTCCTGGGCAAGCATAATTACTATGAGTACCACATAGCCCGGACCTGCACTTTCAAACAGTATCTCATTGGAATAAGATCAGCCTCTGAATAGCAAGAGAACTCGAAAAGGAGAAAGTGTGGCTGGTTCAAGCTGTTAGAGTGTTGGCTATGTGGCAGCGTGAAGTCACGTTACTAGTAATGATTCTCACGATAACTCCGCCACCAAGGTGTCTCCCCTTTTGCCCCTGGCAAACCCCCTTACTGACCCCTGGCAGTAACGACGATCAACAAATAATAAAAGCCCGCGGTTCTACATAGATTGATTAGATTACCAGGGATATGGGCCCTGGGTTAATTGGCGTTTGGTATAGATTGCCGTTCTGTTCAAAGGGGAGGTGTTAGCGTCAACGAACTAGTAACCGGTTCATGTTAGGGACGCCATGGCAGTCGAGCTCTGAATCAAATACCCTAAGAATAGCTTGGCACTTTTCCTAGGGAAGCTAACGCTGTCATTTAGGATGACCCCGCTGCCATTGGGCGATAGCACTGCCCACTGGATCCATCCCTATCCCATCTAGCCGGATCGACTCCCGGTGGCTGCCATTGTGTGCTAACCAAGAACAAGTACGGAGGACAGAGTAAGAGATGTAGATAGATGGGGAAGAACCCTGGTCTTAGAGACCAGGGTGGCTCTTCACATCTCGCCAAGATAAACCCCAGGATCACCCTCCAGGGCTGTCCACGTCGTTCCTGTCCGGGGCCCCGACATCTGGAGGGCGGCATTGACGACTGCAGTCGACTTTCAGAGCGGTCTCCCCGTGGTCCATCCAGTCGGAATCAATTTCGAGGGGTCGAGTCCTTACGATCCAGCGTGGACGAAAGCCATCGACCCACCGCGGTATACGAGAGAATGACGTCGACCACTTGGAAACCTTGTCCTACCCCGGCACCTTTTGACGCCTTTCGGGGGTCCCATTGAGGGGTCGCTACGGAGTACAGTACACAGCTGCAAGCTCTTTCAGGCTAGGTTGAAGGAGGGGGGAACGGAGAGTACGAGTAGGCACGAGTGTAGGTAGTGCTCAGCCCATCAAGTTTTATCAGTCTCACTTCCCAGTTTTCCAGTTCCCCAGGCATCAGCGGTATGAACAACCCGCGATCCACATGCCGCGCTGACCAGCTCAGGCTCAGCCTCCCCGCGCCAGTCGGTGGCCGCGTCCGGGCCAGCCGGGCGAAATTGGGGGCCCTTCACACCCCCAAAGCCAATGCCAAAGCCAATGCCTGGGTGGATCGGGGGATCAGATACAGGCGTCGTACAGGGCTCTCGATCCCGCGACCTATGAGAGAGCTGATCGTTGTACTAGTGGGTGAGGGAGACGCGGAAGGAGTCGGATCCAGCGAATCTCTTTTCACCGTTGGGATCCGCAGCAGCAGCAGCAGCAGCAGCTCTGCAGCTGCAGCTGGGGCTGCACGGTTTCGACGGTCTCGAAGCCAAGAGACAAGAGGCGTGAATGTGAATGCTGCAGAGACGCAGTTAGACTGCAGGGTGCAGCATTGCAGGAGAGACTCCTCATTTTGAGGATCAATGCACAATTCAATGCTCCATGGTAGGAAACACGTGACTATTCTCGCTTGGGTGTCAAAAGTTGGGATCTTTTGGGCTGTGGAGCCAGAGTCAGAGCCAAAGCCACAGCCAAAGCCAGCCAGAGCCAAAACGGGTCTGGTAGATTTTGGGCCTTGACCTTGATCGCCCAGAGTAAACCCTAGCGCATTTTGCTGGGATCGGCCGCATTCTTTGGTAGTGGTGTGTGGTGGTGGTGGTCGTGCAATGCGAATAATGAATCCTCGTATGAATATGACAATGAATATGGCGAGGAAAGGGAATAATGAGTAGAATTACTTATGATCAACATTGAAGTACGTACATGTACTTCATATATGCCAGTGCTCGCTGAAGCTGAAGCTGAGTTCGGTAGATACGATACTCGGGATACCGTAATGACATGACCCGCGCACCTGACGACAGCACTTTGGCTCTGGCTTTGGCATTGCTGTAGTCTCCTTCAAGTGGTCTATTTTGTTTATCTTGATTATCCTGAATTAATCATATGCTACTACATTTGATTCTCTCAACTTGAAGCATTGGGCCCGATCGATCCACTTGGTGATCGATCATCGTTTCCATCGTTCCCACCATTCCCGAAACGCCCACACAGTCATTCCTTATCCCTGGCCTGTTCTGTCGTGAGAACTGCCTTGACCTTCCTCTTCTCCTCCACACCTTCTTCCATCCCCCCCCAACACCATCACCTCCCCCTCCCCACCCCTCCACCCTCCTTCTCTCCTCTTTCCCCTTCGAGTTATTCGTAGGGGTGAGAGACTCACCATTCCGACCCTCCCGGTCATGCACAAGATCTCCAACTTTACGGGCCAGGCCCGTCATGGTTGGGAACGAATGACGCCGACCTTTGGAATGTCCAGACCTCACACCGACATGGCCTTTCGCCGGCCACACGGCGCTCCGCCTATGACTCCTCCGACGAGTATCGACCCGACCGTCAATTTGTCCTTCAACGTCCCATTCTCGTCGACCTTGGCTGGCCCCGATGTCGATGATGTACTCCACGCCAGTCCGAATGCCCTCCAACGTTGGACTTTCCCCGAGGACTCCCCCGAAGGTACACAGGTACACCAACTACCTGTTCATACTAGCAATGTCGACGGCTTGCGGAGGTTATGTCGACAGATCACCGAGACGAGTGCCGGACGGATCGAAGCAACGGTGGCCTCGACCGAACCAAAGGCCCTACCTTCCTTACAACGGCGCCCCAACGGCTTGGTGACCAACGTCTGTGTGACAGGTGATGGCGAAACCGTGCGCAAGATGCGAGCAAAGATTTTGAACGAAACCCCGATCATGCTGGTATGTGGGCGAATTTTTTTCACTTCGCCCCGGTGTACCCATCTGGTGTTCCGCTTGGGAAAAAAAAAAGCACTCCTTGCTGACCTTTCGCCCTTTGAATAGCGCTGCGCAACTGTCGATGTCGATATGCACCTGATTATGGATGGATCGCCAAAGGGTATTCGAGCTAGCGTATTGGAGCATATGGATACCTTGGCCGCCTATACCGGGACCGATATTTTCTTGCTGACGCCGAAACTTCACGATGCCGATAGTGCCGTCGTTTCGTCCTACGGGTATGCCTCTGATAATGGCCTCGAACAGCGTTTCCGAGTTGCCATTTACGGTGACATGGAAAGCTCCGAACATGCTAAGACTCGGGTGCTGATCATGATTGACCAAATCGTACGTCTCTTTCGCGGTGTGAGAACATCGGGGGGAAATCAAGTGCGTGCTAATACGAGGGCAGCTGAAACGCCATGTCGATGCTATCAAGCTGGAGTTGACCATGCACACCTTGGTCTGTGGCCGCACCCGCAAGAACATTAAGCTCATCGAGGCTGCCACCGGCACCGCTATTTACTTCCCCCCGCCGTTCCCTCGAATTTTCGGATATACCCCGCCGGGCGCGAACCGTCGAAGTGAGGATGAAGTGTATATTACTGGTGATACCCCGGAACAAATTGCTCGGGCGAAGCAAAAGTTGCGAGAATTGGTGATGGGTGTCAAGATCTATGTCAAGGACGTTGTTGTCAACTCGAGCAAGATTGACAATATCCTGCTCGATCGTTTGGACAAGGTTCGCAAGGTGATGGAAATGAACGGCTCCTATGTGCTGTTCCCCCAGCTGGGCAGCCAACGTGGCCTGGTTCGGATTCAAGGCACCGAGGTTTTGCACGTTGAGCGGACCGTGAGGGAAATCATGGCCTTGGTACGAGCACTTAGTCAACAACCATCTGGCTGACCTCCGCTAATCATTTTTCTCTCTCTTTTGTTTAGGCTGGCCAATTCTATAGTGCCTCTTGGTGGATCATCATGCCCGACCCCGCACAGGGTGGTCTTCGTGCACCTTCGACGCCTGAAATCCGCTCGATGCTCACTGATATATGTACCAACTCGGAAGCTGAGGTCAGCTTCGATAACCTGACGTTTACGATTAACGGATCCGACGATGCTGTCAAGGCAGCCATGACTGTTGTAAATCAGATCCCATTTGTTACCCGCAGCCAGTATCAGATGCGTGTCAAGATCGAGCTGGCCAATGAGCACAAGGAGTTCGTCAGTGGCAAGAAAAATGGCAAGATCAACAAGATCATGGGCCAGAGTGAGTTGGATTTCTCAAGTCTTTCTCAGCCACCCTGCTAACGCTATACACAAGGCAATGTTCAAATCATCTTCGACGGTTTCAACGAATATAATTTTTACATCGATGTTTGTGGCAACCAGTACGACTCGACTAAGAATGGTCTGGATCTTGTTGAGCAGGAAATGCCTGCTTCCATCTCATTTCATGTGCCCGACCAGTATCATAAACGTATCATTGGAATCGGCGGACAGCACATTCAGCGCATCATGAAGAAATACTCCGTCTTCGTCAAGTTTTCTAACGCTATGGATCGTGGAGGGATGGGCAAGGAGGATGACGATATCAAGGTTGATAATGTCATCTGCCGCACGCCCGCTCGCAATGCCCAGAGTCTGGACCTGGTGAAGCAGGAGATTATGGACATGGTCGAGAAAGTTGTACGTGTCGTGTCACCCCGATTGAGACCCAAACAGAAGCTAACGTTCCACAAGGACGCCGAGTATGTCTCGGAAAGAGTTGTTATCAACCGACTCTACCACCGTGAACTGCTGGCTCGCATGACCGAGATTGATGAGCTTGAGAAGAAATGGAACTGCAAGATTGAATTCCCCAGCACCGAACTTGCCAGCGATGTTGTGACTATCTCTGGCCCCGAGTACCAAGTCCCCCCAGGCTGTTGATGCCTTGCTGGGCATGGTCCCGGAAAGCCACGAGCTTCACTTCCAGAGCTCGGCTGAGCTACGGGAATACTTCAAGGTTCCTGATTTCCTTGACGACGTCGGCACCAAGCTCAAGGAGCAGTACGAGGTTGACATCAATGTTGACGTTAGTGCTGACCTTCCACCTGCTCGGGAGGATGGATCGTCCTCGCCGGACCCCGCCCCCGAAGATCGGGTCGTTCTCGGCTACACGCGCAACAATGCCGGTGGCCTTAAGGATGCCATCGACTTCCTCATTTCTCGCCTCGTCGCCCACGGCCTCGATGCCAACACGGTCAAGGGAGCGATCCCTCGCCCCAAGTCGGATTCGTTCGAGGAGTCGCTGCCCTTCTTCGACTCGAAGCTGTTGCAGCACGCTCCAGCGCCTCTCCTCACCGACTCTCCTACTCGACCCAGCTTCGCAGACGAGACCAGCGAGCGCGGTTCGATCTTCGAGCGCCTCCGCAAGCCCGGAAGTATCTCGTCCTTCTCCTCATTCATCGGGCGTAAGAACCATTCGGCCTCGCCCGGATCGTTCTTCAAGCACGCTTCGAGCAATGCTTCAAAGGCTTCGCTTGTCTCGATGGAATCGCGGGATAGTGGCTACCGCAACCCTTGGAATGACTCTGGGGTGAACCTCCCCGAGGACGACATTCCTGTCCTGGGGAGCTCGCATAGCCACAAGAGCAGCAACAGCAATGGCTGGCCCACACGCTTCGACGCCAAGTTTCCTTTCGGTACGGCACCCGGCGACATGACACCCAAGCATGACCCGCGCGCCTCTTTTGACAGCGGTCGCCCTAGCACTTCGAATTCTACTTCTGGATACCCGGCCCCCATTGGGCCACCGCGTTAAACACAAAATATCCATTTACAGCAGTATACCCTTTTGGTTGATTTGTTTCCAGCGAGTGTCTCGGTTTCTTCTGATTTGATAGTGGATTTTGTTATTCTGGATTATTCTTTTTGGCTTTATCTTTTATTTTTCTTGTTTCTTTTTTTTTATCTATTTTTTTGATTGATACCACGGAACGCAAGCAATGAAGGCGTCAGAAAAGAAAAACGAGAGATATCCAAGATCTGCGTGAGATAGAGCGGGAATGTTTTTTGTTTTCCTTTTCTTTTCTCAACTTTTTTTTATCATCCAAGTTGCCGTTCCTGTTTTTTATCTTCTTTTTTTTCTTTACCTTTTTGATGTCTTTATTGACTGTTTTGCCAACGATGACGAAATCCCGGTATCCATGGGAGGAAAGGGATGATAGTCGTGCGCCACGCCTGGTCAGTTGACTTTGATACCTCAGGCTGGTGGGGAGTTTTGTTTCCAAGTTGGTTTTTAAGTCTCGATGTTTTTTACTCCTTTGATATCCCCATCAATGAGATTTGACCTTAGACGATTTCCACTCGCAGGTCTTTTGACTACAGTATTTTCTCGTGGCGCGTTCATAGTATCCACTCGAATAGGCTACCGGGCCAGCTGGGAAGATTTCAACAAATATTTATTAGGGTCATTTCAGATAGAACGTAGGTTGGCATGCGATGAGTGCCCCAAGACAGTTAGGTATTGCAATACTTTTGACACAGGGTCAGACCTCCGAAACCTCCGCACGACCATGTTCTTCCCCGTGGTCATCATTTTCCTTCACGGGCTTGGACTTGATAAAACAAGTAGCGAGAATTGTGACGGACGCCGTGCAAGTGTAGAAAATCCACATATTTCGCAGCCCTGTCACGTAAATCCTTCTATGATCATCACCTTCAGTGCCGGCATCAATCTTAGAAGTCAAACTACCGCTTCCAATACTTTGTTGAATCAGAACAGTCCCCAAAACAATGGAAATCGACGTGAACAAATTCCTGAGAAAAGTGAACGCAGACATTGCCGCCGCTACATCTCTCTGGTGTAAATGTGTCTGCAACGAAATCATAGGACTCTGGAAAAGCAAACCAGCCCCCAATCCGGCAATGACTTCAAAACAGATAATCCTAGGCCAAGAAATGCTTGTTCCGAAATCGATGAATAGTCCAGTGCCCAGTGTGAGGACACTTGTTCCAGCGAAAATCATCGCGAGATAATTCCCTGTCTTGCGGACGAACATTCCTCCACCGAAAGTCGATAGCGACATTGGAATTATCAGGGCGAAAAGAGTCACGCCGGATATCAGTGGTCGGAAACCGAGAACGACTTGAAAATATAACGGTAGGAAAAAGTCGAAGGAGATGAAGACGAAAGAGTGAAGACACGCGACGGTGAAAGATGCGAGCAGTGATCGTTTTTGAAAGATCCGGATCGGAATCAGTGGGTTTGTAGCAAATTTGGCTTCCCATATCGTGAACAAGGCCATTATCAGGACACCGAAAACGATTAACAAGATGACCGTGGGAGAATTCCAAGGAAGAAGCCCGCTTGAGCCTGTTTCAAGCCCGTATAGGAAGCAGATTGTCCCTCCGATGATAAGCAAGAAGCCCATCCAGTCTATACTGCTCAGCCCGGTCACCGACTCCTTCTCAAGGGTGAGATTGAGATTGAAGAAGAGAAGTACTAAAACAATTCCATCGAAAGGCAGATTGATATAAACTGGGTTATCATTAGCACATAGTACTAACAAGTAATTGGCCATGAGTCCATGGCCAACATTCCCCAAACTGGAACTTGAACATGAACTTACAGCACCATCTCCACCCAATACTATCCGTGAAAACACCACCCAAAACCGGCCCGATGGCACTAGCCATCGCAAAAGCAATCCCAGTAATACCATAGTATTTAGGCCGCTCAGCGAGCGCAAAAATATCACCAATTATAACCGTTACGAGAACGATCGATCCACCACCACCGAGTCCCTGAACGACTCTACCCGCAATAAGCGACATACTCGAGCTAGCCAATGCACTAACCAAACTACCAACCATAAATATACTAACCGCAGCCATTATCGTCGGCTTTCGACCAAATATATCTGAAATTTTGACCCAGACTGGCGTCGATGAGGTTGTTGCTAGTGTATAACTGCTTCCAATCCACGCGTATTCCCGAGATGTTACTCTTAAATGCGCTGCGATGCTGGGTAAAGCGGTCGAGATGATGGTTATATCGAGTGCGCCGAGAAAAAGGGACATGCACAGTGATAGAACGATTAGTCGGCGCTGCCATGGTTGCATTTGTGGTGGTTGGTAGGTGGAAGTCTGGGTATTGAGTCGTTCGACATCGTGGATTGTTTCTTTTCCTTCGACCTGTGAGTCTGGACTTTCGGTCATTGTTATGAAAGAGCGTGGGTAAGGATGAGAGGGCGAAATAAAAAATATAATTCAAGTCCGAATTTCTTTAGAAGATTTCTGAGAATGGACATTATCATCTCGGTTTCACCCCCACTCGGGGCCACTTTCCGCGTGCCAAGACAAAGCATGATCTGACGCTAAACTAATCAGTTCGCCGATTATCCTCGATCTGGGGGTGGGGTAGAAATAAACGCTCAAGGGGATGACTAGGATGGTATATCATATATGTACTAGAGATTAGTGTATAGTTAACTGGGTCATTACGTCTACGATTACGATACTATGAGTAGGAGATCCAAAAGTCGGAGGGCCCCAAGAGGCCAGATAGGTATATACTGTGCACGACAGTGGCAGGAAACAGAACTTGAAATAGGACGGTACGAAAAATAGGGAAATGGAGGTCAATCGAATGTATTGAGGTGTGTGAAAAGCTAGAGGCTACTACTTCCGTATCTCCAACTGCAACAGCGGTAGGCAACATCACATAGTTCCCGTTCCAGCACTAGGTGTGAAATACTATGGGATCCATCCTACCACTCCGTCAATACTTGAATTGAACAAAAAATAAAAATACAACTCGATTTCGGTGCCTGCTGAACTGCGTTTACCAAAACCGTCCGAATATATTTGAGCGCGTCTGCGATTCGGTCACCCGTGTTGGCCAGCACCAGCGTTATCATGAGGGCCCAGAAGCCTCAATCATTTGTAGACAGCCCCATAGTAGACAGCCGATCGAGAAGACGGGGCTCCAAGCAGTCCGAAGAGCGGCGTTCCAAGTTCTTCACTTTGGATGCTGCTCACGCTGCGGTCGTCAAGAGTCACGATAACGTACCTTTGCTACCCATATCCTAACAGTCTTATCATAGGACGCTGATACAAGTCACATTCTATCTAGCAACCAGGCAATCGAGAAGACCAGACCGTTATGCCCCTCGAGGGTTAACTCACACAGACCGGTGACCGGATCCCAGATTTTGGCAGTCTTGTCATAGGATGCTGATGCAAGTCAGCTTCCATCTGGCGACCAGACGATCAATCGGACCGGACCGTTATACCCCTCAAGGGTTTGAAGACATAAACTCCAATCTTTATCCACCAATAGCTCATTCATAATCCAATTCAGTCTCTTCCTTTAATAACATCTTCTCGTCAGGCTCAACATAGGGCTAAATATCAGAGATAAAATATATACTTAAAGAGGGCTACTTTCAACTGCTAGCCTATAGTATCAGATGAATCAGAAGCCGTCTTGAACTTGTTGTAAAAGGGCGGGTGGTTTACCTTTTTCCTAGTATAGTATTAATGTCAGAATTAGAGACGGTTTCGGTATATAAGCAATTACTCACCTTAAGTAAGCCCTCAAGCTTCAGCATCGCTGCTATGCCCTGTAATAGGCTTCCTAAAATACTCAGAGCTTCAAGCCAGTAAAGGTATTTCTTTTATAGAAAATCACCAACATACCCTCTCTCATCAACGTCAAGGTTTCTTCTCCTATAGCATCCGCTATAATAAAGATGGTCAACCCAATAGATACACAGATATTTAACAGCTCCTAATAGATTTAGACTAGGTAGTATAATCTTCTCAATCAGGAATCTAGGGGTTTCAAGTTGAAAATATTCGTATCGAAGTATCTTAAACATAGCTTGTAGACAGCGAGAGAAAATCATACAGTATTTAGCTTCTAAACCTCTAGCAAAGATCGCATTTTGCGTCTCCTTAAGTAGAGATTCCTTTATAGACTGATAGACAAAAACAACGGTGTCTTTGTATACAGTCAAAAACAAGCTATAAATCATAATAATCTCTGATAGAGCTTCAGAGTTATCAGAGAGATCATTAGGTATTTCAACAAGAGAGGCTAGTTCATCAAACACAATAGGCCGATACACTACAGACATAACAGCCAGTATTCATATACAGAGCTTAGTATCTTCCGTATTACAAACCTAATCGATCATCCGACTGTACAAGGCATTCAGTCTAGGAAGGAAAGCCTCTAGCTTCTTAAGAGAGTACCTCTGCAATATTTTATCAAGGTCTTAGTATACCAAGCCTACCTAAAGGAAAGTACCTTACAAATTAGCTGCCAAATAACAGCAGATCATACCACAAGTTTTGTCGCTATACTTTTTAACTTTCGCCAGATTATAAACCTTATACTAAATAAACTTACTTGCTTCAGAAACAGACGTCTCATTTAGCTCCCAATAAGATCAGAGCGGTCTAGATAGTATAAAGACGCTCTTTAATATCAGGCCAGTTGCGGCTCGAGACAATCCACTTTATCTGAGAGTAGACAGGCGATACTTAAGTAATCAGGTCAAGAAGGGAAGGTAGTCCTATTAAATATTCGTCCAGCACATCAATAATCAAATATATACTCTACAAAGTCGGGTCTTTCAGGATATCTGTAAATCTCCTTAAGAGAGAATTCCATACGTTTATATCCTCGAACAATGATTTTCCCGCCTTGTCATATTGGATTCTCACATAGGAGAGAAGAAATAGCTACTTCTCGACAAGCAAGTATATCAATCCACGAAGAACAGCCGTCGCATTATTGATCCGTACGTCGGTAGCTTGGCAAAAAAAAGAACGAGATATTCGCAGAGTCCCCAAATAATCGTATAAACTCGTCGATGATACTACACAAGAGCATTGTCTTGCCTTTGCCAGGATCACCTCTGATCCAGAAGAGACAGTTAATATGGTTGTCTTACCATTATTTAAACTCCTCGTTGTCTAGAATCCAACAGTATGAGTCTTTGAGCAGCCCTCCATTGGTGTTTTGTGTACGATCTTTGTTATGGTGAGGATTAGTCGTCCGCAGATCCCGCAGGCAAGCTTGATTCAATGATATTTCCGATTGTACTTGAGCGTTTAGAGTGATATGCCCAAGGTTCTGCCCAACTTGGAGGCCGGAATTTGTCCCGTCATATGATGTCGTATGCGCCATCATTGCATCTAGGTGGGTGTTGTCGCGAGCATACAGCTGAGTTGTCGAAGTACCCCGCTGTCAGGTGATTAATCAAAGAGAATAAAAGTGTGAAACTGATTTCGAGCGCATCTGTACGTGCAGCAGGGAGGGGTCATCGAAACACATGACGACACTCCCCGATAGTCCTCATGAACAGCCCTGTGCGGAGGAGAAACAGCGGCCTGCACGACGGAAGAAAAGCCCGGACATCTCTACGTGTGGATCCATATTCATCCAGTTTTCACTTTCATCTCCCACCTCAAGTGCCCATCCCTACAACTACCGCTGCTGCTGAATATATGAACCCAGCTCCTAAGCAAACTGATCCAATTGATATCCCTGGACTTCTCGATATAGATGTCAAAAATACGCTACGTGGTTTCAGTCACGGGTGATCAGTGAGACCTTCAAGGAAAATATCCAGAAAGCCCGCCATATGGCCCTTGAAAACTGTCTGGATCTTAAAACAAATCCACGACGATCAAGATCCGGAATTTTTTGTCAGAAAGGGCGTGACAGCAGGAGCCGCTGGCGATTTGTTAGCGATATTGCCCGCTGGGTGACGCAAAACGGAGATACTAATGAAATTGCAGAGTAATCGTGACCTCTCCAGGCGTTACAGTACGTCCCGGGAGCAATGAACATAGTAGAAAGGACAAGTAGTGTTGAATTGTTATATGAAGCGTAAACGCTAATGCATTCCAGACCAACCAATCAAGAAGAAACTTTTCGATGACTAATACCCGCAAACACGAACTGACATAAGCTCCGGCGTTCTCAGCTTCCAGAATTCAAGTGGCTGGAGCAGATTAATGGCATTGTAACCCACCAAGACGATGGAAATTCCGATGGGGTACAGGTTGGCTATTGCGATGATAAACTGATTAGTGAATACTTATAGATCCAAAAAGTCAATTCTAAGAAATGTGCACTACCTTAATAACTGTGATCCTTCCGGTCGTCACTCCAAAGTGGAGCAAGGAGTAGCATTTAGCCAATCATACAAGGCCATACACAGAGTCCTCCGTGGCCCTTGAGCTCTTAGCCACTCTCCTGAAAGCCCTAGGATGACGATGCCTTCTACTAGGAACTGTGGGCATTCTAGGAGCTTGGTACAAGTACGGAATCATGAGACTAGGGCCCAAGGACCAACAGCGGCGAATAAAGCGCAAACTCTCGAAGAAAGGTCGGGCTTCTGCCAGTATAATGCAAGCAGATTATTGTGAATTGTTATGGTCCACGGTGCCCCGTTAGACAGGTCATAAGTTGCCCAACAAGTCGTCCTTTTAGATGTATAGAGAAATACACGCAAAATGTCAACAGATTTTCGACATCTCATTTAATCAGACTCTTAAGCCAGCTTTTCGCTTGAGATGAATTGAGGTTGGATCCGACGTTTGGGCGAGGCGATGCAGAGCAGTTTTCTGCAAACCAGCTCACCAATCCATACACAGTTTGTCCAGTTCCGTCCATTATGGGACCGCCCTCGTCGCCATTGCAGACGGAAGTTCCAGGCGCCAACGGCACATCTGGCTGAAAACACATCATCCTCTTCGTGATGGTGTTCACATCATCCAACAAATCATTGCATTTGCTTTGGGCGACGCTCACCATGCTAACCTGTTGCAGATTTCTGGACACGTTGCTGGAAGAAGACAGTTCCTTACCCCAGCCGGCGATACGGAGGGGGTAATCGTCAGCGGTGGCATCGTCTGTTGATGGCAATGATGCGGTGGCAACACCACTAACATCGAGGGCATTCTCCGACAGATGTAAAACAGCGTAATCCCAGTCCATGGTGGACGGGTTGTAGGATGGGTGAATGGAGACTTTATCAATTTGCAAAATGGTGCCTCCGGTCCGTTCTGCACTGCCAACGCGGACATTTAGCCTTGAAGGAGCCGAGACGGAGCCGTGGACACATTTCGCAGTGGTGATCACGGTGTGTTCGCCAACGATAACGCCGGAGCAAGTGAAGCTACCGCTACGGTAGAGGCTAGCGATAGAAGGGTAATCAAGGGCGGTAGCCTCGGTGCCATTGACGATGGCATTAACCGCGGTGGAAAGGGCGAGCCCAGTCAGGGTGAGTGCATTGGTGACACGCATGGTAGAGTGAAACAAAGGGAATCTTGTAATATGAGTTACAAACGGAAAAAGAGCAAATAAAAGAGGGGTGGCGCGCGATTCTTTTATATACAGCAAACATTCCTCGCAAACTCAAATGGGGTGGTGGAGCTGCGCTATTGAGAGATCGGCAGAGCTTTTGGACGATCATCGGTTCGCGTCGGACTCAAAATGACGGAGCTTCTCTACCAATCCCTGTTCTTGTCTTCGACTATCCGTATTCAGTCAATATCTCAATTTAGAATCGTAATCATATACATCAAATCAAGAAAAGATGTACTGTCGCCCCAGGTTCGCCTTGACACTCTTTCAGAACCTAGTTACTAATTGGCTATCCCAAATAGGGTGAATATTGTATCTCAATCTCGTCTCACCCGGCGACTACGGGCCATTTTCTGTCAAACACTACTGGCCTCTCGGATTCTCCCTAGTAGGAACTAGACCGGAGAATCACGTCATTATTTGTATCCTTCACCACACATAAAGTGTCGTATTCACTGGTCAACTGCGACTAAGTCAACGTTGTAGTACTGAATTTCCTCTTAGAAACCCATGGAATTTTCCGTGCAAACAGACCAAATCAAAGGGAAATTCTAATAATTGTGACTAGGCTCTCCACCTACACCCGTTCCCGTGTGTAGGTGGAGAGCCTAGTCACAATTATATTGGCATGATTCTTCTCCTGTGTCTGAGTCTCCTCGAAAACACTTCCTTTACCTTGCTCGTGCCTTCATCCAATGAATGGTGTAGAAATTTAATAGCTTACGTACCTAGGTGCCCACCTTTTGATCGGACTTGCTCGGCCTGCCATATTGAATCTACGATAAGTGGGGCAAGAATTCGAGGATCTGCAGATCAAAAATTCCGCCACAATAACAATAATAGATCTTGGCTACTAGCCTAGGTATCTAGTAGATCTATGGTCTTGATTTGCGAGCTCACTAATATCTGTCTTCTCCCTGTATGTTTTACCTGTTCAGTAATTGCCTTTAGTCGCAGTTACCGATGAATAAAATCTGAGTGCAGCATGGTTAACAATAACAAATAAACGGATTTTTTTCATTTTCTTGTTAAAAACAGTGAAAGAAGTAGGGTGTTCATTGAATATTATTGGTCAGACAACAGTCTCCACCTTCAACCACGCGAATTTCCCAATAACCAGGCACCCCCAGGTCTACCACAAGAATTTATATCACCCTGCGACCCAACTAAGATGTCCTATTTTTACTCCAGAGTCCGATGTTTACTGGGCAGCTGCTGTGGACGCAATCCGAGGAAACATCTTCGCCACACTTGAATGTGAGCTAGTACGAGAGAAATCATATGAGAACGAGGATGCACATCGACTCCTTCGCGACGGATACCGCAGCCTCGTGTTCCAAGATAAAGCTAGTCTCGACGGAGTGACTATCGATCAGGATCGGGGGCAATTCAAAGCTTTTGTTACAAATGAATTGCTTTCTGCTGGTGCTCGATTTCGCTGGTGTCTGGTCATCGATGCAGAGGCCATCCAGTCATTTGTGCGCTACCCTCAACCCGTTAAAGCTTCTGAGTTATCGAAACCTGGTGCAATTGAAGGGAATGGTCCCTGGGTGATAGTTGTGGACCCTGAATATGAGCCGGGCTCTACTTCCAGGGGCAGAGGCCGCTTATACCGGGGATATATGCGTTGCCATCTCAACAGACAGCAATTACTTGCGTGGGCAGGATCTATGAACTTGAAACACATGTCCAGAATGATTCGCCGAGATGCAGAAGGTATTCCATGGTTCAAAGAAATTATTGAAATGTTCAAAATGCCTCGCACCTTTAAGAGAACGAACATATTCTCTGGCTCCCCTCTAGTCAACATCAACCCAAGTTGGCCGCTAAGTATACAACTGTACAAGATGATTTATGATTTGGACCATTGATCCATTGATCCATTGAAGGTAAACTAAAACCTAACACAGCTACAATATATTCAAATTCTCACAAAGAAGCTATTACAATCGCTGAAAACGCCTAAAATTCAAATCCCAAATCATCAGCAAATCACTCATGCAGCAAAGCGATCAGGCAACACAACGGGCGCCACCAAGGTCCACAAGTAAATCGCGTAGCAGACCCAAGAGCTAACAATCTTCACCCAGCTGGCCCAGTAGGTGCGGCCTACTGGGGCAAAGTCACCCATCTCGGTGTCAACCTGCAGTCCTTGCGACAACAAGGTAGCCACCCAAGTCGTGGCCAGGAAGAAGATGATATGGAATAGAGAATAGTTGTACTGGGTTGAGCCACGCTCGTCATCCTTGCTGCTGGTCTCAAATTCATCCTCGTCGTCGCTCTCATCCAAAGCACTGGCCGGCAAACTACCGCTCTCCACTGCGGCTCGAAGAGCTTCGGCGCGCATCTCCCCGATGGCTGTTGGGCTGTTGGGTCACCAGCCCGTGCTCGTTGTCCTCCGTACCCAGCTCGCTGTAGCCGTGGCCGCCCTTGGATCCCAGAGCGATACCCTGGGTAGCCGCGCGCGTAGTGGTATAGGCAATGGTGGCCATGGTGACAATAGCGCCCAAAACGATTGTGATGGTGCGGGCGCCACTGGAGCGGACTAAGGGATTGCAACTGTGGGTATCCGGCTCCATGGAGACGGCGGAAAGAGTAAGGTAAGTGCAGTAAACGGTAACCATAGCAGCTTGCGCCAACCCGGCGCGCGGGTTTGATTCTTGCACGGCCGGCTGAACCGAGATGAATGAGATGATCAGGAAAACGATCAAGTTGACCGATATAGCGACCTGGTTCATAGAGCATCCACTGCGGGCGAAGAAGATGTACATCAAGATCGTCATGACGAGGGAAGCGATGTACATGCCGAGGGTCGATCCGATAAGCAGACCCCGCCAGAGGCGCGAGTCGCTATCCTCGATCTTCCGAAGGCAAAGTTCCGCCCAGGAATGAGCCAGGTCCACCAACAGGATCAGACCCAGAAGCAAGAATAGCATAGCGCAGAAGAAAGCGATATAGTTGCCGTAGACGAAGAAGAAGGGTTCTGGGATGAAGAAGGACATGACGACGAAGGCCATCCAAACGATAATTTTGGGACCCCAGAAGCCATTTTGAAGCGCGGCGCGGCTGTCGCGGGATGTTTTGACACCGAGGAGCAAGAGGGCAAGAATCAAGTGGAATAGAGCGAGACCGAAGTTGATGCGATGAACTGCGACCCAACCATAGCACTCCTTCCCGTCGCATTGAATTTCCATATAATCGAGAGTCAGACCTTGCAATTTCTTCATTGCCCATGGTGTAAGCATGATCCAAGAGACGATGGAGTTGACTAGGAGGATAAAGGCATATGCGATTCGAGTCGCCATGCTGTGATAGAGTCAGTTTGGAAGCGTCCTTCGTCTAGGCATCAAGGAATGCGAAAATACCTGTTTTGGAACTTTCCACATGCGCTGCAGACAGCAGAGCAAGTCGCAGCTCCGCAGCATGAGCCTCCAAGGGTGATAAGCTATTCGTCGGTAGTATTAGCAGACTGTCTCGGATCGGATGATCGGAAGAGCTGGCGATCGAGGGAGGCAACAAGACTCACCGTGCCCATGCTAGGCACCGCTAAAAGCGGCAGTGATAGAAGAGCACCCATAGCGAAATGAAAAGTGGTGGTTTCAGACCAGGACTAGGGCGAAGGGTGATTCTGGCAGGTTGTTTGGAGGTGCAATACAGTCGAAGGCAGGCCTGGGGGAGAAGTGGAGGTGACGATCCCTGGAACCGCCTTCGTCATGGGATGTCACATGACCACACGTGCCGTCACCAGCGCTGATTGGAGGATCTCGTTTTGGTACTGGAAGATGGAAGATGGAAGATGGCACAATTTAATAACTTGGATCTAAAAAATGAAATCGGATGGTAGAAGAAAATATTGTATTTTAATTCTACTAGTATATAGATCTATCCATCAGTCCTCTGGCCGATAGCCGACACTGTGGGGTTTCTCACTGTCTCTTGGACTAAAGATAGTGGTGTTCAATGGCACTACTAGTAGTAGTACATCCGGAGATTGATTTCTAGTACTCCGTATAAGTCAGGATTTCTCAATAAACAGTCGTTGGCCCACTTGGCCTCTTATACATCTATTACCTAACCTCAGTTCTAGCATGATTGGAATTCAAGGCACGGAGGGCCCACTATGGACAGCCTTGGTACGACAAGGCGGTACGAAGTATATTCGTATTTGGAAGGCATCTTGAAACTACGTAGAAAAGATCCGAAACATTGTGATGGGACTAACTACCAGATCTACTAGCAGCAAGATGTGGAGAGACAGATACGAGTATCCCCAGAAAAGACCTTCTTACGTCAATAGGGCTATTTGATTTGTCCATGGGCACCTGTTGGACCCATGACGCGATCCTATGCCGAGCCCACCACGAGTCCCCGCTCAGATCCCTCTCGCATTTGACAAGGCGGTAGCCCTATGGGAGTGTGAGAGTGGAATATCGGATGACTATCGATCGCCTTAGCCTTGGTCCCTGACATCAAAAGTTTAGATCGGGACTTAAACTCGCGTGACGAGGTGAAAGTAAAAGTGAGAGAGAGGTGGACTCGGACATTCTTGGCACTCGGCAGAGTCCGGTGGAGCACCGCGCCGTCTCCCCGTTATCTTCGCGATTACGACGCTGGGCTCCTGAAACTCCCATCCTCTCCTCCAATTCTTGCATTTTTCCCCCCCTCGACCTCTGCGGTCTATTTTCACCTATAGTCCTTCCTTGCACCGGGTCCGATGTCCCTCTTTTTGTCCGACCACTCATTGCCCGGGAACCCTGATCGATTCACCACTCCGATAAAGAAGAGATAGATACCCTATCCGCGGAGAAAAGAGTACGCGTGGCCGAACTGCAGGACTTCGTTGCGAACCACCTCCCAATTGGGCGTTATTCTGGAGAACACACAAGACAGGGAGAAAGGCATACACACGAACAACGACCAGAATGTTTTCTTCACAGACCGCACGGTACATCTCCGTGGCTGCGGGAACCCTGGTGGCATTATCCTGCGGCACAAATGTGCGTCATCCTCGTCTTTGCGCACTCAAGCTAGTGCGAATGGGACCGCTGATAACTGACACCCGATAGTATGCATACTCGGCATGGGCACCGCAATTCGCCCACAAGATGAAGCTCTCTTCTACCGAGAGTAACCTCATCGTGAGTTTTTCTTTTTCTTTTTTTTGGGGGAACATGAGTCGCAAAGGAATATCCTCCATATTGACAACTTCACAGGGTGCCGCTGGAAATCTGGGCATGTACGCCATGGGATTCCCCATGGGCTTGTTGACCGATGCTCGTGGACCAAGGCTCATTACCTTGATCGGTTCGATCTGTCTTGCAATTGGCTATTACCCGATTTATTTATGTAGGCTTTCCTATCTGCCGGCCAATTCATAATCTAACACTAACAAACGACAGCTTATCAACACGGGGAGGGTTCGGTCCCCATCATTTTCCTGTGCTTCTTCGCTTTTATGACAGGTACTGGTGGTTGCTCGGCCTTTTCGGGAGCGATCAAAACCGGTAGGTGCTCACAATTGTCTGATTATATTCCTAAATTACCGTGGTGCTAAATATCTACTTCTTTAGCTGCATCTAATTTCCCTGACAACCGTGGCACTGCGACTGCCTTGCCATTAGCCGCCTTTGGATTAAGTGCCTTATTCTGGTCCAACATCTCGACGATTGTTTTCAAGGGCGACACTGGTCGCTTCTTGCTTCTCCTGGCCATCGGCACATCTGTTCTCTCCTTCATTTCGATCCCATTCCTCCGAATCTTGCCACCAGATTCATATTCATCGGTTCCCCACCATGGTCACGAAGACCCGTCCGAGTCTCAAAGGCTGCGTCGGACCAGTGCGTCGTCTTTGCCCGAGAACTCTGACGACTCGCACAACTCTACGGCTTTCGACAACGAGCAGTCAGCACACGCTCGTGGTCAATCGGTTTCGGGCCATCGCGGCTACAACGGCAACCAGGACGAAACCTCCTCTCTTGTATCCAAGGACGATGTGCGCCCTTCTTTCGACACGCTGGACGATGATTTCCTCGACGAGGTAGCGATGGAGTCTCACCACACTGATATCAGAGGCTTAGCCATGCTCCGCAAAGTCGAGTTCTGGCAACTATTCCTAACCATGGCCCTACTGTCCGGAATTGGATTAATGACCATCAACAACATCGGCAACAGCACCAAAGCCCTTTGGATATACTATGACGACAGCGCCTCGTCGAAATTCATCCAGCAGCGACAAGTCATGCACGTTTCCATTCTCTCATTCGGAAACTTCCTCGGCCGTCTCTTCAGCGGTATCGGCTCGGACATCTTGGTCAAGAAACTCGACATGTCCCGCTTCTGGTGCCTCTTAATCTCCGCCGTCGTCTTCACCCTCACCCAACTCGCCGGCTCCTCCATCTCGAACCCAAACACCCTCGTCATCGTCTCTGCCTTCACGGGTATCGCTTACGGATTCCTGTTTGGTGTCTTCCCTTCCCTGACCGCACACACCTTTGGTATCGGCGGTCTTTCCCAGAACTGGGGCGTCATGACTCTGGCCCCTGTCTTCAGTGGAAATATCTTCAACCTGCTCTACGGAACCGTTTATGACCGCCACTCCGTCGTCAATCCGGAAGGCGACCGCGACTGTCCGGATGGTCTGGCCTGCTACCGCTCTGCATACTATTTGACCTTCTTCTCTGGTCTCGCCGGTATCCTGGTCTGTCTGTGGAGCATCTTTCGCGAGAAACAGATCCACAGCGCTATGGCGAAGAAGTCCGACCACCGCCTCGCATGATCTAATGGGATCTGATCTTATACTAATGCCCCAAGCAACAAATATCCTATGTTATCGCGGAGCTGATAACTGATAACTGATCGGACGAAGTTCCCCGCAGCACACCATTGAGCTGTTATCTTGTTCGCCATAGGGTATCGCGCTATCGCATGATCGACATCCCACCATGGCATTTGCTGGTCAAGTTTCTTATCGGTGGGCCGGGCCGCTGGGACTGCCTAGGGACTAGGACTGGTGTCGACGTCAGATCCATATATGCATTCATTATCATTCATTGCCATGTTTTCTTTTTCTGTCATAGACTCGATACCATATATTCGGTCTCTGGATCATTCCCCCCCGAGCGCCTAAATTTGTCTATCTACTCATCCAATCATCCCTCATTTTGAAATTGTATATATTCAATCTTTGTTCGTTTACCGAAGCCTTGGGTTTCTTATTTACACCTGGGCATGTAGTATTTATCTGCCTCGAAAAAAAATCACTCTCAATGGCACCTGGGTATAAACGTAGTACTCGTGAACCTTCCAAGTTGTTGGATGTTCGCATCTGAAGACCTGGACCTTGGGATAGTTGCGGTTTATTGTCCACCTGAGTATCCAGCCTAACTCAAGACGGTGGACTGCTTCATATTTTTGCCATGAACTCTCCAGGACTTTCTTTCACAAGGTCATCAGCAATATATGGTGCCTGGGTACTACCTACGTACCTACCAGTAGTTGACCTTAGACTACCTAGCAGCCAATGGACGACTTCAAGTTTCAGTCGAGGGCTATACCTACACGAATATCCTTGGGAGAAGATGTATCCAAACAAGAGTTCAATTACAACACAAAATCAAACCCGTTGACCTGTCAAACTGGCCGAAATAGACTATCCCGTACTAGTAAAACCGGTCCTATGAAAGGATACTAGTTACCTACTACCATATCAAAACAAAGGATAAATAGCCTCATTCGATAAACAGAACATTGAAGGCAAGAAGCTACTAGTAATTTGAGATGAGCTCGTTCTTTTTCGTTTGTTGTTGTTGTTGTTTGTTTTTTTAGAGAAATTTCCCACAGATTGTTCTTGTCCGACCCTTCCGCACGCCCTTGTGTTCACAACAGACGATGAGAAAGAAAAAGATGGGGATAAATGATATTAGAAGCATACTGAGATTACACAAACACAGACCCACGGCAAGCCATTGAGGAAAATAAGACGACAAACAGGGCGAATTGAATAGAAAGAGGGGGGGAAAGGGTAAGGTAAGGTAAGAAATTAGGATCGATCAAAATATCGAGCTTTTTTTGGTTGAAGGGAGTTTCCGGCCGCCGATGAAAGAGTCGGGAAGGGTATCAAAAAGACCAGGGAAGGTCGGACAAGTTCAGCGCAGTGGGGTACATAGTGATCCGTGATCGTGATCACGATCGCGGACACCATGGGACACACTGGAATACAACCGAGCGAGGAGGGGCTCACGGGGGCACCCATAAATGACTGAGAAGCAAAGAACCGAACCGAACCTAAGCGTTACTCGGAGACTTCGCTTGCGATGGGGGCTGGGGCTCCTCGGACGATTGTTCCACCATATCTGAGAGTCGAATGCGCTTGGCTTGAGGTTCTGAGCTATCCAGGTCCAAAGAGCCAGTTGTGCCGAACTGGTGCTCAAGTTCGCTAAGATGTCGCTTGAGATCTTCTTCGCGGCGCTGCGACTCCTCCAGAGACCGGCGCAGGCGGGCTTCGGAGTCGCGGGCGATCATCTCCGAGCGACGGGCGCTGGCGTCACTCTGCTCGAGCTCGGCGACACGGCCGCGGAACAATTCGTTGATCAGGTCCAATTCACTAACGCGTGTCTTCAGGGACGTGTTGAGAGCCAGGAGACTCTCGTAGGTGTGGGAGGAATCAAGTTGGCGATCGACAGCCGAGGGAGAAGGCTGGCGCATTGGGAGAGAAGGAAGACCGGCATTGTCACCACGCGTAACGCTGTCGAACATGTGTTGTGGTGCGATATTCGAGTTGTGTGCCTGCATTGATCCAAACCCAGGTGTCTCGGTGCGCGACAAGGGCGAATTTGAGCGGTCCGAGTGGCCCGGAGACATTTTACGCGACGCGCGACGGTATCCATGCGATCCTAGGGAATGCGCTCCAACGTCGGCTTGACCTGATAGACCGTTGGGGTCGATGGGGCCGCCAGACTGAGGAGAAGACGAACAGGTCAGCAATCAGGGAAATTTCTTATCTGGGGACCAGTTCGAGCGGCCGGGGGGAAGTTCTGGAGGGTTGGTCGCGCGCACTCACCTTGCGTTTGGGGCCCTGACCGGTCTTCACACGGTTGCGACTCTTGATCACATCGGTCTTCAGGCTTATCGGGCGAGGTCGCCCGTGAAGTTTGAGGAACAAGCCACAGGCATTGCAGAGGACGGAGCCGAGTTCGTCCCGGCGCCAGAGGGGGGTGGTGGAGGTACCACAATTCTGACAGACGGGCTGTAATTGAGGAGATTTATCGTCAGTCAAAGTGGTCGCCATGGTTTGGAGAAAGTAGGCAGGTGACGGGGTGGAAGAGGGAGTGATGATAAGATTGGAGAGAGATTTGAGTCGATAAGGATTGGAAGCGCACGGATCGGGTGGTGCCAAGACCCCAGCCGGTTTAATCCAATTGGGGACTTCCGATAACTCGAGATAAGCGGAGGTGATAAGGGGAATGAAAATTGCCCCGTGCCTCCATCTTGGGTGCCCGCAAGGTATAGCAGTACCATAAGTGCTATACTGTAGAATACTGTAAAACTCACCGGGTTATTGCCTTGACCACCAGTCGTGGCCGCTGGGGAGGAAGTCGCATAGCTCATGTTCGCCATGATTCCATTCGCATCACTGGACTCTCTGCGGTTTTCCGGTCAGCCACTCCACGCGCGTTTATTCGTCCATCAAGTTGACCACTGCCTGCAGAAAGAGGGGTATGCAGTTTGGAACTGGAAGGCAGAAAACATCATAGACATGAATAGAACTAGGGAAAGCGGTCGCAAGGCAATCGCTTGCCTTATATCCGCGTTTTGCAGGCCTGGGCCACATACCGGAGATTGGAGGTGGGAGCCGACGCGACTGAGGCAAGTGCGGCCAGCCCGGGGAGTGAATGGCTCACGGAGGCAGATCCAAAGTCGTCCTTATACTCGGATCCCTGGAACTTTCCAATATTACCAAGATCGGGTAGCGCTGGAGAGAAGCGCTTGGGGTTGGATTCGGACGACGGTTGCTGGGTGGTGTCGGAGGGGGAATCGTAACGCGGGAGATCCGAGGCCTGGTGCGCGGATGAGGCCGATTTGAGAGCCGGGTCGATAGGCGACGCCGGGTAAAGGATGGAAGCCACAATGAAGGGCGAGTATAAGGAATCGATCGAAATCCGGTCGGGGACCGAATTGAAATGGTTTAGGTAGAGGTGAAGGTCAAGGGGGAGGAGGATGTCGGATTATGGTCGCGTGATGGACGAAGAAGGTATAATCGGTTTATAGGACCCTCTTGGACAAGCTAGCTGCTAGAGAATCAATCACAACAGGAGGAATCGTAATTATAAGAGGTCGATGTGAGTCGTCCGAGGAAGATCGTAGCAGAACTAAGTATCTCGTAACGGCCAGGCTAAGCGCAAGTTGAAGACGCCTCGGGGAAACGAAACCAGGCGAGAAGAATTGGAAGAAGAAGAAGAGAAGAGAAGAGGGGGGGAAAGAAGAGCACAGGGGAGAATTCGACTTGAATTCAACGAGGCGCTGGGGAAAGGCCACGGCGGAGGAGAAAGATGGAGAAGATTAGCAGAACCGGATCTTATCCTGGCTGATATGGGCGTATTGTTATTATCTCGTATCGAAAAATCATCACTTATCGTGCTGGGCATGCCATACCGCCTGGAGGGTCCAACCATTGGTTCCATCCTCGGTACTGGGACTGCCATGCCGGTATTTAGCGAAACCTAGCATTTCTCTAGAGATGTGGAATGCAGTGTTTCATAGTATTATCCAGTGCTTGTGCAAACCATGCTCCGATATATGCCCACTGGCAAGTACAACTTCTTCGATGTCTACCGGAACTTCAATGTTGTCTGTCTACAAGTGGTACTACTACAAGATTAGTAGTAATAACCAACCTGATGATATACTAGTAATGATAAGACATGTACGTGTAAAAATTAAGGTGGATGCGGCGCCCCTACTTGGATGCTTGTTCTTTTGTATACTACGGAGTACTCGTAGGTCCAATATATTCTGCCAATTGGATTACTTGTAGTGGCCAATTGAACTTAGTGGGTCTGCTTGACTTGGAGGCCAGCTGAATCTGTCCCAATGACGACGGCATCAGCAAGACCAAGGGCAAAGAGCAAGAGCAAAAGAACGTGAAGGCAACCCCTTTTACACCCGGGGATTAGGGGGTCTCCAGTTAGGACCCGCTGTGTGGCGGTGCGTATTGGTATTACCACATCCGGTAAATGATACCTTGCACCTCCCATATTAAAAGACAGATTCTGCCATGCTCTACTCCACCGCTGGGGTAAATTACTGGTAACAACCACCCGCCCAGGCTGGCCACATAATAATACTCGCATCCGTTCATGACGGGATGCTTCTGTTATTCAATCTGGCTTGTCGTGTCCTTGTCCTCTCTCGACTCTCATCCTTGAAGCGTCATTCCCCCCCCCGCCATTCCCATTTCCCCGGGATGGATTAATATTCTCTTATTTTCTTCGTGTCCTTCGTTTCTCTCTTTGCAGATCTTACTACGCACTTCTGCTGTGGCAGGTGTCTGCCTTCACGCCTTTTAATCCCCCTTCCATAGAATTGCCGGTTCCTCTTCCACACCATGCCGAAAAATCGCCCAGCCACCTCGGGCTATGCTCGTCTCGCTCAGGAGGAGGAAGAACGAGGCTACCTTCACGATGACTCCGAAGATGACGAAATCGCCGCGGTTTCTTCAACCGTCTCGACCTCCGCTCCTCGCTATGCCCCGATTTCCTCTCGAGCCCAGATGCAGGCGTCCGGTCTCGACACACCTCCCGGCCATCGACGCCGGCATAGCGGTTTCTCGCGACGTGGGCGACGGAATTCCGGCGTCGACATCAAGGCCATCAATGCGCGTCTTGAGCGATGGGCCGAGGAGATCGCCAACAAGTTCAAGTTGAATCGGGTCAAGGGCAAGACATACGAGGAAGAAAAGTTGGAAATCTACCACTCTGTCTTCCAGGCACCCGATGGCGTTCGCCCTGTGACGATAGAGCAGCTCGAATCGGATGAATTCGAGGGCCAGCAGCGGAAACAACGCGCCGAGTTCGAAGAGATTATTGAGAGCGTTCGTCTTGCTATCGAATTGGATGTCCAACCGCGCATGATTTCACAGGGAAGTTCAGGCAGTTACTTTGCTCGCAACCCCGAAGGCAAAGTGGTCGGTGTGTTCAAACCCAAGGACGAAGAACCGTACGCTTCTCGAAACCCCAAATGGACAAAGTGGATTCATCGGAACTTGTTCCCTTGTTTCTTCGGCCGCGCTTGTCTTATTCCCAACCTTTCCTACGTCTCCGAAGCCGCCGCATACGTTCTCGATGCCCGTCTCCGCACCAACATGGTGCCTTATACCGACATTGTCCGACTGTCTTCGAAATCATTCTTCTACGACTTTTGGGACCGGCGCAAGGCGTGGAAAGGGAAGAAGACTTTGCCCCCGAAGGCTGGTAGCTTCCAGGTTTTCTTGAAGGGTTACAAAGATGCCAACATCTTCCTCCGGGAGCACCCATGGCCAGATCAGGCAAACCCAGGGCTTCGCCCTGAAGATGCTCCGAGACGCAAGAGGCGGCCATGGAACGAGGCATGCCGCCCATCCGGAGCGCAATCCGACGACGAGGATGAGGAAGACCATGGCCAAATGCCATCTCCAAACCCACGCGACGAAAGCGCCGAGCGACGATTCCACTGGACTGAAAACTTAAAGCAGTCGTTCCGCGAAGAGCTGGAGAAACTGGTCATCTTGGATTATATCATGCGCAACACAGATCGTGGGCTGGATAACTGGATGGTCAAGATTGACTGGGGTAACGAGCAGGTGTCGCTTGTCGCAGACCCCCCGAAGCCCAATGACAAGCCCACAGGCACGCATGACGAGGATGAGCTCATGCCTCCCCCTCGCCCGGTGTCTGTGAACTCGAACGGTTCTCATCCTTATAGACGCCACGAAACCATGATGGCAGTGAGCCGTACAGGAACTCCCTTGGCCACGTCCGAGCAGTCTGCTTCGGTCCAGATCGGTGCTATTGATAACAGTCTTTCATGGCCATGGAAGCACCCCGATGCTGTAAGTCGCCGAGCGGTGAAGGTTCTTGGACCATAGCTAACCCATAACAGTGGCGAAGTTTCCCATTCGGATGGCTCTTCTTGCCTGTTTCCCTAATCGGTCAACCGTTCTCCCAAAAGACTCGCGATCATTTCCTTCCCTTATTGACATCGACCGCGTGGTGGGGTGGCACACAGATGGCCTTGCGCCAGGTCTTTTCCCAGGATGACGACTTCAAAGAAAGCATGTTTGCCCGGCAAATCGCCGTCATGAAAGGCCAGGCTTGGAATGTTGTTGAGACACTGAAGCAACCAGACCACGGCCCGCTCGAATTGACTCGCCGAACCCGCGTCTGTGTATGGGACGATTTGGTGGATGTGCCCGTCGCCATCCCCATGAAAGCTCCATCAGCCGACCAAAGAAACCAAGCCATGAATTATGATGACGACGAAGAAGAAATGGATATTGGCGCGGCCAATTCTTCCCAAGACGTTGCCCACGATCTTTTGGGCCTTGACTCGTCCCCGGGCGACCTCCCCAACCCCAACCGGTTCGAGCTCTCCCGCGGCCGTTCTGATGGAGATGGACATCGAGCCACTGACTCGATTGGTAGTGGCCCTGAACTGTTCAACGATGACGATATCTCCCGCAAAACCACCAATGGCACGTACGCAAGGTCTTTGGATGGTGGATGGCCGTCTCTTCCCGCTCGACCCAATAGACACCATAAACAAGGCGGCTCGGTCTCTTTCCGCATGCCCAATGTCAACACTTTCGGTAGCGACGACCTTGAAGGGGACCTTGGGTATGCCGCCGCCGAGGACATGGAGGGCAATCAGCGCAAGGTCATCGTGGAGCGCTTGGAAGCAGTGAAGAGCAAGAATCCTGTCTTCACCTGGTGCTGAGAGCCCATTGATTCCCCTCTCTGACCTCATTCTCCACGACAGACCTTCCTCCCTTCTCCCTGCCCCCTTTTTCATCTTTTGATCTCCCCGCTTCTCCTCCCATTTCATGCCATGCATTTCCATTCCTAATTAATCCCGCAGATGTTTCCCTTAGCGTCCTCCTTCTTGGAGCTGGTGCTGTTTGGACCCACCCTTCTCCCGGGTTCTCTCTCATGCCAGTCTTCTTCTTCTTTTCTCTTTTCTTTTCTTATTGTGACATGCCACCGACTTTTCCCTGGGACATTGACATTGTTGCATGTGCTCTTTGTCCCGGAATTT